GGTGTGTCGCGCCACGACGAAACGCGAATCATATGGAAAAGTTCGATCCGACTTAACCCATTAATGCCCGCTGGGACAGAAATTTCGCGTTGATTTCAATGTTATGAATTTTTATAAAAATGCTCGAAAATTTTAATTCAAAGTACATTACTAAGAGTTTTCGAGGTTGCTCTTTCCGAATCCGCTGCGAGAATCATAAAAAAATGAATGTTTGTATTGATTTATAACGGTTTTTTCCAAAAAATGCGATTTTTTCTCGTTAATTTTTTTTTAAATCATGGATTTCATTTTGATAAAAATGTTGAATATTACTGAAAAGTACTCCAATTGTGTCCTCAAGGCTTATATTTAAAATATATGTAGTTCTGAAATTTTTTGCAATTTAGTAATTTCAATATGGCGACCATATGTATGTATTACCATAGATATCGGCGGATTCTTGGGAACTCAGTCGAATAACTCGTTATGAGTGCATTTTTATGAAAAATTATCTAAAATAAAAGTTGTCCTGTTGATCGAGTTCTTTCACGTGGTAGGCCCCAAATTTGGGTCATAACGAGTTATTCGACCGAGTTCCCAAGGATCCGGCGATATCTATGGTAATACATACATATGGTCACCATATTGAAATTACTAAATTGCAAAAAATTTCAGGACCACATATATTTTAAGTACAAGTCTTAAGGACACGATTGAAATATTTTTCAGTAATATTTAACATTTTTATCAAGATGAAATCCATGATTTAAAAAAAAATTGACGAGAAAAAATCGCATTTTTGGAAAAAAACCGTTATAAATTAATACAAACACTCATTTTTTTATGATTCTCGCAGCGGATTAGGAAAGAGCGACCCCGAAAACTCTTAGTAATGTACTTTGAATTAAAATTTTCGAGCATTTTTATAAAAATTCATAACATTGAAATCACCGCGAAATTTCTGTCCCAGCGGGCATTAATGGGTTAACGGTGTTAAACCAGCAGCTCCGTTATCGCGAACGACGCGATGCGAGGTTCTAATTAACATAATGCTGGCCGCAACCTCATTGCATGGAGAGCGATAGCTGTCGCGGCGATTACAACGAGAGCACGTGCCGCGTCGTCACGCCGAGAGTGAACTTAACACGTGGTTTATATCGTGTTTAGATGCACGTGATCTCTCGCAAACTCTGAATTATGTATATTCCAGTCGATCGCTCGTTCCTTCTTTCTCTTTCTCTCTCTCTTTTTTCGCTTTTCCCGCAAACTTTATATAGCGACTTTTGCGCATGTAATTTCTCGATCTCTTTCTGTTTCTGCAGCCACGTCGAACATCGAACAAGATGGAGTTGAATAATTGAACTTCTATCGAACAAATAAATATATATATAGGATGTTCGGGATCTTTAAGAGACGAAAGATTGTGAAGATTAATCAGATCAAACTAAGAAGAAAAATAGTCAAATATCATTTTGCAAAAATTGCAATAGCAATAACGTTATTAATGATTGTTCAAGTTTTCAGCTTTTTTATATGAAGTTATTTTTATGGTTAAAATTCTACAATTAATTTTAAATCCTATCTTCATAGTTATTTTCTCCCAGAGACAAAGTGCAACGGTTAGAAATATTAAAATGAATGATAAAATGATATATAATATATAATAAATATTGCTCACCCATAAAAACGCTGTGGCCCACTCGCATGAGTAGTTCTGGCACCGCCTGTTAGCACAATAGCCGTCATATAATTGTAGATTAGGTCATTCTGAACAAAAAAATCCTTCACCATTTTGCAAATAAGTACGTAAATTTTCAAGTTATCGATTAAAAAGCTTCTAAACGTGGTTATTTTCAATCATTAATAATTTAATAACTGTGACTTTCGTAAAATGGTATTTAGCTTTTCTTCTCAGCTTGATTAATCTTCACAATTTTTCGTTTCCAAAAGATCCCGGATATATATACAGGGTCTACGTAAGTGTGGTCTACGTAAAGTGTGACAACTTAAAATTTCTAAAAATATTTGTCGTATTACAACAGTTCGAACATTTAATAAAGTAAAAAAATGTGAAAAACTATGACGTCTTTTATTTAATTTATGATTTTATCACTTTAGTTTGAACGTACTTTGCTATAAAGTTTAAATATTTATAATTTTTGATAGAAGTATTTTTTAAAGAAATGTTTCAGATGAAATTTACTTGTTTCTTCTCGTAAAATTCAAATGTGTAACATTTTATCCCATTTGAAATAACAATGTTACCGCTCGCCTCCTTTGAGAGGAGAGCGGGGATGAGCTTTTGTTTAGTTATAGTTAGAAAGAATATATAAAACTTTGTCTAGAATAATTTTTGGATACGACAAATATTTTTAGGGTTTTTGGGTTGTCACACTTTACGTGGGCTACCCTGTATAAAATTCATCACCACCGAATTCAAATCTTTGTAATGTACAATTACTCCACCTCTAGATACATTGTCGATATCTTAATTCATGAGATATCTGCCAGAATCGGTTTTCTTCATCTTTGTAAAGTTTGTATCCGGCAGATAAACTTATCCGGTACCTAAAGTAGCGGATATCTAGCTGATATTGATTCCAGTGCCTTGACATAATCTAAAATTTACAATTATTGTACTTACAATAATACGTAATCTGCTGTTGCTATTTTTATGAAAACATAACATGGATTTGTTACTCCTGAATATTAATATTTTTGAATCTGATGATAATAGCGTTTCGATATTCACTGCTAGTGCTAAAAATCTATAATATACGTGACACAAACTATATATTTTCAACACTGGCAGTGAATACTGCCGAAACGTAGCTGATAATGATGATGATGGGAAATTTATGGAAAGAAGACCCTATACAATAAGAAATAAACCGAACAATTTTCATAATAACTGTTTATAATAAAAATGGGCTCAAAAATATTTATTTTCATATAACTTCACTTCAGAAGAATATGTTGGTCGTAGAACTAACCCGGAAAAGAATATATCGCTGGAAGAACATGGTGATTTATAATAAATTTCTAATACATTCTGTGTGTATGTCAAAAGTTAGTATAGCTATCTGTTAGTTATGCCCGGTTTCTTCACACCTCCTAATAGCTATTTTCCAGATAAAGATATCCATCAGATAACTAAAAACTCGTTTTCTTCACTGAAACCTCTGGTTACTTATCTAACAGACGGCTATTCTTCATACTACTAGCTTTTGATACAAAATGTGTACTAGAAATTTACTATAAATCACCATATTCTGCTAGCGACATATTCTTTTCCGGGCTAGTATTAACTAATTAAAATAATTTCCGCAATACTAACAATCGGTCTTCAATTGCATGTAATAACTCAAGCACTGTATCCTTTTTCAAATGAAATCGTTCGAAAAATTCTGTGTCATCCCACAGTTGAAAATTGTTCGGCCTATTTCTTATTGTATAGGATCTTCTTTTCACAAATTCCTCATCATCATTATCAGGTTCAAAAATATTAATATTCATGAGTAATAAATCCATGTTGTATTCTCATAAAAACAGCAATAGCAACAGCAGTTTTATTATATATTATTGTAATTTTTAGGTTATGTCAAGGCACTGAAATCAATATCTGCTAGATATCCCCTATTTCAGATACCAGATAAGTTTATCTGCCGGATACAAACTTTACAAAGGTGAAGAAAACCGATTCTGGCAGATATCTCATGGATAAAGTTACCGACAACTTATCTAGAGGTGAAGAAATTGGGCATTAGAAGAATAGCTATCTGTTAGATACGTAACCAAAGTTTTCAGTGAAGAAAACAAATTTTTAGTTATCTGATGGATATCTTTATCTGGAAGATAGCTATTGGGAGGTGTGAAGAAAGCGGGCATAACAGAAGCGGGTCCGCGCGCGCGCGGGTGAGAGAGAGAGAAAGCTCATGACGTTTCTCTCTCTCTCTCTCTCTCTCTCTCTCTCTCTCTCTCTCTCTCTCTCTCTCTTTCTCTCTATCTATCTATCTATTATCTCGATTCGCGTCACATCGCAATGTATACAACGCAGTATGTTTTGCAATTTTAATTAAATAGATAAACACTCCCTCGGGCTTTTGGATCCCGCTACCGCGGGGTGCAATTTTGTACGAGCTGTTTATGATTGCGATGTTTTTACGCGCGCGCACTATTACGGAAATATTTTCAATACTTGATACATAATACATCTGCGATACGTAATATTAGATACTATTATTGATCACAAAGTATTATTATTAGTAAACGTTCTCTCGGGCTTGTATTGGCTTACTCGAGGGGGGCGTAATTTTAAAATCTTTGTTTATAATTATGGTATTTCATGCATACATGACTGTGGACACACATTTAATACCCGATACATAATACTAGATATTATTATCGATCGTGCTTGCTTTTAATTTCAAGTATGCCTTTAATTTCAAATATGTAAATACATCGTGTTTCCCGGCTACAAATTCAAACTGTACACTTGCCATGAATTTCCATCTCATGCGATATCTTTATTGATTTATCTCAGGATAATAATATTAAATCGCGGATTCAATGCTGGCTGCGTCGTTTTCGCGATTAATAAACAGTACGTTTCGTTAATCTGCAAGAAGAAAAATTCAGACCGAGAGCGAGATGCGTCGCGATTAACACGTCGACTGCCACGATGATCAGCGATGTGATATGACCGATATTGTAATACTACCGGTATTATAATACTAATTATAATATTCTCACTAACTTATTTTTTGTTCTTAATTTACTATGATTTATTTTGCTATTACTATTTTACTGTTTACGCGTTTGGTAATATATAAAACGCAATTAAGTATGTATAACAGATTCAATACATGGTCGATAGAGAGCCAATGAAACGAGCTGATAAACACACGCAATTCGCATTTATCGCAATTATCTGTGACGATTGAAACGCGAATCGAGTGTTGAAATGATCAATGGAAATCAGCGTGATGGTCAACGTGTTAACAAGTTTTGTTGGTTTTTAGTTGCAGACTGGGCCGAGTACGCTGCAACGAGAGGAGTACGGATCGCCGGCCTTGGCGAATCTCTTAGCGAGATATTGGGAGGAGCGCAGTAAGTGTCGCTTAATTATTTATGTCTATCATTAAGTGAGTAGAAGACGCGGCTAATGGCTCGAAAATAACTTCCTAATGAGGAAGGATCATCGCGGGAAGATAAAACTTAAGACAAATGTACACTGATTACTCGAGACTGTACTTTTTAAAACGAGATGGAAAGATTCTGCTGTTTTTGAATTTTTCGACACGACTGTCACAAGAAAAATATTCTCTTCCGTTTATTACCTTTCCCCGCGATTCTCGTTAATAAAAAAAATATGTATGCGATTCAGCGACATCCTCGCGTTTGAAATGCCACGTGGTTAGTCAACACTAATGCGAATCATCGGAATAGCGAGCGATGAATTCGCGAACAAAACGCGTGTTGATCTGAATCAGCAGGTGCGAATCGATTCAACAGAAAAAAGCACAGCTTGCCCTACTCTCGGCGGGAGAGCGAGCTGTTATCGCGTTTTTCTCGTTTCTTTCTGTAAATGTAAGCGACGAATGACGTCGCAGCCGAAGCGTTAAGTAATTTCGTTGTTTATCTTTCATCTCGAGCTCCCTCGCACCGGCGATCGTACGCGCATCGTACGCACCGTCTAATTATAGCGAACTGTATAAGGGTCCCGGGAAAGAATAAAAAAAAGATGATGCATGATCGATACCGCGCCACCGAAGGCTACCGTATGTAAACCGTGATCCTTTGCCCTTTGATGTATCACTTCCATATGTCGGCCGCGTCGTCAACTGTCGGAATTGTGCGATTCCAGCGATAAATGATTGGCTGATTCCGCTCTAGTTACATTATCCACTTTAATTAATCACTCGGAACGCAGCTGCGGCGCGGAACTACATCGATTGTATCGTCTGGTGAAAACGGTGCGGTACGATTCGGCCGTTCATGACGAAACGAAGCGGACGCGAACGTTGAAATTGACGACGCCGACGCGTGAAGAGAACGCGCCGAGCGTTTCCCAGCTGAGAAACGACGAACTTTTTCGTCGGTTTACGTGTTTTAGTACAATTTCACTTTTCCCTCGGGGAGGAGACAGATTTGTTTTTCTTGTCTATGCAGCGCGATTGAAACAACGCGGCGAAACGCGCAATATGAAAGGCGAGATACGAAATGAGTTTCCAAGCTTCGACAGGACGACGTTCTACAATTTGCACAGAGTACGTACTCGTTTGCACAGAATTCACGACGTTTCTTTCTTAACGAGTTGATGAATACGCCAAATTAACGAGACTGCGAGCTCCTATGCATATGCTCACTGAGCGGCTCGATAGCTATCATATTTTTAAATACGAAGTGTACAGGGTGTAACATTAATATACAGGTCGATACGACGGGTTGCCTGCCCCCATTCGGATAATGCAGAAGTTGTCGAAAAAGTCACTCGTTGATTTTGTCGATAATGATATTTGCAGTAGGAATCCGCAAAAAATATCGATGTCAAGTGATCATCGATGGTTAGTTTTCGATGTTTCGATATTTTTCCATCGATGTAAGGCCTTACGATACATCGATATTTTATCGATGTTTTCCTCCGATATTCTGTTTTTATACATTTAACTCTTTCGTAGAACATATATGTCCCATTTATGAAAAAAATCATAACTTTAAGACAAGTTCTAGTTTAAAAAGTAAATAGTTTAAAAAGAAAAGTGGAAGAGAAAAATTGCAAGATAGTGCAGACATTGCAGCTAAAAAGAAAACACCTATGAGTAAATAAGAAAAACGTAAACAGTAAGAAAATTAACCAATCACACAGTTGACTATTCTCCTTACGGTCAAGAAATAATCAACTGTGATATTACTTTTACAATCCGTAAATAAGAGTTTATGGAACTTATAAGAATTGAGATATGTCCTGTTTATATCGTCTATTCTCATTTTTCTTGTTCTATAACTTGTATTTTTTAATCAAAATATCTATGATAAGTGCACATTGCTATAAATTTTTTATGCTCTGTTAACAATATTTGCTTGTGTAATTCTTTTATTGCATAATTCTTTTATTATATCGTAATCTTTATGCATTAAATAAAAAGAAATTAATTGTGTATAATATATAGTAATATATGATAAAAGAATGATTTTTAATAAAAACATCGATGTCAAGTAAATATCAATTTTATACAGTCTATTTATCGAAACTTAATATCGAATATCGATATTAAGTTTCGATGTTAATTTCGATATCAAATATCGATGTCACTCTTACCGATGTGGAACCCTAATTTGTAATGCTCCTAATTATAATGAGTGCCACTAATTTTACATCGAAATTGTTTATGACAAGAGCCAAACCTCATCGTAAATTCCTCATTAGAGTGTAGAATGTTCATATTCTGAACTCTGTCGAAAAAAATGACGTGTCTTCTGATTTGCTTATAAGCTTTAAACACTTCGAAAAACAAACGTTATTTTTGATAAAAGAGACGTCAAAGCACAAGATTATGTATCGAAAATATGTCGCTTAATAGTTATTATCGATTAAGCTGCAATCAATAATTTATGCTGCGTTTCCGGTTCATATTTTTGCAGAAGTGATCTATTTCAAAAACGATGGAATACATCATATTAGGCTTCTAAATATTTCTGTATCATTTTTCTAATCTCTAATTCCCATCAAACTTTCCAAGAAAGAAATTAAGAAATTATGCGAAACAAGAAAATGTATGTCGCATTATTTACTCGCTTAATTATTATTCTTGTTTACTCTGGTTAAATTCGTAATGTTTATTTCTCAATTTCGCCTTTTTAAACTTTTTTTTTTAATTTAATGAGGCTCGGTTACTATCATAAACGATTACGGTGCAAAATTAGTTGCACTCATCGTAATTGGAAACACTGCAAATATTATTGTCAACAATCAACAGATCAACTTTTTCGGCAACCTCTGCGTTATCATTCGAATAGGGGTAGACAATTTGTCATATGTTACCATATGTTAATATTACACCCTGTACAAAAGCGATTTCTAAGTAAATATATCAAGAAAAAATTTATGCACAAATAGGGCTTATACTCAGCAGGAGAGTCGTCCTTTTTGTTGCAACTGTTTCATATTGTTGTTAAAGACGAAGAGCGCTCAAGCGCGGAGTGATTTATGTCGCAGCGAGCAGTTGCGGGTCGCACGGAAAAGCGAGATATTAAAAATAAAATGGGTCATGAAACATATTCGCGAACGCGAGTACGTGTCAGCAGATAGAAGCCTGAGGCTTTATGATGCTTATTACGCGGTGGATGGCCACCTTTTATGGTTCGATTAAGGATATTAAATCAGCGATTCGAAAGCCATAAATCCGTCCTTGCGGAGGAGGAAAACGTCCGCGTTTTCCTCGAAGGAAGCGGGACGTTAAAGGAAGCTGCTCAGATCCATCAATGGCCAATCTCGTCGGACACGATGTTTAATTAGCAGTCGTCTCGATTGACGGCTAAAATTACACGTGAAAGAGTGACGCGTCGACACGTCAACCCCCGACTTATTTCGGTGAAGTAATTGCACGCAATGTCAGCCATTAACTAAGCGCGAAAAACTCAGTGGCGGAAAGATCGCAACATTTCAGCTCGGTGAGTTGATAGAGTGAGGGACAAATCTTCCCGTTGGATTCGAGTGCACTGCAAAATGCATTGGAAAAAAATGATGCGATTTTTCGCTTACTATTCGATGCATACGGATACGTAGGTTGCTGCGAAAGTTTTTAGAAAAAGTATGGAAAAACATAAATTAGCGGGTATAAATGGCTTTATTGTTTTTCAAAGAAGTCGTCTTTAAGGGGACTGGAAGGTCAGATTGCTGCAACATTGTGCTTGTTTTTGATAATATTTTGTGATGAACTGAATAAATGTGCAAGAATGAAAATTTTAGGTATAGTTATACAACATATGAAGAGTAGAAAAATTTTGATTATTAACAAATACTCGTATAAATATGCGATATATATAGTTGAAATGTACTCCCCTTTTTTTTCAAGTTATCGTATTTTTTGCAGTAATATCTCGGCTGTCGGTGGTCCGATTAGAGCGAATTTTAGCTAGAAATCTTAAGGAGGCTTATTATTATCCATTCAATTTTTTCACAACACTGACATTTTTAAAGCAATGCGCAAATGAAACTAGTTGACTTCTTTTTCATCTGTCAATGCTGTTTAATCTACAAAACGTCAAATTTTACGAAAATCATACTCTCAACTTTCAGTTACGCCATCTAGTACTGGTTTCTAAAAACTCTCGCAGCAACCCACCTTTTGATGTTCAGATGTTTCTTCTTCTCTTAACCCTTTGAAGCATGGTGGGATCCCACAATCCCATCTTTCTTTTCTTCATTTTTAATTATTTAAATATCTTTTTGATATTTTCATCCGAATTTTTTGTACTTCTAAGATATGTTAGGTATTGATATACGTGCTAAAAATATAAAATGTCAATTTTTTTTTAATTTAAGCATCCTGTAAATATAAACAAATTGTATAAAATTATATATTTTTCAGTAAAAATTCATTTAACGGTGATCTATAAAAACAGTTGTAACGAAACTTGTTCATTTTATGTTTTTGAGGTCGCCAATTACGAATCCGGGGTCAGAATTTCGAAATTCAAAATGATTAATCCAATATGGTAGACAAAAATGTCCTATATCCTTCGATTTCGACAGAAATAGGTACATTGAGGTTTTTTGGGTTGCCGATTATGAATCTGGGGTCAGAATTTCGAAAATCAAAATGGCGGATCCAATATGGTGGACAAAAATGTTCAAAATCCTTCGATTTCGATAGAAATAGATACACATGGAGGTTTTTTGGGTCGCTGATCATGAATTTGTTATCAGATTTCCGAAATTAAAATCCATAATATCATATCAGAGTTAGCCATTTGAAATCGCCATATTGAACCTGCCATTTAAAATTTTTCAATTTCGACTCTGTATTTGTCGTCTATGATCGAAAAAACATATATGTACACCAAGTTTGATACATATTCATAGTATCATATCAAAGTTAGCCATTTGAAATCGCCATATTGAATTCGCCATTTTGAATTTTAAAATTTTGACTCCAGATTCGCAATCAGCGACCCAGAAAACCCCTATATATATAATCAGTTTCTTTATTATTATTGCATAGAAAAATTTGTGGTTCAAAGGGTTAAGTCGCAAACCAACGCGTCAAATGTCATCTTGTAAAAATTGCCCTCTTTTCGTTTCTCCAGTTTCTGTTATTTAACGAGAGCTTAATCCTCCGCGAGTGTTCATCGCGAATCAGCGGTCCCTCTGCCTGCGATCCCCTGCGTCACAGTCATGCGACGCAGTCGGTTGCAGATTTCCTCAGCCGCACGTATCCGTATACAATAACAGAAGCTGTGCGCTCTCCCCTTCTAAAACAGCGAAATGGTTACGAATTCTATTAATAGTTAACGAAGCCAGTTTTTATACGTGCAAAAGCAAACACTCGCGGGATGACGGCAGCACGCATTTGTTGTGCGTGCCGCTCAGCTCTTCCGCAAAGCTAATCCGCGCGAGCGTATCGTCACAGGGACGTCGCATCATTTATTTACGTCGTCGCGGCGACCTTCTCGCTTTTCCACGCTCCCTTACGAGCGCGTGTAGGACGCGTGTAGGAGGAGGGGCGGCCCTTTCCATATTAAATCGCGCCATTAATCATTGAAGGCAGAAGCGTGTGGTGTCCGTCGATTTGTCACATCAAAATAAACGTCGCGCCGAATGAAGTTCGTCCGAACGTTCGTATCTGAAAACGATTCTTCGTGTTTTGTGTCGCATGCCAACGACACTCTCGCAGTAAATTGCGCGTGTGTGTACGCACACGCGGAAGAAATGTCGTGTGCGAAACGTACCGAGCTTGCGAGCGAGCAGTTGCGGAATGTCTGCGCGCGGATAAGCAGAATCGTCGGCATTCCAGCACAAGAGTCGAAGGGCAGGTAAGCGTAACGGTAATCTAGGTAGGAAAATCCGTTAAATGTCACTTGTTCGTTCGCATGTCGGCATCACAGCGTTCGCTTTGCATGATTTTGCAGCGTCACGTGTGCACTACCGCTCGAAAGCAATAATTTCACGATTAAACTAATGAGGGAGAGAGAGAGAGAGAGAGAGAGAGAGAGAGAGAGAAAAAGAAAGATGTAGTTTTATATATTTATATAAAAATTAAAAGGTGCTCGCGAAACCCTTAAGCGCTAAAGTGTGAAGATAAAATATTGGAAAGATAATCGCATTTTCGTACAAAGTCTCGTCGCATGATTGTTTTTGTATCGCGCTTTAATAACTTCAATGCATGTGTGAATCGTCATGATAAATAATAAAATGCACGCGTGAATGATACGCTAATAAGGGCCATCACTGAATGTGGGGTGCAATGAATTCAATCGTAGTACGGGGGTAGAGGAAGATAAAAATAAATAAAAAGAAAATGCATGTATTGCGTAAGGCGACAGCGCAATGAGAAGATGAAAAAGAAAATACGCATGATTCTCTTTTGCATGCGTTCGCTGTATACTTTGCGTAGCTAACGAATAATATCGCCCTTGCTTTTTGCGATCGAAGGGTGTCTCCGAAAAGAAACGATTGAATTAATCGTTTGTGGCGCAAGCGGACACCCAAAGACCCACCTATATTCCGCAAGTTTTTTATATTTTATGAGCAGTTTTAATGATCAATTTCTCAGTAATTATATTTTCTAGCTTTTTAAGACTCTAACTAGTGTAAAATAATTGTGATTACTTAAATAAATTCTTTAAATTTATTATTGCTAATAATAAATAAATAAACACAAAAAGGTTTTTAAGAATAAATGTATGGCAAAGCGAAGAATTAACTATTTTTATCTGGAAACTGATACGCAGGGATTTTTTTGGGGCGCTGATTACGAATCCGTTGTCAGATTTTAGAAATTCAAAATGCCGGATCCAATATGGCGGACATAAAATAAAAAATTCAACTAATTTTCGTGAAACTAGGTATCTAGGGTCTTTTCTTGGGTCGTTAATTACGAATCCATCATCAGATTTTCAAAATTCAAGATAACCAATTCAATATGTCGGACAGAAAAATTAAAAAAAATTTCAATTTCTAGAAAAATTGGTATTGAGGTTTTTGGATCGCTCATTATGAATCCATCATCAGATTTTCAAAATGCATGATAGCTGCTTCAATACAGCGAAGCGAACGATTTAAAAAACCCAAATTTCCACGCCATTTTGAATTTCGAAAATCTGACAACGGATTCGTAATCAGCGAAACACCTGGATGCAAAGTTCTATAGAAATCGGTTAAAAGGAAAAATTCGTGGCTCAAAGGGTTAAAACGACACAAAAGCAATCGATTGTTTGATGCGATTGAACGGCTATTTTTCCCTGAGCGCATTTTTAATTTACATCGCATGAGCACAAGTCGTTATTTTATATAAATCGACGTCACAAATAAGTAGAAACGGACTATTATTGAAGCCGATAACGCGTGATTTCGACAAGTTCGGATTTCGACGCTGCAGCGAGAAGAGTCAAATATGAAGCTGACGTCCATACGTTTTTGCGTATCTGCGTTTGCAGCGTCGAGCGTCGAATTCACGAGATCCGCGATATCGATAATTCCGGTGATTATTGATATAATGTCACGTTAATTATACTCTTTGTAGGAACAAGTACAGCCGTGAAACGGAACCTGGACCAGATCGGCGGCGGACATCTCGTGCGAGACACCGACAAGCAATTGCGACGTCTATTGGGAGACGAACATTTGATCGAAAACCCGAACTTCATCAGACACGGACTTCCGCTAGCCTCCGATCAACTTCGCGACGGAAATGTCCACAACTTTTCGATCGAATCCGAAGTATTCATAGATCCGATGAATCGTCAATCATTCCGCACGGTGCGAATCTACAACGGCAAGCTGCCCGCGACTTCGACTGACGACTTCGATTCTAACGCCGAGCAGCCGAGCAGTCAACAATTCGCAGCTCAGCTTGCCGATCGCGACATGTTGAAGAGTTACAAACAAGTCGCGAAGAATCTCGACCAGATCGGCAGCGGGCATTTCGTGAGAAATCTCGATCAAATCGGTGGCGGACATCTTGTTAGAAATTTAGATCAAATTGGCGGCGGGAACCTTATGCGAAATTTAGATCAGATTGGCGGCGGGAATCTAGTGCGAAATTTAGATCAGATCGGCGGCGGACATCTCGTTAGAAACTTGGACCAGATCGGTGGCGGAAATCTCGTGCGAAATTTGGACCAGATTGGCGGCGGGCACCTCGTGCGAAATCTGGATCAGATCGGCGGCGGGAATCTCGTGAGAAGTTTCGAGTGATCTCGCAGCGAGATGGAAGCCGGAATGGGCGAGAAAGTGAAGCTGCTGAATGGATTCTTCATTTGGCGTCGGACATCGCGTCCGGGTGATGATCGCCATCACCCGTCTGAATTTCACTTATTTAATGTGCGCCTCGTGTGAAAAGAATCGTGACGGAGATCGATCGTATAATTTAACATATCATTAAGTGAAAGTAACTATATAAGTACGTTGACGACACTGTATTTGCTCTGTTCTTGTTGAGGCTTCTTTTCGTTCCGTTTTTCGTTAAAGACACACTGCAAAAAGGACAATAAAGTCTTATCAGTCGTATGTGTTCTTCTCCAATCCATTTTACAAATTCAACTCGAATTCTCCCTGACAATCCTATCCAATCTTTTCCCGTTAAGAAAAAAGATAAGGAAGAAGAAGGGATACAAATTTCTGAAACTTTCAAGGTGCGGCCAATCGTAATTTAAACAGCGTCGGTGGCGGCAACCATATGCTGAGGCAGACACGTCGAGGGTTGGACTCATTATCCGGAGCAACCTTTGGCGAGAACAAGAGATTCGCACCTTTCAGGTAAATCATTATCGATTCGCTCGATGTGCTCGACGACGAAGGCGCTAACTCATTTCAGCGAAGAGCTCTCGTGTTCTATTAAACTGGCCCATAACCGAGACATTTTCCGTTCCGAGGATGAAGGTCTGGGCGAATGCAAACATTCACCGTCCCTTGATCGTTATATCTAATACGCGAAATATATCAACATGTCGCGTTTCTTAATTTCTCGAGACACGTTGACGAAATATAATTTTTTTTTCATTTTTCCTAATGAATTAATTCCCTTCTTTCTTGCATTCTTAACACTAGAAAGACCGAGGCAGCCAATTTGGCTCCTCGAGAAATTCAAACTGTTATAACTCTTTTCAACTCTTTTACCTCCACGTGACATCCTTTTGTGACTTTTCATTATTTTCCATGCTCTTAATTTCGCTAAAAAAATTTTTCATATATAAGATGGTTGAATTTTTATTTAATTGTCTACTTAAAAGGACAGTTGGAGCCAATTTGGCTTCCTTGTATCTGATATTGCATTCTCATACGTTTTATGGGTTTATTTACAAGTTTATTTATGACTTTAAATAGATAAATAAATATTTTTATGTGTATCTATCTATTTATACGCTTGAAAAACCACTATATACATACATACTATATATGTACATATAGATATGCATATACAGGATGTCCCATTTTAAAAAACGCGCCTCGATAATTCTTCAACGAAGCATTTTCAGCAAAAATGTTTCGAACAAAAGTTGTATGATTTCAAGGGAGACATAAAACGACTATACTATTTTGTTTACAAATGGCATCACTTTCGGCATAACTTTTCTACTCTATTTAATTTCAAGAATATATTGTTATAATAATGCCCTGAACTTTTGTTAACTTACTGACTTTTGGAAATTTCAAAATCATCAAATTAACAAAAGTCAGGGCGCTATTGTAACAATATATTCTTGAGACCAAGTAGAGCCAAAAAGTCTAGTACTACTTTTTCTTCTGATAAATAGCGAGATATCGTGAGTTAAATATTAAAAAAGTTATCAAGTTTTTCTCAAATATTTCAAACAACATTACGCAAATAAAAAAATGTTTCAGACAAAAGTTGTTTAAATTAATTGGTAGAAAAAGATGATGTAATAAAAAATTGGGGTTTCCATTTAAGAAAAGTAATGATCAGTGAATATCTCGAAAGTGGTGCCATTTGTAAACAAAATAGTTGTTTCATGTCCCCCTCGAAATTATACAACTTTTTTCCGAAATATTTTGCTGAAAATGCTTCGTTGAAGAATTATCAAGGTGCTTTTTTTTAAAATGGGACACTGTATGGATACGCATATATAGCATCTCGCCGTTGGCCAATTCGTATTTTTTATAATATTTTGGATTTTGCTGCTAGAAATGAATGGATTATGTACAAAAAAGTTACGTGTAAAAGAATATCAAAAAGAATCTTTTTACAAAATCTCGTGGAAGAGTTGAGTGCTTCATGTGTTACCCAAAGACGAAAGTCTCAAAATTTTGATTCAACCAGAAAAAAACTGATTCCGACGATGCTTCAGGCAAACGACTATTTTGTCAAGTAAACAAAACTACAAAAAAAGCCACAAAGGTGAAAAATGTTGTTCGTGTAAAAAATTCGTGTGCGATAAATGTACAAAGAAAATTATATACAGATTTCCTGTACAGAACGGCATTATATTTCACGTTTAGTCTTTCATCAAAGACTAAAAAGAATTCAATATAATATAACTAACAGTTCTTCTATTCAATAAATTAGTGATATTGTTAAAACGTTAAATTTTAGAATTATCTATACGTTTCGTTTCTTTCTATTTTTTATTTACGAAAAGATATGCTTGAAGCTAAATTGGTTCCTACGGTCCTTCTAGGGGAGTCATCAAATCCGATCCTTCTAGTGTTAACCGTTACTTGCATAAGGATTGATTATTTTTCGCATTAAAAATCAATCCTTCGTTCCTCCTGTCGCGATCACGAGAGGCGAAGATGTTTTAAGGCTCGAGAGGAGATTCGTTTAAAGAATCGGGAAAAAGAGGCAGGAGAATAGGACGCTTCGGGAAAATAGAGTTACTAACTCAACGGGAAACTATCTAACCAGAATATATAACGTTAAGTTAGTGAGGATTTACGTGATAAGCTAACCATGCAACTTTACGCAGACTTAATTAGAATTTACATCACGAATTAATAAAAACTCGATATCAACTTAAGCTGCGTATATTCCAATTAAGCCATAAACGCGTGAATGCACGTGGAGAACATTTTATTCGTTCTGTGTCGAAGTATTTAAGCTGCCCCGCGGGTGCAACAAATTGAAGCATCTCTCTGGATTTTGTTCCGAAGTCGCACCTTCAGAGTCGTTCGCAAGGAACGTCGTGCTCGAATGTTTTATCCCGCGTATATAAATGTTATCCCGTCATGTTATTTCCACAGGGGAGCCTGCACGGCACGAGCATGTGGTCGCTTACAGCATCGATTGCTATTCGTTCTGACCAAATAAAAGCAACCAGCGCGTCAATTGTTCACATTACACAACTTGCTGTATATATTTTATTCCTCCACCCCGGTCGTAAGTTCTCCACGTGTAATATCTCTCTACCCACGACAATGATAAAAACAATCGTCCCGCCACGTGTTTTTTATTAAAATGCTGCACGTGCGTGTGATTAGATCGATTTTCTTACCAAATTTCATATATATATATATATATATATAGGGTGCCACATTTTTAAAAACGCACCTCGATAATTTTTCAACGAAGCATTTTCAGCAAAAATGTTTCGGACAAAAGTTGTATTGTTTCAAGGGGGACATAAAACAACTATACTATTTTGTTTACAAATGGTACCACTTTCGAGATATTCACTGATTATTACTTTTCTTAAATAGAAACCCCAATCTTTTTATTACATCATCTTCTCCTACCAATTAATTTAAACAACTTTTGTCTAAAACATTTTTTTATTTGAGTAATACTTTTTGAAATATTTGAGGAAAACTTGATAACTTTTTCAATATTTAACTCACGATATCCCGCTATTTATAGGAAGAAAAAGTGATACTAGACTTTTCTGTTCTACTTGGTTTCAAGAATATATTGTTACAATAGCACTCTAACTTTTGTTAATTTGATGATTTTGAAATTTCCAAAAGTCAATAAGTTAACAAAAGTTCAGAGCGCTATTATAACAATATATTCTTGAAATTAAATAGAGTAGAAAAGTCTAGTACCACTTTTCCTTCCGACAAATAATTAGCGAGATATCGTGAGTTAAATATTGAAAAAGTTATCAAGTTTTCTTCAAATATTTCAAAAAATATTACTCAAATAAAAAAATGTTTCAGACAAAAGTTGTTTAAATTAATTGGTAAAAAAAGACGGTGTAATAAAAGATTGGGGTTTCCACTTAAGAAAAGTAATGATCAGTAAATATCTCGAAAGTGGTGCTATTTATAAACAAAATAGTATAGTTGTTTTATGTATCCCTTGAAATCATACAACTCTTGTCCGAAATATTTTTGCTGAAAATGCTTCGTTGAAGAATTATCGAGGTGCGTTTTTTAAAATTGGGCACCATGTATAATATATAGATATAGACTTCTGGTTTTGTCTGACTGTTCCGTCATAACAGTTACTTCAATCACCGTTTTCTCTCTCTCTCTCTCTCTCTCTCTCTCTCTCTCTCTCTCTCTCTCTCTCTCTCTCTCTCTCCCTCCTCTCCCTCCCTCCCTCCCTCCCTCCCTCCCTCCCTCCCTCCCTCCCTCCCTCCCTCCCTCCCTCTCTCTCTCTCTCTCTCTCTCTCTCTCTCTCTCTCTCTCTCTCTCCTCTCTCTCTCTCTCTCTCTCTCTCTCTCTCTCTCTCTCTCTCTCTCTCTCTCTCTCTCTCTCTCTCCCTCTCTCTCTCCCTCTCTCTCTCCCTCTCTCCCTCTCTCTCCCTCTCCCTCTCTCTCCCTCTCTCTCCCTCTCCCTCCTCTCCCTCTCCCTCCCTCTCCCTCCCTCTCCCTCCCTCTCCCTCCCTCTCCCTCCCTCTCCCTCTTTCTCTCCCTCTCTCTCTCTCCCTCTCTCTCTCCCTCTCTCTCTCCCTCTCTCTCTCCCTCTCTCCCTCCCTCTCTCTCCCCTTCTCTCTCTCCCTCTCTCTCTCTCTCCCTCTCTCTCTTCCTCTCTCTCTCCCTCTCTCTCTCCCTCTCTCTCTCCCCCTCTCTCTCTCCCCCTCTCTCTCTCTCTCTCCCCCCCTCTCTCTCTCTCTCTCTCTCGCCGTATCTAGCCAACATGGCCATATGTCCAGTGTTAAATATTGCTTCATTAAAAATTTAGTTCATTAAATTAATCGAAATTAATAATTCCTCATACTCATGTGATTATGAATAATTTAACCAATCGATGAAATTAATTATTAATTCGTGTCAATTAATTATTAATTAATTAAATCGGAGTCATTTATTGAAACAGTATTATGTATAATCACAATTTCAATTAATTCGATGTTAATTTTCGTTATCTCAGTCAGCCAATTTCAATCGACTCATACCTGACATTAATCCTCCTTCACCAGATCCGGCTGGTGCAGCTGTATCTCCACCGCGTTTGACCATCCCGAGTCGCAACTACTCGCACTACGCACGTGTCGCACATTTTATTAAAAACTGCGGTAGATCTTGTTCAAATATGAAATGTAAAAATGCTAAGAGAAATAGCTGGAGGGGATCAAATAGAACGCGATGTTTGTGATCGTCCTGTTATTTTCCTCTTTGCAACAAGTGCATTTCGATTAAAGCGCGCTTCTCATATGCACACGTCCATGTGCCAAACGACCACCTTTCCGTTTGAGCTTTATTTTATCAGCGAGCGACGTGTCCGATTGTGTGTCTTTCTGCAAATTTAATTTCGCTTTCAAAGCAAATGTCGCCTTGCATAATATCGTAGCCGGCATGAAAAATCCGAGAGCGTCTATGGATTCTTCAAGAGAAAGACCGAGAGAGAGAGAGAGAGAGAGAGAGAGAGGGGGGGGGAAGAGACAGAGAAGAGAGCGACTCTCCAAGCTACAACATGTCTATTATTGCAGGCGATCCGGATTGGCGAACGTGCAGCCAGATAACTTCGACGAAAACGACCGGTCGATGTTCGATCGTTTCTCAAAGAGAAACATCGACGAGATCGATACTGCGTTTGATAGCTTCTTTAAGCGAAATTTCGACGAGATCGACCGAGTCGGCTGGAGCGGATTCGTCAAGAGGCTCGATAATTACTTGGCGGACAGGCAACGACGTTAAATGGCGCAAGAGGACATGAAGGACGAGGGACGAAACTGGTGAAACGGAGAGCGAGAAAAGTGCGAAAGGCCGTAAGAGAAGCGTGGGGCACATCGCGAGACGCAAAGAGATCGCGTGCGTTTGTTAGCGGGCATTCTTTAATTAACAAGCAAGGTCGTTCTTTTAACGCGATTCCTTTATCGCAGAACCGTCGAATGCACTTTCAGCCACAGATAGCCGGAGAAAATGAAAAATTAAAAAACAATGGTAATCGTTTCACTGACAACGCGTGTCCGTAAAACGTTGAAAAAAAAACAAAATAAAACTCTTCAACGATTTGAAGTTTGATGTTAATGCGAAGCGTAGATTAACTTTGATGTTATTTATATAGTCTCTGCATGTAACTGTGCAATTCACTTTCAGAAAGATGAATATAAAAATGTCAACTGTCAAGATATTTAATGTTAAGCCAGCGGCACACGGTGCTTGTTTTCGTGCTGGATTGCTTGCTGGATGAAAATACTGCATTTCCGAAGATGGATGGAAATGCACCAATCAGAACGCAGTATTTTCATCCAGCAAGCAATCCAGCACGAAAACAAGCATCGTGTGCCGCTGACTTTAGAGACGAGACACTTGCGGCGAACAAGGGTCTATCGCGGGCGATTTTCGATATCGCGATACAAAAGTTGAATTCAAACTATCTCACGTGGAACGTATAATCGACAGAGAGGACATTCTTCGATTCTGCGACATCGTCAACAGGCGAAATCCCCAAACGCATGAAAATGCGGCGCGGACATCTTCGAGAGAATATACAGAGAATTGATTTTACTTCATCGAACTTGCATTCGCGCGGAAGAGGAAGTTCCGTCTGCCGGATATACGGATGATCTTTCGGAACATACAGGATGAGGAAAAAAGATGAAAACCCTTAAAAATCCCGAAAGATATAAGTTTAACAGAAAAGTGTTTCAGACAAAAGTTACAAGGCTCGAAACGATGTATTTACTGATCTTATTAATTTGACCTTGAGTGGCATTGCCAAGGTCAGATCAAGGTCAATTTATTTTTTTTAAACAGAAACCCCAATTTTTTATTGTATCATCTTTTTCTACCAATTAATTTAAATAACTTTTGTCTGAAACGTTATTTTATTTACCTAATATGTTTTGAGATATTTAAAGAAAAATTGATGACTTTTTCAATATTTAACTTATGATATCTCGCTAACTTTCATCAGAAGAAAAAATGATACTAGACCTTTTTACTCTATTTGGTCTCAGGAAGATATTGTTACAATTGTTCTCTAACTTTTGTTAACTTATTGACTTTGGAAATTTCAAAATCATCAAATTAATAAAAGTCAGAGTGCTATTGTAACAATATATTCTGGAGATCAAGTAGAATAAAAAAGTCTAATAGCATTTTTTCTCCCGACAAATAGTTGGCGAGATATCGTAAGTTAAATATTGAAAAAGTTTCCGAGTTTTCCTTAAATATCTCAAAAACTATTAGGCAAATAGAAAAATGTTTCAGACAAAAGTTGTTCAAATTAATTGGTAGAAAAAGGTGATATAATAAAAAATGAGAGTTTCTGTTTAAAAAAAATTAAGTTGACCTTGACCTGATCTTGGCAACGCCACTCAAGGTCAAACTGATAAGATCCGTAAATATATTGTTTCGAGCCTTATAACTTTTGTTTGAAACATTTTTCTATAAAACTTATATATTTCGAGATTTTTAAGAGTCTCCATCTTTTTCCTCACCCTATATGTCAGTTCATCGCATTTGTTCCCCGCGACGCTTGCCGACTGCGAAACGATCGGATGCCATCACTTTCAGAATGACGAATTCTCTCATGTACTTCTCGTTGTTGCAATTCTCGGCGACTTTTCGAAGCACGCTGCGCCGCGCGAGTAACGCTCTTACATCGTAATACGGACGGCGTGTATATATTGTTAATGTGTAATTAATTGTATATATACTATACTAGACGCGCTCGATGTGTGTGCAAATCTCGAGATTATATCGCCCGAGAAGAGAGAAGAGCGAGGGAGAGAAGAAAGACCGAAATACTCAATGCGAATGCGAGGAAGCGGAACGCGGACGGAGACATTTGCGCGCGACGTCGTTCCTCCTCGGCGAGATTTCTCGATCCGAGTGAGATACTCATGATAGCTTTACGTTCACAATACACGCAACCTGACAAAGTCTTTTCTCTCGCGATGAATTACCATCTGGAATGACTCGGGACGCTTCAACGCCCCGCGTCGTTTCGAATTTGGAATTTTTAGCTGTTTAAAAATCGAACAATGTAACCGCGAGATTCGTCCTACTCCTACTCCTCGTGTACTGTCATTCTGCGTAAAAGAAATGTGCTGTCTAAATAAATGAGAATAATAATTAACTGCTGGCCGAAGGATCAAAGATCTGACTTTCTTCCGCTACATATAGGCGGCGAGGACGATCATGGAAGAGCGGAAATGCAGTCGAGAAAAAGAGAGAAAGGAAGGAATGTGAAAGACTTACATCGAGAATCAGTCTAAGCTTCGCACTTCCACGATGGCCGGAAGCCAATGGGTTTCGCGTTGGCTGTAGCTCGAGAGTCGTTCAGCAGCTGCACTTCCGGGTAAACGGGCGTACGTGGTCTCTCCTGTCTCTCCAACGTCGTTACGTACGAGAGATCGCAGAGGTCGTACGACTGCGACGCGATGAACTTGGCGATGGTATTCTGCGACGGAGGAGGATCCCTCGTTGCCACGGAAGTGGCGGTCGATATTCGCAGCTTCTTCGGCGCACGCGGATGTTCCGATGGAGGTGCTTGTTTTGCCCCTGCCGCCGTGAGGATACTTCTCACTTCCTCGTTGATGTCAACCGGCGTCTCAACCCTCACGCTCTTCGTGTTGTGGTCCATTCGTACGAGCTATCGAGAGAACGATGTCTTTTTTGCTTCTTACAGACAGACTTAGAAACATGTTTTCTCTCGCCTTTGTGCAGTCTTCAGTAGAACGGTATGGATGATTACGAATTTCCCGACTTTACGAGAATTTTTCTCTCCTCGTGATTGTCTCGATGTAAGAAATATATTAAATTTAAAGATTCGAATTAGAATGGAGAGATATTTAGAATTACAGTTTTTCGAGGGAATCATATTAATATTTCGCGAATCGTACCTCGATCAATTCTTCTTCCAATCCGGAGTAACGTTGCAGCAACAGACCTACTTTCGAGCTAAGTTTTGTCAAGTGATCGGTAATAGACAATTCTTTGGCGATGTCTTCTTTCATCTATACGTGAACAAGCAAATTTTTATATTTATTGCATTATATCGTTCTTTGGTAATCGAAATAAATTGATTCAAGTACCTGATCCATTCCCGCGGATACCTTCGAGGTCATATAAGCAAGCGTCGCACGTGACTCGGAAATCTATCATTAATTATCAATTATCGTTAATTTCTCTTGTGCAGTAATAAAAGCTAAATATATTATTGATTCCATTTAAAGTAAAAAAAAACAAAGATTTAAATACGCATAATAATATTTAATAATATATAAAAATATATAAAATAATATATAAAAAATATTTCAATATTTATTGTACGCATTTAACAAGAGAAAAAATAACTTAATATATCATCATTTCACTTTCGCGCGAGACATGTTATACATTACGATCGTATTAAATCGCTCAGCTTCAGCCATGATCTGGTAGTGTTCTCTCAATGCTCGGAAAAACTGAAATAATAATATCATTTATATCCGTTTTAATTTTTCTTTAATTCTTAAAATATATTCACTGAGCCCTATCAGAAAAAACCTTTTCACTTACACGCTGACAGACGTACAACACGATGGTCGCATTTATCATTACAAATATCACGCTGTTAAACAATCGGTATATCAGATACATGTTTGTAAAAAAAGAAGAAAGGTTTGAACCAAAATACGAGATATTATAAAATATTAAGTCATGTATAATGTCCAAAAGCGATATATCAAAAATTTGTCCTTCCCGGCGTCTCTACCTAAACTTCCATTTGAAGCGCGAATAAACAAAGAAAGCACTTCCCTCTCTCTTTTTCGTTCCCGAATTACACCCGAGTACGGAAAGTGCAATGAGAGCGGTGCAAGAGCGGTGCAAGAGCCATTTCGATCCCAGCTGTTGGCAAGCTCAGCTTACGCGCGCGATAAAATCTCGCGTGGTTGGCGATGTTGCGCCAAGGTCCGTAAATAGAGGAACGGAACAAAGTTAGGTCCTCTCCACCGAGATATATACTAACTGGAACGAGCGCTAGGCTTGAAGCGCGAATAGAGAGAGAGAGAGAGAGAGAGAGAGAGAGAGAGAGAGAGAGAGAGAGAGAGAGAGAGAGAGAGAGCGTCACTGGGTCTTTAAAATAACACTGTGTCTTTATGTAATACAGTCCGAATCAAAAGCTAAATTGGTTTCTATATACATATCTATAAGCAGGGTCCGTTTGACGTTGCTCTTCTTTCACTCTTTCACTCTTTCACTTCTTTCATTCTTTACCTTCAGCGACTAACTTTTTTATTGACTGTACCTCATTATCCCCACTCTTGACGACACTGTAGGCCAGACAACACATACACAACACATAAGAGAATCAACCAATCAGAGTTCTTCATTTCTGTCCTGAAGAGGGAAATGAAGAAAACTAATTGGTTTATTCTCTTATGCGTTATATATTATGTGTTATGCAAAAGCCTGTGCTCTTGCCCACCCACTTCAGAGGGTTCGATTCGAAAATGGCGGCGACCGTGGCTCAGCTGATTAATCACATACCGATCAACTATTATTTTCGTTTTTTACAATTTTTTGTACTACAGTCGGCACTGTAATTGTTTTTCTCTTGAAAATTTTCACTGGTATTTTGGAATGTATTTAAACTATGTTTTGATTACTTCTGATTATATCTCTTCTGCCGAATAGCCGATTATTTTTGTAATAAACGACTGTGATTCGCCAATTCTTACGGCTTACAACTTACGACATGTATTATAGAATGACCTTAAGAAGTAAGTGTGAACAGGAAGAAATGGACCAACCACAGTTGATTATTTTTGTCATAATCGACTGTGATTGCTTTATTTCTTACCGCTTACGCTTACTTCTTAGGCCCCTTGCACAATGCCAGGCAACAAGTAATAAGAATAAAAATAGACCAATCACAATCGACTATTACAAGAATAATCTATTGTAATTGGTCTATTTTTATTCTTATTGCCTGTTGCCTGGCATTGTGCAAGGGGCTTTACTGCTCACTGCCATTGTAGACGACGCTATAGAAGTCTGTGGAGAGAACCTAACTTTGTTCCGTTCCTCTATTTACGGACCTTGTGTTGCGCGTCTGCAAGTACCGAATCGGGCCGCGAGCGCGCAGTGGTGAAGCACCGTGCGCGACAGTGCGTGCGTTCCGCCCGTGTTATCAGCAAAAATATGCAAAAGTATGAGAAGCTCGAGAAAATAGGAGAAGGTGAGCGCGATGTGACGTAGTGTGGCTTACGGTGACTGGCCGTGCGGTGTCTTCCACGTAGTCCGTGGCGTCGTGTGGCCTTTATCTCACGACGACGCGAATCGAGGAGGCGACTGCTGCGCGCCTCCGACACCTAGTGCCGCCTGTCTCCGCTGTCAAAACACGCACAACGTTACCGCCGATTTGTCACTCTCTCTCTCTCTCCATCCACCGCTTGTTTTCGTTGCAGGCACTTATGGCACCGTGTTCAAAGCCAAGAATCGCGAGACACACGAAATCGTCGCGCTCAAGCGAGTACGACTGGACGACGACGACGAAGTAGGTATTTTCTCTCGCGCGATTACCCTCTATTTTTTTCTTCTATCTGTTTTTCTCGCCGCTCTCTCTCTCTCTCTCTCCCCTCTTCTCTCTCTTTTCTCCTTCCTCGTCTTCACCTCGTGAGATCCCTTTCGTCGCAAGTCCCCCTGCTGTTGCGCGACACCGGCTTTCCGATTAATTTAATTAATCGATCGCTTGTGTTTTATTTATAACGCGCAACGCGTGTTGTACTCTCTTTCCTTCTTTCTATCTCTGTTGCTCACCCACTTCCTCTCTCGCTCTCGCTCGCTCTTTTTCTCTGTCTCTCTCTCTCTCTCTCTCGTGTTGTCGCATCGAAGATAATCGTTTGACCGAAGGCTGTCGCATACTCTCCTTTACTTAACGATAGATATCTGTTTTATCGTCGCTGATGATGTATTCATGTTGCTTTCCAAGGGTGTGCCGTCGTCGGCTCTGCGGGAGATCTGTCTTCTAAAGGAACTCAAACATAAGAATATAGTTCGTCTCTATGATGTGCTACACAGCGACAAGAAGCTCACCTTGGTGTTCGAGCACTGTGACCAGGATCTCAAGAAGTACTTCGATAGTCTCAATGGAGAGATCGATCTAGACATCGTTAAATCATTCCTGTAAGATGTTTACTTTAAGAAACACAATTTACATCCATGCAGAAAGCTAGTATCATATATTTACTCTTGTCCTTAGATATCAATTGTTAAGAGGACTGGCATTTTGCCACAGTCGAAATGTTCTGCACAGGGATCTTAAACCGCAAAACTTACTCATCAACAAGGTGAATATACAGTTATATATATTTTTATGTTTGTATCTGGTGCATTATCATATTCTTGGTTATTAGAGAAAGAGAAAAATTGTCATTGTACACACAATCTTGTCCATTATATTGATTGAGAAACTTTGCAGAACGGGGAGTTGAAACTCGCTGATTTCGGATTGGCAAGAGCGTTTGGTATCCCTGTAAAATGTTATTCAGCAGAAGTAGTTACATTGTGGTACCGTCCCCCGGATGTTCTTTTCGGAGCAAAATTGTATACAACATCCATTGATATGTGGAGCGCGGGCTGCATATTCGCTGGTAATCATTTGCCAAAGCTACTTTCCTAAGTAATTGGAATAAATTTTTGTAAAGTATATTTTTAGTCTACAGAGTGGACGAAATGTTTGATATACAAGATGAGCAAAATATCTCGAAAAATGTGTTTTATAGAAAACTACTTCAGATAAAAATTGTAAGGTTTAAAAAGATCTATTTACTGATTTTATCAACTTGATTTTAGGTGACGTCGCCAAGATCAGAACAAGGTTACCTTGAATTTTTTAAAGGGAATTTTATTATATATTCCTATTTTTTATTATATATTCTTCTAGACCGTCTTCAGAACACCTCTTCAAAACACTTTTATCTACTTTGAGTAAGCTGTTTCAAATTTATCAAGTAGTAAAATGTCTAACTCACAAAGATAAGATCAGGAAATGATTTAGTCAACAAAGACAAGATCGGAAAATGATCCAGTCAACGAAAACCAAATCGATAATCATCCTACTAATTAAAGCAAGATTTAGATGATTCAATTTACTATGCATTCTTACATGATTCAGATTACTCTGCATTCTCTAAGCGTACGAATCCGTTAGCTCGAACGAACTAATGAACTAACGAACTAATGACCTGATTCGAGTCATCGCAGTGCCTATTTATTTGCGATATTGTAAGATTTTTCTTCACAATTCCATATTTTTAATCGAGATATTGTTGCATTAAGCACTTGATTTATTTAAGCTGTGTTAAATCTTTGTTGTATTAACTATTTTTCTGGTCGATTTTTACTTTTTAAGTTCATTTATTAGTCGGACAATTATCGATTTTACTTTCGTTGTATCATCCTCCGAGCTTGCCTCCGTGTAGGCTGGACATTTTATCATAAAAAAGCTCGATAATTTCAAAACGGCTTACTTAAAGTGGATAAAATTATAAGAGCTTTGAAAAAATCTGAAGAAGGGGGAGAATATGCAATAAAAAATAAGGGGTTCTATTTAAAAAATTCAAAGTAACCTTGTCCTAACCTTGATGACGCCACGCAGGGTCAAACTAATAAAATTCGTAAATAGATCTTTTCAAACCCTACAACTTTGATCTGAAACGGTTTTTTATAAAACTTATATTTTCCGAGATATTTCGGGGTTCTGTATTTTTTCTTATCCTGCATACATTCTTGTCGATTTCCATGAGGAAAAAGTTTGACTTGAAACAAGTTCTTCATCAAAACAAGTTTCTTCAACAATATATTCAATCCTATTGTAAAGCGTAGAAATAAAATATCGGCGTGACGCTTCTCTCTCGATAACACGTTGCAGAACTGGCGAATGCCGGCAGACCGCTCTTTCCCGGATCGGATGTAGATGATCAACTGAAAAGAATATTTAAGATGTTGGGCACACCAAACGAGGAGACTTGGCCGGACTTGACAACGCTACCCGACTACAAGCCCTTCCCGCAATACCATCCCACGCAAGGACTGGCACAAGTTACGCCCAAACTCAGTTCAAGAGGCAAAGACTTACTCCAGGTGAATGATAAATCGTAAATACGTTTATTCTCGCACTTATTGTCACGAAAGGAGAAATGCGAGATACAAATGCGACTATCTCTAAAACACGCGTCGAACGCATGGTAAAACGCATGGAAAATATAAATATATTATCAAAACAATAGACGCAGTAGATCTTACGAAGCGAAACTTCTCGGTGTCGATGATGTTAAATCTACAACGATCGAAGCAAACGAAGAAGAATATAAAATAAAACTATATAACAGGGACTAGCTAGCGCGCGCTTAAGAATATATCATCTAAGATACATAAATATCTACTCGGTAAATAATAAGAAAAAAATATTGTCTTAATTATGTAATACAATTTACCGTACGTACAAAAATAGTCTCAAAATATTGATTTAAGATTCTCGACGTAGAAAGACTATGAGCGCCGTAAGCGAGAAGTCCGCAACAACGAAAGATAAAATAAAACTAAAAAATTCATCATCTCTGAAGATACGGCGCTTACGAGTCCCTTCTTTTGTTTTGTATAAATACGCCGAAACTATATCATTAACGTTTGACAATACTCAATTAATTTACAGAGATTATTAGTGTGCAATCCGGCCCTACGGCTGTCGGCGGAGGAAGCGATGGCGCATCCATACTTCAACGATTTAAACCCTGCCATGAAGAACGACCGATGCCAATAGCGAATTCCTATTAACTTAGACCGACTGAAAGCATTACGGCACTTACGGCGCTCACGGCGCAGCGATCAAAATGGAAAAGAAAATACTCCGGCAAGGATCGTTTGTTAATATATACATATAATTACGAGCTCGATGCGACACGATGATCGCTCCTGCGAGAAGAGACATGAACAGAGAGATATAGAGAACGCCGAATTTTTTATCGAGAGAAAATCAGTGAATCGTGAATTTTACCTCGTTGATAAACTCATACCGGAACTAAAAAGAAAGCGGAAAAACATCGCGTTCAACGGAAAAGAATGACAACACACGTTGTTATTCGCAATTGAAATCACGAATGGCACGTATGGTGATGTTTACGTGAAATTCAGTAGGATTTTAAGCGCGATTTATTTATTAAATAATTGTGATATCAATAAACTGATATCTTAAATAAGCTTTAAGTTAACGATGTTATCTTGACGACGCGTCCTTTACATCGCGTCGAAATGGAACTTGTGTGCTTCCTGCAACTTCTCGATTTTGTCCTCCCTTCTCTCCTTCCAGTAGAGACCCAGGATGATGGCCGTGATCAGAACGCAAGTGGCACCCAGAGCGGCCGCGCTCAATAGGATCAGCTTGCTGGGAGTCACGAACAGTTGGGCCTTCCATCTAGACGGTTCAGCGATTGGATTCGGTATCACAACCATCTGGGAGTTTGGAATAATCTGCGGCCATTCGCGCGACTTGCCGCCGACCTAAGGAAGAAGCGAAAAAGTTTGTTCGAATTTCTGATAAAATTTTTGACGACGATGTCGTTAAAAATTGTGGAACGGACTTATAATTTGTGATATAGAAATTAGAAAAAAAAAAGGTTGAAGGTTAAGAAGAGACGAACTTCCTTCTTTTACGTATATACATACCCCTATCGTAAGAGCGTCGACAAAGTTTGGTGTTCTGCCTAAACCGAAGGTGGTATATGGCAGATTGAGTGAGAAATGTGCGCTCTGCGGTAACTGCGCGGCGATTGCATTGCGAGGACTGCCGTCCTGCGTAGTAGTCCTGTAAGCAATCGACGGCCCCGGTAGATTAGTGCCGTATGTCCTCTTCTTTTTGCCGAGCGACCCCGGCGAGATGGGATACATGCTGTTGGTGCGACCTGTTAGCACCATGACCTTGACGAAATTCGCGTCGTAATCGAGACTGTTCTTGAATGCTGCGGTGCGGTACATTTTGCTGTTTTGTTTCTTCTGAAGGCCTACCAGGATCGCGTCTAAAATGCCATCCTGGTAAAAGTCATAGAACACTGCCATCGCACTCTCGTTGTAGAACGGGTTCAATGCCTGCCACTTGACCTCATAGGTGCGATTGTAACCGGCACAGTTGTTGCATGCCACATTCTGCAACAAGAAAGACTGTACGTGCTCGCCATTGGAATGCTGCAGCGTTGCCAAGAGATCTGGATAGCCGTCCATGTTAAAGTCTCCACCGCGAAGAGTGATGGTCTCTGTATAACGATGGCCATCTGGTTTTACAAAGCCCCATTGCACGTTGTTCGAGTCACGGAAGTTCACCCGTAGATTATGCCAGCCATTGGAATACATCATAATTGTACAATTGCCACAACTCGAATCGAAACACAGTGGCAGTAGCAGACTCATCTTGCCGGTCAACTCGACGTCTAAATAGAGAGTCTGCCCGATCTCCCCCTTGAAGTTCCTGTCGACGGTAATGTTATATGGCAGGTCGATTTCATAAGAATAATCAAAACCTTGCTCAGTACCCATCCATATCTCAAATGACGTCCTTGTAGTCACCACAAGGTCTGGCAAGAAATCACTGTTTAAATCTAGGAAGGCATTGGAGTGTGGACTTCTCACAGGTTCCAGTCGTTTTGGCCCAAGCATTGGGATGGCATGTGGAGCAGTTCTATTTTGATTGAACACCCAGAATGTCCTGTTGCCATTCTTGTCTACTCCAAAAAGATCAATTATCATGTCACGATTGTAGTCTAATGCCAATGGCTGATCATGCATCTCTATCAATGGATTCCACTCATTGCTGCAGTTCAGATGACCATTTCCACCCCACAGTATATGCACGAATGTCACATGGTGCTTCTTACTGTAGGTTGTCACCAGGATATCCATGAAAACATCGCCATCAAAATCGCCGGGTACAACACTGGTTACATGTTGGTCCTTGAACGAGCAATTGAGGTTCTGTCCGGGTCGCAGCAGCGGCTCTTGATCAGCGGCGAGAAATATCTCTACCATGGTACCATTCTCGCGCAGCATGAAAACATCTGTCAACTCGTCGGAATTAAAATCGCCGAAGGCAGCTGGCATGCCATCAAGTACGTTTCCAAAAACAGCAGACGTTATGTCGCTACATCTCGCTGCGGAGATGAGCAAAATGAGGGAAACGAATGTTCGTACTAAATGCATTGTTTACATGTCACCGAACATAATCTACAACAATACATATAACCATGAGTAATCTCCGTAATCCTATCAAAATAATTATTTTAACCTATATATGCATGAAAAACAATGTCTTGATCATAAGTTTATAATTGTAATGTGATAGAAAAATGACATTTCTTCATGCGAATCTTTACCTATAACCTAAAAATAGTACGAAATACTGTCAACGTATAAAACAGAGCAATGAAAGTACATACATGCTTCTCGATGTGAAAATGTTACACTTGTAAATTTCGATGCGCAATGCTACGATTTGATATCATGTATTATAAATACTTAATTATTTTATAAATATACATACGTTATGCAACACTGACACTCTGTCACTACTGCATCTGACAGCTCATGCATTGTACAACGTAAGTCAAGCGTGTGATGTACAATCCGTGTGCTGAGCATCTACAGGGTGTTTGATAGCTGATCATGCAGACGAAAGTTGGAGATAGATTGGGTGTAGTCGAAAAGAAAAGTCATGTACCATAATGTCAAATTGGCAATAGTTATCGAGTTATTAATTAAAACATGTGAGCCAACGAGCGCGTAGAGAGCGGAGGGCGGCCGCAGTAAGCACGTAGACATTTGATACAGGTGGAGTCAGTGAGTGTCGGTAGGCAAGCGCGCGCGGCGAGGGGTAACGTAAGCGACAAGAGGCGATCGCGCGCGACGAGGAGCGAGCGAGCTTTTTCTTTATAGCTTTTTCCTTATAGCTTGCTCGCTCCTCGTCGTTCGCGCTCGCTCGTTCTTCGTCGCGCTCGCTCGCCTCTTGTCGCTTGCGCTCGCTCGCTCCTCGTCGTTCGCGCTTGCTCGCTTCTCGTCGCGCGCGATCGCCTCTCCTACCGTCACTCGCTGACTCCGCCTGTATCAAATATCTATGTGCTTACTGTGGTCGCCCTCCGCTCTCCACGTGCTCGTTGGCTCACATGTTTTAATTAATAACTCGATAACTATTGCCAATTTGACATTATGGTACATGACTTTTCTTCTCGGCTACACCCAATCTATCTCCAACTTTCGTCTGCATGATCAGCTATCAAACACCCTATATATAATATGTATATATTTATTTACTTATTTATTATATTTTTTATTTTATTGACTTTATGTTCTCACTCGTCTCATTTATTTTGTTATACGCACTTTATGTTTTCACTTGTCATTTTTATTTAATATTATAAAGTATTTTATATTTTATAATTTGACGATACGTAATATTTGACACGTGCGTACATCTGTCAAAAAGTTTGCGCAAACTAATACCTTAGGACTTAAACAATATTACTAACCTTTAGGAATTAAAACTATGTGGTCTAGAAGTTTTCATTGATACCAACCTTGTCTCCGCCATTTTTCGGGAAATTGTCGCGTTACCCGCTCTCAGCTTCCTCTCTGCTGGTACTGGCATGGATTCTGGAACGCAGCCATAGTCTATGGGCAAGAGCACAGGCTTTACACATAATACATAACACATAAGAGAATAAACCAATGGCCGCATTCAGTAGACTCAACAGTTGGACAACATTACTAGATTTTCCACTGAATCTCGCTCCTGATTGGTAAATACTTCTGGGTCTATGAAGAATCTAAAAGAATGCTCCAATCACAGACAATAATCACTAAGCGCTCTCTGATTACTTTGTTCTACTGAACGCGGCCAATGGCTGCATTCAGCAGACTCAACAGTTGGACAACATTACTAGATTTTCCACTGAATCTCGCTCCCAGACAATAATCACTAAGGCCCAGTTCCACAACTTACTGTAAACGAAGTTTAACTCGTTAACCCTGGTTTAGACGAAAAATTGCGTTCCACAACTGCCTTAAACCATGGTTAACGTTGATTTTTCACAGTTAAAGTTAAACCCACAGTTAAAGTTAAATTTATTAAACGCCAATTTGGGCGTTTAATGAATTTAAACGAAGTTTAACACTGCAGTACCATCAATTTGAGAAAAAAATGTATGACTATCCCGGTTTTGGAGTTCAGTTGACAAATATTTTGAATGTTTGAACACCAAAGAGATATGGCATTAGAATACATATTATCTTCATCTAAAGATGAAGATTTTAAAAACCTAATTTATCGACGGACAAGAAATACAAGAATAAGACGACCATCATATTTGGAAGAATTTGATAATGTCGATTTTCATGCACGATTTAGATTATTAAAAGAATCTGTTATTGCAGTTCTAGCAGAAATCGAGCATGAAATTTCTCATAAAACAGAACAGTAAGTATATAAATTTAATTTAAAATATTGGGTTTTTTGCTTCGATAGATTATATTCTAAAACAGAGTATGAAACTATATATAAAAGTAAATTATTATATGATAAATGCAATCAAATCAATAATATAAACTAATTGATTATTATTAACACTGGACTTCCACCTTTTAATAAATTAATACTTATATGCAAATATTAATGTTAATGTTGGTTAGTGTTTACTTCATACGAAACAGATATATTGTTCTCTACTAGATGTCATAGCATCCACTTATTTCAATTTTCCCTCTTTTCACTATTAGCAACCAATCATATTCTACGTTTGAAAAGAAAGAGAAGTCTTTGACAGTTTCTTCATACAGACTATAGGTTTAAGTAAACTACAGTTAAAAACATGATGTGGAACGCGATATAAGTTTAACCATACCGTTAAATGTAACGTCAGTTCAAATAATCACGGTTTAAACTTGATTTTGTGGAACTGGGCCTAAGCGCTCTCTGATCACTTTGTTCTACTGAACGCGGCCAATTAGTTTTCTTCATTTCCCTCCTCAGGACAGAAATGAAGAACTCTGATTGGTTAATTCTCTTATGCGTTGTGTATTATGCGTTATGTAGAAGTTTGTGCTCTGGCCCTTAAAGTTTGTCTAACAACTTTATAGGTTAAGACATTTCAAGAGAAAGATAACCTAGTAAAAAAATGGGCGTGAACTATCGTTGACAACTTATTATTGACAACTTAATATGAAACATTAAGAATATGACGCTGATTTATTTTGAACATAATTATTATTGAATTTTTGAGAAGATCGATTGTTGCTTTTAAATGTAATACAAGACAAGTATGCTTCCAAAACTTGGCTTCTTATTATTGTTTATATGCATAGCATGTGTCTTGTTTGTTGTATTCACGGAGAAAGATTTACGATCTCAGAAGAAAAATATAGTTTCTAGTCAAGCAACAATCAAGGTAACTGGAAAATCATCAGGCAATATCAAACTCATATTTAAACCACTTTGCAATGCTACTTTGCTGGCATGGATTGTCACATCATATGCTGGTAATCCTTCAGCTAGAAGTGCTTTACGACGAGCATATACAAATGAAGAATTACAAACTTTGGGAATCAGAAGAGTATTTCTACTCGGTATGTTGGACAATAATACCGAGAGGAAGAGTCATGTATCACAGAATGCATTGTTAGATGAATCACGACGATTCAATGATATACTCCAAGGAGACTTTGTGGATGCTTATAGAAATTTGACTTATAAACATCTAATGGGTCTTCGATGGGCAGTGAACAATTGCAAACATGTTCAATATATCATAAAGATGGATGATGATATTGTTATAAATATATATGATATATTGGATAAATTACATGATATAGTAGATGAGAATTCCTTAACTGGTTATGCTTTAAAGAATATGATTCCTGTGCGAGTAGTAGTTAACAAGTGGTATGTAAATGAAATAGAATATGCAGATAATACTTATCCAGATTTTGTTTCTGGTTGGATGTATATTGCACATCCAAAAATAGCAAGTCGGCTGATTGATTATGCTGAGTCATCTAATAAATATTTCTGGATAGATGATGTATTTGTGACTGGTATCTTAAGACAAGCTTTAAACATTAAGATTCAAGATATTAGTGAATTATATACGACAGATTATAGATATTTGGAATGTTGTATGAAAGGAAGAAAGAGTTTGTTGAAATGTGAATTCTTGGTTGGTCCCAATGGGGGAGATATAGAAATGCAAGTAAAATTCAAGAAATTTGCCCAGTTCTGCCATATAAATTGTTCTATTCGTGCCAAGACTAATCTTGTGAGTAAAACTTGCGTAACAGCTTATAAAGAACCAAATCTGCATGAAGGTATCGTCCAAATAAATAATATCAGCATTTTATAAATAGCTCAATAAGTAAATAAATCAAATATAATTTTATTAAGAGTATTTTTATATATCCTATTTATAAATTGTATACAAGATTTATACAATATTTTACAAGATTTCACACATATATTTATGTATACAACATATATGTATATACACATATATATACATATACAAACATGTGTGTGTAAAATACATCATACATCATATAAAGTTTGAAAATAAAACACTGTTGACTTTATTCCGTCCTTATCCATATAGCAGTAAAGCATACAAAGTTATTATAATACTTCTTAATTTGGCTCCTGATGGTAAACAGTAGTACTACTCATACAATATCAATTTTATTGAATTAGATATTGCATAGAAATAAACTGCTTTTACCAATGTATGCTACAATGCTAGAATTTTAATAATCGAAACAAATTTTTGTCAAAAAGTTATAATTGAAAAATAAAATAATTTGGTATACTTTTGAATATTATGCAATACAAGTGAACGTTATATCAAATCTACAATCGAACAAAAAATAAAAAGTTGGCCATAAATGGAAATTATCAATAAATTAATAACATAATTTATATATTATGTCATATATATATATATTATGATATATATATATCAGCTTACAAATAATATTTGTAAGCTGATTTTCCTTCTGATCGAAAATGACAATCTAAGATATGATATAGCGAGAAATTATATTTCAGAGTGGCGATTTTTTTCGCGGTAATTGAAAAGTAGCACCTATACTCAAATGGTCACTACCTACTACAAAATTTGGTATAGTTGGTAACATAGCGCACTGGTTCACAGTAGGTAATATATATTTTTCTGTAAGTTGTATATTGCTGTAAAATATATAGTCAACTGTGATCCATTCACCCTGATGCGTCGTTGCTTCCATTTCACCTTTAGCATCAACATGAGTATAAACACTATGCATATTAAAAGGATGCGTTAAAACACCAGATGAGAATTTCACAGAACATCCCTTTACTATCTCGATGACCTGTGTACAGCTAGTATTGACATTCACGCCACTCGTACTACAAGATGAATGCACACTTTCATCTGTTTTCTGAAATGGCAATTCACTATTTTCCAGCTAGAAATAATTTGAAGAAATGGTTCAGATTATTTGAATAAAGTTATTTTCGAAAACGAAAAGTTATAATCAATTATCGCATAACAACGTTGCGTCATGGTATATTAAATAAATTTTCATCTTGATTTTTTCTATCTTAGAAAAACAGAACTATCCAACTGTGATCCAACCATAGTATCCTTAATTAATAAATACATACCATAACTCTACCACTGCCTTCTTTTCGCAATCTCTTGGTTAAGATGTTGAAGTGCTGACAATTATCGGTGACGCATAATCGTGGTGGTATCAAGGAGTTTGGTAGAGAGTGATATTGACCTGGCTCTAAAGTCCGTCCTTTGCCATAGTATTCAAATGAACCTTCCGTCAAGAATTTGTAAACGGCCGAGAAGGGCGTCAAGTTGAAGTCACCTGCCAGTATGATTGGTAAATACCTTGGACCAGTTCTGTAAGATATAGAAAAAAATATATATGAATATGATGTCAAAAGAACAGTGATGTGTAACATGACGGCTGATCGACAGAGATGACGCCTCTCACATCCCATGGTCAATCTCCTGCTTCATCTCCGAGTGACACTGCTAATCCTCATGGAAGACTGGGTAACCAACCCTGGTGGGAAATAAGGAAACAGAGAAGCAAGGTGATCTGGTCCTCCGAGAGGGAGTTGAGCGCGAGGTTAATCACCCAGCCTCAAAAAACTCATGATTACGAAAGCTAAACAGACGCCTCGGATAGGAAAGAGATCAGGTTTACGATCTGGCAAGCAAAACAGGCACAATGATAGGATTTTTTACTTGGAACGTCAGCTCTCAGATATTCTAACAACGTACAGAGCCGATATAACCGCAATACAGGGAATAAGACAAACAGCTGTATCCTCCACAAAAACAACTTTGACATCTACTATAGCTGCAACAAGAAAAACCACACCTTGGGAGTAGGTTTTACGGTTGGCCAAATATTAAAGCCCGTTACTCACGCTACAATCTGCAGGGTCCGATTTGCAGGATGGTTAGGAGGGGATAAATCTTCACACGATCCAATCTATTTTAGTTGACTGGCTCGACTGCTGTGCAAAGGCGTGTTTTTAGCACGTTACAATCGCAAGGCAAATGCAAGAAATGCCAAAAAAAATCGGCCGGATCGGCTCGATCGTCCTACACACGATCAAACTTGCAGAGTGTTGGAGTGGGGAGTTGGGAGATCGTGTGATCGTTCCGTCCAACCGCCCGATATCGGAATCAGTAGTTTCGACAAACCTACATCTACACACCGCCCGATCTGCAGGGTCTCTGCAAATCGGATCCTGCAGATTGTAGCGTGAATAGCCCGCTTAAGACAACAAATTATAGATTGGAAGCCAGTGAAACAAAGAATGTGCGTAATACGTATCAAGGGCAAATTTCACAACATCAATCTAATCAACACACACGCACCAACGGAGGAAAAAGATGGAAATGAAGAGGATACCTTCTACGACACACTAGAAAGAGCCTATGACAACTGCCCGCGGAACAATATAAGAGTAATAGCTGGAGACTGAACGCAAAAATAGGGCGCGAAGAATTCCACCAACACCAAACAGGGAAGCACAGTCTACATGTTAAAAGCAACGAAAACGGCCTCAGAGTTATTAACTTCGCGGCAAGCAAAAATATGGTAGTGGGTAGTACCATGTTCCCAAGAAAGGACATTTATAAATACACATGGATCTCGCCAGATCAGGAAACGCGTAAACAAATCGACCATATCTTGATTGATGCACGGTACACCTCGAACCTGATGCAAGTAAGAACTATGAGAGGGGCGAACATCGACTCTGACTACCACCTAATCAAGGCAACAATAAGAGTACGCATCTCTGCCACCAGGACTCAACAAACCACAGGAGAGAGAAGGATAAATCTAGATGTCCTAAAAAACGAAGACTTAGCTCATAAATACTCACAAGGGGTCAAGCAATTACTGGAGACAACTGAAAAGCAAAGTAAGAACCAAACTGCCGAGCAGAAATGGAGCATATGCGCGGAAACCTTAAAAACGGCTGCAGAAAACACGCTAAGGACTCAAAAAAACAATAAATTGAGGGACTGGTTCAATGAGGAATGCAAGGAGCGACACATAAGAAGAACCAGATATGTATACCAGGTATGTAAATATGAAACCAGAATTTTTGTATAGAAAATACACGTTTATTGTATGAAAATGATAAAAAATATTTTTTTCGAAGTATTGCCCATCGCTAGCTATACATTTTTACCATCTGTCTGACAATTTGTGGATGCCACGCCAAAAAAACTGTTGCTCTTTTGAGGCAAACCAGTCATCGAGCCATTTTCGTATATTTTCGTAAGAAGTGAAGCGCTGCTCAGCAAGTGCGTGTCCCATCGATGCAAATAAGTAGTAATTGGACGGAGCCAAGTCTGGTGAGTAAGCCGCATGCGAAAGTATTTCCCAACTAAACGCCTCAATCGTTTCCTTGACCAGTTTTGCCACCAGTGTGTGATGCTGCATTATTAAGAAGCAAAATCACTTTGTGTTGCCTTTTTTGATATTCTGGTCGTTTTTCACGCAAAGCTTGATTTAAATAGATCATTTGTTGTCGGTAGCGTTCAGTATGAACGGTTTCGCCAGGTTTTAGTAGCTCATAATAGATCACATCCTTCTGATCCCACCAAATATAGAGCATTGTCTTCCGTCCATAGCGATTTGGTCTTGCAGTCGATGTCGATGGTTCGCCTGGAGTTACCCATGATCTTTTACGCTTAGGATTCTCAAAATATATCCACTTTTCATCGCCAGTCACAATTCGATGGAGAAATGACTTTCTTTTGTACCTGGCGAGCAGCATTTCGCAAGTGGTTTCTCGGTTTTCCTGCTATCTTTCATTCAGTTCATGTGGAACCCATTTTCCCATCTTCTGGATCTTTCCCATGGCTTTCAAACGTATGGAGACGGCTTCTCGTGTCACATTTAATTGATCCGCGAGTTGTTGTTGCGTTTGAACGTCATCCTCATCCAACAATGCTTACAATTCGCTGTCTTCAAACTTTTTCGGTGGTCTTCCACGTTCTTCGTTTCTCACGTCAAAATCGCCACGTTTGAATTTTTTAAACCACTCAAAGCACTGTGATTTACCAAGAGTATGCTCACCGTAAGCTTCGACAAGCATTCGATGCGATTCTGCAGCAGTTTTCTTCAAATGATAACAGAAAATCAATGCTGTCCGTAAATCGTAGCTTCCAGGCACAAAATTCGACATGTTCAACGCTATTACAAACTATACTGTTGTATGAAACTTGTATTGTTGTGAGTTGGAAATCTTTGTCAGATGTCAACAAATGGAAATGGCGCCAATGACGCGGTTTGACGGTAACTACATTGACAGCTAGGGCAATCTATGGGCAAATTCCGCTTTCATATTTACAGACCTGGTATATAAAAATACAAGGGCCGTGTTCCAAAATTAACTGCCAGTACTAAAAATATATAGTTTGTGTCACGCAAACTATAACTTTCCAGCGCTGGTAGTGAATTTTGGAACATGGCCAAGGTAGGAAAACCCGAGCCCTAGTGGAAAAATATAAAGAACTGAGAAGAAATGAAAAGCACATCCACAAGATGAGGAAGAGAGAGCATAATAACAAAATATTCGAAGAACTAGAAACCCTGCGCAGCCAGCAAGAGGCTAGGAAATTCTACCAAAAGATCAATAACGGTAGGAAGGAATTCAAACTCAGAACGATTATGGTCAGAGACAGCGAAGGCAGCATAGTGAGCGGCAAGAAAGATATCTTGCAAAGATGGAAAGAATATTTTGCAGAGTCTCTAAACGATACAAATAACAACACTGTCGTACAAAATAACAAGAATCGCCAAATGAACAAAATACAACGTCGGACGAAAAAGATACAACATCGGACGAACCATCAACAATGAAAGAAGTTCAAGAAGCAATAAAGAAGCTAAGAAACAACAAGAGCCCCGGAGAGGACACCATCCAAGCCGAATTAATCAAATCAACGAGATGGGCCGCATCCTGAATCCATGGAATCATAGTGGATATATAGAATCAGGAAGAGATACCGGAAGAGATGGGGGTCGGCATGATGTGTCCTCTTCACAAGAAGGGAGACCAACTAGAGTGCAAAAATTACAGAGGCATAATGCTTCTTAACGCTATATATAAAATACTGTCTAATGTACTACTAGAAAGACTACGCCCCTATGCAGAGAAATACATAGAAACATATCAGGCTAAATTCCGATGAGGAAAATCAACAATCGACCAGGTCACACTGAGTGCGTTCAGCGGAGAAAACCGCTCAGTGAGCAATTAGTGACTATTGGTCCTTACTGTTAGATCCTTACATTCAGACCAATAACGTTCACGAATTACTCAACAGTTGCGCAACTGTTAAGTGTCGTGAACGCACCCACTGCGTCAAATACTAGAAAAAAACAAGGGAATATAATATAGACACCTATCATCTATTCATCGACTTCCGATTCGCATACGACAGCGTGATAAGAAATAAATTATATCAAACAATGAGCGACCTTCAGATCCCTCCGAAAATAATTAGAATGGTAAAAGCAGCAATGGCCAAAACAACATGCAAAGTAAAAGTCCAGAACGAATTATCAGAAGCCTTTGAGACAACTAGAGAGGTGAGACAGAATGACGGACTGGCGTGTCTCTTGTTTAACATAGCCCTGAAAATAGCAATAAGGAACTCGGGAGTTCACAGGGAAAACACAATCCTCTACAAGTCAAGCCAACTCCTGGCATACGTAGATATGACATAGATATCATAACAAGATTGATCAACGAGCTCAAGCAGGTATTCCGCAAAATCGAAAGAGCTGCCAGGGACATGGGCCTCGAAATAAATAAGGAAAAGAAAAAAATACTCGTCTCTACGACCTCCAAGACAAGAAAAACCAGAACAGGCCCAATGGTAATAGATTACAACTTTGAGGTAGTCAACACCTTCAAATATCTAGGCACGAGCATAAACAACGAAATCAATATTAGCTCGAAAATAAACCAGAAAGTTATAGCGGCATCCAAATGTATGTACCCATGGACTCAACGCTCACCTGAGAAGCCCGCTCGTCGACAAAAAAACTAAAATCCAAATCTACAGAACACTGATCAAACCAGTCCTTACATACGCGTGCGAGACGTAGATACTGAGCAAAAAGGACGAAAACGTCCTATGCATATTCAGACATATAAAGGAGGATACTTCGAAGAATCTTTGGAAGAATCAACATAAATGGAACACGGCGGAGAAGATACAATGACGAACTATATGAATTATATAAATACCCTGATATCACAACCTACATAACGATTCAAAGGCTCAGATGGGCCGGGCACATATAGACAATAACCAGGAACTACCCTTCGAGACAAATCATGTGCGGCGGAATGTTCGGAGATCGACAGCGGGGTAGACCGAGGCTGAGATGGTTGAACGACATGAACCGGGACACAGCCGCCATCGGAGCTAAGAACTGGAGGACTGTGTCTCTGGCAGGACAGCTTGGAGGCGAAAGTTGAAGCAGGCACTGCCCCACAAAGGGCTGTTTCGCCATTGTTGATTGATATATAAATATATCAATGTTTCACGTTATTGTGAAAAGTTTTCATATTTATTTACTTACAAAAAAATTAATTACAATCACACACACAATCCTAAATTACTAATTATAAATCGAAAACTATCAATCAACAATATGACTTAGAAATTTCATGAAGATTTTCATCTGTAATCAAAATCTAAAGCATGCTTCTTTGTTACAAATATCAACTATGCATAATACTATATGTACTTGTATTACTACTTCTATAAAAATCATTGAACGTGATTGCAGAATTTATTAATGCGTGTACTCACTGTGTGTTTTCAATAAATGCGATCCGCTCTATTTCTGCTAAGAGAAGCTGTGTCTGCGCTAGTCGTACATCGTTGCGCCTTGGATTATATAATAGATGAGTAGTAGCAACCACAATTTGTGTCTCCGGGTTGTCTCTGAGGGACAATTTAGCAATTATTCCAACGTTGTCTCTATTTAAGACCTCGATGCCGGATTGATGTAACTCCACCTTTGCATAATCTAGCAAAGTAAACTGATCACCACGATATAACAAGAGCAGACCATCTTTTTTATCGTTTGTTCTTTTCTTATACAAATATTCATATCCAAGTTCTAGAAATGGAGCCACAAAGTCTAGTAGATGGTCCTTTAGCACTTCTTGAAGGCATATTATCTATAATAATAATAATATTTAACATTAGATTATATTAGACATTTGGTTTGCTCTTGTGCCTCAGATTTTGAAGAACAATGAGTAAAAAGATCTTGGCCCATCGTGGAGAACGAACAAAACACATCATTTCTATAGGATTTTTACCTACTGGACACGATGCCGTCGTTAGTTTCCCTCTAAACCCCGGGAAACATATTCAAATCCGAGGATTTATCATCCAATAATCGAATGGTCTGGGAAACCTTTGCGTAAACTTTGAAGCTATTGCAAACTGGTGTATTAGTTAAATTAGCTTAAGACAGTTTAAATTTTTGATTTAAAAATATTTTCGATTTAATAGTTGAAGATGTTCTCTTTTTATGCAAAATTGGCTAACAAATAATATATACGATGTCACAGATTACCTGTATCACTCGACTTTTTAATAAACGCGATATTTTAGAGAAAAATGTTTCAGACAAACGTTATATGGTTTCAAAGAGAACATATAACAACTATATCATTTTGTTTATATATAGCGCCATTTTCGAGATATTTACTGATCATTACTTTTTTTAAACGGAAATTCTAATTTTTTATTATATCATCTTTTTCTACAATTAATTTTATCAACTTTTGTCTGAAACATTTTTTTATTTGCTTAATATTTTTTTAGATATTTAAGGAAAACTTGGTAACTTTTCAATTTAATTTACGATATCTCGCTGTTTATCGGAAGAAAAAATGATACTAGACTTTTTTACTCTATTTCGTCTCAAGAATATATTGTTACAATAGCGCCCTAACTTTTGTTAATTTCATAATTTTGAAATTTCCAAAAGTCGATAAGTTAACAAAAGGTAGGACATTATTATAACAACACATTCTTGAGATCAAATAGAGTAAAAATGTCTAATATTATTGTTTCTTCCGACAAACAATTAGCGAGATATCACAAGTTAAATATTGAAAATGTTACTGAATTTTTCCCAAATATCCAAAAATATCAAGCAAATAAAAAATTTCAGACAAAAGTTGTTGAAATTAATTGGTAGAAAAAGTTGATATAATAAAAAATTGGGGTTTATGTTTAAAAAAAATAATAATCAGTGAATATCTCGAAAATGACTTCATCTGTAAACAAAATGATATAGTTATTTTATGTCCCTCTTGAAACCATACAATCTTTGTCTGAAAACATTTTCCTCTAAAATGTCACATTTACAAAAAAATCAAATCATATGGGTGATCTGTGACATCATGTATATTATTTGTTAGCAAATTTCGCATAAAAAGGCAACACCTTCAACTATTAAATCAATAATATTTCTAAATCAAAGATCTAAACTGTCTTCAGCTAATTTAGCTAATACACAAGTTCGCAATAGCTTCAAATTTTATGCAAAGGCTTCCCAGGCCATTCGATTATTATATAATAAATCCTCGGATTTGAACATGTTCCCCAAAGTTTCCAAAGAGGGAACATGTTCCCAAAGATGGAAACTAACGACGGCATCGTGTCCAGCAGATAAAAATCCTATAGATATAATGTGTTTTGTTCGTGTGTTTTGTTCGTTCTCCACGATGGGCCAAAATCAATACTTCTTACCTATTGTTCTTTCACATAATTTGATATAGAAGATATAAATATATACATTTGCCTCTGCTTCAAGTATCTCTTGCAACACAAGAGGTTTCCGATTCTTCCAACTTAAAGCTGCTGGGTCATGCTCTTGATACAAATAGGAATGAGTATCTAACAGATTTTGTGCCAAGATATTGAAAGAAAAAAGTCTGAGCGTGAAAGAATTTTCTCCATTACCATTTGGTCTGCCTAAGGATATTTGGAAAATTATGTTCTTTCAGCAGTCAGATAAACTGTGATATATACATTTATAAATCATTTTCATACTTTATATCAAAGAAATAAAAATAATAATCCTTACCTTTCCCGAATTGTTTCCACTTTCTTATAGTCTTGTATCTTTGTCTATCAAATACTTGATTTCCTTGCATACAATTTGCAGCTTTTGTGCATACATTTGCTCTAACATAAGTTGCATCATATGCAGGGTTTGGACAATAAATTGAATTGTCTGAAGCTGTGTTAAATGGTATGTTGCACATTGCAGTATTATTTGGATTGTAACATCTGTTGAGATAAGGATCCATTGTGGTTGTTTTACAATTTTTAAGCGAGACAGAATTATCCAAAAACACAGAAGTACTCTTATGCAGAGTTCTTATGAACAACTGACTTAGCCTTAACATGTAAACGATCTGCGGAGAAACATCATACGATTATATATAAATGCTCATAGATGAATAAGTTTGAAACAGGTTATATAAAGAAAAATGTATGATTAAATGATCGAATATCGAAGTTTGATAATTCCTTTTACGCGACAAACAATGACTAATTGAACTTTTATATCTGAATTTCATCGTTAAAAACAACAATGTATAGATTATTGTTAAATCTTGATGAGATCGATGAGGAAATTTTCTTTCTTCGTCTTTACTTTACCTCTTAACATTAGGAATTCACGTATAGAACAACATTAACCATTGTGTGATTGAAAATAATGAATACTCTTAATTCTATCACGTAATTTTTTCCTTTTTCCATGAAAATCAAGTTCGAATACTGTTATAACCTATAAGACAACCGTGATATCGTAATGCAGAATTCATACGATATGAAGTCATCGATTACTTTGCGTTCGAAACAATCGAAAATACGAAACATGAATATGCAAAAGATAGAAAAAAACATACAAGGATATACCTGTCGCGATTGAAGGAACGTTCTGTCCCGCGCTTTACATACTATACATTTAACGTTGCATGTACTTTCACCTTTGAAGATACGCAATAACCTAGACAAAAGCACATACTTCATTTATTCGCACAGTACCGTTATATTACGACCGTTCTCGATACCGCATATCCTCCTTCCAAAGGAAGGAGGAGAACAATGCCTTAGAAAAACGTCCACAGAAAATCGTACCCGCTGTATCGATCAGCAGGTACAAACTTGCTTTAAAGGTGCCAATACATAGGAGCGTCGAGCGTCAAGCGTCAAAGCGTCCAACCAATCAAAGTTCCTTGTTTTTATCCGTGAAATAAGAAATGAAAAACTGATTGGTTGGACGCTTTGACGCTCAACGCTCGACGCTCCCATGTATTGACACCTTTAAAGATAATTAGGTTACGTTCCGATATTCACTGCCAACACTAAAAATCTATAGTATGTGTAACATAAACTATATATTTTCAGTACTGGCGATGAATATCGGAACGCAGCCTAATGCCAAATTTCTTCACCTCTATGGTCTGTTCTTTGTAGCTGCACTGCTGAACTGGTGCAATAAGCTAGAGTGAGAAAAACTATATTTGTCTCACTTTAACTTATTGCACCAGTTCAACAGTGCAGCTACAAAGAACAGACCACTAAACGTCATTCTACAATACGTGTCGTAAGTTGTAAGCCGTAAGAAATGACCAATTATAGCCGATTATTTTTGTAATAATCGACTGTGGCTTCTTACGGCTTTCTTTCGGCTTCCAACTTTTCTTACGGCTTACAACTTACGACACGTATTGTAGAATGACCTTTAAGGCTCGTCTACATTAGCTGTAAGAATAGGCTGTAAGGTTGTAAGGCACGAAATGAAATATTTTCATTCGCTGACAGCTTACGTTACAGCCTTACAGCCTTACTCTTACAACTAATGTAGACGAGCCTTAAGGCCATTGCACGTACAAAAGTTTTAGTCGTAACCATAAGTCCGTAAGCAAATTGACCAATCACAATTCGTATATTTCGAGATGCTGGATTGTGATTGGTCAATTTGCTTATGGTCTTACGGTTACGACTAAAATTTTTTTACGTGCAATGGCCTTTAAGGCTCGTCTACAATAGCTGTAAGAGTAAGGCTGTAAGGCTGTAACGTAAGCTGTCAGCGAATGAAAATATTTCATTTCGTGCCTTGCAACCTTACAGCCTTACTCTTACCGCTAATGTAGACGAGCCTTTAGATATGTAACCAGAGATCTTAGTAAAGAAAACGAATTTTTAGTTATCTGACGGATATCTTTATCTGAAAGATAGATATTGGGAGGTGTGAAGAAACCGGGCATTAGCCGTTAAAAGAATAAAGAGAAAACATTATAGAATCGTTATAGAAAATTATTATTGATTATAATAAATTAGCTAGTGATAAATTATTGTTGCTCAGTTATTCTATTCTTCATATGAGCATTAAAATTACCAAGCAATAATTTATCACTGGCCAATTTATCATAGCCAATAATACTTTTCTATAAAGGAAAGATATGAAAACTTTTTTTAATCAAAAAAGCGGTTTCTTCAGAGCCGTTGTTAAAATCGAAAAATCGCACTAATTAATCCAATAAAGCCTAATTTTCGACATTAAAATGTTGAAAATGTACGTATCATATCGTCAATTGTTATCATATAGGAAACATTTTCGTGCACTATATTGATAAAATTTTTAACTAAATTTCCAAATTTTGACTTACTTGAATTATACACTGAAAAAAAATAAGCTCTCTTTTCACTATTTAAACAGATGCTTTTGGGCTGATCGTTCGTCACATAGTACCATGAGCGGAAAGTATCTGTTTTGTGGAAAGCTAAATCTATATAGCATGTACCTAATCGTGGGGAGTCTCAAAAGCCAGGGACGCCTCAAGGATATTAAAAGAAAATGCTTTACAGGATAGGTCACTTTACGCTGAAATGTTATGTTATATATTGTAATATTAATAAAACAGAATTGTAATAAAACATTTTATAAATTATATTAGTTTACAAAAAAATTTCTTTTCATTATTTGAAACTAGATAAGATGTTTTTTATAGATTTTTTATGCAGAAAACGATATCCAAATCAAATTTCACCAGCGTATCAGGTTTCCAAAATAATTGAGGTTTAATGTATAAAAAATAATTTCTCTCACAATATTTGAGGTTTATTTGTAAAAAAGGTTATTATCTGGAAATTTTGATCAGACGTCGTGAATGTATTACTCTCATAAATTGCATTTCCTTTTAGTTCGATATCTTATTTTTTAGCCATGTTATAAAGAATTTAAATAATTTTGCAGAGATAGCAAATATTCTGCTTATAATGAAATCATATATAATCTATAGGGCAATCAATATACATAGTGTAATTTATCGTCATACATTCCATTAAATGTATAATTATATGTAGGATATATCTCACTTTAATTATTCTTCGCGAATTTCTCGAAATAAATGCATTTTCGAAAAAAATGTTCCAGTTTCATGATCTACAGAGAAACAAATATAACGATAAAATCAATTGAAAAAGAAAAAATTGTTTTTTCCTAAGGTTACACGAAGGCCATTGTTATTTTTTTAAATTGTATAATTTTTTATTTAATATTATTCCAGACAGCACAAAACCTCGAAAGTCCTAGGAATACCCTGAGGATTTTTCGAACGTTAGGATATGCTCAGGATATATTCAGAATGTCCTTACATATCCTTTGGAGATTTGTGCTATGGGATTCTTCTAATTATTCTGTATTTAAAAATATTAAATCATAGTTATCAAAAAATTTATAGTTTATAAGATATTTTATACATTATTCTGGCAAATTTGATTATGAAATATAAAATATATTACAAATTATTAATTTTTTCATAATTACAATTTAATATACATATAATATAATTTTATATATAGAATAACTAAAAGAATTATACTAAGGAAAAAATGATACAATTTTAAAAAATGGCGATGACTTTTATGTGATTTTTATGAAAGAACAATTTTTTTTAGAATTGATTTTACTATTATTTATTACAATATTAATTTTACAAAATTGATTTTATCATTAATGGTAAAAATGGATTTTAAAGAAGATGTGAGGAATACATTCATGACATCTGATCAGAATTTCCAAATATCGTTAAACTTTTTTATAAAAAAATCTTAATTATCGTAAAAAAAAGTTATTTTTACATATTAGACCTTAATTATTTTGAAACTTCGACGTGTTGGTGAAATTTAGTTTATGGCATTAAAGAATCGTTTTCAGCATTAAATAATCTATAAAAAACTTTCTGGTTTAAAATAATTTTTAGCTATAAACTAATGTTATTCATTTTCCGATAACACTTTAACACGAGAAATTCCGACGACAAATAAATATTAAATAATTATAATAAATAAACATTATTATATTTAGAAAATTATTTCTCTTATTAAATATTGTAAATGTATTTATAACTACACCGAATTATATATATACCCATACAGCACACAAAGTTGAAAAAACGTTGCTGCAACATTGAAACAATGTTGCAATGTTACAGCAACGTTACAACAATATTGCTGCAACTTCTATGCTATATAGGTACATATATATACATTTTCATTATTTAAAATACACATTTGATATTCGAAACAGAAATCTAGAAGATTGCAAGACAGTCCAGAAGATGCAGCTATAATAAACAAAACGGACACAATATATCGGACATTGAACAAAGTGTGAGAAAAAATCTTTTGCAAGTGTAGGACATGGGTTTAAAAAATTACAACTGAACTTCATTTGGTAAGCCAGTGTACCATTTAACTTTTAATATCTACGGCACTGTTATGTACTGAATTTGGACAAAGAAGCCACGACAATATAAATATAAATAAGGTATTTCTATTTTTTTTACGTCGGGCATAGGTGAGAACATGTTTCGCAATAGTTCAACTGTGGTCTTTTCATGATTTAAAATATTTATAATAACGAACAATGGAATGTACTTTCGATTTTTACCAATGATAATACATCAGCAAACTCTTTCTCTTCTATTCATTTTGACGCATAATCATCGATACAGCAAAAGTATCGGCACAATGTTTCACAAAGGATATTCCAAATATATCGTTTACATATGTAAATGTGCATTCGTGAATACATATATTGTCGATGCAACACGTATTATCGCAAGCGAAATCTATTCCGTCTATTTTGCACATGTACTTGACAATTGAGAAACTTCAAGATAATGTTCTTATGCAAAAAGCATATTAAAATTCAGGATCAGATAAAAAGAAGCACAAAATAAATTATATATAGTAAAAATACATAACAACATAGTATAATACATATAGTAAAAATACATAACACAACAATACAGGATACACAAAAGAGCGGAGCAATTAAAATGCGGCTTCATATTTGATTTAATTAAAAAATATTTTAAAAACACACATGCGCACACACATATACATGCGCGCATGCATACACGCATTGCCTCTACTTGTATGGTATGTAGAATAATAATAATATAATATAGAATACATTATAGACTATATTTAACAATTTGTTGTACATATACTATATGTACAATTTGTACATATGTACAATTTGCTATTGCCCTGCTGGATACATCATATTAAGTGTATAAGTGTCTGCAAACATATCACTTTAGAATCGGAAGAAATCTTAAAAAATATTGCAAGTACATATAAAATTTGGATAAATATACATTATTGATATATTTTAACAGATAATTAGTACAAATAATAATCTGTACTAAATTTACAATAATAACTATAGTTTTTGTGCATCAATATTGAGATGTCAATATTAGTTTCGTTTTTGCCAGATTTTTATCAAGTTTTTTCTGTTATTACAAAGTCATGCTTTGATTATATTTATATGATAATATTGAGATTAATGTATATTATATTATATATATATATATATATATATACGAGGGTAGTTCCAGAAGTACCTGACCTAACAAAGAAAAAATTTGGGAAAAAATATCTTTATTTCTCTACATAGTCTCCTTTTAGCTCTACATAGTCTCCTTTTAGCTCAATACACTTTTCCCAACGATGTTCAATAGCTTCGATACCCTGTTTATAGTGGGAATCGTCGAGCTCCTCAAAATAGTCATCAAGCCACCTTGGTTCATTGTTTTGACTGTTCCTTCGTCTCAGGTGTGAAGTGATGGACCCGTGTTTTTTCATCCATGGTTATGAATCGACGCAAAAACTCGGCTTTATTGCTGCGAAACTTCGCCGAACACTCGATTGAAACATCCTCACGACGCTGTTTTTGTTCCAATCGCGGCACTCATCTTGCGCACAACTTTCTCATGTCCAAATTTTCAGTCAATATGCGATGTACAGCACTTTTTGAAATGCCTACCATGTCTGCTAACTCGCACACTTTTAGTCGACGGTCATCCAATATCATTTTATGGATTTTCTTCATGAACCATTTCGCCACCATCACGCCATTTCTGGCGTGGTCACCTCATTTGGTCGACCACTGCGATGTTCGTCTTGGCAGCTCGTTATACGGCCTCGTTTAAACTCTGCCACTCAATATTTTACTGTTGTAAACGAAGGAGCAGACTCCCCCAGAGTAGAACCAATATCAAAGCGGAGCTTTGATATTGGTTGGACTGAGGCCTTTCAAATGAAAGTATTGTATCACATAACGATAACCAATTTTTTCCATGTTTACAAATTCACTGAGAGCGTTCACTATTGATGGCTGCCAAACAAATACCAAACAACGTAGCGTCGTCAAACTTCAAACTTAAGTTCTATAAGGTTGGTACTTTCTACCATAGTCATTCTTTTCAAACAACAACCGCTATCTATACGTTAGGTCAGGTACTTCTAGGACTACTCTCGTATGTCATCAGTTTATTTTGAAAAAATATATATAAAATATGTATATATATATACATACACACACACACACACATACATATATATATATACACACATATATATATACATGCATTCCTTGTATCATCTAGAGAAGATGAAGAAATATCATCTAGAAGAGATAAAGAAACAAGTACGATAGATTAACCAAAAATCATTGAATACACTTTCTATATATAGGTAAAACAGTTACAAATCTTATAATAAACTATCACAAATGTACGGCGATATGTCTCCCATTTGTAAAGATATTTCAGATAAAAATATATTACATTTGTACCTAAAAATACACACATTAAATACTGCTTTTCTTTCATACCATAGAAGTGATACGAAAAATAGATAATATCTACAATGTTAGGTAATTGTGCGGTAGACGTCGGTAATATATCGAATCGAAGTATCGAATGTCTTGGTATATCCTAAATTTTTGTATAAAAATTTGTAAGTTTCGTTAACGATTATTTTTCTTCTTTTCCCCTTAAATTTCAGATTATATATCCTTTGTATTCTTACGCTTTTTCTTCAGTTGATAGTAAATTTGAAAAAAAAACCTACACCTAAATAACAGCATATAACTAATGTAATATACTGAAATTTTTTCTTATTGTAATATTTCACACACTTTCTTCTTAAATAACCTTTTCCAATTCGTCAAAGCCCATTTTGTAGAACATTGAATGCAGCTCCCAAAGCCCAACTTACTTCGTGACCATTAATCTTCTTATATAGCTGTAATAAACACATTTTATTATCTCTCAAGATAAGAGTATCTTAACGAGTAAGTTTCACTCACATATAATTTCGTCGATGATTCCAAGCCGAACCCATTCCTCAGAAGTATATAAATAAATGTCAAATCCAAACACATAAAAGGTTGATCTGTATTCGGATAATCACATGTGTCCATAGCTTGTTTCAAGAAAGCACCAAGTTGCACGACTCCTCCTAAAAACGGATCTATTAATGCTACCTGAAAAATAAAAAGATTATTATTAACTTTTTATGTTCGAGTTTTCATTATATATAAATGATCATTCTTCCAATATACAGGGTATTTCAGGAGGAATGGTACATATTTCAGGAGGTTATAGTATGGACCATTTTGAGTAAAAAAGTTCATATTAACATGTGTCCAATTTTCAATAGATGTGGAGTTACAACCGTTTGAATGTTAAGCATCAACGAAATCTGCTACAAATGAACAAAAGTATAAAAATGACTTATTTTTGCAAGAAACTTACAATGATTAATGAAGACCACATGAAGAACTTACTGATAAAAATAATAAAAACTTATTGGTGCTTTTATTGATGCAAAAACCCTACAAACATAAATGAAAACCACATGAAGAACTTTCTGATGAAATTCGTGATTCACAATTAGTCGAATAATTCACAGTAGTTCAAAGTACATTTTCAAAAATCTCACCACTGTCTTCAATGCACTTTTCAGCTCTCTGTGCAACAGAGTATATGGGGATGGATAAAAAGCGAAGTCTACAATGAAAAAGTGAACACAAGAGAAGAATTGGTTGTTCGCATTCAGGACATTTATTTTCGCATAAAAGAACGTGAAGACGACCTCAGACGACCTACACATTCTGTTGCAGAGAGCTGAAAAGTGCATTGAAGACGGTGGTGAGATTTTTGAAAATGTACTTTGAACTGCTGTGAATTATTCGACTGATTGTGAATCACGAATTTCATCAGAAAGTTCTTTATGTGGTTTTCATTAATGTTTGTAGGGTTTTTGCATCAATAAAAGCACCAATAAGTTTTTGTTATTTTCATCAGTAAGTTCTTCATGTGGTCTTCATTAATTATTGTAAATTTTTTGCAAAAATAAGTCATTTTTATACTTTTGTTCATTTGTGGCAGATTTCGTTGATACTTGACATTCAAACAGCTGCAACTCCACACCTATTGGAAATTGGACACATGTTAATATGAACTTTTTTACTCAAAATGGTCCATATTATAACCTTCTGAAATATGTACCTTTCCTCCTGAAATACCCTGTATAAGATGCAACAAAATGATTTTATTTCTGCGATACATTCTTTTACTTTTTGCAGAAGCAGCATATCATGTAATATTCTTATAATTATTCTCATGTAATATTTGTATATTCCTTAACAATTTTCCTTAGTATAGTTTAGTATTCGTGATACTGAATCCTCCTTACCTCCGTCGCGCGGTCAAAGTAATATGAAAACGCATAGACTTCGTGATCTTTTAAACCTATCGGTTTATCCGTAAGGGTGTCAACATATTTTTCAATAATCTTCGAACATTCCGAAAAACGCACAACTGGTTTGTTTTCGTCTCCACCAGCAAAATTTTGAGTCTTTACCAGTTTATATGTGCCGTTTATTGGGCCTTTCACGATGTAATCGCGACCACCATAAGCCCATTCAGTGGATACGATTGGATTCACACATTCGGAATGTATTTTTATTGGCAGCTTGGGATCAGTGTCTTCCAGATTTATATTGTATGTTAAAATTGCCTTACGGGCAGCCATTAGTCCCATACCTAAGTAACTGTGTGTATACAGGCTCATGTTGTGGTTAAATACATTGATGGAATAAACATGCTTCTCTAACTCCTTAGCTTGAACACTATCTGGCTGAAATGTAACTTGCGTCGATCCCCCGCCGAGATCCAATGCAGCCACAGTGGCTTGAGAACTGAGTGAGGTAAAGCGGTCTAACAAGAAATTGACAGTAAACCAGGAGAAAATCCCCTCATCTGTACCCTCCATTATAGAAATGGAATTCTTCGTGACCTGAAATCCAGATATTTGGAAGAGCTTTCTGCATTCTTCTAATATAGCATTGGCTTTATGTTCAGGTAATAATCTCAATCCTGCTGTGGCCTTCATAGTAAGCATTGTACGAGACCATTCTGATTGTGGAATCACTGTCTTTGCTTTGTTCAAAAGTGTAGTCAGAGATTTTGCAGCATCCATTGGCTTGTTTGCAAATGAACTCAAGCCAGGTGTGACTTCACTATACAATTCATCATCCAGTATTAAATTACCATTGAGAATAGACTCATGGAAACTAAATGCCAATACACGGCTGCCAGTAGAGCCAGCATCAATAACAACAACATAGAAAGGTTTTTGTAAATTAAGTGAAAATGCTAATGAATCGATGGCTTTGCCACCTATTCTGATCGGTTTTAAGTCATTCGCTATTGCAATATAGCCTAGGAACAATATACCAAGTATCACCAGTATGGTAAAGTATTTCCTTCCTAGTTGACTGGTGCTTTTCTTCTGGCGGGGTGCCAATTCGTTATCGTACTTCTCTTCATTTTCAGTTCTCAGCTGAAAATGTTACAATATTACAATAGTATAAGAAGAAGATAAGTCAATTTGCTTACTGGGATACTATGATAGTCGAGAAAGCAAAAAGAAAAATGTTCAGAGCATTGTACAAGCAGAATTGTAACCAAGTTATTGCAAGTATAAACGCGATATTTCTTCCCGATTTACACAATTTTTGCCAAGAAATATTCCAGATATCGTGATGAAACAATGAAAAAGTTTGCTATTTTTACACAACGTTAATCTCACGGAAGCGGCATGTTAAGGCAAGCGTAGGCAAAAAGCACAAGCAGCGGGAGGCTTTTTCGATTATCTGTTACACTCACGAGTGTATATTGCATTTAGGACGAGCCGTATAATCCGCGTTACATTTGGTCATGTAAAAAATACGAATTTTATTTGACGAATATGACGATGAAAGGTTCGACGAAGCATCGCGGACATCACATCCCGTATTATGTATCAAAAGCACCATCATATGGCAGGAAAATGCTGAAATCGTTACGAAACGCATGTATCGATACATCCGATATTCAATGCACGACGATCTGCTATCCAATGGAAAATTTTATTCTCTAGGGACAGTTGGCGACATGTTCTTTTTTATTTGCAAAACTCCGTCATTATAGATACACTCGATCGTAGGAAGGTTGCAATACTGTCTATAAATTTTTTTTGTTCAATTGTCTTACTAAGAATAAGAACAGTCAATGCACAAGGATTTTACTTAGATTTAAAAATTCTTCATGAAAAAGTAATAACGGAATCGATGTATCATGAAAGCATTATATGAAGTTGCAGATTCGCGTTTAAGGCTTTACCAAAGTATAAACTTATACATTCGAAAACGAGAATCGAAACGAATGAACAAATGAAAGCAGTTAGATGCCTGCGCGTGTTATTCTAAATTAACAAATAATGCGAACATACCTTTCGTTGTCTCACACTCATATTTCGTTGCAACAGTTCAACAGCCTTGCGTTGGACGATTGAAGTGGACGAATAATCCAGAAGAAAGGGAAGCAAAAGATTACACGAAACACATTTTGTTACGACAGACCACTGCGGAATACGATTCTACAACGCGACGACGTTTATCATCATTTAAGTGTATGTGTCCGTGAGAAGTATACACGTGCACGAAGTTGTGTGTGATATTCATGCCGACTTGTGACATGGCGTATTCATTATCGTCCCAAGGCCTTTTCGAGATATATATTTTGTTATTCCTTGATGTCGTAACTCCGATAATAATGAATATACATAGAAATAGAGAGAAAAAGAAGATACTAAGTTAGCCGTTACGACGTCACATTCAACTGGATTACGAAACACGCTGAGACGTGCACTACATGACACCGTTGTGCGCTATAGTGCAAAATGAAAAAGCTGACACTAAGCATAGGAAAAAGAAAAAAAGAATCAGACTTCCTTCTTCGCCTCATTTCTCTAATATTATAATTAGTAATTATCAAGGTGACGGATTCCCTCACCGATTTGCCTGAAATTTCAGAATATTGCGTATTTTATTGCGCAAAATACAAGTATGAAAGTTAAAACCTTCGCTCTTGAGAAAAACAAAAGTTATAAGGCGCTAAAAAGTGATGGTTTGGAGGTTGGAAAATGCGTCATGTAGACAGTACGAGTATATAAGCATGCGCAGTAATATAAAAGTGCACGAAAATTTGAAATGTAGTTTAAGAATATTTAAAAATATGAACTCTAGTTTTATAATAAAACAATTGAATAATACATTTGCGTGTGTCTTTTAATAATTAACATTAATGTCACAACGCTTTAGCGTAGTTAAGTTAGGTTAGATTAGATTTAGTAAAATATACTATTCAGTTTTTTTTTTTTATTACAAAAAGTTACTAGAGTTCATATTTTTTAATATTCTTAATACCATATTTCAAATTTCGCACTCTTTATGTCACTGCGCATGCTTATATGCTTGTATATTGTCCATATAGCATATTTTTCAATCTCCAAACTATCACTATCACTATACTTATACTTATAACTTTTGCTTTATTTAAGAGCGACGATTTTAACCTTCATATTCATGTTTTGCGCAATAAAATATATAATGTTCCGAAGTTTTAGGCAAACCAGTGAGGAAACTCGTCTCCGTATATCAATTACCTTATAATTATATATGAATATTATATAAAGATGTGAAAGGCATGTTTTGATAAGCGTGCAGTGCTGCGATTTTGTAACTCGTTATTAGAGTTAACGACAGTTTCGTTATTGTTGCGCAGCTTCTGTATACTGTAGAAAAGCTGCGCAACAATAACGAAACTGTCGTTAACTCCAATAACGAGTTACAGAATCGCACCACAGATGAGTGGTTATAACGGGTCAAATTCAAGTGCTTATCGGTCTAAGTACTTGGCGGGCCTTCGAGAAAACTCTCTTCGTTCCTCTTCCTGCGATCACGAATGATATTCTTTCTTAGTCCTGAACATTGCACATTGCAATGAAATTGACAAGTCATTATCACTTACTCTTTCGATTATGCAATGAGGTTAAATAACGAACCTATTTACAGTTTATATATGTTCATAATATAAGTTGTCGTTATAATTCGTGGGTATCAATTTACTTATGACGATTATGATGAGATTAATTGCATTAATGTGAGTAACCTTGTAAATTCAACAGTTTTGTTAATATCTTCATGTCTTTAAAATATTGTGTGAATATTACTATGTAATAGTAGAGTACGGATATATTTGTGGTTAAATAAAACAATGCAAGTATGTAATTTAATCATACAAAATAATAGTGAAACTTATGTAATTATATTTATAGTTGATATTTCTTTTTTTGTTTGTTATATAATGCTTCCTAAATAACTACTTGTTTTATATTTCTGTGAGAAAATTATATGTATTTTATTTACATATGCACATAAATAAAGCCTTATTAACATGTAAAATATTTATAATATATCCTTTTTTTCTTTATTCATGTAAAAACTATGTAGCTAATGTTAAGATGTATACATAAATAAATATTTTACAAATGTTCTATCCATATAGTCCAGTATTAAAATTTTTATTATATATCATTTCATTTATATATATCATATAAAGATAAACGTCAGCAATAGTATTGACTATTGTTCAAAGGTTAGAACTTTTCTATTCTAAAAATAGGTTCCAACTCAACAAACATATTTTTAGGTGGTGGTATTCTCCAAATTTCCTATACACAGTATGAACCATGCTGACATCAACTTTTACACATATAAGTTTTACTAAAGCAGTTTTAATCTAATTTGCCAAGGAATGTACATATAAATATTCAATTAATAATTTTGATGTCCTACTGGAGAAGATAACAAGCCATTTTACTTAATTTGAACAGTTATACTGGTAAGAATATATCTTATAACATAATATCTTATAATATAATATACACACACATTTTACTTAATTTGATCAGTTATATTGGTAAGAATATATCTTATAACGTATGATATATATACATATATAAAAATATGATACTAAATAGCTATATAAATATTACAAGGAACAAACCAAATTAAATTACTTATACTCTTAGATGTAAGTTATATAAAACTTAGAAAATTATGTTACATCTGTTCAAATAATTATTTCCTCTACATATTCTCATTATGTAAATCATTCTTTTGTTTAGACTTCAAAAATGACTCGACATACTACAAATAATCCTCTGAAAGAAGCTATCATTCAAATCGGAGCGGGAGGATCAGCAGGTTTCATTGAAGTTTGCATAATGCATCCAATGGATCTTGTTAAGACTCGTTTCCAACTTCAAGTAAAAACAACAAAATTAGATCCATCATATTATACAGGTACTTGCCATAATATAATAGCTATACTAGCATTAAATCATATATTAGCTATGCTCTGATGCTGTTATGTAGGCATTTATGATTGTATGAATAAAATGTATAAGACTGAAGGATTACCAGCATTTTGGAAGGGAATACTACCTCCAATAATTGTAGAAACTCCTAAACGCGCTGTCAAAGTGAGTTGTTCATCTATTGTTTGACACCCAAGCATAGTAGGCTTTTCATCTCCTTTATACACATTGTATTTTTAGTTTTTTACATTCGAGCAATATAAACAGTTCTTCTTATTTGGCGCTAGTGCACCTACTCCATTGGTAACTACTGTAATACAATTGTTATTTTATGAATTTATTAATAAGATATACACAAGTTTGTATCATTACAGACATTTTCATGCGCTGGTTTTTTCGCCGGTGTGACAGAAGCTATATTAGTCAATCCTTTCGAGGTTGTCAAAATAAAACTACAGTCTAATCGAAAACATATAAAAGAAAGTCCTTCAACATTTGCAGTAACAAGAGAAATTGTGTCAAAGTATGGTTTTGGTTCAAATGGTTTGAACAAAGGGTTGTCAGCCACCATAATGAGAAATGCAGTGTTCAATTCATTCTATTTCGGGTTTTATCATTCTGTCAAAGAATATATACCAACCAGAAAAGAACCTTGGTTGGAATTTTTAACTAAAGTAATCAAGATCATATTAAAATGGTCTAAATATGTTACAGCAGTACATTGACTTTTTCCAATATATATATTGAAAGTTTTCTAGGTTACTATTGGATTTGTCTCAGGTACTGTTGCTTCATGTTTGAACATACCATTTGATGTTGCCAAAAGTCGCATTCAAGGTTCACAGGATAATACACAGTACAGAGGAACATTGAACACTATGTGTACTGTTTACAAGACAGAAGGGTATCTATATGTAACTTAGAATAAAATTATGCATGGTCTTATTTACTAACATATTATTTTGCATCATCTCAGATTCAGAGCCTTGTATAAAGGTTTATTGCCAAAAGTGCTGAGACTAGGCCCAGGTGGTGCTATTATGCTTGTCGTATATGACTACATGCATGCATATCTTACCAGAAAATTCAAAGAATAACTTTTATATTGCATTTGAAACAGCTTAAGGTAATTATAAGGATAAGTTACTCTTCAAAAAATATATTTCCTATATATACTATATATATATGTGTATATATAGTATGTATATGTATATATATATATATATAATCACATAAAAGCAGAATGAAAATTTATATAATTTTATAACTATTTAAAAATATATTATGTATCATATATTACGTATAATGTTTCAGTAGATATTTTTTTAACAACCTTTCCTTCGCATCAAGTAAATATTGCGGTACTTTTTTATATAGAAAAATAGGAATTAATCATCCAAGACAGAATCTAACCATTTCTCCAGATCTAATGATTTAGTTGGGACATCTTTTGATTTCGGTTTAGAATCTGCAACAAATTATGATGAAGAGCCATAGAATATTAAAGGAATATGAATAGAATATGAATAGAATATATTGAAATCATTTTGCTCCAAATTCTTACTATTGCTGAAATACATGGACATAGTAGGTATACTAAAGGTCTGTGTGATTTTTGGTAAATTTTTCTGAATGGGTTCATCCAAAGACAATAAGACATCTACATCATCTTCCAAGTTATTGAAACAATCTTCTGATAAAGATTTCGTCTCTCTCAGTGATTCCAATTGTTCTGTTCCTGCATTCTTATTCATCTTATTTTCCATATATATAGTATCTGAAGAACTAGATGTCTTTACAATATTCAGAATGCAATTATAAGTTGCTTTACATTCCTCCGCTTTATTATAAATACTCGTTAATTGATCGCTCTAAAATTTACCGTACGTAGAGATAATCAGTTCTGATGATCGGAATAATTAATAAAAGTATACACACGATGTCTCTCGAATACTTACTGTAAAATACCCATCATTTACATCAATGTACTCGTTAAACGGAATGCTATCAAGTGCGGCTGACAGTGTATTTAGATTCAAAGTAAAAAATTCCGAGTATTCCGATGAGAAGTCGACAGAAGACCAGTCCTTCTCCGATTTGAAGATAAAATGCCCGCCTTTCGAAAGCGGCGCGTTTATGAAAGAACCAAAATCTTTACCGATGTCTTCGTCGTCCGTCGACGCTATCGAATAGTCGGCGTAAGACGATGTAGGTTGTTGGAGATGTTTCTTCATTTTCATCTTTTTTCCTATCATTCTTACTGATTTCTTCGAACTATAGATATAGAAAGAATAGACCGAGCGGATCTTCTTGTAGTAGACTGAAGATCAGGTAAAAAAAACAGGAAACAGGGGCTGCGTTCCGATATTCACTGCTAGTACTGAAAATACATAGTTTACGTCACGTATACTATAGATTTTCAGTGCTGACAGTGAATATCGGAACGCAGCTAGGGACTCGACTCTCTAAAGCCAGCGACACACGGTGCTTGTTTTCGTGCTGGATTGCTTGCTGGATGAAAATACTGCGTTCTGATTGGTATATTTTCGAAGATGGATGGAAATGCACCAATCAGAACGCAATATTTTCATCCAGCAAGCAATCCAGCACGAAAATAAGCACCATGTGCCGCTGGCTTAACCCAGAGCTCGGCAAAGTTTGCAACTCTCGGCCGATTCCCGGGAGCTACGCCTCTTACCTCTTCTTGCCGCGCGGCGGATCGTGGCGGATCGCGCAACTGACGGTCGGGGGCTCGGAGCAGTGCTGGGCGTCAGGCCTCGCGGGCTCAGGACCGTTGAGATCATAAAGTGCATCATTGACTACGTTTACACGACAAGGTTAATCCGGATTAGTAACAACCGTAGTTAGTGAATTCTTTGATTCGATTGGTATATTCTTTTAGATCTAAAAATATACTCTAATCGGATTCGAGACTGCACTAACTACGGTAGTTACTAAGCCGAAGTTAGAAGCCGTGTAAACATAGTCTATATGGTGCCTAAAGATGCGTTCGAGGAGCGCGTCGATCAGTGCTAACGCGTCATTCAATCCTTATACATGTAATGAGCGATAAAGATAGAATAACGTGTTAGCGTTGACAGCGCGCTCCTTTAACGCATCTCAAAGGCTGAAAAATAAATGTATCGATACAACTCTATGTATAATATTTCATACAACTTGTACAAATATATACTTATACAAGTATATATATTTTTCTCTTATAATTTTATAATTAGAAGGTAACACAATAGGTTTCCGCGTCACTCATGAGGTACTATTGCCGACGCATTATAAAAAAAAACGCGTCGGCAATAGTACCTCATGGATGAGGAGGAAACCTATTATCCCAGACAGCATCAGACATCCAATGGATGTACGTTTCACGTCCAATTTATGTCCGTATGTCCGATTTACATCTATGGACATAAATTGGACGTAACAAGGATGTCCTTATTGGACATCGGACCTGTAGGACGTCCATCCCCACACAGCACATGATATTATTCGTATATACTGTTTTCATACTAAATATACTATAGATATATCTAATATACCGAGAATATCCCTATAATATTTTTCGTAGTATATTATTTTTCGTATATTTTTAGAATATACGTAATTCATCAATAATATTCAGTTTATTTATCGAATATTCTGGAAATATTCTAATATTATCAACAATATTTTAATCATTAATCGGACATACCCTTAAAGGCTCGTCTACAATAGCTGTAAGAGTAAGGCTGTAAGGCTGTAACGTAAGCTGTCAGCGAATGAAAATATTTCATTTCGTGCCTTGCAACCTTACAGCCTTACTCTTAGAGCTAATGTAGCTTACAGCTAATGCCTTTAGAGATTTTTTAAGACTCGTCTACATTAGCTGTAAGAATAAGGCTGTAAGGTTGCAAGACACGAAATGAAATATTTTCATTCGCTGACAGCTTACGTTACAGCCTTACAGCCTTACTCTTACAGCTATTGTAGACGAGCCTTTGTGATCTTGTGCTGTCTGGAGCCATCCAATCAGAATCGGGCCTCCGCCAGGCAAATAACTCCGATCGATTCTGATTGGATGGTTTTTAATGCTTCTCTACTCCACTCTCCACTTTCCGTGTCCATCTGAACGCACGTAGTCACGTCGTATACGAAGATCTTAATATAAGGTAATAATTATATAATTATTTTATTTATAAAATAACATATTAACTATTATGCATTAATAAATTTATACCTCAATAGATATTTTGTTAGATAGGCCAATTCGTTATATAAAATTTTATATTTTTTTCAACCTGTCCTTCCGGGTTATATGGCACAAGAATAATTAACTTCAGGTTGTTACACTATTTTTCCTATTTTCTTGATAGTTATAAGTTATTCAGACTGCGTCTCAATTTTCCTCTTTAATCCATATAATAATGCTGCGTTTATCCCTTATTCTTTATTTCCTTAATTCTTCGTCGTACTTAACTCTTTCTTCATTATATTCCCAGACAGTACCGGACATTCAATGGATGTACACCCACGGTAATCGATTCTGTCCCTTGGAAATTTTCACAAACTGAGAAGTGACTACGTTTCTACACTACTCACAGTCCATGCACGATTAATAAAATAACTAAAACTTACGCTCGTTTATGGAGGAGTCCGATGTCCGACATAATAATAATTTTCGGAAGTTTTAAATAAATAAATACAGTGAGTATAGAAACAATTTTGTCAACAGCATGCAGAATACGGTGAGTTGTAATAAGCTTTATTTATATTTTAATGTTTCAGTAAAATTCAGCGTGAAAATACCGTAAATATATCATATAATCTATACATATGGTATTTATAATTTATTACTTTATATTTAAATATTGTTTAGGATTACGAATCATTTCCGTGATTGTCCGTTTTAGTATTTTTCTCCCAAATCTCCATGGAAAAGACGGCAACAATAGGATATGCGGATCTTAGCACGAAGTGCGAGAAAGCACAAATATTATTTAGCTGAAACAATTCCAGGAGGCTAACATTATAGCATTTCAGATAAGTTTCCTTTTCTTTAAAAGTTTTACGAATTGCATTAAACAAGAACAATTGCTTTGTGGATTTTTATTTATTTTTCAGAAATGTCAAAGGAATGAATTAATTAATATGTATGGACAGAACTTTATGAACACCTTATGAAGACTTCTTCAATGAAAGATAAAGAAAAGGCGCACAGTCTGTTGTTTGGTAAGGAACCGTTACTAAAGTTATATTTGCAAAATCCACAATTCACAATCGACGAAATGCTTCAAATAAATATTTCAAATTTAAATAACATGTATAACTATACAAAACAAGCCAGTTTAATTATCGACTGGCGAAGAAAATGAGAGCGATTAATAATTTATATCACTATATCACAATAATAACATTTAACATATAACATTATTAAATTAATTCACTTGTTCCTCGTGGTAGCGCCGCAACAAAGAGAGCTGAAAACATAAAAAGAATAAAATAAAACTGAAAATGTATGAATGCATAAAAATATTAGGTTATGAAAATAAAATTGTTTTTCAGAAACATTATCGCATAATACAATTCTATACAATTTCTTTTAATATGTCAGTACCTCAGTAATTTACAGCGTGTCCATCGTTGGCCAATACAGCCAGTAGTCTGCGGTGCATGGTACCTACTATTGCTTGGCAATAATCGGGGCGCTGGTGCAGGTCGGCCCAAGCCAGATGCACACGTTGAATAAGGTCTTCCCTTCTGTGGGCAACGTGCGGCGTCCATTCTCGGACCATCTCTGCCCAGAGATTTTCGATTATATTGAGGTCTGAAGACCACGGAGGCCAATTTAATCGCCTAATCTCTAGGTGGTCCCCATCCACGTTCTAGTTATGCGAGTGGTATGAATGGGATTATCCTCCACAACAATAATTATGGGATGGTCTTCTTCCAAATAGCGTATTCGAACACTGGGCAGCATGACTCCATCGAGAATGTCTATATATTGCTCGGCATTAAAATTTCTGCCTGTTTTGACCAGCTCTCCTGAGCCGTCAGCCGACATCCATGCCCAGAATGCTGCCGTAACGTGACCATTATGAATGGATAGTAAGGCGTTTGGTTCGTATCTACTGTTATCGGTTCTCCAAACACGATAACGACCATCTTTATCGGTGGAAAATGCTGCCAAAACAAACAAAAAAAAACAAAAACCTTCGATGCATAATGGTCACGTCATGGCAGCATTCTGGGCATGCATGTCGGCTGAATAAAAAAAATAATAATTTTTCAAAAATGGCTTTCCAACCAACACAAAAAAATCTGCTCAAAATCGCAGCTTTCTGGGATGCTGCTCGGATCTTGCCTTGACTGGCTGGATCATGCTCGGATCTTGCCTTGACTGGTTGGATCATGTAAGGTAAGACTATCGGAAAGTGAATGTTTTACGAAATATTTTGTATTTTTATCAAAATTTTGTAAATTTGGAGCTTTATAACTCGAAAAGTACTTCACCAAAAAACATTTAATTATAGTGTTTTGGGAAGCTCTCGAGGTCAGCTACAAGAATATGTAATAAAAAATAGGGGGTGCCATCTAAAAAAATTGAGGTAACCTTCACATGACCTTCAAATGACTCTTCAAGGTCAAATCAATTGTACCATCTTATGGCCCCCTCGAAACCATATAAAACATGTCTGAACCATTTTCCTCTAAAATAAAAAATAAGAGAGATATTTGGGGTGGACACTTAAAATGGGACACCCTGTATATGTATATATATATATATATATATATATATAAAAAGCAAAAAGCAGAATTTCTCGTGCCTAATTTCTGCTGCATTTCTGCTGTTACTTTAAAATGGCACGTCGTGTTCGATTTTTGCCCTGTTTCTGCCGTTGTGTTTCAACGGTATGTCGTGAACGATTTCTGCCGTGTTTTTGCCGTCGTGTTTGAACAGCAAGTCGTGAACGATTTCTGCAGTGTTTCTGCTGTTACGTTCAAATGACGCGTCGTGATCGACTTCTGCCTTATTTCTCCTGTCATAAGATGCTACCCCTTCAGGTTGATTTCCAACTGCTTGCTGTTCGCACGATGTAAGGTCATTCTATATTCAATTTTGTGCTACTGCTATTGGACATACTATGCACACAGTGCTTAAATTTTTATCTTGCTATGCTGACATATTGTGCCTGATTTTTGCGGTAATTTTGCTTTCATATCATGATGCACTTTCTGTTATACTTCTGTTTCACTTTTGCGCACATTGTCTGACATTGCAGATTATGCTTCACTAATGCTACAATTATAACAGCATGACTTGCGACACACATTTAGCAAAACCTGACATTAGCAGGCTTGGCTATCTGGGTATTAATTACATCTGCAGAACAAGCACTTAATTTTATTATCATAATAATGTTTTTTAACAGAATCAAAATGCATCGAAAGCATCAAAGGAAAGATATTGCATACGTATCTAAACATTTGAGAAGATTAATTCATGAGAAATCAGATTTCATTATTAAATCTGTGTCAAAGAAATCTATAATATCACACAACAAGATAAATGATAATCGTACAAATAATGTGGAACCTGTCTCTGCAGTCAATTTAAACATGACAGATATGCACAACAATGATATAATTGGAAAAGAGAATAACGATATATTAAATAAATCTGAAGATTTTGATACAAATGAATATCGCAATGAACAAAATTTAAATATCTCACCAAGATAATGCCACAATTTCTTGTAATGAATCAATACCATCAATACCAGATGAAATACTATTTGAAAATGCATATTTAAGGAACAATGATTTTAGAAATGACCTTGCTGTCTGAGCAATAAAGTATCAAATACCACATGTTTTGAAAGCATTATTTTTAAGATTAAAACAACATTCTTGTTTTTCAACCTTATCAATAGATGCACGATCATTGTTAAAGACACCGAGAGCACAAACGATACGTCAAGTGGTACCAGGAATATATCATCATTTTGGATTATTGCATGCCGTATCAAATACATTGAGAGTACAACAATATAATATGGATTGTGTCAAAATAACAGTAAATATTGATGGCTTACCATTATCAAAGTCGTTTCTACAACAATTTTGGCCAATATTAGGCTCAATTCTTTCTTATAATAATGTATTTATTATTGGAATTTATTATGGAAATGAAAAAAAAGAACGTAAATGATTTTTTACAAGATTTTGTCAACGAAGCGGCTGAAATGTGTACGAATAGTATTTACATTGATAATCGGAATATATCATGTAGAATCGAAGCCTTGATATGTGATACGCCAGCCAAAACATTTGCATTGTGTGTAAAAGGACACTCAGGATATTCCAGTTGTACAAAGTGTACTATTGAGGGAGAATATGTACAAAATCGATTATGCTTTCCACAAACAGATGCGACATTTAGAACAGATGAAGATTTTGTACAAAAAGTTGATGATAATTATTATAACTCAGAAGTAACATGCAGCTTGTTAAAAATACCTCACTTTAAACCAGTGACAAATGTTCCGTTAGATTACATGCATTTAGTATGTTTGGAAATTATGCGCAAAATGATTTATTTATGGTTTGATGGAGATTTATATTATCGCCTACAACATAGAGCAGTTAAAGAAATATCTACACGTTTATTAACACAATTAAAACCATCGATACTTTCAGAATTCGTTCTAAAACCACGAGGTTTGGATAATGTAAAACTATGGAAAGCTACAGAATACAGATTAATACTGTTATATACAGGACCATTGGCTTTTAAATCTATTTTAAAAAGAATTGTATATACACATTTTATGATATTTCATGTAATTATCAGAATTTTATCCTCAAAAGATTTGCAAGAATATTTAACCTATGCGCAAGAACTAATTTTATATTTTATAAAAAAATTCGAAAAAATCTACGGAACCCACAATGTGTCGCACAATGTTCACAATCTTGTTCATCTTGTAAATGATGTAAGGAAATTTGGATCACTGGACAACTTCAGTATATTTAAATTTGAGAATTTTATGCGAACATTAAAGAAATTACTACGAAAAGCCTTTAGAACAAGTTGTACGGAGATGGACGGAAAAGAAATAAATTTAAGTATCGCACCATTACGAAATATGCCATCAGAATGTGTCTTAACACATCTAAATCTAGTATCATTTACATGGTAATGGCCCACTTACATCTGACTGCAATAATCCACAATATAAAGTTATAAAATATGACAATATTATATTCAGAACTGGAACACTTACTGATAACTTGTGGTATATAAACTTGTGGTGGATAAACTTGTGGTTTAAACAATGGTGCTATTGTATATATCGAAAATGTGGCACATTGTAAAAAGAAAAATATTCCTATAATTATAGGATATGAATTTTTAGAAAAAAAAATGATTTATTTGACATTCTTTGCCCCTCTTCTTCGCTCGGAATATATTCTGTATATTTATTGTCATCTTTGAAATCGTGGCCATTAAAAAGTATTTTAAGAAAATATATAAAATTACCTTGTGGAAATGATAAATATGCTGTTCTTCTATTGTTACATTGTTATTTGAAGATGGGCTCCAGGTAATACCAAATAATTGGTTTACTTCAGATTTTAAAAAAGTTTTTTGGCCATGTTTCACAAATAACAAAAGATATGATAGAGCAGTAAAAGAAATGGAATAGCCAGGATGTACATGGTTGGAACACCCAGTACAAAAAATATTCGGGGACATTTTGTAAGTTATACTTTCTGATTTACTTTTTATTGAAATGTATAAATCGTGTAATACATGTAAAATAAATATATATAAATTTTTAACTACGCTAGGACATAGTTTCATACATGATTTTTGTAAGGTTTATTTTATTCTAGTTTAAATGTACACAAAGAGATCGATAGATTAGAAAAATATCATTATTTTTATTTTTCAGTTTCCTATGACAAGGCAAGGAAAAAATTAAAAGATGCCGAAGATTTATCAGAGATCAATTCCTGCACTGAAACAGAGGAGTATTTAAAAAAATCACGTAAAATTAGAGCCGCTAAAATTATGATTGATTCATCGATTTCCAGTAATGAATCATTGGAAATGAATATATTATTGGAAAATGTGCCAAAAATTTCAAATCAACCAGCGAAGCATATTAAAGAAACAAAACAAGGTACACAAAAAGGTTATAATCTGATGATATATAATAAAACATCCATGATCAGATGATATGTAATAAATGAATCTTTTGTTATTTTTAATATCCCAACAAAATAATTTTCCACAAGATTTGTTTCACAAGCAAACGAAGCATAATATGCAAACGGAGCATTATGTAATTAATAAAAATTACGAAAATTTACCGAGCACAAGCAAGCAACAAATTAGTGATCTCGACATTGGTAATTGTTAAGTATGTTGGTAACTTTTATATATTTTTTATTTCATTTGGAACATGTGACTCATTTTTATCTGAGAATGCTTTTGTGGAAATGTTTCCGACTACAGAAGTAAGCAAGCATAAATAGAAGCATTATTATTATATATTAAATTATAATTTTACATTGTCTCGACAGTTTATTGTTATCTCTTCTTTATTCAAATTTATTGATTTTGTGGCTTATCAATATATTTATATAAGAGTGTAATATTTTTATTAATTCACAGGAATAGAAAATTTTCACCGATTTGTTATTGAAACATTAATATCTTTAAAAATGAAAATCAATGCAGTAGACAGAAATGTAAAACTTCTTTTGCATGTCAGTTCCTACTATTGACACAGAAGAAAAGGAAGATGACATTTTTCAGAATTTACCACTTAAAAGTGACAATGAACTTGAAGTAATAGAAAAAAGTTAAAGAATGACTCAACTTATAGAAAAAATATAGTACTTTATATCTATTTATTATTCAATATCAGCTGTTAAGTAACGTAATAAAAATCACAAAAAAATAGATTAAAACCTAAGTTGTATTTTAACACTTTAATTATACAACTATTCATTATCATAATAACAGGAAAGTGTTCGGAATATTTTACATATTTTTTTGACTCGATTGGAAGAGAAACTGTTGTTTAATAGACATATCTTTTCATTTTAATACTATGTATGCTGTAATAATTTTTGTCATGCAATTTCTCACTCTTGACATAATCAAATAAAGATAGTCTCAGGGAGGATCCATATGGAGCCATAATATACAGGGTGTTTGATAGCTGATCATGCAGACGAAAGTTGGAGATAGATTGGGTGTAGCCGAGAAGAAAAGTCATGTACCATAATGTCAAATTGCCAATAGTTATCGAGTTATTAATTAAAACATGTGAGCCAACGAGCGCGTAGAGAGCAGAGGGCGACCGCAGTAAGCACGTAGACATTTGATACAGGCGGAGTCAGTGAGTGGCGGTAGGCGAGCGCGCGCGGCGAGGGGCAACGTAAACAACAAGAGACGAGAGAGCGCGACGAAGAGCGAGCGAGCGCGAACGACGAAGAGCGAGCGAGCGCGAACGACGAAGAGTGAGCGAGCTATAAGGAGAAAGCTATAAAGGAAAAGCTCGCTCCCTCCTCGTCGCGCGCGCGATCGCCTCTTGTCGCTTGCGTTGCCCCTCGCCACGCGCGCTTGCCTACCGCCATTCATTGACTCCGCCTATATCAAATGTCTACGTGTTTGCTGCGGCCGCCCTCCGCTCTCTACGCGCTCGTTGGCTCACATGTTTGAATTAATAACTCGGTAACTATTGCCAATTTGACATTATGGTACATGACTTTTCTTCTCGGCTACACCCAATCTATCTCCAACTTTCGTCTGCATGATTAGCTATCAAACACCCTGTATATAAATTAATAAATGTCATTAGACGAAATATTGAACTAATATTAACTCTGTACTTACATTTCAGATTAAACAATTGGTTCGAGTTGTATGCGAGGATTTAAAAACATCGTGTATAAGACTAATAAGACAAATCTTCAGCAATGAATTAGCCATGGAATACAGCTGGTATGGAATGAAAAAGAAAAATGTCTTCAGCAACTTACAATTGTGTAAAGTAATTATATGTAAATAAAATATACAATCAGAATATACATACAGAATTGTAAATCTTAGTTTTTAATTAATAGCATAATTGATAATTATTTAGAAGAGGCACGCCACCTCCGATTTTGCTAAAACTCACATCTTTTATGTATTTTCACGTGTAGAAGCCAAATCTGAATTAAAAATTATTGCTCGGCTTTACAAAGCGAGAAAAATATTGTTTAAGATAGAATATGATAGGTTAAGAAACTTGTCATTGCAAGGTAAAGTCTGTTCGTTACACTTATTGTAGTGCAGTATAACAACTAAATGAAAATACTTAAATTAAGAATATTTATATAAATAATTTTGTCACATGTCACATTGCAAAGGGGCCTTTGCTAATCTTTTCAGAATTTGTCATTTTAATGTATGGTAGACTCATTGATTTAGTAAGGCGAAGATTTAAAGGTATATTCTTTTATAATTATTGTACATAAGATAGAAGTTATTTTGTGTACAATTCAAAATAAGACTTATATTGTGTACAATAATTGCAAAAGAATATATCTTTAAATCTTTGCCTTACTAAAGTGATGAGTCTACCTTATATTAAAATGACAGATTCTGAAAAGATTAGCAAAGGCTCCTATGCAAAGGAGAATGTATCATGAATCAAAAGCGGAAGAATCATAGCATATGTTATTTTATTGCGTAACAAGAGGAACAAGATCAGTCCTACATAATGAGATAGCATATATTTACATTCTTCTGCTTCTGATTAATGATACACTCTCCCTTGTGTAGGGGCCTTTGCTAACCTTTTTAGAATCTGCCATTTTAGTACATAATAAACTTTATCGATTTAGTAAGGCGAAGATTTAAGGATATATTCTTTTATAATTATTGTACACAAGATAGGAGGTATTTTGTGTACAATTCAAAATACGTTCTATCTTATGTATAATAATTATAAAAGTTTAGTTGTGTATTGCGCTACACTAATACAGTAAGTACAACGAAGAGACTTTACTTTGCAATGACAGGTTTCTTAACCTATCATACCTCTATCTTTAACCATTTTTTTTCTTGCTTTATAAAGCTGAGTAACTATTTTTACTTTTGGATCCGGCTTCTACGAGTCAAAATATATATGATACGTGAATTTTAGCAAAATCAGAGGCAGTATGCCTTTTCTAAATAATTACCAAATGTTTAAACAAATATTTAAGTAATCTCTTTATTTATATATTTATATTAACATAAAATTTTTCAACTTTCTTTTAAGCAACTTAAATGAGAATAGATATTTATTTAAAGAAAATACTCTCTCTCTCTTTCTCTTTCTCTCTCTCTAATTATACTGATTTTTAAATATTGCATTCCAGGTGTGATAAGAAAGTCGCATACAACTGCAACAGACGAACAAATTTCTGCTCCCATCAAGATCTGGCTGGCTCATGCAAAGGAACGTACAAATAAACAAAAAAATAATTGTGTTATTTTAGATTTTACATATATATATATATATAGTTTATGAAGAGTTATAATTTATAAAGTTTATAGTTTATAAAGACAGTACAAGTTTGTTAAGAGTTCATTTATATGTTAAACTAATTAAAAAAATATATATATAATAATATATAATATATAACCAATTTGTCATTTTTATTATACTCAAAAAAACCTGCAGAATATTTATATATTATATAAATATTCTACAAATATACTAACAATAAACCAGGAAATATTTCTAATAGATACTAGTAATATTATTAAAATATTATTTACATATACTTACAATAAAATACGAAATATTCTCAGTATATATTGAGTAGACTGCGGAAGCGGACATTCTCAATATATTCTCAAAATATTACAGTACGTATTTCGGATATTCATAGAATAATCGCAATTTACGTTTGTGATATACTGAGAATCTGCTTAGAATCTACCTGTGCTGTGTGGGTCGGACGTCCTATGTTCGAAGTTGTGACAAACATACGGTCGCAGATATAAAGGTTGTTATTTTTTTTTTAATGACTTTCGGGACGCATCCCGACTCGAGAAAGATGAGAGCTGCTGCTCCACCTGTGGAGCACGCCTGCGCAGTAACTCACAACGAAAGGCGAGAAATGAAATATACGTGGTATGACATAAGTATGTCAACAATCATTGCGTTTAGCGAAGAAAATCGCTCAAGCGATTAGTGACTATTGGTCCTTACTGTTAGATACTTACATTCAGACCAATAACGTTGACAAATTATTCAACAGTTGCTCAACCGTTGAGTGTCGTGAACGCACCCAATTCTTACATTTTGAAAAATCAGCGGAGGGATAAATACACAGTGCAAGTCACTCAAATGGGAATGCGTCTTTTGCAAGGTATTGAACAGGTATGTATATTAAATTTTAATTGAAATCGTATTTTTTTAGTCACTAATCGCTCACTGAGCAGTTTTCTCCGCTGAATGCAATGGCCGCGTTCAGTAGAACAAAGTGATCAGTGAGCACTTAGTGATTATTGTCTGTGATTGGAGCATTCTTTTAGATTCTTCATAGACCCAGAAGTATTTACCAATCAGAAGCGAAAATCACTAAGCGCTCACTGATCACTTTGTTCTGCTGAACGCAGCCAATGATTGTTGACATACTTATGTCATACCACGTATATTTCATTTCTCGCCTTTCGTTGTGAGTTACTGCGTAGGCATGCTCCGCAGGCGGAGCAGCAGCTCTCATCTTTCTCGAGATGGGATGCGTCCCAAAAGTCATTAAAAAAAAAGTGACAACCTTTATGTCCGCGACCGTACATGTGCCTAAATAACTTTTCTTATTGGATGAGAGAAATCGGCCTTAGGGCCAGAGCACAGACTTCTGCATAACGCATAATATACAACGCATAAGAGAATCAACCAATCAAAGTTCTTCATTTCTATCTTGAGGAGGGAAATGAAGAAAACTAATTGGTTGATTCTCTTATGCGTTTTGTATTATGCGTTATGCAGAAGTCTGTGCTCTGGCCCATAGTATATTTTTCTTGTGAGGAAATGAGATATAAAGCCAGCGGCACGCGGTGCTTGATTTCGTGCTGGATGAAAATATTGCGTTCTGATTGGTGCATTTCCATCTATCTTCGGACATGGCTGCATGTGTGCAGTTCATTTTTTGCTATGCAAAATTTGGCGAGTGACGCTATTGCGTATACTGTGCTCATACTTTAACTCTTTTTCGTTACGAAAAATAATTCTAAAAGTGACTTGTAACCAATCAGGAGGCTTATAAACCACTTTTATAATCATTTTTAACAATAAGAGTTCAGAATATGAACCTAGGCGTTTAGGAGAAAAAGTGATTGCAAAGTACACTGACGACCATAATACCAAAAAGAGATCATGTTCAATATTCCAAATAAAACTTCAAATATTCTCTTAAAAATACTAGTTTATTAATAATCATAAAAGCAACTTTTTAAATATAAAACCTACTTTAATCACAAGTATAATGTATCAACCAAATTTTTAATATGGAAAAAAGATCTGCCCATGATAGAAACAGCGTTTATTAACGAGTTGCTACGATAAAGTTCGATTAATTAGTCACAGGTAAAATTCAAAATAAGACAGTTGCCTTAGAGAAAATTGAGGTCTCAGGATGGTGGAGGGAGGGGATGGCGAAAAAGGTATACGAACTTTTATTTATTTTCATATAGTATATATATATATATATGTATATGCACATATAGGCATGTATATGCATTTCCCTAAAGTGGATGTTTGCATACGATAACCAATTGATAAAGAATATGATCGGTTAAAACCTTCGGGAGCACCTTTCGCTCGTCGCTATTTGCAAAAGATTTTCGATGCTTCTTGAACGTTTTCGTAAATGTTCGGCCAGTTTCACCCCCAACCAAACGACTCGTCCCGGTCGGGGGTCTGACGATCAACGATTCTGACTGTCTTGAGGCTTGCATTACGGACCGCTTGAAGTTCTCTTCTAGGCTTGAGACTTCTCAGCCGGAAATGAATGCGGAATTCGGATCATATTCTTTGTCACAAGCGCGAGAGAAAACCTTCGGGTTCTTGACAATGTGAGCAAGATAAACGTGTTCTTCGGATATCTTGTCTTCGACTTTTCAAAACTCATTTTTTTCAGAGTGAAACTTCAAACTTCCCTCTATCATCCAATACCTCTTGATTCAAAACCTTATAAACAAACAAACAGGTTAGAGAACATACTTCTATCGCTAGATACAATATTATTATTTTTTCCCATTTTTTCTTTTTTTCGTTTTTATTTATGTATTTTTTTCGAGAGACTTTCAGAAATGTTCGGACATTCTTTTCAGATTCTTCTCACCATATAGCTGGAATATAGTTGAGAGCTATTATTTAGCAATTCAACTAACTAAAAGCATATGAAATGCTCAACTGTGTTCCAACCTTTACAGTATACAACTAAATATCTTTTTCATATAACTTAAACCTTATCTTCATAATTATTATTAGGAAGTTATATAAACTTATGAAAATAAGGTTTTGCGTCCATTCCAACCTTGCTCCAACCTTGATTACTATTAATGAAATTATCAACTGATATCATGTAATGTTAAATATTGATATGCAAACAGGCATATAATATAAAGACAAGGTAAAAGATAAGATAAGAATAGCAGTGCGAATATATCATTTCTATGTCTCTCTTTTTTTTGACCCGGTATCGATCGAGAGAAGAAATATTCGGGTCATGTCAGAAAGGGTACTCCTCAACCTGGCCTCTCGCACTCGTGTCACTTAATACCGACCTGAAAAATTCATTAAGCAACAAAAACTATGATAGTTTGAGCCAAGTTACACCGAGTTGCACTTAGTTACTACCGTACAACTTATTGGATGCATATCTTGACGCTTCCGTCTGCCATTCTCGTTAACTTAAGTACTTACTTCGTCTCCAATTTATGTTAATCACATTTGGACTAGAAAATATAAGCGGTCTACGAAAATATGAATCCAATGGGATATTGTGACGCGAGTCGTTTGAGAACCTTTCCGTTACAAAGTGTGATGTGCATATAAAAAATCATCTTTTTTTAAATAAACTACATATAATATTAATATATGTAGTTGCATTTGATTGTCATCAAACACGATTGATTTCTGCACATCTTATGTAATGAGTATTTGACTACGTTTTTACGTTTTTATACACATATAAGCTAATTTTTTTCGGATTTAGTTTTTTTTCAAGAAACTAATGAATATCTATACAATAAAGTGTAATAGGTTCGACCTTGGCTGTCACAGAAATGGAATCTTGTTTGACCTTCTTACAAAAAATATTAAAACGTTGTAAAATGTGCGAAATTTCTTATTATGCGTAAAGTTATTCCATTATTACAAAAACGTTTGATAGACATAAACGGATATATACTGAGAGGAAGTACATATCCAAAATAGAACATAACGAACTAAGAACAAACAAACATATTACGATTTCGTGTGATTGTGAGAGAGATAGAAAATACTTCAGTGATTTTTAGTGGATATCTTACAATTCCATACTCCGAAGTTATATGTGTTTATACGCGTCTGACACATACAGTTCTAGTACAGGAATGACACCATATCCATGTAGACTGCTTATATTATTGTGCTATGGATTAAAGTACAAGTCTATACTCACGTGGTGTATAGGAGCGTGTTCTGGAACGATCATAGCGGGAACGTCGGCGACTATAGTACGGACTTGGTGAGCGACGATAACTTCTGTAGCTGATTCTGGTTTTTCATAGAAATCAAATAAACAGAGTCAAATTAGACTTGAAACAAATTAGAATTGAAAATAATAGTTTGTTTAAATAGTTATTCAAAAATTATTTTGAGTCTTACTCTCTACGCCTTGGCCCATCCCAACCTCTTTCGTGCAAATGTGTAGGTTTGCCCATATATATTCCTGGTGTGGGAGTATGAGCACGCTGCGTGATTGAAAAATCTACTCTTATTCGTCTACCATCAATCTCCATTCCAGTGCATTGTTCCTTCGCTACTTTAGCATCCTCTGATGATCCAAAGTAAACAAAGCAAAATCCTCGCGACCGACCAGTCTATAATGGAAATGTTTCATATATCTTATTGTTGATAAATTAACTTTAACTTGTTGCTATAACATATAACTTGTTGATATAACATCATTAAGTACAATATATAATATTAAGTATAACATATTGTAATATAGATAGTTGTAGCCAGATGCCTTTAACTTGTCATATAAATCTCAAATATAAACATTCTAAATTTCTGGCATTTATTATTCCCATGATACTTCAATATAATCGTGCATAAGTGCATGATCATAAACGCTTATGGGATGCAATAGCAGATCACTGCTGTAACATTGTATTATATATAAGTAAACATACAAATTCGCAATATTACATACCTTTGCATCAATTACAACCTGAACTCGTTCAACAGGACCATATTTTGAGAATATGTGATGAATTTGTTGTTCTGTTGTGAAAATAGACAATCCAAATACACCTAGACATCGGGAAGGGCAAGGATTGTCGCGGTTGCCAACATGCCTTCGTCTAGATGACATTGGACTGCGAGAATGCGACCGATAAACATGTCGATCGCGAGAATACCGAGACCGTGAATACGAGCGAGATCTACTGCGCGAATAACGACTTCTGTATGGAGAACGACTGCGACTACGGCTACAGCGATGACTGAACGTATATCTACTGCTGCGATATCTGCGACAACGTGATATAGAACGACTACGCGATCTCGAATATTTGCATTCTCTGTGGGAGTCCTTGCGTTCACGCGACTTGCGTGATCTCGAGTGCGATCGCGAGTCCCTTAGGCCATCTGCAGTCCTTTGTCTTCTAGGGCTTGCACTGCGACTACTACTTCTCTGTAAATTACAAGCAAACTTTATTGCAGAATAGTATTCTTCTTATTACTGCATTTATCTTTTTCAATTAACACGTGGCAACGAATTTTTATTTTTATTTTTCTATATGAAAATTTTAATATAAATTGATTTTATATTCCTACAAAATATAAAAATCCGTCGAATAATATTTCCGCTGCGAAGAAAAAACGACGGTAATCAATGAATTGTTCGTATCAATTAACATGATGCAAAAAGTTAATGAGTCAATGCGAAGAACAAATGAAAGAAAACATGGAAACTGATGAATAACCATCAATATATGGTAAAATTGAGATGAAAAGTTGTTCGTCGGTTTTATTCATTCCAATTCTATTAGAGATTAAAACAGCAGAGAAAACAGTTAAAAGACAGCACGAAACGTTTAAGCTAGCGTGATAATATAATTCGACGGCGTTGCTGGATCAATAATGGCCGTGTTGAGGCGATGCGTGGTCAAAACTCGCCCTACAAAATTCCCGTTGCGACGTGCATGGGATTTGCCGTATTGAATTCATACAAATAACACTCACCTCGATATCGCTCATTTTGAGATTGTCGAGTGTGAAGTATCTGGAAGAAAACGATAAGGAGCGAATGAACGAAAACGAAAAACGAGTACAACGATCCGCGTTCTGCCTTGTTGGTACAATATGGCGTATACTTGGGAATGCCGGGCGCATGTATATAGTACGTATAGTCGTATATAGTGCGTAATGCACAAGTGAATTGGTCTGTTCTTTTTAGCTGCACTACTGAACTGGTGCAATAAGTTAAAGTGAGAAAAAATATAGTTGTCTCATTCTAACTTATTGCACTAGTTACGCAGTGCAGCTGAAAAGAACAGACCAATAGTTGAAGCAGAGAGGAACCTTAAGGCCCATCTACAATGGCTGCAAGAATAAAGCCAGCGGCACACGATGCTTGTTTTCGTGCTGGATTGCTGCTGGATGAAAATACTGCGTTCTGATTGGTGCATTTCCATCCATCTTCGGAAATGTACCAATCAGAACGCAGTATTTTCATCCAGCAAGCAATCCAGCACGAAACAAGCACCGTGTGCTGCTGGCTTTAGATATGTATGTATACTCAACTATAAAAGATTAGGTTTGATATCTTAATATGGTTTTTTCGAAATGCAAATAAATCAAGATGCAATCACGTCTTTTACTTGTTATGAGCTAATCAGATCTGATCGGATTGCTCCGAGGACACGTTTCATAAATCGGATTAGTCTAGAGAACTTTTTCTAAAGTCAATTTATATCACTGCTTCAAATTCGATTATAAATCAGATTGCTAGAAATAAATACCCTATATTATATGTAACGTGAACTATACATTTTCACATACGCATCTCATTCGCACGCAGTCAAGAATCGAGCCCCAGTTCCACAACTTGCTTTAAATTGAGCCTAAATAATTCTATTAGAAATGAAGCCGATCAATTTTTGGAAACGCAATTCACTAGTAAAGGAACTAGATATAGAACTAGGGTCCCGAGTATTTGGCCGCGTTCAGTAGAACAAAGTGATCAGAGAGCGCTTAGTGATTATTGTCTGTGATTGGAGCATTCTTTTAGATTCTTCATAGACCCAGAAGTATTTACCAATCAGGAGCGAGATTCAGTGGAAAATCTAATAATGTCCAACTGTTGAGTCTATTGAACGCGGCTTTTCTCACTCGCCATGGTTCAAAAAACATCCTCACCTAGATAGGCAAATCCTAACCCTTATTGCCTGCCTGAGATCTTATCATATTTGTGTTGGTCCGCACCTGATGAACAAAAATATCTCTCACAACGTCTCTTGTGAATGTGGATGGCGCTACAGAAGCTGGAGCATGTATTAAGTCAGCGGCACACGGTGCTTGTTTTCGTGCTGGATTGCTTGCTGGATGAAAATACTGCGTTCTGATTGGTGCATTTCCATCCATCTTCGGAAATGTACCAATCACAACGCAATATTTTCATCCAGCAAGCAATCCAGCACGAAAACAAGCACCGTGTGCCGATGGCTTTATTCAGATGTCTCCGACACTATGAGGCATCTGACCGGCTACTCCTAAAACTCTATTATATGGGAGCCAATATCAACGCAAACTTTTTAGAAACGGACTCCTTTGATATAAATAATTTCCCAGCCTTTCAGGAGATAGCCAAGTTCCTTGCACGCACCAATCAGATTATATAATTTTTCACACGTTTTCGTCTTGAAACGATGGCCGCGTTCAGCAGAACAAAGGGATCAGTGAGCGCTTAGTGATTATTGCCTGTGACTGAAGCATTCTTTTAGATTCTTCATAGACCCAGAAGTATTTACCAATCAGGAGCGAGAATCACTGAGCGCTCACTGATCATTTTGTTCTTCTGAACGCAGCCCATGACTGGCGTATGAACGGAATTGATCCGTTTGGAGCCATCTATTGAACCATGAACCATGAACCATCCGACTCTCTTCTCAGTTGCGTCTGTCGTAGCGTACATTGTAATGTGTGTGATGTTCACGCGAGGGTCAGCAGCGGGGAAGAAGTTCGACGAGAATGGCGACTTGTATGCCGTATCGTTTGTAATGTGTTAGAATTTTAATAGAGTGTTACACAAGTTACGGAATGCGACGACCAACACCGAGTAAAGCAGCATCGAACATGTTAACGATGTGACATTCGGATGGTGGAGTGGAAGATATCTTACTGCCGTCGTATCATCTCAGACTCAGGTAAGCTTCAGCAAACATTACCCTTTGCTACGATCCATTTCTTCCACCGCGCAATCCTTTCGCAAAGTAAAAATATTTCGAGCTTAGTATAATTCGCCTTTCTAGCATCTTACATACGGTACGTGTGCGTGATCACGCTTTCATCGAGCATCTTGGAACGTCGTATATTTGATCTCGCATGATCTTGCATATTTGGTAACGCACCGCTTACACGATGTCCTAGTTTTTCTGAATGAACATTATATGTACGAGATAATAACGGTTTACGATCGTGCAGCGATATAATTTTTAGTACGAGCAATAATATCTCTTGTTGGTCGTATTAATTCAAGGTAAGTATGAAGAAAAAATATATTTACTCACCAATCTTAACGTGACTTAACGTATCACATATATGTAAATGTTTACGATTTGGAAGCAAAATATAAAATCATTTATCTCTATCATCGAAGTAATGGAGCTTTAAACACAACTCTTCCAAAATTAGGTTAGATGACCTTTTACCAATCATATAGTTTATAACATTACTTATATATATATATATATATATATCTTTATATATATATATATACTTTGTGTAAAAAAAAATCTAGATTTTTCTGAGAATATTGTAGAAAAATAAATACAAATATAATATAGTAATCTTTATAGGTAAAAATGTCGTCTGAATACAGTCGAAATATTTTGAAAATGGTTGTTGCCTCAATTTGCCAGACAGTTGGATGGCATTCAATCAATTCTACACCACTGGAGTTCATGGTAGATCTTATGCAAGAATATCTATTGCGTATCTCAAAACTTACGCATCAATATTCAGAAATTTGTAAGTAATTGATTGTATTAATTTGATCAGTGATTACCTCTGATCTTTCTTTGTGCATTTATAAATATATTGTATTAAATATGTAACATTATCATCTTTTACAGTGGGGAGAACAGAGCCAAATCTTGATGACTTAGGATTAGCATTTCAATATATGAATATTGATATACCAGAATTAGCTGAGTATGTAAAAAATGTAGACTCTGTTCAATATCCTGTACAAGTGCCACAATATCCAGTTCGGCGTGAGAATCATTTAAATTTTTTAAAACCGGGTAGTCGCGAAGTTGTTACTAGACCAGTACATGTACATGAACATTTACCAGCTATGTATCCAGATACTGAAGGTAATAGTAATAATACTCTACATGAGTTTCTTTTTATGTAATTGCAACATATATCAATGTACATTAATTTACATGTTGTTGGTAATATATGATAATTACAGAAGAATATATAGTGGACAAGAATGAAAGCTTAACTAATGGCATAACAGACCTTACACCCAGTAGTGGAACATCATCCAGCAATTCAAACAACACTTCACCTCACAGGTTATCACCACAAGGGATTTTTAAGCGACCTGGGGACCCAATATCTTTCGAAAGTCCTATAGTGAAGCGAGTGAAAGTTGTAGAGGAGGGAAGACCATTGCGCGAAATAAGTAGTGTTATGATGACGACTTCTGGGTTCTTGTCACCAGCGCGAGAAGGAAAATTACCTGAGGCGAGAACGCCCCATCAAGTACGAGCGGATTCGCCACAACCGAGTTCCTATCCAATGGTGCCACCTGAATTGAAATGTGAGAAGAAACCGAAGAAGATTGTGAAGAAAGGTCCAGAAGATCGTAAACTCGATAAAGAGAACAAGAAGAAAAAAGGTGCGAAGGAATTATTCAAGCCAGACAAGATCGACGATAGTAAGATCAAGAAATTAGTCGGCATGAAGGAGCTAGCAAAGTTGAAGCCATTGAAACCAGGTGGTGGCAAGACGCAATCAGCCGCGCTTTCGCAAGAACTTTCGGGTAGCAGACCGTCCACACCGAAAATTGCGTCGCCGAAGTCAGCCGGCAGCCCTAAGCCATCGAAAGTCGTGCAACCGAAAATTAAGGCGACTGAGAAGGTGATAGATCTAACGGATAGTTCTCCACTTGTCGAGAAGAAAGAGGATACCATTGATAAGCTGCCATCAGAGCCGGACAAGCAGAAGTTGAACATATTCAAGAAGATATCAAAACCGCGTGAAGAGAAGGATAAGGACAAGGAGACGGTGGAACCGCCGCATAAGCACAAAGATCTCAATTCGCGTGAATGCTCGCCGGCATTGATCATCGATGAGAATACCGAGAAGCAACACGCGGTGCACCGTAACGACATCGTGGACACGGCGAAACGTAACGAGGAGAAGAAAACACCGCACACACCGGACGTGCATGTGCAACTGACTGATGGGGATTTGGTAGATGTGCAGAGCCCATCGTCGGACGTTTATATGTTTGACGACACCGACATCTCGCCGCCGGGTACGCCCAGCAGCACGCCGAAAACTCCCGAATTGAATGTACCCACTGTTCTAGAACAGAAACGAAAGAAGAAGGAGAAAAGCGGCAAAAAGAAAGAGCCGAAGCTGAAGAGTCCGAAGCAATGCGTCAGTCCGAAAAAAGTAATATTTCTTTCATACGTTATCATACTGTAAACATCGACTGTTTCAAGATTGTTCGGCTTGTTCGAAGAACCTGTATTTTACCGTTCTTTTATGCAAAGTGTAACAGAAAGATGGGTATCTTAGATTAACTTGAAGGAATGATATTTTTGAAGAAAATGTTAAATACAAAAGTTTTAAGGTTTGGAATTGGGTATCTAGTGGTAAACTTAAACTTGATTCAGGGAACAAATTTAGAGATCAAATCAAGGTCAACTTGATTTTTTTTTATGAAACTACTTTTGACGTCAGAAATGAGAAGAGCGGAAAATTTCACATCTAGATACATGGTCATGTGATAGGATCAAGATGATCCTCGAGACTAAACTAATCTTTCCGCAATGGCCCAGAGCAACTGGAGAGGATGCAGTTTTGGGAGGGAGGGGGGGGGGTGTTTTGGATGAGTATTTCAACATCCACAGAGAAATATTTGATGGTGACATTGACCGCTTGACTATTTAGAGATCAAATCAAGATCAACTAGATTGTTTTTTACGTAAACTTCTATTTTTTATATCGAAAGTATATAAAATGGACAAGATATTTCATTTTTACATAAACAGTTTAAACAGTACAGATAAAATATTTTTAGAATGGAGAAGCTATCTTATAAGTACATATTTAAAATTAAGAAATTGAAATGAATGTTATTCGGAAAAAATAATTCTGGGCCCCACAACCCAAAATCAGTGCAAGCAAAATAATACAAAAATTTGACAAAAATTTTTATATTTATATAGCAATTTTCTTTAATATGCTTAAGAAAAATATTGGAAAATTCAGAAATTTGTGTGATCACTAAATAATGCCTGTAGAATTTTGTTTCTACATGAACCCATGAAAGTTGTTTTGACCTAATAACATAATTACATATCAGAACATAAAATTTTTCTTTCTTCTTATCTTTGATATTAAAAGGCTCTTCATTGAAAGAAGTTGATTTTTATTTGATCTCTAAATTTGATCCTTAGGCTAAGTTTAAGTTCACTACTAAATACCCATTTCCAAACTCTAAAACTTTTGTATTTAACGTTTTTTTCAAAAACGTAATCCCTTCGAGTTAATCCGGGATACTTATTTTTCTGATATAACTTGTATATGTGTATTAAATATCGACAGTTATATTGCTCTACTATTTTCTTCTCTTTTTTTCAGACGAAAAATTCGAACGACGTTATAGAATCAGACGTCTTAGATCGACCGAAAACACCGCAGGCACCAGAACCACCGTTACAAAAAGAGCCTAGTCTCCCGCCCACACTTCCCTTTCCTTTCTTCCCTGCATTTCCCCCAGCACCTGGTTTAATACCTCCTCCGATGTTTCCGCGATTCCCATTACCTCTGGGCCGAGGTGGGCCAGGTCTTCACCCGGCGATGCCCAATTTAGCGATACCACCGCGTTTTCCTAATCCACCTGTAAAACATGAAGACTTTCCGTTGTCCAAAATTAAATCTATAGAGCGCGAAAAGCTGCTAATCCCATCATCGCCTGTCGAAGTAATGTCTCCATCTATTTTAAACGAGAATGAAAAGGCGGACAAAGAGAAGGTGGATAATAATAAGATTACAAAAATATTTAAGCCAAACAAAGAGTCGCCTTTCATGAAAGTACCTGAGAGAGTTATTGCACCGCCTATAGTGTCTGCACCTATCGCACCACCAATCATGCTTTCTACACCAACAGTACCCGCCACGCAAATGTTACCATCGAAAAATTCCAAAACTGAAAAAACCGAGAAGAATGATACGATAAATTCGGTAGGAAATTATATCGTTTATAATTTAAAATTTTTATTTTACAAATCTTACAAGTTTTTATTATCTCACAAGTTTTTTTGAAGAAATCTTAAACAGAATAATTTCTATGCACTGTACGTATCCACTTGTCTCCATTATTGATATGATATAATTAGTGTAGTCTTCATCTTAATTAATTTAGCGACTGTTGCTCATATATAATGATTTATAAATTTTTCAGAAATCTAAAGAGCATAAAAAGGAAAAGAAGGACAAATTAAAGAAAAAGAAAGATAAAAAAGAAAAACATAAAGATAAGGGCGAGAAAGTGAAAGAGAAGAAGGAGAAAGCTGAAAAACGCGAAAAACTAGAAAAGCTTAAAGAAAAGAAGGAGAAAAAAGAAAAAAAAAAGGAGAAGGATGCAAATAAAAAGAATACGGTATCCACATGGTTCATTGTTAACAGTAGTAACACATGTCAAGAACCAATAAGTACTATATATCTATCATTACAGAAAGAAGATAAGAATCCAGAGGCTGTTCCAAAAATTACGTTAAAATTAGGCACGGCTTCTCCTAGACCAGCAACACCAGACAATGCTCTTATGAAGAAGATGTAAGTCATTAATAGACGACTATTTTTATGAACAATTCTTGTCAGAGGATTGATATTTATTAATAGATTTAGTATTGATATTTTTTATATATTTTTATCGTTTTTTATACACAATTTTCTTATTATATGTTCAATATTAAGCTAGTTCTTTTATTTCTAGAACAATTAAACCTCTTGTGAAAAAACCTGATGAAGAAGTCAAACGGGAACCTAGTCCAGAGTTGGCGAAAATATCGGCATTGGTGACACGTCCACCAAAGCAAAAGTCGACAAGTAAGAAAACAGAGGAGGGAATATTAGATGGAAGCCCTGCTCTTCCTACAGACTCTTTCTCTGCCAATCTTACTAGCGTGCCACCTGCATCAGCTCCTCGAACAAAGAAATCTATCTACCAAAGTGAGCCATTACCTTCATCTCACTTTGACCCTGCTCCTAAACTCCCGAACCCTCTAGTGATGCCACAACAAGTACCATATTATTTTGTAAGTACATTTGTCATGATATTTATGCAATGGGAATTATTTAAATTTTTATTTAGACTTGGAAGAACATTCGAGATACGTTAAGAACATCTAATAATGAATGAATTGAATGAACATCTATTAATGAATTAATTGAATTTTTGGAATCTCAAACAAACCATTTACTGTGTATTCCTGGTACTTTAGAATTATAATTGAATAAATAGTGCTACTATAGTCTTATATGAAAATTAGAAACAATACGCTGATTCTTATTATATCAGTGGCAACGCGCAGAGAATTCGATGTGTTTTATTCACAGTTAACCACCAGAAGGTGCTAATTTGAAATCATATAAAGAATTCACATCAGTTCGAGTTCGAGTCATGCTTATAAAGAAAGAAAAAAACTTATTCTTTTTTTAATCTTTAACAAAATATACATTATTATATGGAAAAAGAATTTATATAAATATCTTTCAGAATGATACATAAATAAGTAGATATAATGTAGAAATCACACATATTTGTATACATGAGATTTTCTAAATGTTCTAAAGATTATTATAGATAAATCAATGTGGGGGTGGGGGGTTAACGTAAATTGTTGCAGATGTTAATATTTTATTCTACAAGTGACGAGCCCAACCCATCAATATTATCTCACGTATAAACCTATCCGAAGATTCCACTTCCTATTCATTTTACGCTGTGTATGCATTTAGGACTTGTGGTGACGGTATCATGTCTCCTTATTTTTAATTATTTTTTTTTTATTTATTTTCTTTTCCCGTTAAGCCATGCTTTTGGTATATTGTTATGTTGTCCAACTATAAATGTAGTACATTCTTATAGCTATATTTAGACTTGTACATTTTACGTTACAAACATCACTTATGCTCACTTTCTTCAAATCTAGTACTCGTTTTCTGTTTCCGAAAATTCATATTGAGTCTTAAATATTTCTCCAGTCTTACTTACAAATTGAATCTTACGTATTTATTTATTTTACAATTTCATTGTGAGATTGTTCTATTTTTTTAATAATTATAATAGATGTGATATTTCAAATTGCAAAACATTATTTGATTCACATATCTCATAATATTCAGTTTTACAAAGGAATTATAATTATACTAGTTTTTTCCTATTAAATTATATTTTACGATATTTTGCATAAACAGCCAACAATTTAAGTGTGCTGTTTGTACATGCTGTTCATATATAAATACAATCCTGTTTCTTTATTGTATAAATAATATCTACTCATTAGAAATTAATTCAATCATGCATTTTCCGAATAAGAAAGCATTTATCGTCATCATTTTGTCATCCATGCATTTTACATAGATTAACTATGCACATTATAAATACGCATACAATATGCAATATGCTATACTTGTCTCTTCTTTTTACGAATTTGAACAATTAATACAACTATGTAAATAATATTCTAATGGATTTCACAAACATTTACTTGCATTATAAACTCAGTATTAAAAATTTTACAAAATATAACTGTGTGCACGCGCGCACGCACGTACACACACACACACACGCGCGCGCGTGCGCACACACACACACACATACACACACGTATCACGCGCATAGTATCGTTAATTATGAATTGAAAAATATCTTGAACAATTTCTTTACCATTTTATCCATTAGTCGGATATACACATGAAAAAAGAAAATTAGCGTCACTAATGTTGAAAAGATTACACGTATATGTACTTTAATTTGTTATCGGATATTTAATATCTTTTATTTCAACACTGTAATATGAAAACTTTAATATTCGTAAAGTATCAGCTAACGATGTACAGTTTATTGTCTCTTAGTATTTTCGTACGTTTAAATGAAGTGTGATTTCTGTTTTATGATATATCTTATGTTAGATAATAACATGTCCACGCTTTTCATTAATTTCTCTTCTCTATTTAGCAAGTGCAATCTCATTAGTGTGTGTGCATAAATATATTCTTCACGTATGAATAATTTATAAGATACAATTAGAGCTCTATTATGCGTCTTCTGGATTTGCTGCTTGACTGTTAACTGGTAGTATTAGAGCATGCATCTTATTAGTTACTAATGTAACTAATATCTCAGTTACATGTCTTCTCTACTTCCAACTTTAAGAAATAAGAGGATTCGCTTGTGTCAAGAGACGTGAATAAAATGGTTTCTTTCGCAAAGTTTATATAATATATATGTGTGTGTGTGTGTGTGTGTGTGTGTGTGTACACACACACACATATATATATATATATACACATATACACATATCGATTTATCAAGAACATGTCTTCTCTAATTTGTATAATTCACCGATATATAGTTTAATAATCACACTAACAAACATCGGAGGAACTATCAAGAAAACAATCTAGTATAATCATCTATAGATCCATATAGATATATAAGCATATATAATATATAAAATGACGTATAAGAGGATCGTTGCATGAGATTTGCACGTTGCATATAAATTTAGCATGAGAGACCCGTTAGGAATATAACTGACGGTTTTAACGGTACAGAGGTGAAAGCAGATCCAGTTCCTAAAAAGGATGATGCTAAAGAGGACAAAGAAAATGGCAGGAATATGTTGCCTACAACACCAGCCACTACTGTGGTGAGTACGTCTTACTCCCCTTTTAAACAACGTTGTAAGGCATTCGTTGCGCGTCGAAGGCATATCGCAGGACTATGGAGAACTAGTTTTTGTACTTTATAATATGCTAGTTTTGTAACATGATGCATACGTCATATTATATTACAATAATATGAATGTAGAAGCAAACGCCCTTGCTAGCTACTTTAAACAGAGACGATTCACATATCGAAAAATTAGAATATTCTAAAAAATCACACGTACACACATACACACGCGCGCACACACACACACACACACACACACACACACACACACACACATACATACATACATACATACATACATACATACATACATACACAGACATATACATATTTTATGATTAATCAATAGATACATGTATGCATATTCTGAATATTCAAAAGAAGAGACAAGTTCATTTAGGTTGTATGTTATCATAAATCATTGCTTCATTGTATTTTGGAATAGGAGATATTTGCACGTCACATCTTTTTTATGATAATTTCACATGACAAAAAAATACTTCTGCAGAATACATTTTTTACTCTATATACTAATATCAATAACGATACAATGTGTATCAATTAGAATACTTCTGCATTAGTATTTTTCTTTCCTTTGTAATATTATCTAAAAAAGAAGGATGTAACGTATATGTACCTTTTTTTTTTTACTAAATAAGTTTGAATATATCCAAGAGATTCTCAAGAGAATGGTTCAACAACGTAAGATGGTTGATATTCCGTTTGTTATTATAATATCCTTTTTTACGAGGATATTTATGGACAGCATGACAAAATATCTCAATGCAAAGCTCACTGGTTAATCTTTATTGTAAAAATCACAGCCAGTAAAGTAAAAAAGAAACTTTAATGTTTTAGCATCGTAATAATTGTTCGGTACAATATAATCCCAGCAAACTATTTGAACAAACTTTCCAACATTATAGAACAAATTTTTGCAAAATGATGGGTTGGGTTTGATAAAGATTCGCAAAGTTCAGTGTTTATCCTGAAATGAGTGTTACAGGATCGAGTAGGACGTCAAGTATGGATATGTCCAGCATGCGGCAACCAGGATGATGGTTCGCCGATGATCGGCTGCGATGATTGTGATGCATGGTATCATTGGTAAATAACTTATAATCTTTTCTAACAGACAACAAATCTGTCCGTTTTATTTAGATAACGTGTGAAAATAACGATATTTCTAATATTTTAGGGTATGTGTCGGGATGCAGGTACCACCAGCTGATGACGAGGATTGGTATTGTCGTTTTTGTATAGCAAAGAAGCAGGAACTTCTTCACGATAAGAAGAAGAAGAAGCGGAAGAAGAAGGTGAAAGTAACGGCCTAGTATAAGCTAACCGGGTCTTGTGCAAGACCCGGTGTAATTATACCACCCACTACCAAAGTCAAAACGAAAGATAACAAGATTGGTATCAAGAACGTAAAAACGAAGAAAATGCCTAAAGGCGACGTTAAAATACAAATGAAATCGTTGAAAGGAAAGCCAATGGCGGCTAAAGGAAAGGCCGCAAAGAATATAGTAAAAGTGAAGACTGTAAAAAAGAAATAAAGTTTTTTTACATCGTGCAATGCAACTTACTAGATAGCAGAAATCATATTTTGTAAACTAGATAAGACCAAGATGTAAACGAGTTTCTTTTATGCTATAGTCTGAGAAAATCTGGAAATATCTCCTTTTCAATTTTCTACTATATATATATACACATATATACATACATGGTACGTATGTGTGTGTGTGTGTGTGTGTGTGTGTGTGTGTGTGTGTGCGTGTGTGTGTATGTGTGTATATATACATAATACATAAACAATTTCATGCGTTAATTATTTACATTGTACGATTTATTATATAAATTACACTTATATAAATTTTTAGTATATTTTCTTAGATCTATTCCCAAATTTCACACTGTCCCTTTAAGGTATTGATAAACTTAATATAGGGGATACCTGAGATGATGTAAAATTATATCTATTTTTAATGCACATACACACACACACATACATACACACACATATATAAACATATATGTGTGTGTGTGTGTGTGTAATACATTAACACTATGTAAATTAATATATTAATCATTGTTATTAGCAATGTAAGTAATATACTTCATTTTTCGTTGTACATAAATGAATTATTAATGAGTTATAAACATGTATATCACTTTGCAAATGGAATCCAATGAAATACTTTGATAACAATTTATGCGTGACAATATACGTCACTCGATTAATTTATACATAAATTGGTTGTATAATTGTTTTGCATATACAATATGTGAAATATTATCTCATACTGTGACATACGTAATATTTACGAATCGCGAAGCCAATAAAGTATTGGATAACAAACAAAATGATTCGTTAAATCAAAAATACAGCAATAAGGTAAAACACCAATATCTAAAAGAATTGTTGCATAAAACAAAAAAAAAGTTATGTATATTTTAATTCTATACTTTGTGAATCCCTTTGCTGCAACGTTTCACTTTTGAATTTATAAAAAGAGATTCTCTATATTAATAAAATATTAGTAGAGGATATTAAACGAAATTGACTATATTCAGCAAAAGTCAGTATTATCAATGTTTTGTGCTGCATTTCCAACAGTTGAAACCTTCTTCTGGAGACATTTTCTGACGGTTTACAAGTGATTACACTTTTCAACATGTTATGTTTATTAAACATACTTTTAATATGCTGGAACAAATGTTTATAGCTTAATAAACATATTGGAAAAGTGTAAATCGCTAAGCGGTGTTTACGCACTGTACTCATTGCGATATTTATTATTGTAATTCGCTTCTTTTGTACTTGAAAAATGGCATACGCGATAAGTACAAACGTGTAAAAATTTTATAATTATACAATTTATTATTTACGCACATATTTCTTTTATCACGAGATTGTGTATATTATAAAATTCTCGATATAGAACATATTGTATTTGAGAATTTTAAACTAAATCACATTACTAACAATCCAAATGCATATTCCCAATACTTCATACATATTGCAAACTTTATTCATTCTATTGTATATCCAGTTTCACACATATAATCATATAGTTTCAGTAAAATTTTGATCAAGGCATGTCTGATTCAACATAATTCTTTACATGTGATTGAATTTTGAAATTTTTTTCTTTACAATTATGTTATTACATAATTATGTACAATAACACAATATACATAAAAGTAATACATAAATGTCTATTGATCAAACTATTTTATTTAAATATTTTGAAAATATTTGTGAATAATGCATAATTTAATCAAATATTGTATCGTATAAAATATGATTTACAACAAAGAACCAAATATAATCATCTTGTTCACTGATTTTAATTTTGCAATTATAACATGATTAATAAACGATTTATATCCCGCTATAAATAACCTGAATAATATTATTGTTAACACATATCTATCTTATTTTTTGTAGGTGGAGCATTAAGTCCACCTGTATCACCTGATTCAAGTTGCTTCAGAAGTCGGAATAATGCAGCAGCTTCTCTGATACGGCTAAATTCAATGCAAAATGCCTGGACTTCGATAAATAATTCTTGTACATTTATAATCTTGTTTCTTATCAAGGACTGCAGAAACACGCAAACTAGCCGTACTAGCCGGTTTTGCATGTAACGATCCTTGATAGTCTCACAGGTGGATATACAATTACTGATATACAAATGTACAAATTCTGTCGGTAAATCTACAGTAGTGGTTAATCTGTTTACAACTTCCATGGAGTGAAGAGACATCTCCATGTTTACCAATACACTGAAATACTCAGTAATCTGACTGGATTGCATTAATTTTAATAAAACTTCAATAGCAATTAGAGGGTTATTTTCAACCAAATCTGGCAACTTGCCCGGTGTGAGACCAATATGATATACTAACTTCGGATCTCTATCCAGTTCATTTACAAGATGCTGTTGTTGCTGCAGCGTCAAAACACTTTTGAAAGCTTTACCCATCAGCTTCCGAGCTTCTGCACCAGCGCAATTGGACACACACATGCTGGTATCATACTCAATTGTAAATTGAGTCAGTTCTGTGACATTGAACCAAGATAATTCATTGATGGAATGATAAAGAGGTGGTGCCAGCCGCAAAAACTCAGGATGATGACTTTGTCTGCACAAAGGTGGATCTCCAGTTGTGAGACTCTCCATCACATTTCTCTTATCAAGCTCTGTTACTTTAGATTGATCCATATCTGGCAAAATAACAGGATGTCCACACTTACTGACAGATGGTAGTTCAGAATGATGCTCTGCTAATTGCAACTGCAAATTGGTTAAATCAATAGATGGCACGGAAGCAAAATAAAATTCGTCCATAATTTGACGTGGTGTTTTTTTCATGATCTCCTTCTGATTGTATCCTATTAAATTTGCTAGTAGATTTTTCTCACAGGTTGACAGAGATGGTATATGACCTGTGTGATTGGGTAGCTTCGGAATTCCATTGCTGGTGTTTTCCTGTGGTGCCTTTAGCATTTGAACAAACACAGGGGCAAAGGGTGTGGAGGCTAATGGCTCACCTTTGTATAAATCAAACAATAATGTTAATGCTATGATGCGTTGAGGATGTTTCGGCAATAGATCGATATGTTGCAGCGATAACAACAACGTGTTTCCTACTTTGAAACGATCTTCCTTGGAGAAACTCTGGTGCAGTTGATTGCATAGATTCTCCAGGATGGTGTCCGAATGTTCCTCATTGAGAAGATCAAGTAGTTTAACTAAGTCCTTCGGAGAGAGCGTCATTCTCCTTATATGGCAAATAAGAAATTTATAATAACACAATTATTTCTTGAAAATCTTGCATTTAAGGATCTGCAGGAGCCAGAGACAAATCCAGCGCTGACTTTGGAGGCCTCGTGCGGCGAGATCGCGAACCAACACCGTGCGCACAAGCGCAAGAGCAGGAAGGTTGGGTCAAGTCAGTTTGACAAGGACGAACAATCGATCGCGCTGTCCTTGTCTTACTCACTCGGGCATTTCGCCGGCCGATACACGGCGAGAAAATGCTTTCCAGGCTTTTGGGCGAGTGAGCCAAGTGTCGCAGCGACTTACGTGCAATACCATTTTATAAATTGACCTATTTTGTCCAGCTGATGTTATACATCGCCGCCAAATTATTATAGCATGTTCCTTATATTATTCCCGAGATTCCCACAAAGCCAGATTTTGCAATCCGGCCGTCCAAAATTCAGGGTTGGGAAAGTTACTTTTTAAAAGTAACTCGTTACCGTTACTATTACTTTCGGTAAAAAGTAACTCGAGTTACTTGAATTGCAAAATCTGGCTTTGTGGGGATCTCGGGAATAATATAAGGAACATGCTATAATAATTTGGCGGCGATGTATAACATCAGCTGGACAAAATAGGTCAATTTATAAAATGGTATTGCACGTAAGTCGCTGCGACACTTGGCTCACTCGCCCAAAAGCCTGGAAAGCATTTTCTCGCCGTGTATCGGCTGGCGAAATGCCCGAGTGAGTAAGACAAGGACAGCGCGATCGATTGTTCGTCCTTGTCAAACTGACTTGACCCAACCTTCCTGCTCTTGCGCTTGTGCGCACGGTGTTGGTTCGCGATCTCGCCGCACGAGGTCTCCAAAGTCAGCGCTGGATTTGTCTCTGGTTCCTACAGATCCTTAAATGCAAGATTTTCAAGAAATAATTGTGTTATTATAAATTTCTTATTTGCCATATAAGGAGAATGACGCTCTCTCCGAAGGACTTAGTTAAACTACTTGATCTTCTCAATGAGGAACATTCGGACACCATCCTGGAGAATCTATGCAATCAATTGCACCAGAGTTTCTCCAAGGAAGATCGTTTCAAAGTAGGAAACACGTTGTTGCTATCGCTGCAACATATCGATCTATTGCCGAAACATCCTCAACGCATCATAGCATTAACATTATTGTTTGATTTATACAAAGGTGAGCCATTAGCCTCCACACCCTTTGCCCCTGTGTTTGTTCAAATGCTAAAGGCACCACAGGAAAACACCAGCAATGGAATTCCGAAGCTACCTAATCACATAGGTCATATACCATCTCTGTCAACCTGTGAGAAAAATCTACTAGCAAATTTAATAGGATACAATCAGAAGGAGATCATGAAAAAAACACCACGTCAAATTATGGACGAATTTTATTTTGCTTCCGTGCCATCTATTGATTTAACCAATTTGCAGTTGCAATTAGCAGAGCATCATTCTGAACTACCATCTGTCAGTAAATGTGGACATCCTGTTATTTTGCCAGATATGGATCAATCTAAAGTAACAGAGCTTGATAAGAGAAATATTGTTTCTTGTAAAATGGTATTCCACCTGACTCGCTGCAACTTCTGGTACGGCTGATGCTTTATTTTTATATTATAAATTTTTGACGGCCGGATTGCAAAATCTGGCTCTGTAGGGTCCTCAGGGATAGTTCAGGGAAGATGCTATAACAGTTTGGCAATTATACGTATCGTCAGCTAGGCGATATTTTGCATCTCGTAAATAATTTTTGGAGTGATTCGCTGCGATGCTTATAGCCGCAGCAAAGTACAAGTTAGAAAAAGAAAATATTTTACTGTTAATTGCACGAAAGACAAGAAAATTGGGTGAAACTAATCGGTAAAAAATTTAACTCCCTTATATTTGTACTGATCTCAAACCACCTTGTTATTTAATTTTTTTTTAATAAAACTAATAACAAGAAGGTTTCAGATAGTCACAACAAAGTACAAAGTCATTAGGACAATAAAATATTTTGTTATTTAAAACAAAAAAAAATAAATCAAATAATAAGGAGATTTGGGATAGTCGTAGTAAAATACAAAAGAGTTAAGTTTTTTAATTAGTTTCACCCAACTTTCCTGTTTTTTGTACAATTAACAGAAAAGCACTTTCTTAGCCTAATTCTTTTTTACTTTGCTGCGGCTACCGCTAATTTCCTTGTTGTTTTAATTACAAGAAAGATTAGTAAATCAAACAACTGCTATAATTCATTATTATGATAGGTTTCTTAACCTATTATGTCAATCAATTTTAATTATTCATATTTCATTTCGCAGTGCAAAGTGACAATTTTGGTTTTCACATTAGATTGCTTTGGCTAGGAAAGTAATTATAAGATTCATAAAGTACATATCTATATATTTTGCCTGATTCGTATTAATATGATTTGAAATGTAAATCACAAGTAAATAAACCACGTTCTTCTTTACTCGTCATGAGCTAATCGGATCTGATCGGATTGCTCCGAGGACACGTTTCATAAATCGAATTAGTCTAGGGAACTTTTTCTAAAGTCAGTTTATATCACTGCTTCCAATTCGATTACAAATCAGATTGCTGGAAGTAAACACCCATACAAATGGAAGTGCGTCTTTTGCAAGGTATTGAACAGGTATGTATATTAAATTTTAAGTGAAATCGTATTTATTTAGTCACTAATCACTCACTGAGCGGTTTTCTCCTCTGAATGCAATGATTGTTGACATACTTATATCATACCACGTATATTTCATTTCTCGCCTTTCGTTGTGAGTTACTGCGTAGGCGTGCTCCACAGGCAGAGCAGCAGCTCTCATCTTTCTCGAGTCGGGATGCGTTCCGAAAGTCATTAAAAAAAAGTGACAACCTTTATGTCCGACCGTACATCGGATGTCCTACAGGTCTCGATGGTTAACGAACTTCGTTATGTTGCCACTTTTAATAAAAGGCGCACAATCGCTTCGTTACAGAATCGCGGTACATCCACATCCAATTTATGTTCACGGACGTAAATCAGACATACGGACATAAATTGAACGTGAAACATACATCCATTGGATGTCTGATGCTGTCTGAGTATGTATTTTCAGTATTGGTAGTGAATTTTGGAACACAGCCAAACACCCATATTCATAGTCAGACCTTATATTTAAGACTTCTTTAAGTTTACCTTCAGATGGTCTGTAGCCAATAAAATAATCCGTGCAGCAAATAAAGATGAATATAAAGAGGCCTCAAATATAAGGCCTGACTATGAATACGGGGCAGAGCACAGACTCTGCATAACGCATAATACACAACGCATAAAGCCAGCGGCACACGGTGCTTATTTTCGTGCTGGATTGCTTGCTGGATGAAAATATTGCGTTCTGATTGGTACATTTCCGAAGATGGATGGAAATGCACTAATCAGAACGCAGTATTTTCATCCAGCAAGCAATCCAGCACAAAAACAAGCATCGTGTGTCGCTGGCTTTAGAGAATCAACCAATCAGAGTTCTTCATTTCTGTCCTGAGGAGGGAAATGAAGAAAGCTAATTGGTTTATTCTCTTATATGTTATGTATTATGTATTATGCAAAAGCCTGTGCTCTTGACCTATGGGTAAAAGTTAGGCCTTATATTTGAGATCTCCTTGAGATATCCATCTTTAGATGCTGCACGGATTATTTTATTGGCTACAGCCAATGGCCATCTGAAGATAAACTTAAGGAAGCGTTAAACATAAAGTCTGACTATAAATATAGGTGGTAATCTTGCATGCTTTCGAGAATTGAGCCTCTGATTGATTTCTTGTTTCAAGATGTATCAAAATGTATGGATGGTACAGAAAATCCGTAGTATACGCGACGTTAACTATATAGATTTTAATGCTATCATCACATTTTGAAACGTGGTTCTCTTCTGCTCCTTCATTCATTACCTGATTGGCTGCCAAATAAGTTTTTCTGAGCAGAGAGAGAGGGGGAAAGAGAGAGAGAAAGAGAGAGAGAGAGAGAGAGAGAAAGAGAGAAAGAGAAATAGAAATCCCAGAATAAAATTTTATATATATATATATATATATTTGAGCAACCGTAGGTACGCATGCTTTTGGATCATCGAGTGATACGTTATTGTTGTCAGTTGTTTATAGGTCAGTGATAAGTAAAATCATCGCAGTTAGTGCATCTCTTGCTAAGAAGAGAAAATTCTCATGGAATGGAAAAGATTGCAAGTTGATATGACTCATAAACATAAGCAGCAACATGGTTTTCCGGTTGTACAACTATCAGATGATAACACATTGAATTTAATCAATCTTCCTGATGTTGTTTTAGAAACGATCCTGTCTAACCTTACTTATGATGAAATTTCTAAAAATAGAATTGTAAGATAGTCCTTTTTTGTCATATATTTTATGACTGACATATGTATATCAATCATAAAATGTATCTCATCGTTACTTTTATTATTATTCATTGTTGCTTCTTCAACAGGTTTGCAAACAATTTGATCGTATTTGCAAGAAATTGTTGAATCGAGGTTTTAATCTTATGGAAAAGTATCATGCACAATGTCTCCGTGCCGTTAAAAGCAAATTACCAAGAAGAGAATCTGAACGAAGAAGTCATCCTCTTGCTCGCCACTGCGATATATTAACAGCAATAGAAACAAGAATTTCTATGTTATCAATGACTTTTAGCAAGTATGTAGAAACAAATGTGTGCTGCTTTATTCCAGGAAAGGTAAATAATCTGACTTGATTGCTAATAAAAATTATTATCATTGGTATGACAAGTAGACACAAACAAGTTTTTTTTTACATAACAGGCACAATTGTATTTATATATTATATATTAACAGTTCCTTGCCAAACAGTAGTAGTAGTATAATAAAACAGTAGTAGTAGTATAATAAAATATTTGTATGAACCTTGTAGTTATACATAATGTTAAGTATATATATATATATATAAATAGTTATTACATAATGTTAAATATATATAAATAGTTATTACATAATGCTAAATATACATATATATGATTATGATCAGGTAATTGATGAAATTTTTCGTGTCCTTCGATTAATCCGTGATACAAAGACACCTCCTCGAGCACATGAGATACTTCAAGAGTTGCGAGATATAAGTAGTATGGCTATGGAGCATTTTGATGAGAAAATTTTGCCAGACCTGAAGCACAACATTTGTATGGTTGGCACTGTGAATTCATATGAATTACCTGGTGGTGCTCTCATGATCTCTCATACTAGACATCCAAACAATGCTACACTGCCACATAATTTTACTTCAGAGAAACTTAATCAGAGTTTTAAGAAAATTTATGACCGTACAAAGCAAAACAAGATATCCTGTTTAACTATGAGAAATCTAATGCGCGGAATGAAACTCAGGATGAAGAGGCAAGGCTTTCAACTACGTCTGCAAAGCTTGAAATTGCAGAAGCAGGCGAAGAAGTTACATGAACAAGATACACAGTTAGCAGAGATGCGAAAGCATCTCGAGGAATGGGAACAAAAGATGGTGGATTTAACTGCAGAGTTGAGTCGGGCACGAGAAGGTACACAAAATCCTGACTCACTGGAGAGTCGCAAGCACATGGCAATTTCAAAACACATTATTAACACCGAAGTTGATACGACGTTACAAACTAATGAGTTACACTCGAAAAAGCGTAAACTCATAGTAGAAAGGAAATCATCGAGCGATGCACAGGATATTAAATTTAAAAAATTCATGTCAGATCTTCTTGCAAATAATACATTAGACAGTAGTTTTCCATCCACTTCGAATAGTTCGACTTTTTTACACTAATCAATATGTACAAGGATTTTTCAAGAACAATTTTTCATCCTGCTCTTTATATTTGTTTTCCATTTAAAATATAGAAAAATAAGCGTAGCGATTATACGTAGCGATAATGTATCGTATTACTTGAGGACGATCATAAGAAACAAATCTTACAAGGAAAAACTATTTCAATTTATATTCTACGATATCGATACAATATACATGATACAAATCGCGGCGCGGAATTAGAGAATCTCAATATTTTAATAAAAACAAATTTGGTTGAAAACCATCATTAACAAATCTTATGAGAAATGTTTATTAATTGTTTAATGTTAATAATTTAATTTAAGTTCTATTATATGATATTGATACAATCGACGACGAGAAACTAGGAAAGTCTTAATTATTTCGCACGACTGATGGGGATTTTTAAGAGAATTATCAAAAAATCTTACGACAAATATATTATTTAGTTCATTTAGTTAAGTTCTATTCCGCGATATTGACTTAAATAATGTACAAACGAACATTCTATGTAAATTTATGGCGTTTTATTATAAAATTTCTAATCATGCTATAATACTGTCGTTATAAGATATATGTAAGAGATAAACACTACATAAAGTATTTAAAAACGTTATTCCTATGTGCATTTATTAAAAATATGAAAGAAAAAAACAAACTACATGTTGTAATGAAATACTAATATACATTTCATTTAACTATATGTAGGTTGCTCTGGAAGTTTTCACAGAATTGTATAAAAATATATAATTAATTTCTGAAATTAGTTTTATAGTTTTTCAAAATACTCTTCGTTACAATTAATATATTTTTTCATTCAATGAAACCAATTATCCAAGTATTTTGTCCATTTTTCTGATGACACTTCATATATCAAATTTTCGAACGCCTCCACTGCCGTGTTTGCCATGTTAAACTTTAAACTACGTATTTTATCTTTGATGTATGGAAATAAAAAAAATTACAGGATGTCAAGTCGGATCTATAAGACGGCCAAAAATTTTCTCGTCTTCTCTGCGACGATGCGTTATGTTGATGCTAAATGATTAGCCGATTTTTGACTCGCGAGATTTTGAATTTTTTTAAACACAGCCGACAAATTATTATATACCACATTATATACAGGGTGTATAAAAAGTACCGTGACGGTGAAATATCACAAAAACTATAAGCATTTTAGAAAAAAATGTTTCAAATAAAAATTGTAGGATTTCAAAAGATCTATTTACTGACATTATGAGCTTGACCTTGGGTGGCGTCGCCAAGGTCAGGACAAGGTCACCTTGAACTTTTTAATTGGGAACCCGTATTTTTCATCACATATTCTTGTAGCTCTTCTTCAGACTTTTTCAAAATACTATAATTTTTTCTACTTTGAGTAAGCCGTTTCGAAGTTATCGAACTTTTTATGATAAGATGTCCAACCAATCAAGGCAAAATCAAAGAAGTATCCAGCTAGCCCAAGTAAGATCCTTACAAAAGCGTTTGAGAATAATGTTAATCTCTAAAAGAAAAAGTAAAGTCTAACGAATAAGCTAGGAAACAAAAAGATTTATCCAATAAACAGAAATTTGTATTAATTAGATAACAAAATCAATAATTCAATTAAGAAAAGAAAAATCATTTATCTTTTTTGTATGAAACAATGTGTATCATGTACAAGTAATGTGTTCTACTTCAAGTCAAATTCATTGCAATTGATTTGAAACGATTCGAAGATGAATTTTAGTGTTGTTATAAATTTAGTACATTAGTATTATTTTTTAATATTACATGTGTCTGAAATACAAGTCACGAAATTGCTCCAGCCGCTAGCTGGACATCTTATCATCAGAAAGCTCGAAAACTTCAAAACGGCTTACTCAAAGTGGAAAAAATTATAGTGCTTTGGAAAGATCTGAAGAAGGGCTACAAGAATATACAATAAAAAAATAGGGAGTTCCATTAAAAAAATTCAAGGTAACCTTATCTTGACCTTGACGACGTCACCCAAGGTCAAACTCATAATATCAGTAAATAGATCTTTTGAAACCCTACAATTTTTATTTGAAATATTTTTTTCTAAAATACTTAGTTTTTATGATATTTCACTGTCCCGATACTTTTTATATATTCTGCATACAGCGTCAACTGTACGACGATTTTTAAGCGTAATAGCCATATCGGCCGATTTTCCTGAAGAACGATGCAATCATTTTCTTACCAACACTTCGGCCGCATTTCACTTTTGTTGGACGTGGCTCGTCTGAGAAAACCCACATATTCAGTTGTCGCTTACTCTCCAGTTCATAGCGGTAAATCCACGATTTGTCATCTGTTATATCGTATACTGCTTTAGTCGACCGTAATTATATTTTTGCTCCATTTGACACGCCTTTTTTCTAGGCTTAAAATGTGCTATATCCAACACTTTCTGATAATCGCTGAAATAATCAAGTAGAATTGTTTTGATTTCATGATTTGAGTCATATCAGGAATGTTTTAATTTTTCTATAGGTCGTGTAATGGTCTTCCTGTAATAATTTGCACATAATATTGACGTTTTTTGGATGTTCTCTAACCATCGTGGCAAGATGACTTTCACGGAATTGATCATTGATCTCTTCGACCGCGCTTGAAATTCGGGTGGCCACTTATAAATAATTTTTTGGGATGATACTTTATCACCAAAAACTGAACAAAGACTTTCGACGTACTGTAACGAAGTTAACAATTTCTTAAAGTCGTAAAAATTATCGCACGAAAATATTTTTGTGATAAATTCATTTTATTCGAAAGCATCAACTTTGAACACGTTTCATGGTTGAACGAATGAATATTTTTTGATGTATCAAAAGACTAAGTATCATTAAACGTGTGAAATTAAAAGAACTTATCAACAATTTTGATGTGACACGATGCCTACTGTCATTTTGCGGAAAATTTTGGAGCAACCTATGTGTTAGGTGGTAAACTTAATTCCTATCGTTTTTTCGTCTACAAAATTGATTTGTTTCGAAAGGAAGATGAATGAATCTTAATCAAAGTAATTTCCTCCATTTTCTATTACTTTTTCCCATCTCTCTGGCAACAAGGCAATCCTACGACAGTAGAACGCAGTGTCAGAGGCAATCCATTCATCCACCCATTTTTGGACTTCTTCGTAACTGAAGAAGTGTGTGTCCGTAAATGCGTGTTGCATCAACCGGAAGAGATAGTAATCCGACGGTGCCAAGTCTGAAGAATATGCTGGATGCGGGAGGATTTCCCATTCAAACTCTAGAAGTGTCTGACGTGCTTCTCTCTAGAAGTGCTTCACGCTTTTCGCAACACGCGGTCGAGCGTCCTCATGCAAAAGAATGACTTTGAGTCGATTATTGGCTACGGATGGTCTTTTTTGCATCAACTCGTCACTCAGTCAACATAATTGATTTGATATCAGCCTGCTGTCGTATTGATCAGCTGTAACGGTTTCATTTGGACGCAAGAGCTCTTAATACAGCATACTCTCCTGATGCAGAGTAGGGTCTTATGCCTGTGAATATTCCTTTTCAGCATTAAAATGGTTGGCCGGAGTCTACTCATGATTTTCTCCGCTTGAGATTATCAAAATAAATCCATTTTGCATCGCCAGTCACGATACGTCACAACAAAACTCTTTTTATCTTTGCCTGGCAAGCAAAGAAGTCGTGATAGACAAACGATTCAAAATGGTATTTTCTGGCAACTCATATAGTAGCCATATATCCCTTATGAATTTTTCTCATGGCATGCAAGTGTTTTGAGACGGCCATTGGAGTAACATTTAACGCTTTCAACAACTCTAAAAGCATTTGAGCTGGATCCTCATCAAGTAATTCTTGCTGCTCAACATCTTCACATTTTTTTGGCTATCCGGAACGTTCTTTGTCTCTCATGTCAAAATCGATCTCACTGTTTCGAAAGCGTTCAAACCAAACTCTACATGTTCTTTCCGATGGAGTTTCATCACCATACACTTCGGATAATAGGCGATGCGTTTCTGCTACGGTTTTCTTGAGATCGAAGTAGTAAAGAAGCACATGTCGGAAAAACAGCTTATCGCGGTTCATTTTCAATCGATTGGAAAATCTCTTTGGCGTCGAGACATCTAACCTGTGAAGATTGAATTATTTTCAGCAATGCTAAATTACAATAAACATCTTCACCGTCGAAACTCGCCGGCGTTAGAGCCGACACCTTCTAGTAGTGTGCGGCAGGAATTAAGTTTACCACCTAATATTTTAATATAGATTTAATAAAAATAAGATTCCAATCTTACCGTGAGAAAGAGGCGTAAATTTTATTTCGAATATTATATGCATTCTCTATAGTTTGTAAATGTCTTCAATTTTTTTCGTTTTTTATCTTTGGTGATGGATCAGTCGGTGGTTCATCCATTCCGATATTATGTTCCTGGGAATGTTTACGCGGATCTTTTTATTCGTGATTAAAAAATTATATCAGCAATAAATCGACCCTTACCGTGTCATCCGCATCAATCATTTGCGTATCCTCACATTTAATAAAAGTCTCTCGATCTGTTACTCGTGACGATTTAACGCTTGATACAGTCAAAATTTTTTCGTAAATTGATTCGTGCGCATGTTGCATATAACTTTCTTGTTGATCGCGAACTTTTCTTCTTATGTCATCTTTCTCCACTTCGGATAGAACGGAATTATAAATCATATCCGTTATCAATTCTTCCTCTGCTAAGTCATCCGCACTGCAAAAACGTTACTTTTGCTAGAAAATATTCTTACAAAACTATTACTTTTCTGCGTACCAATCATTGTTTACAACTTACGTTTCTGAAGCATATTTTGACACATCATCTATTTTATCACAAAATTCTAAGATATGCTCTTTAGCTATCTTTTCAGATATCCAGTCAACGCCTTCCTCTACGATATCTTCCAAATAAGCTTCCACCGAGTCCTGATTCACTTTCACAATCTGTTTGAACATTTCATCGAATTCTCGTCGGCGATTACGCTCCATTTGCCGTGTACCAGCTTCGGCAGCTTCTCTCATGCTCCTCTCTCTTTCAGCGAGTAAAGCGAAAGCATGAGCTTTACGTTCATTCTTTAATCTCATCAATTCCTGGAGACAAAAGAGGGGATATATTTCGCGAGTTACTTCGATGAAAAAGTAGAGCGGAGTTACCTTGCTAAGGAGATCCAATATCCCGCAGATCGTCTTTCCTTCCAAAGAGTTTAGAATCTCGCACAGGCGATCCTCCTGCATAGATTTGTTCTCTTGTAGTCGCTGCGCTTCGACAGCGCATATCACTTCATCAGAAAGTTCTTGTTGATCATCCTGATCAGAGGTCTGGTTCGACTGTAATTCTTCGATCAATTTCCTACATCTATCGCGTCCTTCGTACATCTGGAAAAAAGAACATTGCATCGTCTCGAAGTTACTTAGAGCTATAGACACAAATATAATTATAGAATCAAGAATCAAGAAGTGGATATTTCAATGAATATTTCAGGTAAATTCAGATTTCCCAAGTCTTTGTACAGTCTCTACTCACAGTCAGTACTCTATGAGTATTCTATAGAGGGTGAAGAAAAAAGAGATGGAAACCCTTAAAAATCTCGAAAGATATAAGTTTTACAGAAAAGTGTTTCAGACAAAAGTTATAAGGCTCAAAACGATGTATTTACTGATCTTATCAGTTTGACTTGAGTGGCGTTGACTTATATTTTTAAACAGAAACCCCCCCATTTTTTATTATATCATCTTTTTCTATCAATTAACTTGAACAACTTTTGTCTGAAATATTGTTTTATTTACCTAATATGTTTTGAGATATTTAAGGAAAACTTGATGACTTTTTTAATACTTAACTTACGATATCTCGCTAATTATTTGTCAGAAGGAAAAATGGTACTAAACTTTTTTACTCTATTTGGTCTTAAGAACATATTGTTACGATAGTCCCCTAACTTTTGTTAACTTATTGACTTTTGGAAATTTCAAAATCATCAAATTAACAAAAGTCAGGGTGCTATTGTAACAATATATTCTTGAGACCAAGTAGAGTAAAAAAGTCTAATAGCATTTTTTCTTCCGACAAATAGTTGGCGAGATATCGTAAGTTAAATATTGAAAAAGTTTCCGAGTTTTCCTTAAATATCTCAAAAAATATTAGGCAAATAAAAAATGTTTCAGACAAAAGTTGTTCAAATTAGTTGGTAGAAAAAGATGATATAATAACAAATGGGGGTTTTCGTTAAAAAAAAATAAGTTGACCTTAACCTGACCTTGGCAACGCTACTCAAGGTCAAACTGATAAGATCAGTAAATATATCGTTTTGAGCCTTATAACTTTTGTCTGAAACATTTTTCTGTTACTTATATTTTTCGAAATTTTTAAGGGTTTCCATCTTTTTTCGTCTATATAACAGAATCGTAATCCAGTTTTACCAGACACTGCACCGCTCTACCCCTAACGGTTCTCTGAATGAATATGGCGGATTCCTCTCGTTGCTTCTGTTTGCTGTCCATGCCTGATTTGCTTAATAATCGTTTTAGCTTAGTAACTTAACTTTTGTCTGAAACATTTTTCTGTTACTTATATTTTTCGAAATTTTTAAGGGTTTCCATCTTTTTTCGTCTATATAACAGAATCGTAATCCAGTTTTACCAGACACTGCACCGCTCTACCCCTAACGGTTCTCTGAATGAATATGGCGGATTCCTCTCGTTGCTTCTGTTTGCTGTCCCATGCACCTGATTTGCGAGGTGTAATCGGCAGAACCGATCGTTTATATTTACGCTTCATCAGCCGTGGAGCTTCATCTACAGATTTTACATTTAATCGAATGGCTTTCAGGTCGGAATGAAGCTGTTTTAGTGTCTCTTCTGTCCATCTCGTCTCTCTGATGCAGATATCCAGCGATTTAGACGACTCGCGTTTAATCACTTTCGGTTCTTCGATAAGTGGCAACCAACTGAGCGTTGTATCTACTTCTTCTTCTAGATATTTTAAACATGAAGTTGGATAACGATTGTACAGATGTTAATATCAATACAATTGATTGAGATCCGATAATAGAAATGAAACAAATTAAAAAAATATATACATACGGAAACAAGCAAACAAAGGGCTTTTCGGCATTAATTGCAGCTTTATCGATAGCTAATGATAATGGCATTTGTTAATCGGACAGCTACAGTAATAAAAAAATATAAAAATATTTTTCAACCAGTTTCATCATTTCATCTTCGGATCTTGTATACTGACGTTCGATATAATCTTCACTCAAAAATTGCTTCCGCAACATTTCGTGTCGTCTTCGGGCACATCTCCCGAAACGCAATTGCGGCGCGTACAAATCGAATTTGGGATCGGAATGCTGTTCGATTATATCGAGTTTGAACGGTTTTTGTCTGTCACACTGCTTTCTGCATAATTTTCGCAAGTCTCGTTCAAGATTGTGCCTGATACTATTGACTTGATTATCTCGACGTTTCCTCAGCCTGTCTTGAAGCCTGCAGAAACGGCTCTGCAGTTTCCTCTTATATACAGAATCATAATTTCGCGAGAAGTCTCTCATCAGTTTCAACCGTAAATCCATTATGAACTGGATCTCCTAGGATGATCAGGTGGTATAAGTCCTAACACTAGCAGTGTCGAATAATTAATAATGTAGCGAACGATAAATAGCTTGAATAATTTAAGTGAAATTTCTTAAAACATTCACCGACTCTCGAAAGGCCCATCTATCTACTTCTAAGGCTGTTATTATTGAATTCCGTATTTTTATATTGACTGGTGTGTCCATTGGAGGCAAAATGGCTTCCCAGGCTCTTTTCATCCGCAATCTGTTAATGACATGTACTTCATGGATGCCCGCTGGTAATCCGTGCTCCCAAGTTAAATGAGCCAACGTTAATACTTCAGGATTATGACCTGACCGAAAATTTATATGCGTACACGTATATTTCAGTTCCTTACAATATCGCAAAAAATGTTCCAAGTAAAACAAACGAGATATCTTTTACGAGAAGCGTTATATCTTCTCCACAATAGCGGAACAAGAACTCTGTAAAAGTGGATAGCGTGATGCAACGTCATTGTTACCGGGAGTAATTTTATATGGTGCTTCCCAAGGTTCAGTTTGAGCTTCGCTGTCTCTATAATCTGTTTGGGTCCCTGCATTTTTGTATAGTTCCAATTTAGAGGATACGGTATAACATTGTCTTTGTAAAATTCCGCTTAGAACTTTGCGATCCATGTAGTATGGGATGTCTGTAGTCTCTACCTTCGTCATAGTAAATGGTATCACCGGTTTCCGAAAACATTTAAATGTGTTATTGTGCACGGTGCAAACCGTCTTACTTCGTCCAGACATCCTTCTGAAAACTTAAAATTTAAATATTAATTACTTCAAATGCAGTTAGTGCAGAGTAACAAATAAAAAATATATCCAAGATCTAGAAAATAACTGTGTAATTTGTACTTCTTTAAAGATTAATCCTGATGTTCTTGATATTTTTATGATTTAAAGAAGTATCCGCATATTCTCTAAAAAGCATATATAAATATTAAAAAAATTCGATTATTCAACACAACAACCATATATTATGTTGTGTGTATGTGTGTAAAAAATATTAAATTTTATATATTTTTTATTTCGCGTGCAAAGAAATACTTACCAATACACCAGTTTTTCGAGTAACTGGTAATCGAAAATAGTTATCACTGTCGTATGTAATGTAAATATCATCTAGTAATGCATCATAAAAAAATCATTAATTCTAGATTAACTTCGCATTAAGTTTACATGATATTTCACCTTTCGCAGCTTAGCTATAATAATATGTAATTAAGTCTGTTTTATCCTCATAAAAGCCATTAAGATCAAGTGATTGTTATAACATGAGCGACTGTCAAAACTCGAAGCCACGAAACACCGATCGTCGTAAAAAATTGCAGTAATAGATAATAGTAATTATCGATCAAACAAAGGCGTAGGAACAAGAGGCATAGCAACAAGAGGCATAAGTCTATATACTCTAAAAGTGGCTTATAGCCAATCAAGTACCACGATTCTGTAACTCGTTATTGGAGTTAACGACACTTTCGTTATCGTTGCGCAGCTTTTGTATACCGTAGAAAAGCTGCGCAACAATAACGAAAATGTCGTTAACTCCAATAACGAGTTACAGAATCGCACCACAGTACCGCGATTCTGTAACTCGTTATTAGAGTTAACGACACTTTCGTTATCGTTGCGCAGCTTTTGTATACCGTAGAAAAGCTGCGCAACAATAACGAAACTGTCGTTAACTCCAATAACGAGTTACAGAATCGCACCACTGCAGGCTTATAATCCACACAGGCTTTTAATGATACAAGAGAATTCGAAATATGAACTATAGCCTCAAGAATAACTTTAACACAAGAGGAATATATAATAAAACTAGCACGCTTTGATGAGTAACGTATATTTTATACTCTTCAAATATCAGCATTACATTTTTAACCAGAGCCGATCTTAGCGTTGGCAACTATACATTTTGACATCTTTCTACATTCTTATTATTCATGTTTCGTTACTGGTGAGGCTCACTTTAGCGATGGATTCAACAATAAAAGGTAACCTCACTAATAATGAAACACGCAAATATGTAATTCATAATTGCGTCCCAAAAAACATTTCATTATCAATTCATTCAATGAACAAACAGTGCAATTATATCGATCTTCTTTTAATAGAGAATCTTGAGAGATATTTTAAGGAGAGACAGTTGTTTCTCAGAGGAAAATTAAACGCTGAAATGAGGAAAATTAAACTGAAACATTTTGTCAATTGTGGCAACTACGAACAATAATACCCCTATATACTAAGTATATACAGGGTGTATAAAAAGTACCGGGACGGTGAAATATCACAAAAATTAAACATTTTAGAAAAAAATATTTCAAATAAAAATTGTAGAGTTTCAAAAGATCTGTTTACTGATATTATAAGTTTGATCCTGAGTGGCGTCACCAAGGTCAGAACAAGGTCATCTTGAATTTTTTAAATGGGACTCCTTATTTTTTATTGCATATTCTTGTAGCCCTTCTTCAGATCTTTTCAAAGTACTATAATTTTTTCCACTTTGAATAAGCCGTTTCGAAGTTATCGAGCTTTTTGATGATAAGATGTTCAGCCAGCAGCTGAAGCAATTTCGTGACTTATATTTCAGACATATGTAATATTAAAAAATAATACTAATATACTAAATTTATAACAACACTAAAATTCACCTTCGAATCGTTTCAAATTAATTGCAATGAATTTGACTTGAAGTAGAACATATTATTTGTACATAATACGCGTTGTTTCATATGAAAAAAATAAATTATTTTTCTTTAATTGAATTATTGATTTTGTTATCTAATTAATACAAATTTCTGTTCATTGGATAAATCTTTTTGTTTCCTAGCTTATTCGTTAGACTTTACTTTTTCTTTTAGAGATTAACATTATTCTCAAACGCTTTTGTAAGGATCTTACTTGGGCTAGCTGGATACTTCTTTGATTTTGCCTTGATTGGTTGGACATCTTATCATAAAAAGTTCGATAACTTCGAAACGGCTTACTCAAAGTAGAAAAAATTATAGTATTTTGAAAAAGTCTGAAGAAGAGCTACAAGAATATGTGATGAAAAATACGGGTTCCCAATTAAAAAGTTCAAGGTGACCTTGTCCTGACCTTGGCGACGCCACCCAAGGTCAAGCTCATAATGTCAGTAAATAGATCTTTTAAAACCCTACAATTTTTATTTGAAACATTTTTTTCTAAAATGCTTATAGTTTTTGTGATATTTCTCCGTCCCAGTACTTTTTATACACCCTATATGTATAGCAAATTGCATATAAATATCAATATAAATTACTCTTATATAACAATTGATTACAGTCACGAACTTGTTACTTGTATAGTTTTACAAACAATAGATAAAGCTATCTAAGAGTTCTTTTAATTCTGTTATTCAATAACATCTTCGTTAGCAATGTAAAGATTTTCTCAACTCGGCTCGTATAGCTAGACACGATCTAATTTTCAGATATTTAACCTACGTAATGGTTTAAAATGGCCATTCCCGGAAGAGCCTAGGTGCGCAGGCCAGCTCTGATACAAGGAGATATTTTTGCAGATTTGATTAGGTAACATATCTTCTGGGCACACACATTCCAGTTTCATTCTATATATCGTCATTTGACCGAGTGGAATTCTTGTGTTTTCCCTATCCATCGATTCTTGATATAGTCTATAATTGACACCACGTTCTAACAGACACTCATTGACAATGTCATCCTCCTTCTTGTATTGTAGTTTATTTTCCGACAATGCTTTCTGGATACACTCCAGATCCTTTTGTGATAAAATGAGAGACACTTCGGACGATGGTAGCCAGAATGTGGAGAATATCAAATCGACAGAAGTCCTTCCCTTGGATTTAGCGATAGACGGCAACAGAATGCCGGTCGGAGGTTGCTTCTGAATACCATTAATTTCACTCGACCGACCGCCATTGACTTCCAATTTTCCTTTTATTTGTCGCTTCAGTCGTATCTTGTAAGTTTTATCCGCTACCGACGACGATGTTAAAGTTTGCTTCCTGTTATCTTTGTTTTTATTTAGATTTTTGAGCGATTCTCGTTTAAATATTTTCTCTATGCTTGCTTCATCATCTATGTCCTGGAAAATGTTGGAAAAATCATCTTTGTAAATCTGTTTCTGTTGCGTTATATCCGCAATTTTATCAGTACGCGGGGTATTTCTCTCTTGATAATCTGTGTTCTTCTGGCTTTCTGTAACACCAAGTATTTCTATTCCATGCATGACTTTTGATGCTTCAAAGTCCACTTTTGTATTCTTTAGCCTAGTAGGCTCACTCGTAACTGCTGATGTATCCGTTGTACTTACACCTAAAGTAGTTCCTTTAACGTTGCTTCTCGATTCAGTGTTCGACGTAGTCGATGATATCTCTTCTTGAAATTTTACAATTATATTCATCGTGTCGACTTCGTTCCTCGTAACCTCTTTCGTTTCTTCAGAGATGTTTTCTCTTTGGGAAATATTTGTCGAGTTGGAATTTCCAAGAGCCATTCCGGAGGAAACACTCCTCTGCTCCCGCATTATGGCTTGCGAATAATCCATACTCTGCTCTCCATCCTCGTTGTTACCTCCGTCATCGGCCCCATACATACCATCGTATTCCTTATCTAACTGTGCGTTATCTTTTGTCCATTTGTCATCATGTTTCCACATTCGATTCACATCCAAGTTATCCGCGGCGTCATTTTCAGCAGAATCGCGACTCTTGTGACTCTTGAATTCATCAAAATTCTCGTAAACCGCATCCGAATCGTACTTACCAATCTCTGCAAGCAAATTGTTATCTTTGTGCCTGAAAATGCCATCTTTCCGGTGATTCTTATGAACTTTGGGCGATCTCTCAGAGACTAGCGGTATGTCCGCGTATGTATCCATGACCTCGGGTCGAGGATGACTGTCCCAATATCTCTCCGCTTCCTGCCGCGGATCTATCGAATTGTTTAACTCCAACGACTTCCAGTCTTCCGAGAAGTACAGCTGCACTCCGGGTGGACCGACATGCTGGCTAAGAGCTAACAGTTTCGTGATCAACGTCGAATTAAATCGCAACCGGCAAAGATCGGCGTGTGTTTGCGACATAAGGCTCTGACCTTTCAGGAACTGATATTTCTCTTTGATACCCTCATAGTTCAAGCAATCGGCGGACCAATGCAAAAACCAGTCGTTACCGTAACCGTCGACTGTGATCGAGAGTCCGGACATCTGCCTGCTCAGGCTATCCTCCATGGGTTTCTCAAGTAAGGATTGCCCGTTGCGACCATCCACGATTGTAGCTACGGTGTAATAATACGTGGGGAAACCAGCGCCTATTTGATGCTTCACCATAAAATCTGGTACGTCGTCGTCGTTGTAGTAACCGGGGATCGGAATGCTGATCACCTCAGAATTGGGAACCGTATAATTCCAGATAGGCTCGAATGTTAATCCATTGTAGGCCATGATCGTGGAATTGAACATGGCTACGACAATATCCTCGATTTCGTCTAACGTGATATCGACCAGAATCGGTGGTAACAATGCGCCCTTTCCCGTATTATGATAGAGTTCACGCAATTGCTGCAACAAAAACAAACAAGATATATTAGTTATTTCCTGCCACATATAGCAAGTGTATTGCTACCTACGCGAGAACGTACCAGATCACCATAAAATATGTTTCCTTGAGACACTATATATAATCCTCCAGCCTGTTTCTGACTATTCGTAGCTAGAACAAACACGTTTTCTCCATCAGGATGAACCAGAATCTGAGGTGCTATGAATAACTGTTCTGACTCTGGTAAATTAAGGTTGCGAATAATACTGCCACTTTTCCCCGATATAATTAGCATGTTGCTCATGCGAATGTTATCAGTTTGCATGGCATGCGATGCTATTACATCGCCGATACCGTCACCATCCATATCCGCCATAAATCTCGCGTCGTATACATCTAAGATTCTTTGTTGGCCTAAGGACGTTGCTGGGTTTTGTATCGGCATCTCCCAAATGTTGGAGCCATCATGACCGTTGATAGCTTGTAGTATCCCACCACGTCCAGATATGATACAATCTTTGACTTTATCGCTTGTTAAATCGACACCACAATCGATAGAAAATATTGCGTGGGCGGTCCAATGTGTCCAAATGGTTTCACCTGTTTTGCCATTTAGTGCCAACACTCCACCCAAACATGGTGTTTGATTCCCAAAGTATACAGTACAAATATCTTGTGATGCATCCAAGGTATCCAAACCTGAATTTATAAATTAAGGATTATTACTTGGCTGTAAAAATCACTAATATAAAACTTCATAATAAAATGTTAATTTATCACCTTATTTTTCGTAATAAACATCATGTAACTGTGAAACCAAACTCTGTAAATGCAAATAAAATCAAAGATACTAAATTAGCAAATTATTGAGATAACTTGATATATAGATATAACAAGGAATTAAATAAATAAATTAGAAGTTAAATTAATGCAAGATATCAAAGTAAAAACATTAACGATCAAATAAAAGAATATTACACAATTAAGCATTGTAGCTGTCATACCTGTACTGAATCCTATAATAATATCTTCGATTCCATCTAAGTTGACATCATTACTCCTAAGAGGTGCCTCAGAAGTTAATTTTGGTAATGATCTTTTCCATAAAACTTTAGATGAGAGTGACGTACATGGAATAATTTCTGATTTGTTTATAGTATCCTTTAGCTCATGCGTCAACCAGTTTTTCAATATAGTTAATGGCATAGGAAATATATTTGCAGTAAATATACAAAGTATGATTAAGCCTAATACTATAGTTAGCGCTGTAATTCCATAGCATAATGGTATAAGAAGTGCTTTGTATGGAAACTTATGAGTCTGGAAGCTGCAAGACTTTTTACACTTTCTACGAGGTGCCATAAGGGGCCGCTTAACTCCACCATCATCATCTAACTTCAATGCACCATTTCTGCCATCCCTGATGAATACTTCATCATCGATGTCAGTTAAATCATCATCATCAATACTGTCTCTTACTGCCAGTTTTGGTGCAGTTGGATATACTGCTGACATGTTGTTATATCTATATTTATAAATTTAGTAACAATTAGAAGAATCACATGCAACTTCCAATGATCAATATAGCCAGGAGTTATGTAGCATTATATATTATGAATTATAAATAAGTACACGATATATGTATTTATATAGGTATGTAATTTCTGTAATCTAAAATATATTTTATAATTTCAACCATACATACACTTATGTGGGCTTCTATCACTTTTAAAGAATTACCATCCCGCGGAGTAATCAATTGACAAAGGTGCACAGATAAAATATGCTAAAGCATTAACAATATTTACGTATACACTTGTCATTTCTGGTTTATGATTATACGCAATCATCCGTTCCGTTTCACGCATCGAGAACCGACCGTTCCGTTTCAGCTAATGCGTGCATTGGTGGTGTATAGAATTCCCTAGAATCCCCCCACTTCTATCGCATTAAGCGCGCATCAGCTACTACAGCTCGGACTAGAAGCAGTTGATGCGGGCATGCGCAGATTAGTATTTATAATCTTTTATATAACTCTACTTAAATACTGACAACGTGACGTGCGACTGATAACGTACCGATATTTTTTGATTTTATACATACAGATAATCACAGATACGTACAATGGACAAAGTCGACAAAGTTGAATTCCCCGTATTAGTGGATAACGAAATGATCACTGTGTTTCTCGAAAAAGAGATCGCGTTAAGAGCATCGAAAGGTAAAATTGAAATTTTAAAGTTTTAGAAACAATTCAATTGTATTTTTAAATTAATGCATGTGTGTGAATATTTTTCTACAGATCAAGATTTCTTGATAAAATATAGACTCACTACTACTACTGCTACTATTGCTGCTAATTCTGTTGTCATCATTCACTAATGAAAATAAGGCTATTGTTGTCAATGGCTGCATTCAGTAGATTCAACAGTTGGACAACATTACTAGATTTTCCACTGAATCTCGCTCCTGATTGATAAATACTTCTGGGTCTATGAAGAATCTAAAAGAATGCTCCAATCACAGACAATAATCACTAAGCGCTCACTGATTATTTTGTTCTACTGAACGCAGCCAATGTTACCATCAGTTAACTTTATTTTCATTCACAATTCCTGCAAATGCTAATGAATATTCATAGTATCAGATGTCCCAAGCACGACGTCCAATCAAAATATCATTGTCATAGGGATATAGGTGTCACCCTCTAAAATCTCTGGGAAATAATTTTCCTATTGGACATTCAAACATTTCATATGCGGCAACGTATGTAATCTAAATTCTCTATCACAATCGTTTCCACTCTACTTGGAACTGTCAACCCGTGACTGTTGGCGTTACAAACGTAATTGCGATTATTCTTGTTCGGCGATTATCGTTGAACACGGTGCCGGTAAGTGTCGGTTGAAGTCATCGTGAATAAAATGTCATTCTCCAGGATGAGTCTCGTGTTTTATATCTCCTGCATTGTATTAATTTCTACATATGTAAGTGCGAATGCGCAAGTGGTAGTGCAAGATAGCTTGGTAGAGCAGCTCAATGAAGACAATTGGTACCTTATGCTCACGGGAGAATGGATGGTTGAATTGTAAGTTCTTCGTCAAATCATGGAAATTGGCTGTTTGACAGGAATGATTTTCCAGATTAAAATGCTTTTAATATTATGGGTTATATACGAACGTTGAATAAATGTCGCTATCAGTGTTACATAAAGTATAAAAGATGTAAGATATAAAATGTAAAAGTAAAAAAGGATCATAAGAATGAAATATACTGACTTAAATCTAATATTAATTAGGGGAAGCAAGAAACATAGTAATCTTTTTAAATTGATTTATATACAATGATGCATGATATATGCTTTACTGGAAGTTCTAATATACTGCATTATTTATTAGTTATGCACCATGGTGTCCTGCATGTAGAGCTCTTGAACCTATTTGGGAACACCTTGCATCATCAAAGAAAGATCTTAATATTAATGTTGGAAAAATAGATGTAACAAATTCTCCAGGTCTTAGTGGCAGATTCATGGTTACTGCTTTGCCTACAATATTCCAGTAAGTATATTTATAATACAACTGTTACTGTATGTATAACTCATATTATGTATTTCCTTATTATTATTTAATTTATTACATATAATTTATATTATATTACAATTGAATTATATTCTATTATTTTTTATATATCTTAAAATTTATTCTTATGTTTTAGTGTGAATAATGGTATATTCAGGCAATATAAAAGTCCAAGAGACAGAGCTTCATTGATCGAATTTGTTTTAAAGAAAACATGGACAAAAGTAGAGCCAATACCTAGTTGGAAGAGCCCAACTGCCTTCCATATGTCAATTTTAAGTCAATTCTTTAAACTGTCTCAAATATTGAGAGTAAGTATACATATATACATATATGTATGTATATATATACATATATATACAGGATGTTCCAGAGCAATTTTTATAGAGCTTATGAAGATATAGAGTGGGTTAGGACAAACAAAAGTCCTATACTGTTTTGCGGTATTCACAATAATTATCAAGTTATTAATTACAGAAATCTGACGAGTAAACACACTGAGATGGATGATCGGAGAAGCATTGCAAGGCTACAGTACGGCCTAGTCAAACTAGCAACTTTTGGCGGCATACGGCGAGACATAGGCGTGGCGAGATAAAACATCAATACCGGCATGTTGTCTTTTCCCTCGCCGCATACCGGCAATGGCAAGTTGCTAGATCGACTTCGCCACACTGTAGCTCTTCTAGAGGCTGCAATTCTTCTCCAATCATCCATGTCAGCGAACGTCCATTCCTCAGATTGCCGTTATTAATAATTCGATAATTATTGCAAATATCAAAATGGTATGACACAAAATGGAGACTTATATTTGTCTTAACCCACTCTATATCTCCATGAGCTCTAACAATTATGAGATACCTATATGTATATATATTTTGTATATTATCAATTTATATATTATAAGATTAATACAAGGATTAGTATAAATTGAACAAATGGTTCTAATTCTTACAAACTGGAATATAGTAATATAAATATATGATATTTTTTACTTTAGGCTATTCATACTAGGTTTTTGGAAAAGATTGGATTATCAGAATGGGGTAGTTATTTCATATTTGTTATTGCAACGATTATTTTGGGTGCAGTAATGGGTTTGGTGAGTTATACATTTCATAAATTATCTAAGATTTATATATATATATATATATAATACACAAATAATGAATTTTAATTAATATTTTTAATTATGTATAGCTTATTGTTTGCTTGATTGACTTCATTTATCCACCGAAACCAGCATCGCAACCAACTAAGCAAGGCAAAAAGAAACAAAATGGTACATTGACCACACAGGAAAAGGGTTCGGATGAAGATGAACTTTCAGAAAACGTTGGAGATGATTTAGTGGATGAGTCAGAGTCAGAGGAACTTGCTGAAACCCCTGAAGAAACAAAGGGTGAAGAAGTATCTGAACCAGAAGAACTTGAAGCGAGTGAAAAAGATATGGATACTAAAACTGATACCAGTAGTCCCAGTGTTCGCAAGCGTAAACCACGCAAGGCTGATTAGAAACATTAGTTTGTTTAATGTAAATATTCAACAACTATGGATCAATTGCCACTAATCTTCAGCGATATATTCCCGAAATCATTCCTACGTATTATGACGATACGGCATGATATCGTTATCCTACATCATGAAACATCGGTTAGTCAGTATGGATAACTTAAAGAAACATATTCGCCGTCTCTTGTATATGTTTGCAAATACAAATGAAAGAAAACTCCAAATTACTATTGTATGCAAGTGTTTTATTGAAAAGATTTGAATATTGAGGGAAAATGTAAAGACGGATACCTCAGGTATTATTCAGTAAAATTTTAGAATTTTACAGGCGTTTTAAAAATTGGTGTCAAATATCTTCTCATCAAATCAAAGAGATAAATGTTTCAACATATGAAGATGCATCATGTAGAAAGAGTTCTTCCATATATTACAATATTCTACATTCTATACATACAATTAGATACATTCTATAAACACGGTTTTATAACTAGTAATTCTTTTATTTTTGTATTAGTAGTCGAAAACATTTGATTTCGGAAGTTTCCAAAATGTAAATTTCTATTTTGTATTTTTATGTGAAATATCGAATATTTTTTTCATTAAGAGCATAAAACAGCGGAAATGATTTACAACTTGAGATATTTATACCAATTATTTCTGCACTTCTGATGAGAAGAATAAATCTTAAAGATATGTTACGATCGCACGAAACATGTAATTAAAAATATACCTTTTCCAAATGCTTTGTATTTTTTTCATATAGAAGTGGAAGAAAGAGATATTAAATGTTAGTTATATATGTCTCGTAATGTCATGCTTGAATATTTAATATTTACCAATCAGAAAGGGAGCGGGAGCGTATTTACTATTTTCTTTAAAAATATAAATTAAGAGCATTTATAGATCTATTTATTATAATTGATATGAATATATAATTAATTTATATCAAATTTGTTTTTACCAGATTCGTTTCTTTACCCATTTTTAAATGTAATATTTTATTTAAAAGTATTAAAAGGTTGCGAGAATATTGATTAAGCAGTCATTGGTTGTTTTTATACATACACTTAAAAAAGATATAAAAATAGCAGTCGAAAACATTTGATTTCAAAAAATATATACTTTGCAATTATATAGTCATTTGATATAATTATCGTACTCCTATATATTTATTTAAGAAATAATGAAGTTCTCTATGATAATTTCTGAATGACATATGTTAATATTAATATAATACAATTTTTTGTACCCAACAATTAGGAAAAATAATATTTCATTTAGTATTTCTGGCAGCTACTAATTTTATTTAATTTTTACTTATAATTCTAATGAGTAGATATTTTACATGCTATATCCTGTTTAATTTACTAATGTTATAATATACTGTATTACAGTACTATTTTTTATAATAAAGCCTAAATTACGTTTTGTATAAAGGCCTATTTTAGCCTATTATATTTAAACTTGTTTTTTATACAATTATATTAAAAGAAGAACTTTCAATTATAAGTAATATAATTACCTTCTAAAAAAGTTCTTTCACAAATATGGATATTAGATATATGCTATTGTATTCGAAATATGAATAAATGAAACATTTGTTCTTAAAAGAGGATATGATTTCCAAATGTTAAAGTTACCCGAATAAAATATTAATATACGCCAGCAAATCTGGCATAAGTTTAAAGCAAATTGTTTACACGACACTTAAGTTTCATTAATAAACTTCTAATTACATTCAGGATGATATAAGATATAAACATACGAATACGTATCTATCTATCGATCAAACATACGTTTGTTGTCAAGGAGACATAGAGATGTAAGTGCAGCGATTTCATGTAATTATAACAGTTTTACCTTAAATCCAATGTTTCTACTAAAATATGACAGATCATACGGAAAGTATAGTATCACCATGGGAAATCGAAGCTTTTGTGCAAAGTTTAGACGTTTCAATCCTGGAAAATGTCGGTACAAAAAGGTATATACATATACATACAAATTATAATACATATAAATACAACAATACAGGTAATTACTTAATACACTTCAAAATTGATGAAAATATACAACTTTATTCTAGCTGGTTGGAATTCCATAAAAGACTAACATTGTTAAACCAGCAAAGTGTACTCGAAATAACAGGATTGCGCGAAGAGAGTGTTATAGAATGCTTTATCTCGTTAAAAAAAGTAAGTTATTAAATTGAACTACATTAAAAAAAAGAACAAAGTATAGATATACAGGGTGTGCCATTTTAAATCCCTCAGCCAAATATCTCGAAAAATATGGAAGATACGGAAAAATATTTCAGACAAAAGTTGCATGGTTTTAAGGGGGGCATAAAACAATTATATCAATTTGTTTACAGATAACACGACTTTCGAGATATTCATTGATCGTTACTTTTCTTAAATGGAAATCCCAATTTTTTATTGTATCATCTTTTTCTATGAATTAATTTGGACAACTTTTGTTTGAAACATTTTTTATTTGCCTAATATTTTTTTAGATATTTAAGAAAAACTTGGTAACTTTTTCAATATTTAATTTACGATATCTCGTTAACTATTTGTCGGAAGAAAAAGTGGTACTAAACTTTTTTGCTTTACTTGGTCTCAAGAATATATTGTTACAATAGCGCCCTCACTTTTGTTAATTTGATGATTTTGAAATTTCCAAAAATCAGTAAATTAATAAAAGTCAGGGCGCTATTGTAACAATATATTCTTGAGATTAAAAAGAGCAGAAAAGTCTAGTTCTATTTTTTTTCCGACAAATAGTTAGCGAGATATCGTAAGTTAAATATTGAAAAAATTACCAAGTTTACCTTAAATACCTCAAAAAATATTAAGTAAATAAAAAAATATTTCAGACAAAAACTATTCAAATTAATTGGTGTAATAAGAAAAAGATGGTGTAATAAGAAATTGGGGTTTCCATTTAAGAAAAATAATGATCAGTGAATATCTCGAAAATGGCGCCACCTGTAAACAAATTGATATAGTTTTGGTTTTATGTTCCTCTTGAAACTATACAACTTTTGTCTGAAACATTTTTCCGTATTTTCCATATTTTTCGAGATATTTGGGGGATTTTTAATGGGACACCCTGTATACTTTGTTACACATATAGTGTTGTATAGCTCATACAAACAAAAATGTTTATTTGTAATTCTTAAGCAAAACCTATATTCCATGCTAATACAATTAACCAAGTAATTCTGGCATAATTATTTGGCTAATCTATAAAATATAGAAAAATTAGACTTAATATTTTTATATAGTTGTATAATTAACAAGTTACAAATTGATTCATCTTAGATTGCTGTTCTTATACACGAAGTTATACAAATCGATATATGGAAGCACAAAGTATTTCCACTTTTAATTGATCTTAATGGCGAACCTTCAAACACATTCATGCTGTTTAGCGTACTTTATCACGAAGTCGTCGCAGCTTCATTATTGGAGAATATATTGTTTCATTATGAAAGCGTACAAATGTTGGACGATACAGTAATTGATCTCATTGATTATTCCGTTCAACGTGTTACCATGCTTCTTGATGAAAAATCCTTAGAGATCTACGAAAGTCTTCAAGTCAAAACTCCGAAGTAACATACTAAATTTCCAATATTATAATTATTCCAATATAATAAATAAAGATTACAATGTATATTCAAACTTATATTATTATAAATATGTCTTTTTAATTTTCAATTTAAAAATCCAGCTAAATCCACTTTCTCAGATAGCACAATACATTCTACAAATTCCATATGATATCAAATGTACATAGTACTTAAACATTCGCATAATATTTGTTGTTCATTAGTTCATGCTTAGAAGAAATATTAGAAAAACTGAAGACATTTGAGTTCGACATTGGGATGCGATGTATCTCGATCCTTCATTATCTAATAGAATTTCTGGACAATTTACCGCTTTACGTTGTTTCGCGTATGTTGGTCATTCACGATATTCCTTACTTGTTCACGCAATTAATTGAAAATCAACCATGGAAGAAACAAAATGAGAACGGTAATAAATCTTTCATCTACTTGCAGTTTCTATCAAATTTGTAATATGTTATAACGATAAATAATAATATATAAATAAATAAGTTACTGATCTTTGTATAGGTGAGATGTTAATTTATGACGCTAGCTGGAAAAAAATCCAAGTGGATGAAACAAAAAAAGTTTTTAAGAGAGAAGGACAAGTATGGTTTACTTTAAGAGAATTACTTCTCAATCCTAAATGTTCTTCATACTATAAAATTACGGAGCACAGGTTGTCTCAATTAACAAAAGTATGAACTATTGCTAATCTCAATTAAAACGTTAAATAAAATGCAATTCGAGAATTAATATATTTGCTTTTTTTTTCTTAAACGGTGTTACTTATGTATTAGTTACAGAGATATCTACACGAAGATCTATTAGATCAAATAGCTCCTTTAGTAGAACTCAAGAGATGGTTATCCTACTTGAATATACCATCCACGATGCCGTCGCCGAACGCAGCTAAGCCTGTCTTTGTGGAAGTTATACCACAGGTAGAGAATAATCACATATTCTATCTTCAATCGCATTTACTATAATTTAAGCTTCACAAAAAATAAATTCATATGTATTGTACGAATTGGTCAAACAAATTGAAATCGAAATATTTAAGTTTTATTTAAATATTTAAATAATATTTAAGCTTCAAGTTTTCGTCCAATCGAAGATTCGATGTCATTGCATATAGAAAATATACAACATTTGCTTATTACATTCATGATATGTCGTTTTATTTTATAATTCGAATTATTTAGAAATGTGTATGATTTATAACTTCGATCTTGATGAAGTTTTCAACTGTTTGATCAGCTGAAAATACTTATGATTAATATCAAATATAATGTGAAATGTGATAAAAAATATTAAACAGGTCAAATTATCAGTTCTAAAAAAATATCATAAAAAATGGAATAAGTTAGCAAGACATCAGTCCAAATATCTATTTACAACGGATACGAATTACATAAAAGACGCTGCGCAAATTTTAAGCGATGTCTACGACTTGGAAAAATTAGATCGTATAAAAACAAAAAAATGTTTCTTGTGCCAAGAATTGTCTAAGAAGCGATGTTCGAAGTGTAAGGAAGCCTGGTATTGCAGCAGGTATATAAAGAATATTACAGAAATATAGAATACGTTATTTTGTCAAATTTAATCAAAAGAACATTAGTATAAAATAACATTTTTTTTTCACAGACAATGTCAAGTAAAAGATTGGGACAATCATAAGGATATTTGCAATACAATAACAAAAACTAAAGAAAGAAAGATAACGAATATATAAGAATAAGAAAGATAAAGAATAATAACATGCAAATCTCTAACTCGCACACAGAACATATACGAGAGTCGTTCAGAAAGAACATTTCGCCATACAAAGATATTTATTGATAATACTACAGAAACAGAATATACAAGTTTTGCCATATATCTTTATCTACTTCTTCATATAGTCGCCAAAGACATTGAAACACTTGTACTTCAACACCAATTTAAGTATTTTCTCCTCATACTATATGGCCACTTGGAGATTCAACCAGTCCATAATAGCATCCTGTAGATCATTATGCGCAAAACATTTGTCAATAAGGTGCCCTTGAAAGGAAAAATTACTTTAAATTTTCAAATTACTCATAGTTAACTGTAAATAATTTATAGTTAACTATAAGTAACTTTAGGTAACTATAAGTAACTTTAAATTAATTGGAACATCTTAAGTAATTTTTCCTAAGGGTGCTCCTCCTTCATCTTCAAAAAAAGGTAATAGTCCAACAGTGTCAGGTCCGAACTGTAGGGAAGATGTTCAAAGGTTTCCCAATAAAACTCATCCTGCAGCAAGGTCTATGTCTGCTTGGCGATATATGGACGTTGTCATGGGTCAATCCGGACCTGGCACCGTCAGATTATTACCCCTTTCCGAAGATGAAAGCATCTTGCTGTGGTAAACACTTTGTACATGATGATGGCCTGTAAGATGCTGTTATAAACTAGTTGAATCGCCAGGCAGCCATATGATATAAGGAAAACTTAAATTGGTGTCAGAGTAAAAGTGCCTCAATGTCCTTGGCAATTATATGGAGAAGTAGGTGAAAATATATAGCAAGACATATATCTTCTGTTTCTGTAGTATCAATAAATACCTTTGTATGGTAAAACATTCTTTACTTTCCAAATAACTCTTGTATATTTATCTTATAATAGTATATATATGATATATTTAACATCATTCTTATTTTCTCTTTAAGTTACAGAACAGCATTGTACATACCTGTAGGAAATTGTTAAAATATTGCAATTTCAGAAATGAATATGTACTCGTGTAAAATTGTGTCAAATATTTTATTAAAAGACCTTAATGTACAGAACTTTGTTTAAGGTATTCCATTAGAACATCCTTAGCGGGTGTGTCTTCTCCAAAGTCCTAAAAGTAATAGAATTTGTTTATATCCAACAATGTAATAATACAGTAAAAGAACACTCGATAAAAATGTGTCATCAGTAGGGCATAATCTCAGCATGATCTCTTTATCATACGGGTATTGCTCAGTAGAGGGAGCCGCTAATATCATCATATATTACATTTCACGATTCTTTCTGTTTTATGTTTAATCAAAATAAGTTAAAAAAATCTCATAATTCTTGTAAAACTTACTTTAATTACGACACACGAACATCCAACAACTTTACGTGCTTTTCCTGCACTATCAATTTTACACAATCCTGCCCATTCACCCAATTTTTTGTTATTATCCACCTTTATCAGTGGGATTTGATGTTCGTTGCATAACGCTTGAACCAACTTTTTATACATAGGTTCGTCACAATTGTCTGCCAAAATACAAAGCATAGCTTGTCTTCTGTGATATAATAAAAAAAATATTAGTTCATATACTGTATCTAATACTATTTATTTAGTTTGTCCTGTCTCAAACAACTTTTTGGAACTGATATTTATTGCTGCAATACGTTAGAGTAAAACAAAATATATTTCTTACTCTATTATATCAGCTCAATAAATTCAAAAAAAGGACAAACTTCTTGTCACATTATCTGTTTGATATGCTATTAAAATCATGCAAATTAAAAATATATCAAGTAAATTAATTGTCTTTATCTCAGAGATCTTTTATTTTCTTATTTATTCCTTAATGATTACAAATTCATATTTCTATATCTTACTTGTCTAATGCTTTGGCAGCTTCATGGAGACCATGTACAACACCGTCATGAATAAGAGCATTCTTTAAAACTTCTTGCAAGGCTGTATTTACGTCCATTGGACCACCAGCTGCCATAGCTGATGGCACATCGTCACTGTGTGCACAAAAATTTGATTAAATATAATAGAAATATTGCCTAAGAAAAAGAGCATTATAGATTTGTATCATTCATAGTAACAAGTATACAAACATGACATAAATATTTATTACATTTTTTTTTCTTATTCTCAGATTTTCCGTAAATTTACAATTTTATAAATTTATTTTTTTAAGTTATTCAATTAATAACATGATAGAGGATAAACATGCGAAATTAAGAAAATTCTAAATGCACTTACTTTTCCACGTCGGACATATTTAGAAGAAAAATGATAATGCTGGAAATAATTAAAAGTTGTTATTATTTCTGTTGTAAAGATTATATTTTAATACTACCGCGTGCAAGATATATTACGATGATAGTGTATTAAATTGATTTTAAGCGCATTGATGCACGCCGTGTTCTAGTTTACCTCTCAGTTTTCGATAAAAAGACCTGACTCTCTGCCACGGGTTACCGTTCTTTTGATACTACACTCGATGTTACGTTATATCAGAGAAAAGAAGGAGAGATGCCATGGGCTAGCTGAGCCTAGAGACCCTAGAAGTAAGAGTCCGGTCAATCGGTCATAATTTTCATTGGCTGCAGGCTGCTTTGAAGTAAAATGGCGAAACCAATCATATTCCCCCTTCAAATACCATACGCGCGCGATAATTTAACTATTAAAAAAAATATAAAAATAGATTCAACAATAATGTAAAACAAAAGAATACAAAAATAAGTTCAGAGTTAATTTTTTTAATTCCGAGTTAATTTGCAAAAGAAATGTTAATTGTTAAAATAAAACGTAACTAAAGAAAATATGTATTAATAATAAATTATGTATTAATAATAAGTTTTGGTAATTATTTAGAAGACGGGCCTCACCTTGGATTTCGCTCAAACTCACCTATCTTGTGTATTTTGACGTGTAAAAGCCGAATCTGCAAGTAAAAATGGTCGCTCGGCTCTAGTTTGCGAGAAATAAATAGTTAAAAAGTGACACATGCGAGGTTAGGAAATCTGTCATGTCGGTAATATAGAGACTTATGGTCTGTTTTTTTTAGTCGAAAAGTGTAAAATAGTACATGTTAAGGCTCGTCTACAATAGCTGTAAAGCCCGTATCAGACTACGGATTGGGATTGAGTATTGGATTGAAATTTAACCAATCAGGAGTAAGTTTACTATACTTGAGATTATTTTCTCTTTTTCAATTGGTCAAATTTCAATCTAATCTCAATCCCAATCCATAGTCTGATACGGGCTTAAGAGTAAGGCTGTAAGGCTGTAACGTAAGCTGTCAGCGAATGAAAATATTTCATTTCGTGTCTTGCAACCTTACAGCCTTACTCTTACGGCTAATGTAGACGAGCCTTTAGGGAGGGGCGAAGCCTTCTCCCCAAAAACATTTTCATATATTAAACATATAAATTTTTAGCTCATGTATCAGTGGTTATTACACAACAAAAATAACCACTGATACATGAGCTAAAAATTCATATGTTTAATATATGAAAATGTCTCAACATATGTATACATACAGTACCAACATATGTACACATACACGGGGAGGGTGCGGGAGGGGAGCCTTCGGCCCCTCCTCCCGCACCCTCCCCGTCTTCGTTGCACGTTGAAAGTTATAACAACTTTCCAATATCGCATTTTCTTCTTTGTTTGTATGCTTTGTTTAACGCTTGCACGAGATTACTGTTCCCTTTATGTTTGCTTCTTCCTTTCCTTACATTCTATGATTCCTTATTAGGAAATATAAACCAATATCAAATAATTACATTTTATAAGTGACTTATTCGACATTTGTTTATCATTTTCTCCTGAAGGAAGAAACCACGACCTTCTCGCGGTTTCAATCGAGCAGTAATGTGGGCTTACATATTCTTTTTTAGTAAAACCATTTATATACACGACACAGTACATCTTTTTAAGTACTGATTATATTTAATTACTAATAATTACTTTATTAATAATTTTTCATTTTTCATGCATGCAGAATATCACTGCAGTGTACTACATGTATAATACATTTGCTTCATACTTTGGTATCACCGCATGAATCGGCAAGAAGAATGTTTACTCTTTCTCCAACTTGATTCTATCTACGTTGCTGGCAAAGAGTGGATTTCCTAAACTGTACGCTATAACTGTACATTGTTTTTTCGTCCATTTATGGTGATTTTTCACAAACAATTCGTTAATTTTTGTGTTATTTTAATACAAACATAGTATTGTTATATTTTTATTGAGTGGTGTACTCAACAACTCAGAGCGCTGCCAATGGTCCACTATTTCTTTTAAATATTCATTGAATTAATAGTTGCGCTGTTCGACACTGCATCGAAAATACATGAGAAAACCATTTTGCAAACAAGTGAATACATTCGAAGATATTATAATAAGCAAATAAATTACCTTTTCAGTAGACTGCATATTAATTATTAATACACTGTACATAATTTTAAATATAACATATTGCTCTGAGGGTTTTCTCATTCAGCGCGGCGAAACAGACATATTTTATAAATCTTTTTTTCGCGCAGATAGGAGATTTTACGAATGTAATTGTTTTTAGGGATTATTTAATACTGTTTAAGGAATATTTGTTAATTTAGAAGATATTTTAGTAGAAACAAGAAAGTTCCATTTCGTACCTTTTTGACTCTGTTACAATACTTTTTTATATTTCATTCTACGTCTTTGTATAACTTAAAATTATTCTTCAAATATTATTAAACAATTTCCAACAACAATCAAATCTATGAACCTGTCCGCTTTCGCAAAACAATTAATGAAATATATTTCATTTTCTCGGTGCGCAATATTATTAACATTATTATTATAAATAATATTATTTTCTTAGCTTTATATTTTACAATAATATATCCATATGTCTGTATTAATAGATATCTATTCCAACAAAATTAAAAAAATACGATTTCACTTAAAATTTAATATACATACCTGTTCAATACCTTGCAAAAGACGCATTCCCATTTGAGTGACTTGCACTATGTATCTATCCCTCCACTGCGGATTTTTCAAAATGTAAGAATTGGGTACGTTCACGACACTCAACAGTTGAGCAACTGTTGAATAATTCGTCACCGTTATTGGTCTGAATGTAAGGGTCTAACAGTAAGGACTAATCGCTCACTGAGCGGTTTTCTCTGCTGAACGCAATGGCCGCGTTCAGCAAAGCAGACAAAGCTGCTTATTAAGCGCTTAGTGATTATTAACTATGATTGGGTTATTCTTTTAAATATTTAATGAATCCAAGGGAATGAACCAATCAGGAGCTATAATCATTAAGCGCTTAGTAAGCAGCTATTCGTATTTTTGCTGAACGCGGCCAATGATTGTTGACATACTTATGTTATACCACGTACATTTCATTTCTCGCCTTTCGTTGTGAGGTACTGGTGTCCTCCGCAACCGGAGCAGCAGCTCTCATCCTTCTCGATTCGGATGCGTTCCGAAAGTCATTAAAAAAGAATGACAACCTTTATGTCCGCGACCGTACCGCGCGGAGGTGCACAGTCGGATTTATACCTCGCGTGTGTGTGTGTGTGTGTGTGTCACTACAGAGATCAGGACCCTACGATTTGTAACTCCCGCAGTATTTTAAGACTCCAAACCCTCTCCGTAGTGTGTGTATGTGTGTAGGTAACATTTTTTAAGTTATTGTTTTTTACTTTTTCAATTAATCAAATGTTCAAAATGTCTTCCTTCTACTATTTGATAATGAGTTAAACGTTCATAGAAACTATTGATTACATGGCTTATTTGTTCTAAAGTGATCAGAGATGCTTCCTGTATTATTCGATTCTTCAGGTCTTCCAAATTACATGGTTTCGACGCATAAACCTCACTTTTGATGTGTCCCCAAAAAAAGAAATCAAGAAGAGATAGATCAGGTGATCTAGTAGACCCCTGAATGGACCTCTCCTACTTATTCATCGATTAGGAAAAGAACGGTTTAAAAATTCTTGAACTTGTATCGCAAAATGAGGTCCTGCTCCACCTTGCTGGAGCCAAACGTTTTGCATGTTTGCGTCAAATAAATTTTCAATTTCAGGAATGATATGATCTCGCAATAAATTTTCATATTTTTCAGCATTTAAATCACCATCTATAAAAAATGGGCTTATAATACCGCGACTACAGATCTCTGTCCAAATATTCAATTTTTGTGGATATTGTGCGCGTAGATCACTCATCCAATATGGATTTTCGTCACTCCAATATTTACAATTGTGACGATTAACAGCACCATTTATTTTAAATGTGGCTTTATCAAGAAAAATAACAAAATTCAAAAAGTTAGCATTATCATTATACCGATGCATCAGTTCTTCGCAAAACTGAATTCTTCTATCAAAATCATCTTCCATAAATTCTTGAGCGATAACAATTTTATATGGATAATATTTATACTTTTTTAAAATGTTAGAAACGCTGCCTTCACTAATATCATGGGCTTGTGCTGTTTTTGATACGGACAAATGAGGATTTTCCTGAAATGATTGGAGAACATCCAAAGTCTTATCATTATTAATTGCAGATTTTGGCCTTCCGCCGTGAGATCGGCCCTTAACTGTTCTCGTTTAAAAAAAACGAGTCACTGTTCTATAAACGGTGGATTTAGAAATAGGATCGAGATCAGGATGTGTAACATTGAATAAATCAGCTACTTCTTGATATGATCTAATACGGCACCAAATAAGTAGCAATATTCTTTCTTTTTCGGTTCAACATTTTTCAGAGAAAAATGTGATATTATAATCGGAAAAAGAAACAAAAGAGACAAAGAGCGAGATACGAACAAGCACAACTCGTTTTTAGAATATGTGGACCGAGAAACATCTCTGATCGCACCTCCACACGGTACACTTTGGGTAATGCTAATGCCGGCGGTACTGTAACTTTCAAGCGTCATAACTCGGAAAGAACTTAATAAAAGATGACTTCATTATAGTGTTTTGGAAAGCTCTCGAGATTAGTTATAAGAATTTCCAATAAAAAATAGGGGGTTCTATTTAAAAAAACAAAGTTGACCTTCATATGATCTTAGCAACGCCACCTATGGTCAAACTGATATGACTGCTAACTAAATCTTTTTAAGCCCTATAACTTTTGTATCACATTTTTTCGTATCTTTCATATTTTTCGAAATATTTTAGTATTCCCGAACTTTTTGAGGACCCTGTATATGTCCATGGCATAAACTCATGTTCTTGGGTTGAAAACGCACGGGTTTGTGATTGGCTAGAGCCTTTAATTGATCGCGAGTGGATAAAAACCCATGCTACTCGAATACGCCATATGATCCGTTCTATCAAACCCAGAATTTTCTTTGTTCCAAAATTTCCGTTATAAGTCGCCAGTATCTTCAATATGAAACTGAAAATAAATTAAAACTGAAAATGAACGCGTAATATAAGTCAACATTAGGTCAATTCTATTTTTAAATAATTTTATAACAAATGAAACAAACATATATATATAAAGAGTATATATATTCTTTATTTCGTATTCATTCTCGTGAATCAATAGAAAAACATCTAACATCCATTGAAATACTTTATTCTAAACTGGTTTACAACGTATTAATAAATTTTAATTTCGCATTATTCATCAGATAGAAAGTTGTGTTTACAAAATATATATTACGAATACTTTCTTATCGAAGTAGTTCAAATGAATAATTAATTAGTACTATTGACAATAATAGTAACAGTTATAACAAGATAGGAGAGAATACCGCTGCGTTATGGCACTTATCCTTTATTGTGACCATTAGATTGATATCAAAAGGTAAAAATCAGTATATGTTAAATTAATCTTTTTACACACTACAGTGAACGACCAGGAACCTTAAGTACAATATTAATATATTTACAAGTGCTTACGTACTTATTAACATCGATCGATGTAACTAATATTAAAAATATTTTATATTTCGACCAAAAACTTTACTATTATCAATCATTATGTCTTTGAATATGGCATATCAAATAAATATTGGAATAGAATACTGATAAATCTCGACAATACTTTTTACAATATTTAACACTTTAAAATTCGAATATTCTGACAGCAAAATAAAAAAAAGAACAAAATAAACGATATTTACTCGAGCCATCAACTTCTAAAGTTGACGCTGCGTAATCACATACATTTAGTAGTGATTACAGTTTATTATGCAGGTGGTGAATATCTGTGATAGGGCCAACAATAATGTGGTGGCGGCGGTGGTGGCGGTGGCGGTGGTGGAGGCGGTGGCGGTGGCGGTGGCGGTGGCGGTGGCGGTGGTGGTGGTGGTGGTGGTGGTTGTTGAGCTAACGGCGACGGACCTGATTGCAACGAGGATGGTAAAGAATGTTGAGTAGGTGATGAGTTCGCTGGATACAAACGATGAGTACGATGTGCTTGATGATGAGGATGACAGTTTGCGTTTGTTACGCGCGACGACGTTGACGTCTCCAGCATGATACCAGCTTGTGATTGACAGGCCATCATCAAACCATGAAAATCGAACTTGTAAGCGTAACGTTTACCATGGACTTTCGTCATTATATTTTTGTCGTAATAATATCTGTGGAATAAAATACGTAATTTTTCAGCAATACTACACATTATTTTAAAGCGTTTGTGCTTGTAATTTACACGAGATAGAAGAGATAGATTTCTCTTTTAAAGCAGATTACAGAACATCTAAAGAGGATTTAACATATAAAAAACAAGCAGAAGAGGAATAGGTATCGGAACGCAGCCAATATCTGCTTATCGAATTACCTTAATGCGCGCGAGAGCTTGTCATAATTCATATTGGGTTTACTCTTGCGCTCGCCCCATCGACGGGCAACCTCGTCCGGATCGGTGAGTTTGAATTCTCCGTTCGAACCTTCCCATGCAATACAGGAAGAGTTGGACGAATCCGAGAGCAGCTCCAGCAAGAATTGCCAAAGCTGAACCTGTCCGCCTCCGACCGCCCCCGAACCTCCCGTTCCAGCCGTCGATCCAATGAGCGAGCAAGTTCGTTGTAGGAGGCTGATCCTTTCTACTAGCAGAAAACGAAATACGCATGCACCAAATCTCGTTCTCAGGTCATGAGATAGAAATCGTTTATTCCGTGAGAGAGAAGAGCGATGGTCGCCGCATTTTTCCAGCATACTTTGTCACTCACGCATGGTTTCTTATACTTTTTTGTCTATTGTCATCGGCGCAGATCTTCCGTCAAGTTCGTCAAGATGATAGTTGTAATGCTTTTGGATTATGCGGTTGCACGTGTGAAAGGATGTTAAATCCTACATTAGAATTAATATTCTACTCCTTATTCCTCTTCGTTGGAAAGCAAATATCATTATACCTGCCTTATCATATATCAACATCTTCTTTTGGTTAATCTTTCTTTTAGTCATACTTCTTTCGGTTATATTTCCTCTCCGCTACAAATACATTCGCATGTCTACGTATACAAACAAAGGGACAATAAAATATTACTGCGACAAAACAATATTATAATTTGCTTTTGACTGTTTTCAGCATATTTGCATCTATTTTAATTTTATAAACTGGAGCCAATTTTCTCATTTTCTTTCAATTTCTTTCTAGCACTGTGAGATAAAAGTTTGTCATTTCGAGCGGTTTTAGAAACAAAACATGTAAAAAAGAGTATTCTGATTTCTTTCATATAGAGTGTCTGGAATCTTATAAAAACGAAAAGTTGTGTAGATTAATCAGATCAAACTGAGAAGAAAAGTTAAGTGCCATTTTGCAAAAATTGCAATAGTTATTAATAATTGAAAATGACCATATCTAGAGGCTCTTTTAATTGATAAGTTGAAAATTTGCAATATTTATTTGCAAAACGGTAAAAGACTTTTTTGTTCAGAATGACCTAATCTACAATTATACGGCGGCTATTGCATCTAGTGATAGATATGAGTTTATTGAACCTTGAACCTGTCGTTAGGCATAATAGCCGTTATACAAGGTCCAGGATCTATTGAAAACGAAAAATTATGAAGATTAATCAGATCAAACTGAGAAGAAAAGTCAAGTACCATTTTACAAAAATCACAATAGTTATTAATGATTAAAAATGACCACATTTAGATGTTCTTTTAATTAATAACTTGAAAATTTACGTACTTATTTGCAAAATTATAGAGGATTTTTTTGTTCAGAATGACTTAATCTACAATTATACAGCGGCTATTCTATCTAGCAATAAATATGAGTATATTGAACTTTGAACTCTGAATTTTAAATATGTCGCTAGGCACAACAGCCGTCATATAATTGTAGGTTAAATATTCTGAACAAAAAAGTCCTTTTTTGCAAATAACCATTTTGCAAATAAGTACGCAAATTTTCAAGTTATCAATTAAAAAAGTTTTCAGATATAGTCATTTTTAATCATTAATAATTTAATAACTATTGCGATTTTTACAAAATGGTATTTCACTTTTCTTTTCAGTTCGATCTGATTAATATTCACAATTTTTCATTTCTAGAACATTCTGGATACCCTGTATGCATATTGGTCTCAGTAATATCCTAATTGTCATTCTACAAATACAAATGCGAACATACGTAATATAGTGTTCCTGACGACTTTTCTTGAGAGCTTTTCCGCCCTTCCTCCTTTTTTTTTCTTTTTTGTAAATTTTTGTTGTATGTTCATTCACTTATCTCCTTTCTACTGAATTTACCGTTATAAAGAATTGCAGCGGCCGAAGGATGCAATCTGGTGTCCTGCTGAAGGTGTAAAGGATGTGTCTGAATTCTCCACATTACGTGACGAATGTCGTATATCATAATATCTCAGCCTAATCCTGTGCCATATAAATGGCGTTTTCGAAAATCAGCGTGCGACAGGCCCGTCGTCATCTTTGCGGTTACGCGCATCGGAAATCCGTTTTATTCATTCGGCAGGACGACTGTCACTCTTAATCTCTGTCCGTTGTTTATTTGAAAGAAGAATAACATGTATTGCTGCAACGGCTTGTACAGCGGTGCAATAACATGAAATGTAATCTTACAAAGGCTTAGTGGCGTCGCGAGTCATGTAGCACGAGTAACTTCATCGCACAAGATGATGCGTTTGTCGTCTCGCAAGACGGTGAGAACGTTTCCTCCTCGACAAGTTAATTAATTTAAATCCATTTCTCGACATAATTAATCGAAATCCATTTCACCGATCAGCTCGATAGCACACGTCACACATATCATGCCGAGTTTACGCACACATGCGAGCAAGAGAAGTCAATCGACCGGACAATCGGACACGTCGATGGTGAGACGCATTTGGAATAAAACTCGCGAGTCTGTGGGCAGAGAGCGACTGAGCGACCTTTGCCCCTGGTTATTTCAGCCCTTATCGCCCCCACTCTTGGTCTTGGCAAGAACGGAATACCTTTACACCCCCTCTCTTCTGACGTATCGCGCTTAGAGCACTTACGACAGTAGTTACGACCTTTTGTCTCTTTTTCGCATGGACAATTTACGTTCAGGTTTCTTCAATACTTGAGATGATGCGACGCACGGTAAGGTGGTGAAGTTGCTAAAGATGCCGCGTTACGATTTTTATAAACGACATGTTCTTCGATAACTTTGCAATACTAATTGAATAATGCGACTCATGCGGATAATCCCGTAGGTATTCCCTCGCAATTTGGCCGCACAAATGGATTTTGCGAGTGCGTCATGATCACTCGAAATAACCATCATCATGTTTATCCAAATAGTATCTTCGTAAACGTTGTGCGTACATTTCACATTATTTCATCTCATGTTTACGAAGGTACAAACCGACAATGTGTACATCTCTCTCTCTCTCTCTCTCTCTCTCTCTCTCTCTCTCTCTCTTCTTTCTTTCCTCTTTTTCTCTCTTTTGCTCTTTCCTCTCGACGAAAGCACAGAACGAAGAGAACATATAAATCCGCATAATCGTTCGAGTTCGAATCGACGATCATCATTAAATATATCGCGAATTCACGTGCATATTGTATGCTTAACATGCAAAAGTAGATGGCGGAACAGCGGTGATACGAAGGCGTGACGAAGACACGATGCGTAAAATTATCCTGTATACATTGAAGATCCAGCGAATGTTTCTCGCTCATCACGAAAACAATATAGACGCGCCCCGCGGCGAGCTTACCGCCCCCAAGCCCGTTAGAGCTTGCCTTTGGAGGAGAGCAGAAAGAGGGGTAAAAGCGGTCGCAGCGAGCTCGTAACCCCACGTCGCACCACCTTGCCGCCACCCTAAACACTCGATGGTTTATTCATGAGGACTCTCTCACCGCGATAACACTGATTCGTTTAATAAACGGCTGCTACCGGGGCAAGATAGGTCGACACACACGCACACATAGAATGAAAGTGTGTGTGTGTATGTGTGTGTGTGTGTGTGTGAGAGAGAGAGAGAGAGAGAGAGAGAGAGAGAGAGAGAGAGAGAGAGAGAGGGAGAGAGAGGGCGAGAGAGCGAGCTACGTTATTCAAACAGACAATATATCTTCGAGGCTTACACTGCCACGACTGGGTTCTTCTTACTTTTCGCTTTTCTTCTTTCGCATCCGAAGAGATGACGTTACGCTTTCCTGTTTTTCGTATATAGTCTTCACTCAACAAGAGTTTAGTACTTAGCATGCGACAACGAGATCAATCGACTTAATGGAAATTTGCATTTCCTTGTATCTATGATGTATCCTGCACTATATCGCGCTGCAATTTGCAACGTTGCAAAGTTGAAGCGTTATTAAAAGATTTTGCGCTCGTGTGTTGTACGAAATATAATTATTTTTTGGATATCTATAACTATATTTTCTTATGAATACTATACATATTGTTATACCGTATTCTTCATTCCCCGTTAAAAAAAATGCGCATTATATTTCAGTATACTTTTACCTCGATCAGTCTTTAGAGAAATTCAGAGACGAGAAAAGTTCAGGGACGAAACTATCGCCGGCTATACCGATATTTACTTTTCTACTGGACCGTGTTTATCTGTAATAGATCTCAGCCATCGTTAAAGCTTTAGATAAGCTCGAGTAGGACCAGGATCGGCCCTTGGGGAACGGTTAGTCTCTTCCGGTCATTCTCCATCGAACTCTGACAGGTCCATGAGCAGACCCCCATTAACCTTTCCTAAGCTTTGCTATTGGTCATTTAATGCTTTAAATTTATTTTCCTGCAACTGACGACAAAGAGTTAAGACATATCGAATTACTTTAACCCTTTCGTGCCTAATTTTTTTCTAGGAATAATTTGCATTCACGTCTTACTAAAGGTTTTTAGGGTTGCTGATTATAAATCTGTAGTTAAAATTTCAAAATTCAAAATAGCGAATCCAGTATGGCGAACCAAAATGTAAAATTTTCTTGGATTTGAATAAAATTCATATTCCAGAGATTTTTGGGGTCGCTGATTATGAATCTGTAGTCAAAATTTCAAAATTAAAAATGATAAATTCAATATGCACAGCGTGTAAAGTTCCATTCTGTTCCATTCCATGCTTCAAAACATTCTACGAAATGTGAATAAAATTTAGTCAACCTTTTTTATTTACTTTTTGTCAGCTACATTATATATTGAATTTGAAAATTGTTACTTTAGATTTGTTATCAGCGACTCAAAAAACCCCTGAAAAATGAATTCTCAAATCCAAAAAAATTTCACATTTTGGTCTGCCATCTTGAACCCGCCATTTTGAAATTAAGTAGCAATTTTGTTTCATATAGCCCTTACGTTGACCTTCAAAATGAGCCTAGGAAGAACTTGCTATCTTAATTTTTATGGAATATATATATATATTTTTCACTTTTACCCTATTTTACGAGTATTTGATGAGATATGCAGATTGGAGGATGAAACTAACAAGGATATTGATTTTTGTACGAAAAGTCCTATCTTTCCTCTTTAAAATCAGCTTAAGAAGAAGTCGCTATCTTTATTTTTGTGGGAAATATGAATTTTTAAAGTTCTAGAATATATATGTCCCACCAGGCACGAAAAAGTTAAACATATGACTTAAATCTCAATTAGTTTCGAATATTATTCAAAATTCCACAGTCTTCTGCGAGTTTCGAAAGTCTCAAATGTTTGAAGTCTTACAAATTGAAGTCCTACAAATTAATTATTAACGCGACTTAATCCATATTTCTCGTTTAATCTACAATCTATAATTTACTATAATCTATTATTGAGATACGTAGGAACAGTTACGAGGCTTTCAAAACTCGTAAAATTCTTCAAGAGTTTCGGAATATTTTCGAGAATTTCCGGATAATAGTTTAATGTGTTTCAAATTTTCGTACAATCGAGTACTTTAAGGCAGAGATTCCAACACCCAACATCTCAGAAGAAAGTGACCAAAGGGAGAAAAAGCGCATTCTCAAGAATTTGATTATTACATGTTCATTATTACATATTATTATTATATCTTTCGATTAAGATTACCTCAACTTACCAGTGCTGTTTATGTTCTCCTGAAGTAAATCAGGAGTATGTACGCCAGTAGCTTGTAGACGAAGGTGACCCAAGTGTTGGGCCAGAAGACGACCTCCTGCTGCACCGCCGATATCTTGCCAATTTCGTAAGGACAATTTCAATAGTTCCTTCCCGGTTGACGGAAGTATCGTGGCGATCGGCGTTGGTCTTATCGAGAATGTTCGACTACACCATGAAATCCACGAAGCTATATGGCTCGAGTTCCACTTAGATGGATCTGAAGGTCAAAATCAATAAAATATATCTCTTATCTAATAGATATATCTTAATGCAGTTTTCACTGTCATTCATCGAATAGATATTCACCGGATGGCACCATAATCCATTTAGATTCTAAACGATCGTTGAGATCTTTATCGTTTAAGTTTTTCTCACTACTCGTCAATGTATTTTCGTCTTCGATTTCAACGTTATTAGTTATACACACATGCGTATATGAGAGAGTTTGCTTGTAATTCGAAGATATTTGTGTCCTCTTAATAACCTTTCCTCTTGCCTTGGATTTTGATTCTGATTCTGATTTCGAACTTAATTTTGAAGAAGCTTTCGACAGTATCCGAAGTTGTAAATCTAAGTCTTGATTAACCTCGGCAATGCGACAGCAGAATTTCTGCTTTTCCTTCGTATTTCCTTGACTCGTTATCATTTTATTCTATCGTGGGAAAGTTCTCCTGACGATGCAAACGGTATCAAAGAAGATTTTCGTCGTCGACTGTTGGAATGGCGAGTTTATCAGTTGATTATGACAATACGTTCATGTCATTTCAGGAAAAGATTAACTCGTTTCATTTCTTTCCCACCAAACTTGATCACTCTTGTTTCAATCACACAATTTCATCACTTCTGCACACCAAGCTGAATTACACCGATTGTTCACACATTGTTCACTAAACACGAACGTTGTAGACATACAATTGATTTAGTCTAACTACTTTTCTTGTAGATACGAGTGCCGTTGTGATGCGATATTATTGCAGAGTGATGCTCCTCGTGATCTAGTCGATGTGAATGAAATAAAATCGGAACAAGCCAACGCAAGGCGAGGCAAGGCGAGAGAAAGCGAGACCGGTCAAGTCTGAGTACGACGAAGACTCGATTGGCGAAATATGGATTCCCAGAATCAAGGAGGTACACTCAGCCGCTCGACCTCCGTTGCTTTCGGCTCCGTGCATCGCCGAACGCTGAATCACACACCCTGATTGCTCATCTTTATTCGTGTACTTTTTTTCATCTTGTTAATTCCCATCGGGGTAGGGTTACAACACACCATAGAAACGACGTCCGGCTTTGATACGTCATTTAAAATAATACTTACCTTTCTGATTGACCGTTGCAATATAACCGTATATTTGACGAATTGTATACATTAGATCACCTGAGAATTCGCAGCTTCGATAAAGAAACACATGCCTTTTTGCCATTCGTCAAAAATAAAGATCATAGCTCTTCGCGTCATATATACTATACACACAACTTGCATATTATGTGCAGATGTGATACTTTAACTCAATGCAAACGATACACATCGTCGTTATATTCAAATGCTGTTTGCCATTTATTCGGTATTTAGACAGTCCAGATGCGAATTAGTCATACTACTCTAGAAAACATACTTAATACGATAGTGAAGCTAACCGGTTTTTTGTCAGGTGATACGATCGTCAATGTTCCGAGAATATATCCTTCCCTTCCTGTCCTTTTCCATCGTTATTTATTCAATTAGACCTTTTTCCATTCGTCACACGCAAGATATAATGAAAATCATAAAACAACATAAAACAACATTATATCTTTTGTTAACTTATCAACCTTTAGAAATTTCAAAATCATCAAATTAACAAAAGTCAGGACGCTATTATAATAATATATTCTTGAGACCAGATAGAGTAAAAAAATCTAGTACTATTTTTTCTTCCGACAAATAGCGAGATATTGTAAGTTAAATATTGAAAGTTACCGAGTTTTCTTTAAATATCTAAAAAAATATTAGGCAAATAAAAAAATGTTTCAGACAAAAGTTGTTAAAATTAATTGGTAAAAAAAGATGATATAATAGAAAATGGGGGTTTTCGTTTAAAAAAATTAAGTTGACCTTGACCTGACCTTAGCAACTCCACTCAAGGTCAAACTAATAAGGCTAATAGATAGACCTCTTGAAACCTTATAACTTTTGTTTACAACATTTCTTTCAAGAACGTAACCCTTCTGAGATATTCAAGGGTCCTCATCTTTTTTACTCACCTTGTATAACGTTTACGTTATGCAACAATTACATTGTTGAGTAAGAAATTACAATTAGCAGCTGTGTTACATGTTACATTATGTTTATTGGGATTGAAATAGAAAACATGTTTGATATCGCGTTTGTAGTTATATTATACAAATATATTCGATACGCACATCTGTTTCGTGACCGTCTGCTAATACTTTTAAGAATTTTAACGTTCTTCCTAAAGATTGTTAGTCGAATTTGAAGTTTAAGCACAACCAGTGCTACACCTATTTATTGAACGCTTCGATTAGATTGGCTATAGTAGAGCTGGACACGATCTGCACATTTCGGGCGAAATTCAGTAGGTGACGCCTACCGTCCCCCTCGCACCGCTCCGCGCTCAGCGGCCGAGGTGACGATCGCGGTACACTCAGGCCCGTCGCTGTATAAGAAATCAGCTGGGGCATCACATTATCATTAAAATTGTTTCCTCGTTTAATAATCACGTTAAAATATATATGTTTATGCGTTATATATGTACGTATGTATGCGTATATATATATATAAAAAATATATATATGTATTAAATACGTAAGTATGTATATTTTAAAGTGATTATTAAACGAGGAAACAATTTTAATGATAATGACGCCTCAGCTAATTTCTTATACAGCGACGGGCCTGAGTGCACCGCGATTGTCACCTCGGCCGCTGAGCGCGGAGCGGTGCGAGGGGGACGGTACACATCACCTACTGAATTTCGCCTGAAATGTGTAAATCGTGGCCATGGTATCGCTTCTCATTACATTGCAGAAGCCATTACGATGTGAACGATATTAAAATTAATATAATCCTTGAATACGTTTGTTTTTTGTGCAATTTCCTTTGTCTTAAAAAATTTATTGTATTGTATATTATAACAACAGATTTATTGAATTCTGAATCATCTTTAGAATATCATAATTTATATCTAATCATATTGTTATAGAAGAAAATTATACAACACAATAGTAGTGTAACATTTATTAAGTTTCCTATTTACATAGATATAAACTGTGGATATTAAGAAACACAAAATTATCACTCTAATTATTAAAATACAACCAACCACTGGCATATTAAGTAATTTTTAACTATTGAAACAGCAATACTTAGATCATATTAATTGCTGCAGTCCTATAAGACTCCATATATTTATAACATTTCTCAGTTTTTCAGATAATGTCTTATGTCTTATATAAAATGTCAACATCTCTTTTCAAAGATATTTTAAAGATTAAAGTAAACACATACATATAATTATCTATAAACAATATAATTATTGCCTTTTCTTCGCAGGTTTTACTGCCTTTGATTTTTGTTTTTCTCCTCCCGAAAGAAAAGATGTTATTACTTCAGACATTTCTGGCATATTATAAATAGTCAAATTATTTAATTGCTCCATTTCCTATAAAATATATATAATTCAAATATGACTATCAAAAAATAGAACATATCTATAATAAGCTACATAATATTCTATTTATATAGAAGGTATATAGATACATTGAAAACATTTTTTTATCTATCTATTTCTATATATACATGTTGGAATGTTTTCTTGAAAAAATATTTATTTTACCTTTCTAGTTTCAGGATCATTCATTATTTTCGGTAGAATCATAATTAGTACAAGTGGTAGAACCATCATTAGAACCTACAAAGAAAAAAGTAATAATCAAAGAACTAAAGGAACAAGTCCAAATTAAAAAATTTACTATACCATAGGATTGAATAAAAAGTCAGTCATCCGCCATTGCTCCCTAACTTGGAAATATCGAAATGGTGCTAAAGGCCTCATTTTTAAGGGATAAGGTACTTGAATAACTTGTGATGTTTGTATCAAATTTACTTTTCGTGCTCGGAATTTTCCTTTAGAATTAATTTCTACCCTGACTGGCTCATAAACATAATTTGGATTCACCACTTCAACCATATAGGAACCTGATGGGACATTCGTAATGATAAATGTGCCATCCTCTCTGAAATAATACAACATTTATATTTGTTATTTTATGTAATTATTGTATAACAGTATATATGAAGTATTTGTTAAAATATATATATATATATAACCTTAAAAAACCATAATGTTCACCACCGTTAGCCATTACATGTGTCATGAGTTGCCATCCAGTGGATGCCGTATTATCCCAGGGAAATACTTTTCCTTCAATCACGTATAAATCCGTAGACGCATCTTCTTCATGTTCTGCTATTACATATCGCTCGCACAAATTCGAAATAATAAAGAATAAATACACAATTCCCTTCATAACGAATAGCAAGTGATCGCTTGCTTTATACTAGAGATGTCCGATATCAATTGTATCTATAATCGATTTTTTCTTTTCGATACATGCAAATTTTTAATCGAATATGGCCGAACTCGATTATGGTAAGAATCGATACTTTTGAACCGATTATTGACCATCTCGTCTTTACAGAAAAGCATTTCATTGGCTACCGTATCAGGAACCATTAACCAATCAACTTCTTGCTTTTTAACAGCATCAGTCTTTTTTAATCTGGCATCGTTTCATCAAGGTCCGTAAATAGAGGAACGGAACATACTATGTACACTCACAGACATAAAGGTTTGTACCCGTTTTTTTGCAACTTTCGGAACGCATCCCGACTCGAGAAAAATGAAAGCTGCTGCTCCGCCTGCGGAGCACGCCTGCGCAGTAACTCACAACGAAATGCAAGAAATGAAATATATGTAGTATGACATAAGTATGTCAACAATGGCCGCGTTCAGTAGAACAAAGTCAGAGAGCGCTTAGTGATTATTGTCTGTGATTGGAGCATTCTTTTAGATTCTTCATAGACCCAGAAGTATTTACCAATCAGGAGCGAGGTTCAGTGGAAAATCTAGTAATGTTGTCCAACTGTTGAGTCTGCTGAATGCAGCCACTCATTACGCTCAGTGGAGAAAACCACTCAGTGAGCGAGTTAGTGACTATTGGTCCTTACTGTTAAATCCTTACATTCAGACCAATAACGTTGACGAATTATTCCACAGTTGCTCAACCGTTGAATGTCGTGCACTCAATTCTTACATTTTAAAAAATCAGCGGAGGGATAAATACACAGTGCAAGTCATTCAAATGGGAATGCGTCTTTTGCAAGGTATTGAACAGGTATGTATATTAAATTTTAATTGAAATCGTATTTTTTTAGTCACTAATCGCTCACTGAGCAGTTTTCTCCGCTGAACGCAATGATTGTTGACATAATTATGTCATACCACGTATATTTCATTTCTCGCATTTCGTGAGTTACTGTGCAGGCGTGCTCCGCAGGCGGAGCAGCAGCTCATCTTTCTCGAGATGGGATGCGTCCCGAAAGTCATTAAAAAAAAGTGACAACCTTTATGTCCGCGACCGTACATACATGTAGTATTAGGGCTGTTACGTCCTGGACAAGCATAGAACATGCAATGTCTATATTTATTTGGTTTACTTCGGATCAGCGCTATTCTTGTCCAAATCTTTATTATTTGAATCTGTTGCTTTTGGAGGTGGGTTACTGTTAGGTTTAAAAATAATAATACTCTCGCTAGTGTTGAATTTAACTTCAAATATATTTCCCTTTACTTCAGATTTTATTCTCGGAACCGAAGATTTTGATGGATCTGTTTTGAAAACAGCCAGGTCGAGCGTACCTGGATTATAATAACTTTTTAACAGACGTCTAAATTGTATCCGCCGTCCGGCTCTTCTTGTTCTTTTCGGCATGAGAGATTTTTAGGTAATATTTATTTTAACAATATCTATAATAGAGTAGATGGAAGGGACGTGGTTAAGTTTGAAGAATAAAAAGGCGAATGGTGCTCGTGGTTCAAGCACAATATTCTTAAAGTAAAGAAGAGAAGAACTGTGCTCGTGGTTCAAGCACTACGTTCTGGGAAAAAGGGAGGAATGGTGCTCGTGGTTCAAGCACAACACTCTTAAGGTAAAAAAAAGAAGAACAGTGCTCGTAGTTCAAGCACGGCGTTCTGAAAAAAGAATGAAGATAATAAGAGGGAAGAGAGGTAAAGAAATCTGTACACACATATATATATATATATTATGAAATTACTCTATATTGTTAAGTTTAAAAATTCATACACTAAATTTAATGTAGTTAATAGCTGGCTCAATACTTATTCAAGTAAAAGAAATGATTCTCTATACTATCATTATGAGGAAAAGAGGCTCGTTCGACCTTTAATGATTTGGATTTTACGTCTTAACAAACGTCTTAGCATTTGCAGATGGAGTCCCAAGAACAATAATCTTTAATACCGACCTTTTGATTCCAGGCTCAAGACCCTTTGGCAACCGGCTAACAAGAGGCTCAGCGAAAGACTATCTGATGGCTAATTGGAGGCTAACAAGAGACTGCTTAGAGACTGCCGAGAGACTGCCTAGAGACTGACTAGAGACTGACGAGAGACTGCTTAGAGACTGACGAGAGACTGCCTGCGCGCGAAGAGCCGAACCCTTTTTATACCCAAGCCCGACACTATGGATATCAATTGAGCGTCTTTTCCTAATTCACCATTCGTTATTTATTGGTTAAAAAATATAAAAATGTTATTATCTAGTAATTAAAATTATACTTAATCATATGTAGCGTTTGGTAATTCAGTTATCTCGTTGTTGGCTGATTTATTAATAAAATTATGTTTTACTAAGAAATGGAAATGTTGTTATTGATTTCCTTTGGTATAATATAAGAATTTGGAAACTTAAAAGAATTATTTCATTCGGGCGTAGTAATCATTAAAGTTAAATAATACGAATAGATCCTCTTATAATTTTAAAGCACATATACATTAGGATAGGCGGTTTGACAATAATATTTGAGGAATTATTTGCGAAATATGATGGCAATTATTTAATATCATTTAAAAGGAAGAAAAATAGAAGAAAAAAAGGAAATTATTTTTCTCTTCGAGTCTTTGTTTCAGGTCTTTGTTTAGTTCACAGAACGTGGGACAGCTATCACTCGATGATATCTATAACATAAACACATTCCAATATGTGTGCGGCTGTGCCCGAACGAAATCGTTCTTAGTCCCCGAGACAAATGAATTTATAAGCAACTCTAAATTTATTTCTTAAATTTTCTTATTCTCTCTTTTCCTATTTTATATATTTACTATGTCGATGTCTGCTTCAGTCCTATGTTAATATTAATTTTATTTCAAAATATGCTATTTATGATTATTTTTATGTTATTTAGTTGTTTGATAATCTATCGCTTACTAAACGAAGCAAGAAGGTAGAAGGAAGAGAGATAAAGAAGAAGATAGATGATGATTCAGTAAATAGTTTCGAGTGTTAATGATATTATATTATATTAACGATAAAAGACGGCAGAAGTACCTGTTGATTGCAGAGGTGTTTGTAGGAGGCGTTGCAGTTGGATTAGTCGATGATAGGTAAGGATTTGATTGGGTAGGAAAAGGTATGGTGAGTTTTGGTGAGAAGATAGGGAATTTTAATATGGTGGGACGTTACAGCAGAGAGAAACCTGAAAGCGGGCATGGCTGCATTTACAGCGTTATGGAAAAATTGGCTGATTCGCAGCGCCAACTGGGTCCATTTTTCATGGACATGAACTACTAAGCCAATGTCCACGATTTGTTGGTACTATTCCGTGCTATGTCCATAATTATTTGGTTTTGTTCTGTGCTATGTTCACGAGCGAGCTAGATTAGTTAGATAAAAACGAAGAATCGGTCTTTGTCTCACCACCAGCGAATAGACAATCGCGACGAAGCGAGCTAGCAGCGATGTTACCGTAAGGCAGATGTCGCCGTCTCCCCTTTCACCCCCTTATTTTCCTTTCCACATTGTTTTATATTCATAATTCGAGAAGAAAATAATTTCGAGAGTTCGGACGATTTCTAGCAATAACGACAGAGATAACACGCGGCCACATTAATTTGTCATGACTTTTATATTACTTATAATTACATAAACGCCCATATATTATAGATAATTATTGCGCGTATGTTTTAATATTGTACAATATGGTATATAATAACAACAACTTCATTTCTTGCAGTAATTTTTTTAAGATCTTCGTTGAGGTCGTGAATTAATTTTTTTCTTCATCAATCAGTTTTCTGCAAAAATTAAGATTTTTTAAATAAAATAGAAAATAGAAATAAAATAGAAAATGTTCCTCTTCTCTTCTCTCCGAAGAGTTAATTAAAAAATATGTACTCCACAAAGTCAATTAACAAATGTGTAGTCAGAAGAGTCAATTCAAAAGTGTACTCCGAAAAGTCAATTTAATAGCGTATTCCGAAGAGTCAATTTGAAAGCGTACTCTGAAAAATCAAATTAATATTGTAATCCGAAAAGTCAATTTATAATAGAATATTTACTTCGATGATTCAGCTAAAGAAAAAGATATTTATTATTATATTCAGAGAATAATATTTAATTTATTATTTATACTTATCTTACTTATGCTTACCCTACATATGCTTCTTTGAATGAAAAATTTAATTTGTTGACTGATTCAGATTCAGATTTGTTAAAATATCTCTTATGCGCAACTCTTGAACATGTAGGTAGTAAAATAACTTTTTTTCTTTACGAATTTTATAAACTTTTCACGAACATAAAAATTGAAAGATTCGCAGAGAACAAATAACTTTTCTTGAACATTTAAATCAAAGGAAAATCTTTTCCTATTAATAAAGAATGAATAATTAATATCTCACACAAGAGGAATCTTCATCCTTGAAATCACCGTGCGATTTTGCTTTTAGAAAAATATAATATTGATGTAATAGTAACAAATGCTATCCAAAAACGGTGCAAATCTTAAATGTTTTTGAGAAATGTAGTTTGAAGTTGTCTTTTCTGTTAATGTCGTTATAGCAGAAGAATTACCAATTTGCTTCAGTAGCGCAGTGGATCAGACTTTGTGATATGAGCGTAGAGGTTGTGTTCGAGTGTTATTTTTACTATCACAGGGAGAACTATGTAGAATGTATAATAATACGCAGACAAATTCTTTACATAATCATACTTATTTCTTTTAGCATGAATAAAAATGATCAATGCTAACGTGATAAGTGTATATCGCAATTGTACGTGTACGCAATTGTATACATACAAACACACATACACACGTATACCAATGATGTCAAAACCGAACAATTCGTGAAAACTTTTTATTGATCGCAATTGTACGCAAAGACGAAAGAGAAGTACACGGGTCCCCGCGGATATCTCGTCATATTAATTGTCTATGAGCTGATAAACAATTGACCTCCGGTATTTACAAGTTACGCTTGTCCGCAGCTTGTTCGGTTTTGATATCATTGGTATCAGTGATGCGAATTTGGTGACGGGCTTGCACGAGGATTCTCCCCCCCCCCCCTCCATAACGCACACAGTCAGCTCGGTCAATCCGTATGAGCCACGCGATCGGCAATTGTCGATGCGCCGAGCGAGCGAGCGAAAGAGAGAGAGAGAGAATACCATTCCCTCCTTGTCGCTCTCGAACCCTCGCTCAGCGAGCGAGCCTAATTCTTTCTACCCATAATCTGAATCGCGGGCGCGACTGTCTCTCTCTCCTTTCCTCTCTATGACAATACTGAAAAGTTTTGTCTACTCGACGCACCGAAATTATTACAAATAATATTTTATTATTAATATTATTTGTAATATATATTATTTGTAATATTATTATTTATAATTTTATTTGTAATTGTATAATAAGATTACAAATAATACAAATTTTTACAAATTTTATTTGTAAAAATTTATATCATTCGTAATATTATTTGTAATAGTATTAATAATATTCGGCGCCAAGAAAATGAAATATATTTTATTAATAATTTTGCGGAGTCGGGAAGGTTCACAAGTTTGATTATTGAATTGTTTAATAATATTTTAAGAATAATTTTAAGTTATACAAGGATGTAGTATGAAATATAAAAGAATATTGTAACAGAATCAAAAAGTACGAAATGAAACCTCTTTGCTTTTATTACAATATCCTGTAAGTTAATAAATATTTTTCATACAGTATTAAATAATCTCCAAAAACAATTACATCCGTGAAATTTTCTATCTGCGCGAAAAAAAAATTCACAAAATATATTTGTTTCGTCGCTCTAAATGAGAAAACTCTCAGAACAATGTCATAGTTGTTCAGTGCACTATTCAATAAAAATATAATAATACTATGTTTGTATGTGTGAAGAATATTTGCTAACTTACAGGATATTGTAATAAAAGCAAAGTTTTATTTCGTACTTCTAAGGCCAAGACTTATTAAACGGCTAAAGACATATTCGAATTGATCTTGCCTTAATTGGTCGGATCAGTGATCGGTCTTGCTTTAAGTTCCAAGCCTCATAACTCGGAAAGTACTCGATGAAATGTAACTTTGTTAGAGTGTTTGGAATGCTCTCGAGATAAGCTACAAGAATATGTAATAAAAAATCGTAGTTTCTATTTAAAAAAACATTAATGACCTTGGCCTGCGTCGTACTCGGCATGAGTCGCAACTGTTCAGGTTTGACGTTAATTTAACAAAACCAGAAATACAAGGAGTGTCATGATCGATCCACTGCATATATAACTTTTGCTGAGAGTTCTCATGACAACCAAAAGATCTTGAAAACAATGAACTTTATCCACTATATTTAACTTGACAACTTCATCCCCAAGTCGGACCTGAAAATGAAAATTTTTCAATTATACTTGTGAAATATTACCAAAGTTAATACAATTTTATTTTATTATGGATCAGATATAAAAATTACCTCTACACTCATGTCCTTTTTCACTATTACCGTTTTCGTTGTATATTTCCCAGAATCACCATAGTAAAAAAGAATTATGCCATCAGGTAATAACCCTATTCCCTATTCAATTGTCTCGCTGGAATGCTCTGGAGCTTCGAAGTTTCTTTTCAGTGCCTCGATGGTGTATTCTATTGCTTCGTTCTCTTGGGTAGGTAGTGCGCCCTCAAGCGGAGTAGAAACCTAAAAATTTCCATTTTTTAATGTAGAGAATAATTTATCTCAAATATGTTTTCGAAGCATATTTATATCGATTTTCAACTTACACATAAACTTTTGTCTCCTGTACTCATAAACTTTCCTCCAAAATTATCTTGACGAACATCAAAAATACATGGTATACTATCTTGATTCAATTTAAATTTTTCACGTGGTATTTCGTTTATTATTCCAGCCTTCAAGACAGTTCGGAAAGTCCGCTCAACATCGCTGTCCTTGAAATGTTTATCGCAAACACGTAAATATTTTCGAGTAGCGTTTCCCTTACTCAGAAACAGAGAAACCTTATCAATCCAGATTTGATTTTCATGAGGATACTGAGAAAAACTAAACTGATTGTATGTTTTCTTGAGAAAATGATTGTTATTCATTTTTTCATAATATACTTACCTTCGGAAATTCGAATAGCATCCTTTTATTCGGACCCAAATTGGGACATTTACTCTCACAATTCACAATGCAACACACTTTAGACATGATTTCACTTTTTTTTTAAACAACGGTTCGCAACAATGTAAAGATTCGAACTTTAAGGTTATATTGGACGACGCTCCGCCTCCGAATTTCGAAGTCCAGCATGCGTAGTTCATGAATTAGCCGGCAACCATACCGCGAACAGCGCCCATGTAATGAGACCATATTTTGACTCACCCCCACCACTGGAGTTCGGTCCCCTGTTCTCTAGTCTTCTTGAATGCACCCTAGGTATATCTTGTACAATATGAAGCAAATCAACTTTTTCATTCTGATTAACTGCCAACTTCGGCTTCATTTTGTAGACGGAATGCCTCGTCTAGATATATGCGTCATTGCGCATTAAGCGAGATGTTAATTGATTATTGAGTATTTTTTACCTAACCTTCATCGTGTGGCAAGTTGTCGCGCCTGTGTGCAGGGACCAAAATATTCAAACGTACTCATGTGATAAGAAATTTTGAGTATTTCGACTGATCTTACCCTATTTAATACTGATCTTTTTATTCAACAACCTAAAAGTTAGATAGTATTTCAGTGGTTAATACAGATAATACGTCACACAATTGTATAACGCAATAATCGAAATTGTACATTTGTTGACAATGGATATCGTTTTCGAACATCTTGCAGTGAATTTGTAGGATGGCAGCGAAGGAAAGTAAAATCGAATTCGTTACTAATCCTTGCCCTATCAAGCCTCGTAAAATCGGTCCGCAAAATGTGGTGGTGCGTCTTAGACGTAGGGAAACGATGGGCTGTCCCTTTCCAGGCACACATGTGCACACCGCGAGACAATTTTATCAAAATGTTTTTCCTAACTTTACTGTGATGAATGTGGAAAAACCACCGTGTTTCCTTCGTAAATTTAGTCCGGACGGAAAGTACTTAGTAGCATTCAGTGCGGATCAAACATCTATCGAAGTGTATGATTATTGTGGAGCTTCGGCTGCCGCAGATTTGATAGCCGAATGCGAAGGCGAATACATTGGCCATAAGAATGATGACTGTAGTTTTCACATACGAAGTAATATCTTCGCGCGATTTTTCAAGGTACTCAACACTAACCAACTTTAGCGTACGCCTACATTGCAGATTATACAAATTAAGAAAAAAAAAGATAAAGATGGAGAGAACCACTGAAATTGGTGTACCAGGTCTGAAACGTATTTGTAGGTGAAGTGGATTATAAATGTGGTACAAAGCAACGAGCAATTAAATAGAGAATGCAGTCTTTTCACAGATGATGCTCGATATGTGATTGTGGGTTCAGCTGCACATATTCCTGATGATTTAAGGCCACACTTCTATCAGGTAAAAGTAAATTATCAGATTTTTGTAGAAGAATCTTTCATTATCCTATAAATAAAATGAAATGTTATTGCTTCCAGATTTATTCCAATAATGAAGCATTGACACCAAATCCGAGATCACCATTGGAAGATTATAGTTTACATCTGATTGATTTACGGGGAGGAAAATTGTGTGATACTAGACACTTTAAAGTAGATAAAATTTATTTATCACATAATCAAGGTAAAATAGTATTTGAAAACATTTGATATTATTTTCTTTCTTTATAATCTTATATAGTCTTTACAGTCTTATTTTATATTTAAAACAACTTTTATATATTTAAAATAGTTATTCTAGTTGATATCATATAAAACCACTAATCTTGTATCTTCTTACAAACAGGTCTTTATTTATATAAAGATATATTAGCAGTTTTGTCTGTACAGCACCAGACTATACACATATTTCAAATTCTTGATGGCATGTTTATAAATGTCAGGACAATAGGAAGGTATTATAATTTTGAGAATTGGCATTGAGCTATTTTAGTAAATGTTTTATAATTAGTAATAATTCATTATGAATTATGAAATATGAAATATGAATGAAATATGAATGTAAATGTTATTCCTTGAATAATACAAATAATGTATTAGGTTTTGTTTGGAAGATGATGCGTACTTAGTTACAAGCGCATGGCCTGGAGCTAATTGTAGACCATTTAGAGATGCTACGATAAACAGCCTAAAACATAAATTATTAGTATATTTGTATAAAAGGGCAAAATACATAAGCCATGCAATGAAAGATCCATATGAATTAAGAAGATTCTATCAATATTTTGATCAGGTATTATTTAAAAATACTACTATTGATCTTTATATAATTTATATGTTTACCATTGTTAATTAGTAATTGTCCAAGAATTAATTGAGTAAAAATGCTTCAGTTAAATTCCTTACGAATGTGGAAAATGCAGCTGTTAGACACGGACCATATTCTAGTGCGATATACAAGCGAGGAAGTAGCAACTTTACAAGCGAACGAACCTAACGCGCAACCGGCGTTATTAGTTGTTTATGATATGGTTACAGCCAAAATTTTGGCAGCTTATGACAATGCGTCGACTCAACTATTAACCCAATTTGAAAACTTCAGTGATTTTTTCAGAAATGCCAGAATGAGTACAGATTGCCAGTATATGTGTTCACCATCTAATAATATCTATGCCAGGTATGATGCACAAAATATAACAACATCTACATACATACAATGTTCTTTATATATTTTATTTTTTTAGATTGTTGCAGCAAAGGTTTAAATATACAATAATAAGTGCTAAATTTGGTGGTATTACTGAAGCAACAAAACGTTTACTTGCTCAATTGCCAATATGCGCTCAATCTTATTCTAGTTCTCCTTATCTTGATTTATCTTTGTTTTGTTATGATGACAAATGGGTTTCCATGATGGAACGCCCTAAAGCATGTGGGGAACACCCTATACGGTTTGTACAAACCACAATTACTTCTATCTTTCCTATAACAGAAACGTATCTACTGTACAAATTATTTGCGTTCGTGATTAATTTTTATTTGTTTTTATAGCTTCTACGCACGTGATTCGGGTCTTTTAAAATTTCGAATGTATGCTGGTATGTTGGGCAGAACAGCACCGACATCTGCAAGACGATTGGTCGCATTTACTTTTCATCCGACAGACCCGTTTGCAATTTCAGTGCAACGTACTAACGCAGAATATATCGTCAGTTTTCACATCAGGCACATCTAAATCTTTTCTTTAATACGTGTGCATTGTAGAATATAGTTAGATTTGGGACATCTAAACATTAAAACAATTTAAATTGCTGCCACTAGAGTACAAAATGAAAATTTTGGAAAAGAGCATATTATAAAACAAGTTAAATTGGAATCGATATGACTTTCCTAAAATTTATTGGCTGCTAGAATGTAAGATATAATGTAATATAATGTGATTTAGTACATTTTTAATACAATTTGAAATTGAGGGTTATTTGAAACTATGAGACATGCGAGAATTTTGTAACATTATTTTTGTAATTATACTAAAATGTCACATGTAAAGTAGAATATTGTTAAGTCTCATTCTTTTAAACTGTAGTTTATTACGCTTGTGGAGTCATGTAAAAATGCAGAAAGTGTAGATAAAAAAAATGAATTTATTTTAACAAGATTTTTCTTTTTTTTACCATCTGAAATTTACTTAATGTTTCAATTTTTTGCCATTTGGCCACTGACGGCGCTTTTCATATTCATTACGTCGAAGAACGGTCAACTAGCAGTCTATGATTATATAGGGTCCGTTCCGTTTCACGCATCGAGCGCATTAACTGCATCGAGAACCGTTCCGTTTCAGCTAATGCGTGCATTGGTGGCATATAGAATTCCCTAGAATCCTCCCACCTCTATCGCATTAAGCGCGCATCAGCTACTACAGCTCGGACTAGAAGCAGTTGATGCGGGCGCAGCAGGCATGCGCAGATTAGTATTTATAATCTTTTATACAGGGTGCACGATTTATCTGAAGACATTGAAATATCTCGAGAACTATGTATTGGATAAAAAAAAGTGGTTAATGAAAGTTGTTAGTCTCGAAGGGGGACATCCAATGATACCAAACTCGACCTCTCACCCCACCCCCTGGGGATGGGGGTTGGGGGCAACTTTGAAATCTTAAATGGAAACCCCCATTTTTTATTGCAGATACGGATTCTACGCCACAAAATATGTAAATTTTGTCCGAAACTTTTTTTTTGATTCGTGATAGATGGCGCTGTAATCGCAAAAAATTATATTTTCCGCAATTCTCCAGAAATGATCATTGGATTGAGAAATAAAAAATACCTGTTCAATATTTTTAAAGAACATAATAAAAGTTATTCCCTCCCATCCTCTCGGGGTAGGGTGGGTAGGGTGGGTGATAACGTTCAAATCTCAAATGGGGACCCACATTTTTCATTGCAGAATTAGATTGTACGTGAAATTTTTATTGAAACAATTTTTTTCATTCGTGATAGATAGCATTACACTGCCTTTTATAATAAGCCGTAGTTCGCCACCCACAGTGGCGCGTCGAGCAGTTCCCTCTTCGATTCGGGTTCCCATTTGAGATTTGAACGTTACCACCCACCCTACCCCGAGAGGATGGGGGGGGAATAACTTTTATTATGTTCTTTAAAAATATTGAACAGGTATTTTTATTTCTCAATCCAATGATCATTTCTGGAGAATTGCGAAAAATATAATTTTTTGCGATTACAGCGCCATCTATCACGAATCAAAAAAAAAATTTCGGACAAAATTTACGTATTTTGTGGCGTAGAATCCGTATCTGTAATAAAAAATGGGGGTTTCCATTTAAGATTTCAAAGTTGCCCCCAACCCCCACCCCCAGGGGGTGGGGTGGGAGGTCGAGTTTGGTATCATTGGATGTCCCCCTTCGAGACTAACAACTTTCATTAACCACTTTTTTTTATTCAATGCATAGTTCTCGAGATATTTCAATGTTTTCAGATAAATCGTGCACCCTGTATAACCCTATTTAAATACTGACAACGTGACGTGACGACTGATATATTTAACGTACCGATATTTTTTGATTTTATACATACAGATAATCACAGATACGTACAATGGACAAAGTCGACAAAGTTGAATTCCCCGTATTAGTGGATAACGAAATGATCACTGTGTTTCTCGAAAAAGAGATCGCGTTAAGAGCATCGAAAGGTAAAATTGAAATTTTAAAGTTTTAGAAACAATTCAATTGTATTTTTAAATTAATGCATGTGTGTGAATATTTTTCTACAGATCAAGATTTCTTGATAAAATATAGACTCACTACTACTACTGCTACTACTGCTGCTAATTCTGTTGTCATCATTCACTAATGAAAATAAGGCTATTGTTGTCAATGTTTCGATGTCCATTGTGACCATGGTAGCATCCATTTTTCCTTTCACATCAAACGCATCAAAAGTCGTTCCGTTTCTAAAAGCGCATAGGCGCATTAACGAAAACGGAACGATATCAATGCGCGCAACGCATTGGTTACGATCGATGCGCTCGATGCGTGAAACGGAACGCAGCTATAGTCTAATGGAGGATTCACATTGCGTCCGATGTCCGACGTACGTCGTCCGACATCCAATAGGAGAACAGCTTTCTAATGGAGAATTGAATTATGATATTATGATCATTATGATATTATAATATCATTGCTTCTGCTATAGAAGATGGCTGTTGCTGGAACAATAAATCATATATAAATGTATAACAGAATCGTAACTATCGTAATGCAGCTTAATTCTCTTAATTAAGTTCGTATTTTACTTTTTTCGGATGTCTTTCGGAGTATAAGACTTACATCGGATGATTCTTGTCTGTTCTGTGTTCCCTCATTTCCATTTAATGCTGGAATATTCATTTCATCTGAGTCTGTATTATTATAATATGTCCCACCGCGTATATTTCATTTCTCGCCTTTCGTTGTGAGTCACTGCGCAGGCGTGCTCCGCAGGCGGAGCAGTGACTCTCATTCTTCTTGAGTCGGGATGCGTTCCGAAAGTTGCAAAAAAACGGGCACAAACCTTTATGTCCGCGAGTGTACACCAGTGCAAGCGGCCGAATTCATTGGGTGCATTCAGTACTACAACCGCTCACTGAGCACTAAATGAGTTCTTGCATCTGATTGGTGTATATTTTTAAATCTAAAGGTATATACCAATCAGATGCAAGAGCTCACTTAGCGCTCAGTGAGCGGTTGTAGTACTGAATGCACCCATTATTAAAGGGTCTGTTCTTTTTAGCTGCACTACTGAACTGGTGCAATAAGTTAAAGTGAGAAAAAATATAGTTATCTCATTCTAACTTATTGCACTAGTTTTGCAGTGCAGCAGAAAAGAACAAACCAAAAGTAACGTTGTGGATCTGCACTAAATCTACGTTTTGTGATTTTAATTCACTTTCGTTTCTTCTTTTCTTGTGTCGTGTTATTGTGAGAGCTTGTCATAAATGAATCAAATTGCACATATCCATCGGTATTTATGAATTGCTATGTTATTATATTTGGGACAACACGAGATAATTGTTAAATGATCTATCAGCATAAACTATTTGCTGAATACCGTTTTTTTACAAAAACGTTGAAGATCCAAAATCGTACCTACTGCAAGACAAATCGTAAGTAAACGTTTGCGAATGTATCAGCAAGACGCTTTTTCAACTTCATTCCAAGACTAATCTTCCTTCCATTCTCTCTTTTTTTCTTTTTGTTTTAATTAATTTAGTTTATCCACTCGTAGTTATACATATGCAGATATGTGATAATGTTCTGCTAATGTGTACAAAAGGAATGGAAACAAATACATTCTATCAAAATTTGTAGAGCATACTTTAATAGAAATTTCATAATATCAATAGAAATTCAATTAATAGGAATTTTATAACATTCAGATATATAACAATCTTACCTTTATAAAATAATGATAAGTGATAAGATTAATGATAGGAATTGAAATCTTTTGATATTTATATATTATTTAAATCCTTTATTATGATACAAGAGCATAATTGATTGTAGTGTAAATTTGTTAAAATTAGAAATAGAAATTATATGAATTACATATATACTTTTTTTTTTACAGGAAAAACAAAACTATTTGTCATAGTTCTTGTAACAAAAATAGCTGCACTAATTTTATAAGATATTTGCATTCTTATATAGATATATGCATGTATATGCTTGAACATCTATTTATAGACATAACTGATTATTATATTTGTATATCAAACATATGCTAAGTAAAGAATAATGTTGGAGAACCAGAAATCAAAACCACAGAGTAGTGACAGTACAGAAAAGAAAACAATAGATAATTCTTGTAGCATAGAATCAGAACATGGTATGATTACAGGTTGGACTGAATCGGCCAAAAAATTTGTTTATATGAAACGATTTGGATCATCTAGAGTGCTTCGTAAATCAGTCACACAAAGAAACAAATATTTACTCCGATATAAAATTAATAGATCTTTGAATTTTGATATTAACTTTCCAAGAAAAGATAGTTTACGCCGTCTATCACGTAATTCAAATTTGGATAATAGTTCCATCAATATGAATAAATCATCACGATATTCACACAGAGCAGCTATGATAATGAACGCACTCAGTCGCAGCGATACTTCATATGGCAGAAATGAAAACATAAAAAAAACATTAACATATGACTCAAGTTCTAGCTCAAAGGAAAATAGTAGTTTTGATGAAAGCACTTCTATTGACTCAATATTTAATACATCATTGTATACATCAGATAAATCTTTGGGATCCAATAGAAATTTAAGCGATACTTCTACTAGTAGTGTACCAATTATATCTTTGGAATCAATGGATGAAAATCAAAATCAAACACCGCAGCAAAATCAAAAAGTTGCTAAAATATTAAGTGATACCAACACTAAGAAAAGTGCAGAAAAATCAAGCTCATCATCATCTGGATCTACATCGTTGCTTCGCAGCAACATGAAAGAAAAGATTGATAGTATTATATGTAATGTGCAGACACCTGAGTTATATTTTTTAAAACAAAGTAACAGAACACCTAGCTATGATTTAGTTGCGAGTACACCTAGGAATTTGCTTAAGGAGTTTAATAAAGATGAAGAAGATAGTCCGCATACACCTGAAAATATCATTCAGTTCATCCCAGAAAGCATGAGTAGTATTAAGAAGAGTCATAAAAAGGTATTACACTGTCAATACAATATTATGTCATGTTTTATCTCTTTGTAATTATTATATAGGATTATATAGGATATATAGGATTATATAGAATAGTAATTATTATATAGGATACAATTATGTAGGATATCTCCAAATTGGCATCTTTTGCTAGAGTTTAACAGAAGTTGGTATATGATGTTGTTCCATGTAAAAGTAAGACTTAATTTTTAACAACGAAACTATTGAAACTATCAGATTTTAAATCAATATCTAATATTTGTCAAATTGTGTGTGAATTATTAGAAACAAAGTTACTTTTTATTCCAATAGCTTAATTTAAGGGCTTAAGAGGCTGTAACAAATGAGAATAAATAACAGATATATGTGTCCAATACTTTATTACTTTATTACTTATATTATTTTTACTTTAATAGGGGAGATCATATGACCCTGTGTGGAATAAAAGTTTACATGCGAAAAGAAGAACAGAATCATTAGAAGCAGATGATATACTTACAAGTAGCAGTTCTTACATGGCTACTGTAAATGAATCTCCAAAGAAGAGTAGAAATGCTAAGAAGGCACTCATTTATAATTTGGACGACGAATTTTCTGACAATGAATCAATATCTGATTGTATCAAGCGGAAAACTATAACAAAAACTGTCAATTCAAGTGATTGTAAGATATACGAAGAGGATATACAAGATATTGGTGATATATCAACATCATCAGTATCGAATTGTAATGATAAAGAAAATAATTTCTATTTACAAAAGGCATCATTAGGTAATGTCGATTTAATAGAACGTGAAAACAGATCGGTATCTTTGGAACCTGATTCAGCTGTTTCTCAAGACTCTAGAACTGATAATGGTTCAGTTACATCTAAGAAATTTGTAGATGTTTTCGATCTTACGAATGAAAGACCAAACGATACAAAATGTTGTGAAATGCGTGCAACAGCAGTGGGACTTGTTAAAATGTTAGATATTCAAGATCAAAGTACTCAAGATCAAGAACCTCAGAAGAGCATAAGCAATTTCTTACTTAGTAGTAAATATTTACTCAACTATAATGTGATTTGTTCGAAAAGTTATGAACGGCCAAACACACCTGAAAATATAAATTCGAGTAGACTTCTGTTGCCGCAATTTACATCCGTTAAAAAATCACATAAAAAAGATAAGAGAAGGAATAAAAGTATCTTAAATGTTTCGAAATACGATGTTAAGGGTAACGAATGTCGTAAAAAAGCTATTGGTTTTTTAACGGATGATGGATTCACAAAAAAAGACTCTGATAAATATAGAAACGAGTCGTTTCCGGTAAGTGATGAATTTAAAAAGAAAAGATTTACGAACATATCTCTACAAAATATGTCCCTGCACGAATTGCTATGTTCCGAATCATTGTTTTCGGAATGTGAAGATACGGATGATGAATTTAAAATACATACTCCTATTAGAAAAAGAATGTCATCGATTTTAGATACTGTCAAGAACCATGTTTGTAGAAGCAAAACGTCATCAGAAGGTAAGTTTATACAACTGGCATCTAAAAGAGTCAGTTTCTATAAATATATTGACATTGAAAATTTTGAGCTATTTGAAAATTATGCATACTTTGTTTCAGATGATAAACCAGTAGAAGCTACAAATGCAACAGATGAGAATGGAAGATTAACACCAATTAATATGTCAACAGCAGAATTGCTTTGTAATATAGACTCAATTAAAAAATCACATAAGAAGGACAAGCATGATGGTAGCATGTGCAAAAGACGAATTCTAGAGAAGAAGCCATCCGAGTATATTAAGGAAACTGAGAACATGAATTTTATGGATAATATAAAGATATCAAGAGATCATACATCTCCGTCCTTAAAATTGAATCCAAATAATGATATTTCTTGTGATGAGATGGGAGTATGCAGTAATACGCATAATGTGAACAACAAAAAGAACGAGGAAAGCATTTTTGATCCTCAGCCGTCTACGAGCCGAGGAAACAATATTATTAAAAAAGATATGAAGAAATCGAAAAATCTAAGTACAACGCCTCCAAATAGTTGGAATGCAATAAAATTTATGAAACTGCTGCACACAACTTCTATTAAGAAATCTCATCAAAAAGAACGGAAAATCAATTCGCAGAGTAAATATATTTTGATGTGTCATGAATATGATTTATCCGATGATGGATCAATATTCGATGAGGACGATAGATTAACTTGTATGGAAAACTTCAATCCCTGTCAAGATAAGATTGAATAACATGGGTAAGTTTAAATAAGAACTAATAAATGATAATATCGTGGTAATAAATCATACTTAGATGATCATATTGCAAGAATTATTAAAAGTTGCAAAAACAGTTATGTGCGTCTAAACAAAACTACCCTTTTATGCAAAATTATTAAAAATACCAGCTATAGATGTGTCGTATTTACCTTATAAATCTATTACTTATAAATGTAGAAGATGCATAAGAACATACATTGTATTATAAAATATATATAATTTACCAATTCTAAATTTTTAATGTAAATGTACAAAGTTTAAAAAAAGTACCAGAGCTATGTAATTAACGCACAAGTAAGTATTATTTAAGAAAATAACTAGTTTTCTTAGTTCTTCTTTTTTCAGAAAAGAACAATTGACAGAACTATCTTATTATAAAAGAACAATTGGCAGAACTATCTTATTATAAAAGAACAATTGGTAGAAATATCTTATTATAACAGATCTGACAAAACACGATGCTGCAATATCAACTGATTGATATAACGATTACCAATATATGATTAATCGTTAGTAATATTGTTTAAAGCAGTGCCTTCTAAAGGCATGTTAAACTTTTTACATAGATTTTCAGTGTAATTGAAGCATGAACAGTATTTGGAACATTTGTATATGTAATACTGTTTATTTTTTACTAGCATTGTTTATACAATGTTATTATACAATGTAAAAGTAGATGTAACATTTTCTTAAATATTTAATATAGTTTCATTTTCAACTGTTTCTTTTTTTTACAATAGTTTTACTTTTGCAATTAAAATGTTATACTTAGATTTCCTATAACTTAGGTTTTCCATAACATTAATTTCTGTAAATTTTATTCATATGTTTCGTTATATTTTTGTATATAATTTATAAAAAATAATCAAATTACTATTCTTTTTTTACTCTCAATATTACACAAAAGTTTATCATTGATTTAATAATAATTCTAAGACATACTTTAAAAACCACTTCATTATATGGGATTAAAAAAAATTAATGTACTCAACAATACTTCATAAAAATAATTATTTTGTATCCTTGTGATATTGTACATAAGAGACAAATACATATTTCCTACTCATTAATGCGTTTTTTTTTTCATAAGTATAATTTTCTTAATTGCATATTGTAGATAAAATATGTCGCAACTTAAGAAATATATCTTTATGAAGCATTATTTCTTATATCTTTTATGTAAATTTAGGAGATTTGTAAACTTGCTATCTACGTTTATAAAAATATTATAATGTGTAATTTGTGTGATTTTCAAATATTTTACACATGTATTACATGTGTATATAGGTTAGAATAAAGTGCATGAGTAAAGCCCGTGTCACACTACGGATTGAAGATCAAGGATTGCGGATTGAAGATTGAAATTTGACCAATCGGATTAAAGCAAATCAAAACCGAAGTTCGTTGATTTGTCGAAATTTAATCTTCAATCCGCAATCCTTGATCTTCAATCCGTAGTGTGACACGGGCTTAAAGCCAGCGGCACACAGTGCTTGTTTCCGTGCTGGATTGCTTGCTGGGTGAAAATACTGCATCCTGATTTCCATCCATTTTCGGAAATATACCAATCAGCCCAGACAGCACACGGATGTCTATTGGACGTCCATTATACAGGGTGAAGAAAAAACCCCGGGACTCCTGAAAATTTCGAAAAACACACTTTATAAAAAAATGTTTCAGACAAAAGTTGTAGCGTTGAAAAAGATCTATTTACCGATCTTAACAATTTGACCTTGGATGGCGTCATCAAGGTCAGGACAAAGTCACCTCGGATTTTTTAAATGGAACTCCCAATTTTTTATTGCATATTCTTATAGCCCTTCTTCAGACCTTTTCAAAGCACTATGGTTTTATCCAATTTGAATAAGCTGTTCCGAAGTTATCGAGTTTTTTAAAGTAAGATATCTAGCCAACTAAAGCTAAGACTCCATGCATGCGGTGAGCTCCGGCAAACGGCTGCGGTGACCAATCAGGAGACAGACGTATGCCGGAGCTTGCCGCAACCGGACTTGCGCCTCCCTCCTGATTGGTCACCGCAGCATTTGCCGCAGCTCACCGCATGCATGGAGTCTTAGCTTAAGGCAAGATCGGAGGATGATCCAGCCAACTAAGGCAAGATCATAGGATGATCCGGCCAACTAAGGCAAGATCGGAGGATGATCCAGCCAACTAAGGCAAGATCGTACGATGATCCGGCCAACTAAGGCAAGATTGGAAGATGATCCAGCCAACTAAGGCAAGATCATAGGATGATCCGGCCAACTAAGGTAAGATCGGAGGATGATCCAGCCAACTAAGGCAAGATCGGAGGATGATCTAGCCAACTAAGGCAAGATCGGAGGATGATCCAGTCAACTAAGGCAAGATCGGAGGATGATACAGCCAACTAAGGCAAGATTGGAAGATGATCCGGCCAACTAAGGCAAGATCGGAGGATGATCCGGCCAACTAAGGCAAAATCGTAGGATGATCCGGCCAACTAAGGCAAAGTCGGGAGTTGTCCGGCCAACTAAGGCAAGATCGGAGGATGATCCGGTCAACTAAGGCAAAATCGTAGGATGATCCGGCCAACTAAGGCAATACTGGAAAACTTTAAAGTAATTGTTCAAAATGTCCGCCATCAACAGTTTGACAATAAGCTAATCTATCGTAAAAAGATGAAACGGCTTTTTGAATGTAATCAGCAGGGATGAGAGCAGCTTCATCAAGAATTCGATTTCGTAAGTCATCCAAATTTTGTAGTTTCGTTTTGTAAACTCTATCTTTTAACACGTTGACTGCCAACTACGAGATATCTTGTAGGTTGTTTACTTGCCCAGGACGCCTAACTACGAGTTATCTCGTCCCTTCATTACTTGCCATATTTGTACAGCTACGAGGAAACTCGTAGCATAACAGTGTAAATATGAATAGATGGCCTCAGGAAAGAGGAAAAAAAATGTTTTAAAAAGAAAACATTTTTTAAGCTTTTTGATTATTACTATGTACTATTATTAAAGTTTTTAATAATATAACATGATTAAATCAAATTGGCTCCTTAGACCGGAATCGTGAAAAATTCCGTGGCAGTCAACGTGTTAAATGGCCTCACAGGAAGTAATCGTTGGGTGATAAATTGGGTGATCGAGGAAGCCATTCTAGTATAGGTCCTCTTCTACCCATTTATCGATGAGGAAACACTGTGTCCAGATAATTACGGACGTCCCTTCCGTAATGTGGGGGGGGCACCATCTTGTTGGAATCATGTATGCTCAAAGTTGTCATCTATGATTGCTTGTATCGCTGGAACTATTTCTTCTTAGCATATTCTCATATTTTATCGCTGTTAGATTTCCGTCAATAAAGAATGGACCTATGATAACATTATTCAAAATGCCTACCCAAACATTCACTTTTTGTGGATACTGCGTGTGTGTTTCTTCAATCCAGTGAAGATTTGTATCTGACCAAAATCTACAATTGTGTCGATTAACGTGGCCATTTAACTGAAATATTGCCTCATCTGAAAATACTACATTTGATAGATAGATAGGATCTTCCGCTATTTTTTCCATCATCAAATCACAAAATTCAATGCGACTATCAAAATCATCTTCATTTAGCTCTTGTACAAGATGGATCTTATAAGGATGAAATTATTCATTTTCAATATTTTAAGCACAGACATTTGATCTATTTCATGTTGCTGTCCTACTTTGCGGGTCGAATCATGCGGATTTTCGATAAAGGATTATAGAACATCTAATAATTTTTCTACACTTGTTGCTGATACTGACCTACCTGGTATTGCACGATTTTTCACATTTCCAGTTTCCTGAAAACGCCTTATCGTTCTTTCAACAGTAGATTTTGAAATGGCATTATCCTGATTACGAAAAGTTTCATTAAAAAACCACCTCACATCATTGTACGACCTTAGTCGATCATCCCATCCTCTCATCATCAAAAGAAATATGTGTTCTCGTTCTGAAAGACTTGCCATATTGACAAGCAGAAGTAGTAAGATTTAGTCTAATCGACTAAATTAATATTTGGATCAATTCAAAGTTATTCTAAAGACAGTGCTGAAGAATAATAATGAGCACGGAATAAAGTGCAATTAAGTCAGCTTACAACTAGCTTCAAACTGTTCTTTAATAATTTTCAAAAAAATAGAAGAATTTCAGTCGAGTTTGCGATTCACTAAACTGTAATGAGTATTAAATGAGTAAATGAAAGAAATAAACATCGAACAGCAGAATAGTTCAAATAAATAAATAACTGAAATAAATCAATCAACGAAATTAAGACAAGCCAATAGAAGCCAACGCCTGGAAGTTAGTCGTGCAATTATTTTTACGAGTTGGCTGGATCATCCTCCGATCTTGTCTTAGTTGGCTCGATCACTCCGACCTTGCCTTAGTTGGCCATCCTCCGATTTTGTTGGCTAGTGATCATACTCTTAGTTGGCTAGATATCATACTTTAAAAAACTCGATAACTTCGGAACAGTTTATTCAAATTGGATACAATCATAGTGCTTTGAAAAGGTCTGAAGAAGGGCTATAAGAATATGTAATAAAAAGTTGGAGGTTCCATTTAAAAAATCCGAGGTGACCTTGTCCTGACCTTGATGACGCTACTCAAGGTCAAACTGTTAAGATCGGTAAATAGATATTTTTCAACGCTACAACTTTTGTCTGAAACATTTTTTTATAAAGTGTATATTTTTCGAAATTTTCAGGGGTGCTGGGGTTTTTTCTTCACCCTGCATGTTCTTTTTTTTACAAAAGACGTCCATAGGACGTACGTTTGTCACAACTTCGGACATAGGACATCCGATGGACGTACATCGGACGTACTACAGGTCTGATGTCCAATAAGGACATCCTTGTTACGTCCAATTTATGTCCACGGACATAAATCGGACATACGGACATAAATTGGACGTGAAACGTACATCCATTGGATATCCGATGCTGTCTGGGTTAATATATTTTGAAGATTTTATAAGAACTAAGGAATCTATAAGTAGTTTTTATTGTCTAATCTTATATTTGTATCTTAAATTTGCATCTTAAAACTAACACTTTTTGTGTATCTTTAGAGGTTCGGAAATTATACTTTGAGAGCTGTATTCATAATCCGGTCTTAAGCCAGCGGCACACGGTGCTTGTTTTCGTGCTGGATGGCTTGCTGGATGAAAATGCTGCGTTCTGATTGGTACATTTCCGAAGATGGATAGAAATGCACCAATCAGAATGCAGTATTTTCATCCAATAAGCAATCCAGCACGAAAACAAGCACTGTGTGCCGCTGGCTTTAGTTGCAGTGATTTCTAGGTTATAGAATATTGTAATTTGTGGTATTATTTTGTACAAAATTCCCCAAAAAAAACAAATTTATCTACAAATATTTACATCTGTATACAAATTTCTGCAGATTTCTATTTTTAGTAAAAATTTGTAGTTTTTTGTTAAAGTTTTTTCGGCCAAGGAATCCAGCACAAAAACAAGCACCGTGTGCCGCTGGCTTTATATTTAAGATCTTAAGTTCATCTTCAGATGCTGGATCATTTCATTGGCTACAGAATATCTGAACGTGAACTCAAAACTATCTTAAATATAAAATCCGACTATGAATGCAGCCCTGAATGCAGAGTAATTGAATTAACCAATTATGATAAAAAGATATTTACTCTTTTTTTTCTTATTCTTATTTTCTAATGCTAGTTACTTTATCCGTAATGTACAAGTTTCGAACGCACTCCAGATAATGTAAGTGCCACTTTATTGGTTATACTAAAGCCAACGGCACACGGTACTTGTTTTCGTGCTGGATTGCTTGCTGGATGAAAATACTGCGTTTTGATTGGTGCATTTCCATCCATCTTCGGAAAAGTACCAATCAGAAGGCAGTATTTTCATCCAGCACGAAAACAAGCACCGTGTGCCACTGGCTTAAATCTACATACTTTTGCTTGTAGAATGCGATACGTTTGTCATAGAATCCACAGATTTAAAACTTTCACTTAAAAATGGAATTATATCACTTTTTCTTCTTTCGTGCCACAAAAAATGCATAATGTACCACCAAATCACTAAATTGTGTCTGTGTGCAACTGACCTTTAATTGTGCCACATGTGGTACGAATGTGCCATGACTGGCAACGCTGGTGACGATAGGACACAAATCCTCGATGTAGTTACCATTTCATCATAATACGTAATCTTTCCGGTTCCTCTTTTCTATCCCAGCTTGCCTGTAGCACTGTACGCTTTGTGCTGTTGAGCGTGATTCACGTTTCGTGTCGCAAGACTTAAAGGTATGTATACATTTTAAATTTTATTATATAGGAAAGAATATTTTGCGCTTAAAGTAATTTGAACTTTAATAAGATAAAATATGCGATGCATTTATTCGATTGTGTTTTATTAATTCTTGTATGGTTGGATTTCTTCATCTATATCACATCTGTATCTTGTATAAAACCTACAAATCATACGAAGCATGTATATTTTATTTTTAACTTTTCTTACAATATTTATCTCCAGAATTTTTAATTTTATATATATATACAGATTTTTTTTAGAATAAAATATATAAATTCGATATCATTGTTTCCAAGCATAAGTTATCCATTGTAGATGGTATTCCATATATTTTTATATCAATGTGCATATAAAAATTTATCATTTTTTTATATCAGTGTGTACATATTTTTATATTAATGTGCATATAAAAATTTGTTATTTTATGATGATTTATACTATACCATCTTTCATCTAAATTATTGTGAAGATATATCCATTACTGATGACTAAATTTTAAAAGAATTATATATGCTTCTTATATTGCATCAATAATTTAATATAAACATATTGTCCTATAGAATGCGTTACGTGGCCGCTTATGTACTGGCTGTTCTTGGGGGCAAAGCCTCACCAAGCCAGAATGATATTGAGAAGATCTTGTCATCGGTTGGGATTGAAACCGATTCTGAAAAACTGAAGAAAGTAATTTCAGAATTAAATGGAAAATCTATTGACGAGTTGATTACTAAAGGTATGTAGTGAGTTTTATAAAATATTTTCTTTCATTCATTTTCTTATTTAAGAATAACACTTTATGAAGTCTAAGTTTATTATTCTTATTATTGTTATTGTATAATTTTAGGCAGGGAAAAATTATCATCCATGCCAGTTGGTGGAGCAGCTGCTGCAGGTGCTGCAGCTGCTGCTCCTGCCAATGGTGCAGCTGCTCCAGTAGAAGAGAAGAAAGGTAAATTCATATATTTCTTCATTATAACATCAATAGTTTACTACCATTGCACTAAAAAAATCACACTTAAAAGGGAGAGTGGTGAATGCTTATATATATTAATGTCAATTACATGAATAATTTTGTTTCAACAGAGGAGAAGAAACCCGCCAAAGAAGAATCAGAATCGGAAGATGATGATATGGGCTTTGGCTTATTTGACTAGAGGTTTTTTTATCTTGAAATTAAACAACTTTATTTCAGGACAGAATATGCTATGTTCAGCAGTAATAAGTAAAATTTAATAAATTTTTGCATTGTATAAATTGTTAAATTTGTACCATTGCTGAGGAATAAAGCGTATTTAACTGAATTTAGTCTGACATTTTTCAATATTTTGTTTCTACATTTACTTTCATATCCTTTTTCCCTGTGTATCATAGGTAATAACTAGCGAGTTCCGAGTTTATTGATGGAGGCTTAAAGTGGTAATTTAATTTAGCATAATGGTAATTGCGCATTTGGTAATTATTTAGAAGACTGGCCTCACCTTCGATTTCGCTCAAACTCACCTATCTTGTGTATTTTGACGTGTAGAAGCCGAATCTGCAAGTAAAAATGGTCGCTCGGCTCTAGTTTGCGAGAAATAAATAGTTAAAAAGTGACAAATGCGAGGTTAGGAAATCTGTCATGTCGGTAATACAGATACTTATGGTCTGTTCTTGTGTGTGTGTGTGTGTGTGTGTACATATTTGGTACTGCATGTATATACATGTTTGACTTTTTCATTTGTTACATATCCCCCTCCCGCACCCTCCTCGTTCTCGTTGCGCATTGAAAGTTATATCCATAAGTCTCTGTGACAAATAGATATTATGAATGTAGTTTTCGTAAAAATAAAGTGCAATGTAAAGCAAAATTAAAAATTGTAAGTGGTAATTATATTGTTAGTGGAAAACATGAGCATTGAAAAACCTGTATTTCAATTATGTGAAATTAGTAAAGAAATCGAAACATCATATGCATTCGAATCATCTAGATTAATAAAGAAAAGAATTATTTCGAAGTGAGTATAAAACAAATAGAAAATGAGTATAAAAAAATAGAAAACAACAAATAAATGTTATTAATGAAGATGAGTACCTATTATTTATAATTGTAATTTTTATATTTGTAATTGTAATTGTAATTTGTTTATTTATATCTAGATACGACCATTTATTAGATTTGACAAAAATTGGTAATTTAGAAAAATCAATTGAAAGACAAAAAAAAATGTATTCGAAATATTCCAAAAAATTTAAATGATTTAACATATTGTTTAAATAAAGAAAATTGGAAAGAATTATTAAAAATAGAAACAACTGATTCTTTTATTGTTGATTTTGTAATGAAAGGAAAAAATACCAAAGCGATTATTTTTATTGATAAGGTTTTAGTGTAGTCAGTTATGTCAATAATTAATGACAAACTAACCATTTCTGTAGATGGAACATTTAAGACAGTTCCTCAAATTCAAGAAAATAATTGTCAATTGTGAACAATTATAATTAGATATGATAATAAGATAAGCAAACAATTAATTTATTTTTTCATTTAATAATTAGTTGATTTTCCTGCAAAATCATTATATGTAAATAAATGAGTAAATTAAATTGTTCTTAAATTTCAGATATTTCCAATTGTTTACACTATAATGGAAGGATGCACTTTTGATGATTATTTAAATGTTGTATAAAAAGTCATCCACGTAATTAAATTAGCACCAGAAATTATAATATCAGATTTTGAAAAAGCCGAGCGAAAGGCATTACAAACGATTTTTCCCAGAGCTAAAGTCATTGGCTGCTTCTTTCATTATAGTCAGGAAATAAAAGATAACTATATACAAAACAATAAACATGAAATACATGTCAATTTTCTTTATACCGCTTTCTTATTACAGGCCTTAATACATAATGCTGAGAAGCACAACATCCTAAAAGGCGACAAAAAGGAATCAGGTTGGGGCGCATTAAAACTATTGATATCTTTGGCTTTTTTGCTGGAAGATTTGATAGAAGGAGCCTTCGAAATTATTTATAAAATAATATTTAATGATTGCAAATATCTTCGATCATTTTTTCATTATTATAGAGAGACATGGTTAAATGGCTTCAAACCTCGTTCATTTTGTGTTTTTCAACAGTTACACAGAACGAACAATATTTCTGAAAGACACAACCGAGAATTACGAGAAAGCCTAAAGAAACATTCAAAAATAGTTGAATTTTTAGGTATATTGTAAATGCTCTATTGTAAACAGTTTTTTCATTATTTTTACTGTTCTTATAATTTAATATTATTTATAGCTAATCTAATTGAACACCAAAAAGACATTCAAAGTAAACTGAAACATCCAAACTTCTCGGTGAGATCAGAGCATTATTTATTAAAACGGAGGGAAAATGAAATTCAAACAATTTGGAATAAAATCCAAGATACTAATAATTTAGATATTTTATTAATATTATATTCATTATCTGAATTAGTTGGACAAAAGAGATTATTTAATAAATACTTTAATATACTTCTTATTCTTCTTTTAATTTTCCTTATTGTTCCTCTGGCTACTGACATTTTACAAGCACTCCTGGTTAGCTAGGAAGCTGGAACAAAAAAATTAATCAAAGAAAAGAATCGGTCCAACAACATCTACAATTACAGATAGCACATACATACATAATCTTTTCTTTCATGAGAATATTTGCTATTTATCTGATATATATTTGTCTATTTTCCATTTACTTCTTTCATTATTAATGCTCCTTTCATCTTGTATAGACTTCATTCCGTTATTGACGATGACAGAAATGCGAAGAACAATGCCACAACTATAAGTAATATTTTATCAAGATATGTTAAGCGAAACATAGAAGAACTCAAATTGTTTAATTGCATATAATAATTAATCCACTTATACGTATAATATCATTGTTTTTCATTTCGTTCATATTAATAAATTTTGTTTTCTCTTATTTGTAATATTTTTACTTAATTTTATTTTAAATAAATGTCGTAATATATATATATATATATATTATACTTACATTTATAAAATATTACGATCGTAAATATTTATTATAAACACGCGCGCACATCTGTCAAAAAGATTCAGCAAACTGGCAGACTACTACTTGAACAGTGTTACTAATCGACGGAAATTGAAATTAAGTTGCCTAGAGGTTTTCGTTGGTGCCAACCCCTCTACTTTTCAGGAAAACGTCGTGTAACCTTACATTTTATATCTCAAGACTTAAAGGTATATGTGCATTTCAAATTTTATTACATAGGAAATATTCTGCGTTTTAAGTAATTTAAATATTTAAGTTAAAATATGCAATATATTTATTGCATTGTGCCGATTGTGTTTTGCCGATTGTGTTTTGTTAATTGTTGCATCGTTGGATCTCTTCACCTGTATCACGTTTGTATAAAACCTACGAATAGATTATACGTAGGATATATATTTTATTTTGCTAATTATCTAGAACAGAGCTTGGCACATTTTACACATTTTGCCTGATTTTCAGCTCGCTTCGCTTATTGCTATTTCTTTTACGTCTTTTCTCGTGCGTGGCCCACAAGGCTTAATAACGTGTGACGTATGAAGTTGTTTTCAATAGTTTTCCACCTACAGTTTATATAGTTAGTTATAGAATAGTTTAGTCACCTATTATTGACACGTTTTTTTTCACGTGTCGTACGTTACTTGCTTCATGCGGTTCGTGAGCTGCGGAAGAAGACAAAAGGAAAATACCGCTCCGCGGTAGGCGGAACAAGTTGAAAATCGGGCAAAAGCAAATTGCGCCAAGTTCTGATCTAGAATGCGGGCCTCCCCACCAATTTCCCTGAAATGCAATTGTGTATTTTGTTGCGTAAAATTTTGTTGCGCAATTTTGAAAGAAAAAAGTGTCGCTTTCGAATGGATTAAAAGCAGTTCCTTCCAACTCTTCTATTTTGCACGTGTATTTCCGTGTCCACTAGTGATGGGAATTGGGTAACTGGGCTTGCCAGAGAATTTCCCCCACCACGCACGCACACAGCCAACTCGGTCTATTCGTATAAGACATGCACTTGTCACTGTCACACGGCTAGACTGAACCAGCTATGATGCGTGCATGGTGGGGGAAATTCTCTAGCAAACCCGTCATCGAATTAAAAAAAAAAAGAAAATTGCAGATGGCGCTACTATCTAGTTGGTCTGTTCATATATACACATAGATCATATGCAAGCCAGAGAAATTTTATAAATATTTACGATATTTTTGTGCTCATCTTGAAAGTTTTAAAAATATATATATGAAGTTTTTGAAATATGTGTATTTATTCCTTAATTTATATATTAATATATTTTTGTATAATATAAAACAGATAATGAAGGCAACAAAATATGAATTATACTTTTACTCTTACAATATACAAGTATTTTTAAGTTTTACAATGTTTTGATATTTTTTTAATTTGTTCTTTAATTGATTCTATTTTGTATTATTATTTAAGATAAAATGTCGTTAGTTATGCCAAATATATCTCAATTCATAAATTTTCCTAAAGCTTTTGGTTGCATTTTCATTTTCTTTGTGATCAATAAACTGACCGATAAACTTACACATCATATTTAGTAAAATAATGTATAAATTTCGAACAGAAAGTTGAAACAGAAAGTCAGCTAGTTTGTATTAAAAAAATATTGGTCACAGAGAAGATGAAATTGCCAATGACGTATATAACTAGACCAAGCATTCGACCAGCTTATAGACGAAGGGGTGAAGCCGAAAGTTGGCAGTTTACGACAGAGTGAGAACGTTGCACGGCATCAAACCTTTCTCACTCTATCCTATAGACTGCCAAAAGCAATATGGTGTACGACTATGGCTGCGTTCCGGTATTTACTGCCAGTACTGAAAATACATAGTATGCGTCACGTATATTATATATTTTCAGTGCTGACAGTGAATATCGGAACGCAGCCTATGTAAATCATGTGAACGTTGAATGCAAATATATATATCTACATTAGCAAATCAAATATAGGCATAAATAATTAATAATTATATAATATGTATAGTATAATATGTATAGTTATCGATATCATATATTTTTCTGATAAATATTTTGATATGTTATATATACTATTTTCCTAAAGTTATTTACTAGATGCTTCTGAAATGTCTAGAGTTGAGTCGAGTTGAGTTAGTTTTACTATAGTATCCGTTACATATACTATAGTGGAACTAACTCAACTCGATCCAACCCTGGACATCTCGGAAGCACCCACTGTCAAACTTACTGTGATTAGTATTTTTTCACTCTGTTCTACAGCTGCCAAACGTTTACGAACGACGTGAATAATACGTATGTGAATCTTGAATGTGAATATGTACATTTGCATTGAATTGTGTAAACATTAAGTACAAAAATATATATTAAAAAATAGGTAAAACTTTAGAATAGGGCCTTTTCCGAATTTTGATATATTTGTGCTACTTGCTGGATAAAAATCTTTGTTGTGACTACGACAATGATAATCAATGGGGGGAGCCCGAAAAAAATGTTACCGACCTATTTTTTTCAAGTTTTTTCGGGTCTTATAAAACTCTGAAGGAAAAATACATTAAATTTAAACTATTGAGTAAAAGTATAAAAAACTCAATGAATTTAATAAACCAAAGACATAAACTATTCTCCGCTACAATTTAGACTTTATAATATAAATTTGTACTTTTGATTAAAGCAGAGCATGATTGTGAATAATGCTTTATTTTATTTTGCTTGTAATTTATGATACGTCCTACCTTGCATAGAGAACTTGCTAATCTTTTTTTCAGTTTTCATTTTTACCCAGATAGCACCGAACATCCAATGGATGTACGTTTCACGTCCAATTTATGTCCGTATGTCCGATTTACGTCCGTGGACATAAATTAGACGTAACAAGGATGTCCTTATTGGACATCAGACCTGTAGTACGTCCGATGTACGTCCATCGGATGTCCTATGTCCGAAGTTGTGACAAACGTACGTCCTATGGACGTCTTTTGTAAAAAAATGGACATATAACAGACGTCCAGTGGACATCCGTGTGCTATCTGGGTAGTATATCGTAGACTCATCTGTTTTTAGTAAGGCGAAAGATTCGAGTAACAACTGTGAACGGTATTTAATCAGTATAAAATCGATATTTAAAATTTTAAATATGTGGAATAAAATTTTCGTGTTTTTTCCTATAAAGATCTTAGTCCCCGTCCCCTCTCCCTTAATATATATGTAAAACTTTGTATACATGCTTTTTTACAGCTAGTTTTGTAAATTATTGAATAAGAAAACATAGTTTTTGGTATAACAGTACTTCTGAATATTTACCAAAAAAATTGTTCAAAAAATAAGTCGGTAAAATTTTTTTCGGGCTCCCCCGATTGATTATCATTGTCGGAGTCACAACAAAGATTTTTACCATGAGTAACAAATAAATATCAAAATTCGAAAAAGGCCCTATTCTAAAGTTTTACCAAAAAATAAATATCAGAATAATGCAATAGCAAAAACTGCACATTTTTAAAACCCACGCTCAATAATGCATATAAAGGCTGCATTAAGATATTCTGCCAGAAATTCTATAGTATACGTGACATAAACTATGTATTTTCAGTATTGGCAGTGAATTTCGGAACGCAGTCAAAGATGCAATAATAATTAGATTAGATTAGGATTTTCTTAGGTAGAGGGGCTCCACTCCTCCTCCGCTTATATGTACTATCTTACACTTTGCGCGACTAAAAAGAACAGATCATAAGTTCCTGTATTATCGGCATGATGGAGATTTCCTAATTTTATATGTCTTTTTTCAGATTTTCATAATGTTTGATCTGTTTGAGAATGACACTTTTTCTTTCAAAATCGTGTTCTAGACACCGAAATACACAATTGCACAAAGTTTCAGTGAAATTGGTGAGGAGGCCTGTATTCCAGATAATTACCTTTATTTTATACCTTTCTTATAATGTCTATGGCTGGTATTCATAGTCAGGTCTTATATTTAAGACCGTCTTAAGTTCACTTTCAGATACTCTATAGCCAATGAAATGCTTTGTACAGAGTTTGAAGATAAACTTAAGACGGTCTTAAATATAAGATCCGACTATGAATACCGGCCTATATTCAGAATTTTTAATTATATATACAGAGAGGAGAGGTGTCATGGGCCGCTTTTAGCCGAGCCAAGTGCGAAGCGCTCTCTAAAACCGTGCACATGAACTAACGACGCCATATCCACGACTCTTTACTGACTTCCCCCACCACGTACACTCGCGAGCATATAGTTTGTAACCGTTTTTTTGTAACTTTCAGAACGTATCCCGACTCGAGAAGAATGAGAGTCACTGCTTCGTCTGTGGAGCACGCCTGCGCAGTGACTCACGACGAAAGGCGAGAAATGAAATATACGCGGTGGGACATATAATAATACAGACTCAGATGATATGAATACTCCAGTATTAAATGGAAACGAGGGAACACAGAACAGACAAGAATCATCCGATGTAAGTCTTATACTCCGGAGGACATCCGAAAAAGGTAAAATACGAACTTAATTAAGAGAATTAAGCTGCATTACGATAGTTACGATTCTATTATACATTTATATACGATTTATTGTTCCAGCAACAGCCATCTTCTATAGCAGAAGCAATGATATTAGATACAGAAGCAGCTGTTATAGCGAATTTTGAATTTTTGGGACATACAGACATGGACATGGAAGAGGAAGAAGGAGATGGAGACGATGAAATTTATGATGCAAATACAGATACCAAACCAAATAAAGTAACGCTTATTATCATCTTTTGAATATCTATTATTGTAATAGGTTTATATTTTATCTTAAAGTACACGAATAAAAAGGGATTTACTGACCCCTTTGAAGAATTCATTTCCAGATAGATAGAACGAGGTGGCGATTCTTTAATTTCTGTGAGGAGATTTAATTCATTTAATACTTCTGCCTCTGCATCTGTATCAACATCTTCCGCTAGAAGGGGGATAGATGCCTGAAAAATAAGAAATTATGTTAACAAATAGCGTGAACAATATCATTAAAACGCAAGATGATAGTAAGCGTTACTTTATTTGGTTTGGTATCTGTATTTGCATCATAAATTTCATTGTCTCCATCTCCTTCTTCCTCTTCCATGTCCATGTCTGTATGTCCCAAAAATTCAAAATTCGCTATAACAGCTGCTTCTGTATCTAATATCATTGCTTCTGCTATAGAAGATGGCTGTTGCTGGTACAATAAATCGTATATAAATGTATAATAGAATCGTAACTATCGTAATGCAGCTTAATTCTCTTAATTAAGTTCATATTTTACCTTTTTCGGATGTCCTCCGGAGTATAAGACCTACATCGGATGATTCTTGTCTGTTCTGTGTTCCCTCATTTCCATTTAATGCTGGAGTATTCATTTCATCTGAGTCTGTATTATTATAATATGTCCCACCACGTATATTTCATTTCTCGCCTTTCGTCGTGAGTCACTGCGCAGGCGTGCTCCACAGACGAAGCAGTGACTCTCATTCTTCTCGAGTCGGGATACGTTCCGAAAGTTACAAAAAAACGGTCACAAACTATTGTGCTCGCGAGTGTACGCACACATAGCCGGCTCGCTCTATCCGTGTCACATGAATAGACTGAGCTGGCTATGTGTGTGTGCGTGGTAGGGAAAATCAGTAAAGAGCGTGGTGTCGTGAATACTGGCGTGTTAGTTCATTGTTCATAGTTCATATTTAGTACACGGTTTTACAGAGAGCACTTCGCACTTGGCTTGGGTAATACCCGTATTCAATGTCAGGCCTTATATTTAAGGCTTCCTTAAGTTTATCTTCAGATGGTTTGTAGCCAATAAAATAATACATGCAGCATCTAAAGATGGATATAAGGAGGCCTCAAATATAAAACCAGCGGCACACGGTGCTTGTTTTTGTGCTGGACTTGCTGGATGAAAATACTGCGTTCTGATTGGTGCATTTCCATCCATCTTCGGAAATGTACCAATCAGAACCAATATTTTTATCCAGCAAGTAATTCAGCACAAAACAAGCACCGTGTGCCGCTGGCTTAAGGCTTAACTATGAATAATATAAAAGCAGCCCATGACACCTCTCCTTCTTCTCTCTGATATATATATATATATATATATATATAATTTAGATTTTTTTTAGAATCAAATATATAAATTTGATATCATTGTTTTCAAGTACAATAGGTTATCCACTACTTATTCCACATATTTTTATATCAATGTGCATATACAAATTTGTTATATATTTTATGATGACTTATCATACTATCTTTCATCTGAATAAATGTGAATGATGATCCATTACTGATGACTAAATTTTAAAAGAATTACTTATACTTCTTATATTGCATCAATAATTTAATATGAATATATTGTCCTATAGAATGCGTTACCTAGCTGCTTATGTACTAGTCATTCTTGGAGGTAAAGCCTCACCAACCGAGAATGACATCAAAAAGATCTTGTCATCAGTTGGTATTGAAACTGATGATGAAAAATTGGAAAAAGTAATTTCCGAATTAAATAGTTTCCGGAAATCCATTGATGAATTAATTACCAAAAGTATGTAATGAGTTTTATAAAATATCATTTTCTTTTTTAATAATAACATATATTCCATGAGACCTAAGTTTTTTATTGTTATTGTTATTATTGTATAATTTTAGGCAAGAAAAAATTATCATTTATGCCAGTTGATAGAGCAGCTGCTGCTCCTGCCAATGATGAAGCAGTTATAGTAGAAGAGGAAGAGGGTAAATTCATATATTTCTTTATTATAACATTAACAGTCTATTACTGTTGTACCAAGATATTATATTTAAAAATTGTGACAAATTCTTATCATATGTATTAATATTAATTACACAAATAATCTTGTTTCAACAGAGGAGAAAGAAGAAGATTCTGAGTCGGAAGATATCGGCTTTGGCTTGTTTGATTAGATTTTTCACCTCGAAGTCAAACAAATGTATTTCAAAATATGCCTTGTTCAGTAGTAGTGATTGAAATTCAATAAATTTTTGTATTGTATAAATCATATTAAATTTATACAAATACTACTGAAGAATAAAGCATATTTAACTGAATTTAGTTTGACATTTTTCAACATTCTGTTTCTATGCCTGCTTTCATACACTTACCTTTCCTCCTGCGTATCATGAGCGATAACTAGCGAGTTTCGAGTGTATCGACGGAGGCTTAAATTGGTAATTTAATTTAGCGTAATGGAGATAACCTTTAACACATCCGATGTATATACGGTACAAAACAAGGACGGAAAACCGAGATAACTAGAGAGAAAATGACTTTTTTTCATTCTTTTTCCATGATGTTAGTATTAATTTTTTTCTTTTTCTTACATTTAGTTACACGAATCATGTTATACATCCATACGCTGTTGCGGTTTCATTCGCACTATTCGTAATAATATAGCGACACAACAGGGAGAAAGAGAGAGAGAGAGAGAGAGAGAGAGAGAGAGAGAGAGAGAGAGAGAGAGAGGAGGAAGGGAGAGGGACAATGCGCGAGATTCTCCACAGAATCCAATCGTGTCAAATCGTGGCTGTTGGCTGTATTCTTCCGCTAGCGCCAAGATTCTCCCGTTCAACGTCAACTTCACCGAGATCATCAGTAGCGGCGACAGGGACAGGAAGTACAGACAAATTATCGATTAATTGCCAATGTGTAAGGCAACTGAGCGGCCGAGATGACGCTTTAACGTTGACGAACTGTCGAGACATTTTCATACGCGGGAACTATTTCGAGATAGAGGGGCGGCGTTGGCGGCCATGATGGGTGTCAGCGGCGAGTAGCGACAGTGTTCGGTCTCCGTCAGTTGGTTTTGCGCTTTGATGATTGACGTCGAGCATTCGGGGGATAAAAGGCGTTCGATAAGTGGGAATAGTTCGTAAGTGGATACAGTCGGACTCGCAGCCGCACGGCTATTCCGCGGAAGAGACAGTGGCTGAAAAATACAGTGATACTTTGAATATTTCGGCAAAATGACGCAGCTATTGCCCATAAGGTTCCAAGAACATCTTCAGGTACGTCATCTATTTCCTCCGCGGTATTTCTTTCGAACGTAAGCGCCCGTCACGCTAATGCAATCGTAGCTGGAATTATGTTGACCTTTCTTTCCCTCTTTCTTTCTCTGTCTCTTCTTTTCTCTTTTCTCCTCTCATTTCTCCTTTCTTTTCTCCTCTCTTTTCTCCTCTTTTCTCCTCTCTCTTCTCTTCTCTCCTCTCTCTTCTCTCCTCTCTCTTCTCTCCTCTCTCTTCTCTCCTCTCTCTTCTCTCCTCTCTCTTCTCTCCTCTCTCTTCTCTCCTCTCTCTTCTCTCCTCTCTCTTCTCCTCTCTCTCTTCTCCTCTCTCTCTTCTCCTCTCTCTCTTCTCCTCTCTCTCTTCTCCTCTCTCTCTTCTCCTCTCTCTCTTCTCCTTCTCCTCTCTCTCTTCTCCTCTCTCTCTTCTCCTCTCTCTCTTCTCCTCTCTCTCTTCTCCTCTCTCTCTTCTCCTCTCTCTCTTCTCCTCTCTCTCTTCTCCTCTCTCTCTTCTCCTCTCTCTCTTCTCTCTCTCTTCTCCTCTCTCTCTTCTCCTCTCTCTCTTCTCCTCTCTCTCTTCTCCTCTCTCTCTTCTCCTCTCTCTCTCTCTCTTCTCTCTCTCTTCTCCTCTCTCTTCTCTCTCTCTCTTCTCCTCTCTCTTCTCCTCTCTCTTCTCCTCTCTCTCTCTTCTCCTCTCTCTCTCCCCCTCTCTCTCTCTCTCTCTCTCTTTTTTCGCGTTGGAGAGAATCACATTTTCAGCAAATATATTTTTCTACTTTGCTTGCGTGTAAGCTCATGACTCTCTTACTCACTCGTTTCTTTTTATGACACATGCATGCAGAACAGAAGTGGAGTTTTTTCTTTCGGACGATTGACGTTACTTTGACAGCTACAATATACTTATCGAATATTGCGTGAAGTTCATCTACGTTGCTCGACGTGTCGAGCATAGGTTGACTCGTCGATTTAATTACTCACGAGACTTCTTTCACGGCAATTTTACAGTACAAATTAACCGATTACGCGTAATTCCTGTATCGATTTGTCGTTAACGTTACGTTAAAAAGCATGACGAACAAATTGACTTTTTTTACCAATGAGCGGTCTGAAGTCCACGACTATCATGAACGTATACGCCCCTCGTATCTGTTTTTACCGAAACTGAATCAGAGGCTCCCTTTGAACTTTTCATGATTTTCGATAACACTATATGAAACTTGTGGAAAATTTACTCGCTTATTTTCCTTGTTGTTGAATGTAAATTTGTCGCGAACAAAAAATAATTCAAATTCATTAAGATAAAAGTGTCGCTGATAAATGTTGCAATAAATATGCAATGTTTTGCTTATTATTCTGCAACATATAAGTTTGTTGCAGCAACATATGCTTATTGTGGCAACATTATATTTATTATTGGCTATATCATAAAATTTAGCTTATGAATCTTTTCTATAATTTTTCAATTATATTGGTAATGGTATATAATTTATATGTAAAGAATAAATTTTTGTAATGATAAAGTTTTTTTCCAGAGAATGTCTAATATAAAGTTAGTATATATTATTTAATCCATACAATGTGTTCTTAAACAGCAAGGAATTACATAAATCTTACAGATGTAAAATTATCCTGTGTCTCTCATCTTTACAGCTTACAGCTGTAGGAATTAATGCCAGTAATGTCAGCTTTAATACGCTTACTATGGAATCTGATAAATTTATTTGTGTAAGAGAAAAAGTTGGTGATACTGCTCAAGTGGTTATTATCGATATGAATGATTCTGCTAATCCCATTAGAAGACCAATATCTGCTGATTCTGCAATTATGAATCCAGCCAGTAAAGTCATCGCTCTTAAAGGTATGTATGCGCACACTGCCCTTCATCTTTAAAATGAAACGATTCCTTTCGCGTGACATGATATTGTAATTGCATAAGAGTGAGAATGAGAGTTAGAGAAGAAAGATAAAAACATATTGTACATATAAGTAACATAATTGCTAAAGAAAACCATTTATTTCTATTTAATTAGCTATGAAAACACTCCAAATTTTCAACATTGAAATGAAGTCAAAGATGAAAGCTCATACAATGACAGAGGATGTGGTGTTTTGGAAGTGGATATCGCTGAACACATTGGCACTGGTGACGGAAACTGCGGTATATCACTGGTCCATGGAAGGTGACTCTACGCCGAATAAAATGTTCGAGCGTCATTCATCGTTAAACGGCTGTCAGATTATCAATTATAGAACAGATCCAAAACAAACATGGCTATTATTGATCGGTATTTCGGCGCAGCATAACCGAGTAGTCGGCGCTATGCAACTCTATTCCGTGGAACGAAAGTGCTCGCAGCCAATCGAGGGACATGCCGCTTCCTTTGCTCAATTCAAGATGGAAGGAAACGCGGAAGCGAGTAATCTGTTTTGCTTCGCTGTCAGAACGGTCCAGGGAGCGAAGCTTCATATCATTGAAGTGGGTCAACCACCAGCGGGTAACCATCCGTTCCCGAAGAAGGCGGTAGACGTTTTCTTCCCGCCCGAAGCTGGAAATGATTTTCCCGTCGCTATGCAAGTTAGCTCGAAATATGATGTCATATATTTAATCACGAAATACGGTTATATTCATATGTACGATATCGAGTCGGCTACCTGTATATTTATGAATCGCATCTCAGGCGAGACTATATTCGTCACTGCGCCTCACGAAGCTTCCGGTGGTATAATCGGAGTCAATCGCAAGGGTCAGGTTCTGTCAGTTTCCGTGGATGAGGAGAATATAATTCCGTACATCAATGGAGTGCTGCAGAATTCAGAATTGGCCCTGAGAATGGCCGTAAGGAACAATCTGTCCGGTGCCGAAGATCTGTTCGTAAGGAAATTCAACATGCTCTTCCAGAACGGCCAATACGCAGAAGCGGCAAAAGTCGCGGCCAATGCGCCGAAGGGGATACTCCGTACGCCCGCGACGATACAACGATTTCAACAAGTTCCGACTACCCAGGGACAAACCTCGCCTCTTCTGCAATATTTCGGCATTCTTTTAGACCAAGGACAGTTGAATAAATACGAGTCGTTGGAGCTGTGCCGTCCGGTGTTGGTCCAAGGACGCAAGCAGTTACTAGAGAAATGGCTGAAGGAGGACAAGCTGGAGTGCAGCGAAGAGCTGGGCGATTTGGTAAAGCAAGCGGATCCTACGTTGGCATTGAGCGTTTATCTGCGAGCCAACGTCCCCAATAAGGTTATACAATGCTTCGCGGAAACCGGCCAATTTCAGAAGATCGTGCTCTATGCCAAAAAAGTCTCCTACACGCCCGACTATATATTCCTCTTGCGAAACGTCATGAGGATCAATCCTGACCAAGGAGTCGCGTTCGCGCAGATGCTGGTGCAAGACGACGAGCCGTTGGCTGATATAAATCAGATCGTCGATATATTCATGGAGCAGAATATGGTGCAACAATGCACGGCGTTTTTGTTGGACGCGCTCAAGAACAATCGACCAAGCGAGGGTGCCTTACAGACTCGTCTCTTGGAGATGAACTTGATGTCCGCCCCACAAGTAGCCGACGCTATATTAGGCAATCAGATGTTCACCCATTACGATAGAGCTCACGTCGCGCAGTTATGCGAGAAGGCTGGTCTTTTACAACGCGCTCTCGAGCACTACACAGACTTGTACGACATCAAAAGAGCAGTGGTACATACCCACTTGCTCTCACCCGACTGGCTCGTAGGGTTTTTCGGGACTTTGTCTGTGGAGGATTCTCTCGAGTGTTTGAAGGCCATGTTAACGGCCAATATACGACAGAACCTGCAGATCTGCATACAAATTGCCACCAAGTATCACGAGCAACTGACGACAAAGGCGCTGATAGATCTGTTCGAGAGCTTCAAGTCTTACGAGGGCCTTTTCTACTTCTTGGGTTCGATCGTAAATTTCAGCCAAGATCAAGAAGTACATTTCAAGTACATACAGGCGGCCTGCAAGACTGGCCAGATAAAGGAGGTAGAACGTATATGTCGGGAGAGCAACTGTTATAATCCGGAGCGTGTGAAGAACTTCCTGAAGGAAGCCAAATTGTCTGACCAACTGCCGCTGATAATCGTCTGCGATCGATTCGACTTTGTCCACGATCTCGTTCTCTATCTTTACCGCAATAATCTGCAGAAGTATATCGAGATTTACGTCCAGAAAGTGAACCCGTCGCGTCTACCCGTGGTCGTGGGTGGTCTGTTAGATGTCGACTGCTCGGAAGACATCATCAAGAACCTGATACTCGTAGTGCGTGGGCAGTTCTCCACCGACGAGCTTGTCGAGGAGGTCGAGAAGAGGAATCGGCTGAAACTCTTGCTGCCATGGCTGGAATCGCGCGTGCACGAGTGTTGCGTGGAGCCTGCCACGCACAACGCATTAGCCAAGATTTATATCGACAGCAACAACAATCCCGAACGATTTCTCAAGGAGAATCAGTTCTACGACAGCAGAGTCGTCGGCAAGTACTGCGAAAAACGTGACCCGCATTTGGCTTGTATCGCATATGAGCGTGGCCAATGCGACCGCGAGTTGATAAGTGTATGCAATGAAAACAGCCTCTTCAAAAGTGAGGCTAGGTACCTGGTAAGACGTAGAGACCCCGATCTCTGGGCGGAGGTTCTGCTAGAGAGCAATCCGTACAAACGACCGTTGATCGATCAGGTGGTTCAAACGGCATTATCTGAAACTCAAGATCCCGAAGATATATCGGTTACGGTGAAAGCTTTCATGACGGCCGACCTGCCTAATGAGCTGATCGAGCTTCTCGAGAAGATAGTGCTGGATAGCAGCGTATTCAGCGATCATCGCAATTTGCAAAATCTCTTGATACTGACGGCCATTAAAGCTGATCGCACACGCGTCATGGAATATATCAATCGTTTGGACAATTACGACGCCCCGGATATCGCCAACATTGCGATCAACAATGAGCTCTACGAGGAAGCCTTTGCTATATTCAAGAAGTTTGACGTTAACACGTCCGCCATTCAGGTGTTGATCGAACAGGTTAACAACTTGGACAGAGCTTACGAATTTGCGGAAAGGTAAAGAAAGGCTTTTTATTTCTTTTCTTCTTCGACCATATTGACATTTTTTTCTCTGTGAGAAAAGACCATTATACATAAGTTATCTAACACTGTTCCACGTGTAGATGTAACGAGCCGCCGGTATGGTCGCAGCTTGCCAGGGCTCAATTGCAACAAGGTCTGGTTAAGGAAGCGATCGACAGTTTTATCAAAGCAGACGATCCCTCGGCGTACGTGGATGTAGTGGAAACTGCTCATCGGACCTCGCATTGGGAAGATCTAGTTCGCTATCTTCAGATGGCTCGCAAGAAAGCACGCGAATCCTTCATCGAGAGCGAATTGATATACGCGTACGCGCGGACTAATCGGCTTGCGGACCTCGAGGAATTTATATCAGGCCCTAATCACGCTGATATCCAGAAGGTACATGACAGAGAGAGAGAGAGAGAGAGAGAGAGATATGATAAAGGAGTTCGTTTGTCTACAAGAGCATGATGACTGTTTTTTTTTTTTTTTTCTTCGCAGATTGGCGACCGATGTTTTGACGACAAGATGTACGACGCCGCGAAGCTTCTCTACAATAACGTATCCAACTTCGCGCGCCTGGCCATTACCCTGGTGCATCTGAAAGAATTCCAAGGTGCCGTGGACAGTGCGCGTAAGGCCAATTCAACGCGCACTTGGAAAGAGGTCTGTTTCGCCTGCGTGGACAGTGGCGAGTTTCGTTTGGCACAGATGTGCGGCCTACACATAGTCGTACACGCGGACGAACTCGAGGACTTGATCAATTATTATCAAGATCGCGGTCATTTCGAGGAGCTGATTAATCTCCTAGAAGCCGCTTTAGGACTCGAACGCGCTCACATGGGAATGTTCACCGAGCTGGCGATTCTTTACAGCAAATACAAGCCTCAACGAATGAGGGAACACCTGGAGCTCTTCTGGTCACGTGTCAATATACCAAAGGTGGGTTTAGTTTTCGTGAAGGTCAACTAACGACTCGATCTGAGAGAGCGAAAACAATCGAACGAATCGATTTTTCGCAGGTGCTACGCGCAGCGGAACAGGCTCACTTGTGGGCCGAGCTGGTATTTCTGTACGACAAGTATGAAGAATACGACAATGCGGTCCTCGCAATGATGCAACATCCCACCGAGGCTTGGCGGGAGGGTCATTTCAAAGACGTGATCACTAAAGTGGCTAATGTTGAGCTCTACTACAAGGCTATACAGTTTTACGTGGAATACAAACCCCTTCTGCTGAACGATATATTGCTCGTGCTGGCTCCACGCATGGATCACACCAGATCTGTAGCGTACTTCACGAGAACCGGTCATCTACAATTGGTGAAGCCGTACTTGCGATCGGTCCAAGCTCTTAATAACAAAGCTATTAACGAGGCGCTGAACGGCTTGTTGATTGACGAGGAAGATTACCAAGGTCTTCGCACATCGATCGATGCTTTCGATAATTTTGATAACATCGCATTGGCGCAGCAGCTTGAGAAGCATGAATTGATTGAATTCAGGAGAATCGCCGCGTACTTGTACAAGGGAAACAACAGATGGAAACAGTCGGTGGAGCTTTGCAAAAAGGACCGATTGTTCAGGTAATGCTCGTTCGCGTATCGTCTGCGTTGAAGTGTGTTTAGTTATTATGCGACTATTAAGACTAACTGTTGCGATTCGATGCCTAGGGATGCTATGGAATATGCAGCAGAGTCACGGAATCCGGAGGTTGCTCAAGAATTGCTCGAATGGTTCTTGGAGAGAGGCTCGAAGGATTGCTTCGCCGCATGCCTATTTCATTGTTACGACTTACTTCATCCAGACGTTATCTTAGAGCTTGCATGGAGACATCGTATCTTACATTTCGCTATGCCGTACCTCATTCAGGTCGCGCGGGAATATATAACCAAGGTAAGACACATTCGACACTTTGTCGGTGAATTTTGCTAATCGTGGACTACTCACAACATCGAATGTTCCCGACAGGTTGATAAGTTAGAAGAAGCCGAAAGTCGACGAATTGAGGAGACCGATCATCAGGAACACAAACCTATGATTATGCGTGAGTGATCTTTTTTCAATACTTCTTTCGTGACAGCATTTCTCCGTTAATAACATTCCCTTCCTTACTCAATATCGTCATGTCCATAGCGGAACCTCAGCTGATGTTGACCGCAGGACCAGGAATGATGGCACCGGGCTACGCGCCTCAGAACGTATACGCTACACCCGCACAAAGCGTGTACGCATCCACCGCCGCAGCCTATCAAGGTTACGGTATGTGAAATACATTTAACAGGACAGATCAACAAAGTCTACTTTTCTATAAAGTTTAGGTAGAAACTTGAGATTGTTTGGTTAGCTTATATAATATTGTCGAAGCGAATATATGAATATGAGTGAATATCATTAAAGGCGTAAAAACTCACATTTAGATCATGATTATAACGAACGATGAGATGTATTAGGACACACAAAGAATCCTATCACACGCTATCCAAGTGTAAACTTGTAATTTATAGGAGAGACATTGTCGAGTAAACAATTATATCATATCGTTTAAACAGTCTAATTTGGATTTTTTGTGAAACGCATACACACTGTTATGTCAAATATAACGCATAATAACGCGTAAAGAGGAAAATTCCCCCTCCTTTTCTTTTCTTTTTAATATCGCGATGCTGAAATTTTTCTATTAAATTTAATCATCGTTACACAGCGACAGTAAAGAGGTATATAGATATATATATATATATGTACATGTACATTGTAAGACAGATATAATTTCGCTGTATTTTGCTCGCACGTGTATGTATGTGCGTCTACGTGCCTTTCTTTTGACTACTGAAAGAGGAGAGAAACAAATTACTTCGTTTAAAATCAATCTTGTATTCTCGATTTGTCATTTCCATACAAATTACAAAACATTTACTTTTCCAGATAGACCTCGATTTTAAATAGTTCCCGTGTATTTTTCAGTGGCAATTTAAAACCGATGTAATATTGACGAGTTCCGATATTCGAAAAAGAATAATTATGTTGATTATTCGTAAGCTAAAGCAATTACATTTCGCGAATCTGAATTCGACGAAATATTACATCAGAATTAAAATCGAATTATGTATCATCTAAACTATTAGAAGCAATAGGTTAAATATTCAGTTTTAAAAGTTGATCTTTTCTTTCTACTTTCTAAAAATGGTGGCATTATGAAAACTATATATAGATTTTAGTAACATCGTAGTGCGCAATGAATCACAGCGAAAATAAGGCGTCCTCGTAAATTTATATATAATAAGAGCATCTTTTTAGATCGGGTAGATCATATATTGTTATATTGGTATATAACGAGATCTTTAAAAATTGGAGAGGAAATCTGTAGAAGTTAAAAAAAAAAGTATATATTCGCGTGTCTATAATACATCATTCTAGACCTATGTGTATATTTGCTTAAACGTGATGGTGCAAACGCATGTTCGCAGTTAGTTTGATTTGCATAAATGATCGTTCGTAAAATAAAATTGATCATCGGTACCGAAATTGATGGCAAGATCTTATTGTCTTACCAGTATATCGAAATATATACAATAGAGTGAGCTTTTTGCTCGATCGCCGTATGTCTAATGTTTTAAAAACCTTTCATTAACCATGGCATGACAGTTACAATTAGACCTAAAGTATTATATAAAGATATCAAGGAACTTAAACAAAGTATAAAACGATTGTGTCTCTACAGCATCGTTTATATCGTATAAAATGTTTCATTGATATTCTCTGATTTATTTCGATTCCATGCAATGTGTGTGCATAGTATCTTCCTTGAAGTTATTGGTTGTTAATCATTATAATAGCTTATTACACAAGCTATGCCTAAATTATACATTAAGATAAAGTAGATCGCAATATCTATAGAGAATGACAAAGTCAGGTTGTTGAACACTTACGTTTGTTAAAGTATTTATGTTACGTGTATAAAGTGCTACATCGATACATCAAGATCAGTATATGAGGTATAACAAGAAGCAAAGGAGGGAAGCAGATGTTAATTTTTAGTATCTTATCTTTAACATTCCTAGATATGAGTGTGCTGTTTTGCTACGTAGTATACTTATTTCGAGTGATAATCTCATTTATTTTATATCCCATCTTAAGACGTGAAAGATTGTAGTACATATAGCCCTTTTATTCTAAAGTACAAAACAAAAGTTTACTCCGCGAGAGAAATGCCCTGTTGTTATTAAATCGAAATAATTTCTACTTTATAATAAGAAATTCAATAGATGTGGTTTTCGTTTTTCTTACTCTGTATTGTTTTCTCTATTATGTGAAACTTTTATCTGGTACTTTACAATTGATCTTACAGTGATCCAGCTCTATATATATATATCACTCTTTTGAAAATATTGCATTCAAGAAAAAGAAAATTAGTAACATGTTCAATTATTATTTCTCTGATGTAAATTTAACCAATGAAATCATAGCCGATTAACAAATATACTATATTTGTTATAGCTAGCCATTATACTAATTGAGAATAATTATTATATCTGTCATGTTTAGCCATTTTGATTTAAATGAAGTATAGGTAAAGGCACTTCTAAAATAAGATACATTCAGTTATTGTTTAGTAATTATATGCACATTCACTCACCCACACACACACACACACACACACACACACACACACACACACACACACACACACACACACACAAATGTGCACACATATATATACACACACACACACATATACATAATATATAAATAATGACTAAATATTGTAATATGTAAGTAGCAAATATACATTATTACCAATACTGTAATTGTAATATCCCACAATAATATAATCTATAAAGGAATAATAAAAAAATCTACAGAAATAAATAATTCTAACATCTACATGGGATTAAACTGATTGAGTAAAAAATGACCATTGTTGATTTTATGTATAATATATTATATATGTTATTTATACCATTATATTCCTCAAATTACTTCTTAAAATAATATTAAAATTATAAATGTAAATTTTTATATTATAATTGGACAATTCGTGTATTTTTAAATTTTTTAACTGTTCGCTCTGTAGGCTTTACAGCAAGTTGTCTTCCAAATGATTTCAATATTACACTATTGTCCAAATGGATATGGATTGTAACTACATCTTTTGGTATTGCTGAAAAAGAAATACATAAAATACATAATTCAAAGTTTGTTATAATACATTTTTATAAAAAATTTAGCAATAAATATAGGCTTATGTGTGTGTGTGTGTGTGTGTGTGTGTGTATGTATGGCATTAAACTATAGCAAATGATCATATTTATAATTTATTTTTTAGATATATGTTACTTACTTCGAACAGTATTATCTGTCCCACAAATTTTGAAACTGTTTTTGGTATCTTGTATAACAATTCCTTCAAGTCCCACTAAAGTAGGACATCTAGATTTGTTGATTGTTATTTTAGCACCATGAAAATCTGCCTTTATTAATTGTTGATTAATGTTCTCCCAATTTGGGTCAGTGGAGTTCTTTGGTATACTAGTAAATGACTTATTACCAAGCATCTCTTTCATGTACTTTAACCATAATTGATTTAAAAACAAAACATCGGAATACTTAATATTGCTCCTATAACAAACTTGGCCCAATCCAAGATGTAACCTCTTTCTAGCAGACAAGAATTTTCCTTTGCAGGCTATTTTTGGTCTGTGTTTCACTTTAAACTTATTAAATGTGAAAGTCTAAAAATTTCCATAGAATAACATTTCAATTAATCTTTTCACATATAGTTGTTTTATCTTGCTATTATATCATACATACTTTTCGCATCTCATTTGGAATAGACTTGCAATCAGATGGTGGTAATATATTTTGCAAAAGATTTACGACATATTGTTCTCTGTTTTCACAAATTTCAATATGATTAGTCAAATGTTCAGGAAGCGGTGTGCATAATTCTGAAATTGTTATTAATGTATTTGAATAATAAATATGATAGCGTTATATTAATTTTATTAGTACATACTTTTATAGTTTGACATGGTTAATTTTACACAATTCTGCGTCGTCCAGTTATAAATCAATTCAAATTATTTTCACGTGTTCGATATAGGTATGACATATCTAAAACAATGACTGTGTTCAGATTATAGACCGGGTGCGTTCCGTTTCACGCATATGCGCACATTTATCTATAGTTTATGTCACGTATAAAAAATGCGCGCATTGCGTGAAACGGAACGCACCCTTCTACGGCTGCGTTCCAAAATTCACTGCCAGTACTGAAAATCTATAGTATACGTGACACAAACTATGTATTTTCAGTATTGGTAGTGAATTTCGGAACGCAGCCTATATTCATGGTTCATCGTTCAATAGATTGCTGGACAGAAATGAAAAACTCTGATTGATTGATTCTCTTATGCGTTGTGTATTATGCGTTATACAGAAGTCTGTGCTCTGGCCCTAAGCCCTGCGCTAGGCATCCATGCTTCTCATGCGAAGTCTTTTGTTCGCCTCCATGGCGGTTGGATGTGGTTCTTGTAACTACGTATAATTTTTTGATCGTGGGGACTGCGTACGCGCTGTCCCTGTTTTTCTTTTTACATCATACTACTAGGAAATGGCGTATGAACATTGCTGTATGCAGTCCGGAACCATATAACGAACTGAACTGAACTGAGCGTCTCATGCGAGAAACGGAACGCACCCATAGAAAGATCTTCATAGCTCTTTCTAGAGACGGGATGCGTTCCGAAAATTGCAAAAAAACGGACACAAACTATTGGGAGTACAAATTAGTTCGGTCTGTTTTTTTATGTTAAAAGATGTATTTATTTCAAAACAAAATGAATGCACAGATCAATTAAAATATTTTCCATCGCTGGCTATACTACTTTCTCCCATTTCTCAGGCAATTTTCGAATTCCATCTCGAAAAAATGACTCGTCTTTTGAAGCGATCCAAGTTTGGAGCCAATTTTCGATATCTGCGAAAGAAGTGAACCGGTGACCTGTCAAATCGTGCAGTATCCTTCGGAACAACCAGTAATCAGAAGGAGCAATGTCCGGAGAATACGGTGTGTGCGGTAAAACATCTCATTTGAGCGTTTCCAAATATTTTTTTACGACTTTTGCGACATGAGGCCGAGCGTTGTCATGAAGAACGCCTTTCAACGTCTCTCGGTTTCAGTTCATAAGGCACTCAATTTCCTTGTTTTTGAATAATTCCCATGTCTCTCAATCGTACGAAAACGGCTTGTTGAGTCACTCCTAATGATTCTACAAGCTCCTCTTGCGTTTGACTCTGATCTTCTTCGAGTAATGCCTCTAATTCTTTGTCCTCGGATTTTTTGGCTGTCCAGAGCGAGGCTTGTCTTCGACGCTGAAATCTCCATCCTTGAAACGTCGAAACCATTCTCTACATGATTTATCAGTTGGAGCAGCGTCACTATAAACTTCACCAAGCATTCGATGGGTTTCAGCTGCATTTTTCTTCCTATTAAAGCAGAAAATTAAAACCTCCCGCAAATGCCGCTTGGTTAACACAAAATTCGACATTTTTAATACTGTAAAAAGCAAGGTTTTTGTATGAAACTCAAAGCGATATAAACTGAATATTATTGGCAGATGTCTAATCTCTCTGAAACCGCCAAAATCGGCAGTCACTATGAACTATTCATAACAGCCGGAGCCATCTTTTGAAAATGGACCGAACTAATTTGTACACCCAATATTATGTCCGCGACCGTACCCAAATTTAACCAATGATCTGTTCTCTTTTGCTGTATTGTTGAACTAAAGTAATAAGTTAGAGTGAGACAAATTCCCACTATTTCGATTACAATTTGATCAACTCTTGTTGATGCAATTATAAATACAGTTATATATTCGCAAAATATCTTATCTGCAAAAGTATGTTTTATTGTATTCAAAGGCCGTGTTCCAAAATTCACTGCCAATACTGAAAATATATAGTTTGTGTCACGCAAATTGTAACTTTTCAGTGCTGGCAGTAAATTTTGGAACACGGCAAAAAATAGCGTTCAGCAGAATATTCCAACAGCTGGCAGCACAGCGCAAAGCGCTTACTATTCTACTTTCTCTGTTGAATGTAACCTATGATCTTCGTTGCAAGGGTATAAAGATATTACTCGCATTGAATAGTATTGGAAAAAAATGCGTTTCACTAAAAGGAATTTTGAATTGGCTAAAAATTGGTAAGCCTTTCCTCTGCATTAATATATTTAGGTATATTTTATGTAATCTGTTTGACATTTGTCAATGTCAATAATTCAATTTGTTGGTCGCTTATGTTTTTTCAACATTTTTAACACAATGAAACTTAGTAATGACATAATAGATTTATTGGTCTTCCTGCATGTATTGTTTCTTTTCAAAGTTTAAATTTATAAATATTTATAATACAATACTTGATATATTGTAGGAAACTCCCTTTGTATAGGTCTATAGATAATATTTTTTTATTTTAGGTTGCCTACTGCAATGACTTATGGAACTGGGGCAACACTGACGATGTTATACTTTACAGATTGGAAATTGGTATTGCAATATGTTCCTTTCTATGGTAGCAAGTTTGAGGAGCAATCATAATATGTAGAGCCAGTATCCAAAAGATGATTATGTAATAATTCTATTAAAGAATTCAAATGTATCATATTCTATTTATTTCCTATTTATTTAAATAAAATTATTAAGAAGGAATTATATAAAATATTTTAATAACATTTTATGATTTGTCTTTTAAGTCTCATCTGATTGTTGTGAAATTTTTTTCTTGCGCTGTTCGTAAATGAAGTTTGCAAATTCTTCTGCTTGTGCCATTTTCCGACGCACCAACCATGGTTTAACAGTTGTCCTGCAAAAAATATATATCAGCTTTTCCAAAAACAATTATTTTATAAAATTAAAAGGTTATTCTTACGTAAAACCAATATAAAGGAAAGCTGCACCAATTACTGCAAGCCCGAAATAAGTAAATTTCTGAACAAGATATTGTTTGGTTCTCACTGGTATACTATAAAATATTACAGTATATTAAATTACAAGTATGAAATATAGAAAATAAATTTAATTTCTTTGTTCTATATTATTTGTTCGACTATAATTAAGTAATGCTAAGTAATATTATTACCAATTTAATTATAAGTATTAAATATTCTTAAAATTCTATTATATAACAGTGAAATAAATTTTAATACACTTCTTAGGCATAGAGATTATATTAGAAATGATATAAAAGAACTTGCTTAACCTCATTTGATTTTATCCTGTTCTACTTTTAATTTTTGTTGTTGTTCGAATATCAAAGGATTCCAGTTTAAGTAACCAGTGATTAATCCTAAACCAATTACAACCAAAATTTGATCCTTTCTTATGCCCCTTGGCACTTTAATTTTCATTCTTATCCACTGGTAACACAACGAATTCCATCAGCCGTCGCTTGTACTAGTACTACACACTGGGTCTGTCCTTTAAGGCTCATCTACAATAGCTGTAAGAGATAGGGCAAGAGCACAGGCTTTGCATAACACATAAGAGAATAAACCAATTAGTTTCCTTCATTTCCCTCCTCAGGACAGAAATGAAGAACTCTGATTGGTTGATTCTCTTATGCGTTGTGTATTATGCGTTATGCAGAAGTCTGTGCTTTGGCCCTATGGCTGGTCGTCCGCAGCTCATTGCTGAACAAACCCGCCAAATCAGGGTACCTATTATGGAACTCGTCGGAATCGATTCCGATCGAATTTATTCCGTTATTTCCTAGATTTTTATTGTCTTTTCTAGGAGAAACGGAATTATTCCGATCGGAATCAATTCCGATGAGTTCCATAATAGATACCCTGGTCACGTGATGGTCACTTTATCGCGTTATACATACGTGATACCATTGGCCCAAACGTGTGGTATCAAGCATATATGGCGTCATAAAAAAGATTGGCCGCGTTCAGTAGACTCAACAGTTGGACAACATTACTAGATTTTCCACCGAATCTCGTTCCTGATTGGTAAATACTTCTGGGTCTATGAAGAATCTAAAAGAATGCTCCAATCACAGACAATAATCACTAAGCGCTCACTGATCACTTTGTTCTACTGAACGCGACCATTGCTATGCATGATTAAGGCCGGTATTCATAGTTGAATCTTATATTTAAGATCGTCTTAAGTTTATCTTCAGATGCTACACAAATCATTTCATTTACTATGGAGTATTTGAAAGTGAACTTAAGACGGTCTTAAAAATAAGACCTGACTATGAATATCGGCCTAAGTATATACAATCTTATAAACATGATGAAGGAAAAATAAAACTATGCCTTATATAATGGAATAGTAACGCTATATGCCTTATAAAACTCTTTTTGATGACAAAAAATGGAATAATGATAAGTCTAAAATAAGTCCATGTAAAGACGTTCACCGGATACAAATATACTTTTAAATTAATTATATAAAAGGGAACTCAAATGGACGTCCATTGGATGTTCCTTGGACGTCCGTCCATATAGCCAATATATATCCTTGCATGGATCTACATTAGATGATCTTATTATGTCCATGGACGTATGGTAATAAAATGGACATAAAACGGACGTTCATAAGACGTACGGTGCTATTTGGGATGTGGTTTTGTGGATTCCACGTGAATGTAACGAATGCGTTCCACGTGGATTCGATGTACTTTTTTGTGAGAATATACATATCAGTATATGCATATAAACGTCCCAACAAACAATATTACATGTAACATGCATGTTAGTTGTAATTTCCTACTCAACAATATAACTGTTATATAACACATGTGTTACATGTAATATAACATATGTAATATAACAGTTATATTGTTGAGTAGGAAATTACAACTAATATGCACGTTATATGTAATATTGTGTTTGCTGGGGTACATTATAAACATCAATATAAATAGGCAATATGGTCTGCTTAAGCGCGATAAAGGCATTAAAAATACATAAAAACATAGAACTACAAAATAAAGTATCTACAAAAAAACAGAACAGTATTTCTGATTGATTAGCTTTTCACCATTTCTTTTATTTGTTACTGTTCCGCTTTGCTATTTCTTTCTCTATCGAAATGCACCCTTATTCGCAATAGAAAGCATTTGCAGTTTTCAATGGATTGCATGAATAGTTATGTATAACATCAATCCCAGACAGCACCGACATCCAATTGATGTACGGTTGCGGACATAAAGGTTGTCACTTTTTTTTTAATGATTTTCGAGACGCATCCCGACTCGAGAAAGATGAGAACTGCTGCTCCGCCTGCGGAGCACGCCTGCGCAGTAACTCACAACGAAATGCGAGAAATGAAATATACGTGGTATGACATAAGTATGTTAACAATCATTGCGTTTAGCGGAGAAAACCGCTCAATGAGCAATTAGTCACTATTGGTCCTTACTGTTAGATCCTTACATTCAGACCAATAACGTTGACAAATTATTCAACAGTTGCTCAACCGTTGAGTGTCGTGAACGCACCTAATTCTTACATTTTGAAAAATCAGCAGCGGAGGGATAGATACATAGTGCAAGTCATTCAAATGGGAATGCGTCTTTTGCAAGGTATTGAACAGGTATGTGTATTAAATTTTAAGTGAAATCGTATTTATTTAGTCACTAATCGCTCACTGAGCGGTTTTCTCCGCTGAACGCAATTATTGTTGACATACTTATGTCATACCACGTATATTTCATTTCTCGCCTTTCGTTATTGCGTGAGTTACTGCGTAGGGGTGCTCCGCAGGCAGAGCAGCAGCTCTCATCTTTCTCGAGTCGGGATGCGTCCCGAAAAACATTAAAAAAAAAAGTGATAACCTTTATGTCCGCGACTGTACGTTTCACGTCCAATTTATGTCCGTATGTCCGATTTACGTCCGTGGACATAAATTGGACGTAACAAGGATGTCCTTATTGGACATCGGACCTGTAGAACGTCCGATGTACGTCCATCGGACGTCCTATGTCCGAAGTTGTGACAAACGTACGTCCTATGGACATCTTTTATAAAAAAAATGAACATATAACAGACGTCCAATAGACATCCGTGTGCTGTTTGGGCTATTACACTGTTTTGTTATAAACTAGAGATAACATTATAATAATAATATATATTATTATAATAATTATTATAATAATAATTATTATAATAAATTGGACGTGAAACGTACATCAATTGGATGTCCGGTGCTGTCTGGGATTGATGTTATACACAACTATTCATGCAATCCATTAAAAGCTGCAAATGCTTTCTATTGTGAATAAAGGTGCATTCCGATAGAGAAAGAAATAGCAAAGCGGAACAGTAACAAATAAAAGAAATGGTGAAAAGCTAATCAATCAGAAATTCCGTTCTGCTTTCTTGCAGATGCTTTATTTTGTAGTTCTGTTTTTATGTATTTTTAATGCCTTCATCGCGCTTAAGCAGACCATATTGTCTATTTATATTGACGTTTATAATGCACGTTTGTATGCATACTGATATGTATATTCCCACAAAAAAGTACATCGAATCCACGTGGAACGCAATCGTTGCATTCATGTGAAATCCACAAAACCATATGTATTTCACATGGACGATGGATAACGTTCCTATTTTCGTGGAGATATCCGCATTTATACTATTTAAACGTTTAAGAACGCTTTATATTATATTAAACGTTTATATTATACAAAACTCACATAGAGAAAAATTTCTTTAGGTTTAATATTCTTACTTATTCGATTTTGAGTTGTTTCATTAAAATATATTTTTACAATATTATTTTTAGAAATAAAAATTTTATTTCATTGAAGAAAACCATGTTGATAAAAAATAAGATTTGAGATATTTTTCAAAAGACTTTTTTAGATTTAGTAATTAAATTTTTTTATTTAAACTTCCTTGAATTTGTTTCAAACTATTTCTTTTGTGGGTTAACCATTATAATACCATAATTAACCATTATTAGTAATTTTGAAACATAGTCTATACTGATATTCGTCGCATATCGAATGTTGTTGCGTTGTTTTAATTTTTGACATGAAAGGTTATAATGCTCTGTGAATAGTAGAAGGATACATTATATAAGCACAAGTCATAAGAACATCGAAGGAGTCATTAGGATAACTGCGTGCCACCCGATTGCCAGGTTAAGCAAAGCTTAGCGTGGTCAGCACAGAGAGAGTGATGTCGCTTAATTGAGATCGAATGAATGCAAGACGCGAGAAAATTAAGAATAAGTATTTTGCACAACAATAATATTACAGTTATATAACAGCTATATAACATTTTAGTAACATGTGATATTTCTGTTATATAACCGCAACTTTCTATGAGTGGAAAATTACAACTAACGTGTATATTGTTTGTAACATATACAGGATGTTTGATAGCTGATCATGCAGACGAAAGATGGAGATAGATTGGGTGTAGCCGAGAAGAAAAGTCATGTACCATAATGTCAAATTAGCAATAGTTAGCGAGTTATTAATTAAAACATGTGAGCCAACGAGCGCGTAGAGAGCGGAGGTCGGCCGCAGTAAGCACGTAGACATTTAATACAGGCGGAGTCAGCGAGTGGCGATAGGCAAGCGCACGCGGCGAGGGACAACGTAAGCGACAAGAGGCGATCGCGCGCGACGAGGAGCGAGCGAGCTTTTTCTTTATAGCTTTTTCCTTATAGTTCGCTCCTCGTCGTTCGCGCTCGCTCGCTCTTCGTCGCGCTCGCTCGCCTCTTGTCGCTTGTGCTCGCTCGCTCCTCGTCGCGCGCGCTCGCCTACCGACACTCGCTGACTCCGCCTGTATCAAATGTCTACGTGCTTACTGCGGCCGCTCTCCGCTCTCTACGCGCTCGTTGGCTCACATGTTTTAATTAATAACTCGATAACTATTGCCAATTTGACATTATGGTACATGACTTTTCTTCTCGGCTACTCCCAATCTATCTCCAACTTTCGTCTGCATGATCAGCTATCAAACACCCTGTATACGTTATATTACGTGTTACATTTCGTTACATTACGACAATGTAACTGTTACATAACTGTGTTTACTGGGTCTACAACAAAGCGGAATGGAATTTGATTGATTAGTTTTCCACCATTTCCTTTATTTGTTACTGTTCCGCTTTGCTATTTCTTTCTCTATCGGAATATACCCTTATTCGCAATAGAAAGCATTTGCAGCTTTTAATGGATTGCATGAATAGTTGTGTTGTATAACATCAATGTAATATGAACGTAATTACTGTTATATAACGTGTTATACATTACTGTTATATTATTATAATGTTATCTGTAGCTTATAACAAAACAGTGTAACAGATATATAACACAATTATATTACAACTATGAAACCAAATTATATAACCTGAATATAACTAGAGTATAACATATATTATATTACATGTTACTCCTACGAGAGTAGTCCCAGAAGTACCTGACCTAACAAAGAAAACACAAAAAATTTGGGAAAAAATATCTTTATTTCTCTACATATAATCTCCTTTTAGCTCAATATACTTTTCCCAGCGATGTTCAATAACTTCGATACCCTGTTTATAGTGGGAATCGTCGAGTTCCTCAAAATAGCCATCAAACCACCTTGGTCCATTGTTTTGACTATTCCTTCGTCTCAGGTGTGAAGTAATGGACCCATGTTTCATCCATGGTTATGAATCGACGCAAAAACTCGGCTTTATTGCTGCGAAATTTCGCCAAACACTCGATTGAAACATCTTCACGACGCTGTTTTTGTTTTAATCCCAGCATCCATCTTGCGCACAGCTTTCTCATGTCCAAATTTTCAGTAAATATGCGATGTACAGCACTTTTTGAAATGCCTACCATGTCTGCTAACTCGCATACTTTCAGTCGACGGTTATCCAATACTATTTTGTGGATTTTCTTCACCATTTCTGGCGTGGTCACTTCACTTTGGTCTTTGGTCTTTGGTTGACCACTGCGATGTTCGTCTTGGCGGCTCGTACGGCCTCTCGTACGGTTTAAACTCTGCCACCCAATATTTTACTGTTGTAAACGAAGGAGCAGACTCCCCCAGAGTAGAATCTAGCTCCGCTTTGATATTGATTGGACTGAGGCCTTTCAAATGAAAGTATTGTATCACATAACCAATTTTTTCCATGTTTACAAATTCACTGAGAGCGTTCATTATTGATGGCTGCCAAACAAATACTAAACAACGTAGCGTCGTCAAACTTCAAACTTAAGCTTTATAAGATTGGTACTTTCTACCATAGTCATTCTTTTCAAACAACAACCGCTATCTATACGTCAGGTCAGGTACTTCTGGGACTACCCTTGTATGTTATATAACAGTTATATTCTGTGTTTGCTGGGAAGTATCCAGAATTGATGAATAGGAAAGACGTCGTCTTTCAGCATAATAATGCGAGGCCATATATTTCATTGGCGGTTCGCAGAAAACTCATTGAGTATGGCTGGGACGTCTTACCTCACCCTCCAAATTCACTGGACATTGCTCCTTCTATCACTTGATCCAGGCATTGTAGCACTCCTTGAAGAATAAAGAGTTCGATTCGTTGAAAGAGATCAAAAACCATTTGACTGCATTCTTTGAAGGAAATCTAAGTCATTCTACGAGCGCGGAATTTTCTCTTTGCTCGAAAGATGGCGAAAAGTGATAGATCAAAATGGACAATACATCATAGATTAATTGTTGGTGGAACAGCATTCCAATAAATTCTGTTTTAGAGTTTCAAAAATTTTCAAAACTTTTCGGATGACCTAATATTAATATACCTAATATTAATAATAATACATATCTAATTGAAAAATTACAACTTTTATAGGGTAACATGCCACATTTATTCTTATAATTTTATTCCTTAGAAAAATTGAACAAAATTCTTACACAAGCAGTTAACATTTAGATCTTGCCAGAATACTTATAAAATTTATTGAACATATTTAATTGTACTTTGAAAACTTCTTGCAACGATGTCGGTAGTGTACGAGACAATAGAGCAATTCCATGCTGATCACAAATGCCAATTAAGTGGCATAGAGAATTCTGCAAAGCTATCTAAAATGAGAAAAAGAGTAATTTTGAAAACAATTCATAATATACGTGTTCATAAAAACTGGCAGATAATTAAATTAAATTAACTAATAAATAGAAAATAAAATTATTACTTTCATATAAGATGGTATAGTACTCTCTATAAACAACTGCAATATGTCGGCAATCAGATAGGGACTCAATCGCATCATATCCTTCTTTAATTTTACCAACAGGCCTATAAATCTGTCGAAAAAACAGCTGTTATCTTATTGAATTATTATTCCTACTGACGATGAATAAGTTATATTATATATTTCCGATAATATAATATATTACGTTAGAAACCTTAAAATTGTTAGACTAAAACTTACTTTTCAATATCGAGCGCTAAGCATCTGAACTGGTGCTCCTTAAATTTATCAGATATGTTTTTCGACGCGTGAACAATAACATTCATCACATTTCTGTATAATAGCAATAAAGTAGGTAAACTGTCGATTATTAAATTCGTTCTCACTTTTATCAGAATTCCACATAACGCAAGCACATTTTCACAGGATGATATTTTTACTTTTTCGAGCGATTTTAGACTGATCATCATAATGAAATCGAAAGTATCGTTGGGGATAACCGAGTGTTTGGCATTGATTATATCGTGCGCCAAATGAACAAGATCTGACCAACATCTGTCTGGAATTTGTAACAATTGCACAGTTCCAAATAGATTGTTGATTGCGTCGAAATATATTTTACTACGTTTCATACGCATATCCGTTTTTATTATGTCGCTCCAGATGATCAACAGATTCGTCCATGTTTCATCTGCTTGCGACAAACTCTTGACCTGTAAAAAGAATAAATATTACAAATATGCATAAATTTGTCAATAATTATCATACATATATATTAATTGAGAAATAGTACCGTTTCGTCGTGTAGTAGTCTTATAAATGTATAAAACTCTTTCAATTGAGCAGACGCCAGTAACGACTTGTGTAAATTTTCATTAGGATATTTTAGCATTACAAACCATAAGTTTTCGACAATCACGTCTTGGATTTCGAATTCTTTACGATATCGTAGAACAACAGTAGCTAATTGCATGCCTTCTTGCAATAAGCCGTTAGTCGAGTCACTTAGATTTTTTTTCGTCTATGACAGATTTACTTTTTTATGATATAAATATTATTTATAATATAAATTCTTTTATAATTATTTCTCTATAATTTTATTACTAGTACATACCATAAATATATTTTTGAGAGTTGATCCGGCTACTGATATACACAATTCTTTTAGAGAATTTTTCTTGAATAAAATTGTTACTTTCAATGCTGATGTTAAACATCTTACATCAAAGGCATCAGAGATTTCTTCAGATAACATGTTTAGAATGATTTTAGTTAATTTTGTCTCTGCTTTCTTGAAGATGATTTTTTGTTTAAGATTCAATTTTGGTTTGATTATCTCTATACGTTCCAAAATGATACACATCGCTTCTTTGCTTTGGGTAGAACTCTTGATGAGATTCTTAAGAGTAGAATATGTGGTTATATTTCGAAGAGAAAACTCAAAAGCTTTTGAGAATGTTTTATTCTGTGGCAATTCGTTTACTAGTATTGTTGGTTCAATGTGTTGAAATATGTCAATACCGGTTTTTTCTAATAAATCTGAAAAAATCGAAAGTAGTATTTAAAAAATATAGTTGTGTAATATAGATACTTTAGAGATTTGTTTTTAATATTCGCTTTTCGATTTCTCTTGTATACATAGTTCTCATGTATATACAGATATTAATTTAAAATGAGAAAAATATAAGTTTCAAAGAAGTAAAATAAAATTACCTAAAAATATTGAATTGCATAAAGTCAACATTTTTTTATTCATTCCGCATTTCTTGCTAATGGAATACACAATCAGAAATATTAATGTCCTTGTATTAGGATTGAAATATAAAATTGGTATATGTAGCAATATTTCCAAGTACAATTCAATTTTACAGGAAATTTCATTTGTCATTGGTATCCATTGCTGTTGCAATATCCGTTCCTTTATAATTTGCAGAACTTTCATAAATTTCTCATTTTCATTATGTTTGTCCTCCATTAACAGCTTCTATAATTTTAATGTTATTAAAATCAGATGTAATTATCTATTTCACAATTATTAGATAAAAATATAAAAGTTTTCTATATTGAATTATACTTACAGGATGAATATGTTCAATGATAGATTTTGAACATTCTGATGAAAATAACTGTTCAATTTGGATAAGAATATGACTTAAAAGGTGCATTAGAAAGCACTTATTTTCTTGAATGCATTCTTTATCCAATATATTTAGACATTCGTGAAAATTCTTTTCATTTGACGTCATGTCTATCAATAATGAATGTGTTATTTTTGATATCTCTTTATCACGTAACAAAGAAAGTATATTTGGATCATATTTCAGTATAGTGTTCCAAGAATATTCAAGGCCACCTATTAAATTGTGAAGTTTAATAGGCTCATCTAATAAATTTAGTTTTATTCGATGTATAATAAGCTTATTCTGAAATTAGTAGATATATAATTGCTTTGCAATATTTTATTTAAAATACTTAATATAGAAGCGCAAAGGCATATTTTGTCAAAAATTATTTTCTCAATAAAATGTCTCCATATATATACGTACCATAATATTCTTACAATTATCTTCTCCAAAATTGCTTATTCTTTGAATCAACTGTTGCCAAGGATCATCTTGAATTGGGAATGATAATGTATTTGTAAGAGTAACCTTTGGCATATAATATTTCAACATACTTTGCACTTCGCTCAAAGACTGTACTGCAGTCAATAGTATTATGATAACATTTTTGTTGTGGCTTAAACACAGTGCCTTATTTATCAGCAGTGATAGAGCATCTCCCAGTTCCTTAAGAGTATTAATAAATTTCTCATAAGCAGATGATGTTTTGGTATGTTCAAAAATTTGCATACCTTCGAAAAGTGTAACAAGCAACTCTACTGTCACTTTCAACATTAACACATTTTTACCTGTAATTTGTATATTAAGAATATATATATATATAAATACATATATAAAAATTTAAATATATAATATAATGTATATATATATATATATATACACATATTATATTTAAATTTTTATATTTTACTAAACTAATAATCACCCAATAATACAGATACAAGAAGTACTTACATGAAGCATTATGTTGTAATAGTTCTACACAGTCTGTATTTAAATAATATGTTAATGTTCTTAAGCTCGTAATCATTTGTGAAGTGGAAATATTTTTAATTGAGTTTGCTAACTTTATTTTAAATTCATATGGAAAAAATGCAGACATGTCTGTCTTGTATTTTTTTTTTACTGTAATATATTGTTTTAAAGATATTAATAATTGTGAGATGATCTTTTGTTCTCGTCTCAATTTTGTGCTAGTATACAATATTGCGATTAATAAATTCGTATATTCTGCATTTTGTTCCCTTACAAGTATCTTATTTAAGATACTTGGAATATTTCTTTCTATTAAAATTGGGTTGATATATGAAAGTTGCACAAGTATCCCATATTGAGCACATATCAAATTGTCATTCATTAAAATATCATTTATTAATTTTTGGAAATATTCAGATAGTGTAATATTTCCTACAGAATTTTCAAAATTGAGCATTGCATCATTTAATAATTGAAGAGAAACATTCAATATTTCCCATTTGTACTTTCCAGAAGTATCAATTAAATGTCTGAAGAATATATCCAATGAAGTAGCATCTGATTTGTAAGTGCTTACTGCAGCACGAAGAATAAGCAAATATGTTGTAAGATTACTTTGGAGACTTAGTTTTTCCACATTCTCAGACAACACACAGAATAAATATGGAAATATTGTAGAATTGTTTTTTATTGTTTGATCATTTTGGATATTTCTTTTTCCTAATAACAGCAGCTGTATACATTTGTATGCTGCTATACCAAATTTGTTTGTACTATCTACATGTTTATGGTCAATTAGATTACACATAGGATATAAAATATCACGTATAAAAGTCATTTTTAGTTTTTCCTTTGTAGTTATTGATTGTCTATATATCTGCATTATACTTTCAATAATATTAATTATAGCACAATTTTCTGCAGATGATAATTTATAAGATTCAAGTGACTCCTTATCTTTTCTTTGTGCTTCATTATGATAACTAGAACATTTTAATACAGTGTTTAATAGGACTTTTACCAAGAGGCCCAAGTCTTCTATCTTTTTTGTAAAATATTGTTGCATGCTATTGTTAGCAAGGATTAAAGTACAGCATTTAAGAATCTCTTCATATGTTCCTTCTGTAAAATCACTTAATGCACGTATTAACATATCAACCAAACAATGTTTTATATTGGTTTTAATGTCAATATGAGTAAACTCTAAACAATTATTTAAAGTCTTCCAAGCATGCTGATTTGTTAAACATATTTTACACAGCCAGTCTAAAAGTATCTCCTCTTTTTGAATAAATGGCAAATCCACTGTGGAAAACACAGTTTCCGCCAATTTCAATCGTTTAGGCAAAGGTTCGTCTTCCGAATTCAAACGTTTTAATAATTCTGCAAAACGTACATTATATTGTTATAATATAGTGCATCTTAGAGAGAAAGAGAGAAAGAGATTAATCATTATAAATTTATTATAAACCGTTTACTTACCTCTTGATAATGCCATTATAATAATAAGCACAATTTCTTAATCTATTTTGTGATATATATTATATTTCGTTTTCCAATAAGGCTCCGGGAAAAGACACGTATCAGTTGACTGTTAAACGTGTAGTATGACCGTCCACTCCATTATTGCTAAACATAACCTCACTGCAATTGCTAGTAGCAGAAAGAAGAAATAGAGGTGTCATGGGCCGCTTTTAGCCGAGTCTAGTGACCCCTTTGACTATATAACTATGGACTGCTAGCAGCTTACTTTTCCACGCAATAAGTGTCTACAAACATCTGCAGCGCCGCCAGTACCAAACACGGCAAATGATGGAACTCGTTGAGCATAACGAATGATAACGAAGTAGACGTATCTAGTAGCTATATATTATACCATATGAGATATATAATAACACGGCAATTACAAACAAGAAAATAATAAATAAAAATGAAATACTGTGTTGTCCATTGGTGCAATAATTCTATTCATAAAGAGAAAAAGACAGGAAAGCATGTGGCTTTATTTGCGTAAGTCTCTCTCATGTTACATTACAACAATAACTTATTAAATGGTTAATTTTTAAATAAAGTAAGAAAGCAGTGTCGTATAATATGTGTATACATATAAACACATGAGATTGCAATAATAATACGGCAATTAAAAGTAATGTTTGTACAATTTCATGTGTTTAGACATGTATGAGAATATCATATGAAACAAATATATTACTAAAATAGTTTAAATCTTTATTAATATTTTTAGATTTCCAAAAAATCTGGAACATCGTATGGGTGAAAGCATTGAAAAATGTGGCCATAAAAACAAATAGCATTGTATGTCAAGAACATTTTAATGAAACCTGTATGTACAAAACTGGATTGTCATCATTACGCTTGTACGAAGGATCTGTACCATCTATATTTCCACATGTTTCTAATTTAAGGTAATATTACTAAAATTGTTAATACATTTAAACTATAATAATACCACTTTCATACAAACTTTATACAAATAAAAAAAAATTATTAATAGCATAACAGAAAGTATACACTGTAACGAAAACAATAATGCATCTTCTGAAGTATTGATGGAAGATGAATCAACAATTGGTTCTCATCAAGGACAAACACAAGATGATATGACATATTCAACAAAAACCAATACTGTGGCGTCAAGTGATAAATGTTTAATAAGATATCCAGGAGATATTACAACCGAACAAGTGGCAAACATGTCGTCAAGTAGTTTAAGGAAGTTTAATTATTAAATTATTAAAAAAGATTACTTGCGAAACATGTCTTTATCTTTTTAACGAATGTACAGTTATGAAGTCTACATTCATAGAATGAAAAAGCTGTGGATATTTACATTATCCACGAGAAGATACATATAAACTCATTGTTGCCGCTGATAAAGTTTTTAATTTTTATAAATTACAGAATAATTTGTATAAGAAAAATGCATGCCAAGAAATAATTATAAAAACAATACGTAATATTGATATGGATAAGGTATTTATAAATTTTAACAACCACGTTAATGAGTTAGACGTTTTCGAAAATCACAAATATTATTTAATTAAATTAATTATAGAATGTTATATACAGATTCTTATGAATTATGAAGGGAAATTAATGAGCCAAAATATTGAGTACATCAGACATCAGTTTACAAAAATTATTTTATTCAAAGGTCAGTAATATCTTAACAAATATGGAAAATGTAACGTTTTTTTTACATTAATAACAAAGTTCTATTTTTATTTATGTTATGTTTAACATATATATGTTATGTGATGCTATGTTTAACATATATATTTTTATTTTTATTTATATATAAATACTAATTGTTATTGTATAAAAAAGATTTTCATAACATAAACTATATAACTAATGTAATTTTTATTATATACAGCATATTTTGTGTTCTTTATATTTTCCTTTCCTTATAAATTCATGATCGCAAATAATATCTTTTTAATGGTAAAACAGGAATGAAAAGTGCGATGATAGTTCTAATAATGGCCGTGTTTGGTACTGGCGGCGCTGCAGATGTTCATAGATGCCCAAAGTCATTGCTAGCAGTCCATAGTTATATAGTCAAGGAGTGACCCTCGAATAGGAGTCCGGTCAATCTTTAGTTTTAAAGCAAAATGGCGTCGATAGTTATAGATGACTTTGCTGTCACGACGTAAAGCTAAGAGACCATAACCTATATTTAGTTCTTATTAATCGTGTTTAGTTTATATTTATTTATTATAATATGTAAGTTTAAACATTATACATCTATAATATCTGTTACATCTGTTCTTTAATTATATAATATTTGTGTAAACTGTCCACTCAATAGAAAATGACTGGTTGCTGTGTTCCGGAATGCAAAAACAGCAGCAAGAAAGGTTTTTCACTAAGACGATTTTCATGTAACCCGGACTGAAAGGCATTATAGATAACAAAAATGAATAGAAAAAATTGGGAATCTACGCCCAACTCACACATTTGTGAAGTAAGTATACACGATATATTTATTAATAAATGTAATTATTAATAAATGTAAAAAGATGTAGATCTTGGTAAATTAGAAGATATCATTAAAAAAATTAATCTTAGAAGTGCAGTTTATGTTATATGTCGTGTGATCAGTACATGTTATATTATTTTTACATACATGTAATAGTTATATGATACTCAAATGTATGTTGATAGTAATAATATAAAATAGTACTTCATATAGGTTAATTTTTCTGAGGATATGTGGAAGAAACCTCGAATTGATGAAAAAAGAAAATTAAAATCTCATGCAATACCAACCATGTTTCTCAATGTCTAACCAATAGAAGAAAACAAGAAATCTGCTCATACAGTACGTTGTTTTTATTTATTTGTACACTTTTCTTGCATATATAGGGAATTTGTAGAAAGATTATTTTTTAATAGAGTAATCATCTCGAAGATATTACAACTGTATTGGATACACCAATTGAAGCTTCAACAATACAAAGCTACAACATGGAGGGTACCCAATCAACAAGCACATCAGAGAATAATCCAGTAACGTTGGAATCTGCTTTATTGCAAATACAAACTTTAACAAAGAAATATAATGAAGCAAATGAGAATTTGCAAATCGCCCACACAGTTGTCCGTAAAGTGAACAAGACCAAACGGAAGTTACTGCAACAAATAAGGCAATTAAAAAGTAAAAATAGATTAAGAACAGAGAAACCTGCGATTCTCAGATCCTCCGATTTACTTCGGAAAGTATTTAACGATGACCAAATTAAATGGCTTCAAGAAACTACCACACGGCATGTATATAAGTGGTCTGAGGAAACAATCAAAAAAGCACTGCGACTAAAATTTATGTGTTCTGAACACATTTATCTTTCATAAGGAAACATCTTCCTAAAATAAGCAGAAGACAAGTTATACAAGAGGAAATACCTGTAATTCCTCTTGAAGCTGAGACAAGGATTATCGACCTTAGTAATATTGAAATAAATGCATTGTACAACGTAAGCAGTTATATTTTGTCTTGAAATTCAAAGAATAATGTCGTTTGCAACGAGTGTTTAAATTCTGCAGGATCCAAAATATACGACCCTGATGTTAAATTTGCCAAATTTGTACTTTTTAAGTGTTACAAAACAAAAACATATTTTTAAATAATGAAACTTAATTATTTTCATAAAATGGAGATTGTTATTTGACGATACATATCTTATTTAAAGTCTGTTAACTGCGATTTGCTAAACTTTTTTAAATAAAATGAAGGATGTAAAGTGTGACATACACAAGGACTGTCATAAAATTTCACATATAATTATGCAGCGATTTATTCGATTTAGATTAAAAATCGAATGCTAGAAAGGTTGTTTAATCACACCAGTGTACATTAGTACAACAATGGCACGACATTCGATTTTAAGATAAAATGTTAATATACTTTATAATTTATAGTTAATATAATTTATAGTTATATATTAAATATCTATGTAACAACAATAAATATTATGTGATATTAGAAATTTATTATTAATGCATAATTTTTTCTTTTAGTTATGTTTTATTTTAATAATTAACATTTCTTTTGTAAATTAACTTGGAATTGTCATTTATAGCGGATCTATCTTTTATTTGGACATTTCAAAACTTAACTTGTGTTGTGAAAAACACTGTTGCGATAAGTCTTTTTCATAATATAAAAATGCAACACATCGCATTGTAAAAATAATGTAATCGTTCACGAATTAAATTATCGCGCGCGTATGGTACTTGAAGGGAGAATATGATTGGTTCCGCCATTTTGCTTCAAAGCAGCTTTCAGCTAATTAAAATTATGACCGATTGACCGGACTCCTATTCGAGGGTCACTATGGCCCGGTTCCACAACTTACTATAAACGAAGTTTAACTCGTTAACCCTAGTTTAGGCGAAAAATTGCGTTCCACAACTGCCTTAAACAATGGTTAACGTTGATTTCTCACAGTATTTGGGCGTTTAATGAATTTAAACGAAGTTTAACACTGCAGTACCATCAATTTGAAAAAAAAATTTATGACTATCCCGGTTTTGGAGTTCAGTTGACAAATATTTTGAACGTTTTAACACTAAAGAGATATGGCTTTAGAATACATATTATCTTCGTCTAAAGATGAAGATTTTGAAAACCTAATTTATCGACGGACAAGAAATATAAGAATAAGACAACCATCATATTTGAAAGAATTTGATAATAGTCGATTTTCATGCACGATTTAGATTATCAAAAGAATCTGTTATTGCAATTCTAGCAGAAATTGAGCATGAAATTTCTCATAAAACAGAACAGTAAGTATATAAATTTAATTTAAAATATTAGGTTTTTTGCTTCGATAGATTATATTCTAAAACAGAATATAAAACTATATATAAAAGTCAATTATTATATGATAAATACAATCAAATCAATAATATAAACTAATTGATTATTATTAACTGGACTTCCACCTTTTAATAAATTAATACTTATATACAAATATAGCAAATGTTAATGTTGGTTAGTGTTTACTTCATACGAAACAGATATATTGTTCTCTACTAGATGTCACAGCATCCAACTTATTTGAATTTTCCCTCTTTTCACTATTAGCAACAACCAATCATACTCTACGTTTGAAAACAAAGAGAAGTCTTTGACAGTTTCTTCATACAGACTATAGGTTTAAGTAAATTACAGTTAAAAACATGATGTGGAACGCGATATAAGTTTAACCATGCCGTTAAATATAACGTCAGTTCAGATAATCACGGTTTAAACTTGATTTTGTGGAACTGGGCCTAAAAGCGGCCTGTGACCTCTCTCCTTCTCTCTGGCCTTACCCATATTTGGTTTAGAGATTTGGCGAAAGGGCCAGAGCACAGACTTCTGCATAACGCATAATACACAACGCATAAGAGAATCAACCAATCAGAGTTCTTCATTTCTATCTTGAGGAGGGAAATGAAGAAAACTAATTGGTTTATTCTCTTATGTGTTGTGTATTATGCGTTATGCAGAAGTCTGTGCTCTGGCCCTTAAAACCAGCGGCACACGGTGCTTGTTTTCGTGCTGGATTGCTTGCGGATGAAAATACTGCGTTCTGATTGGTGCATTTCCATCCATCTTTGGAAAAGTACCAATCAAAACGCAGTATTTTCATCCAGCAAGCAACCCAGCACGAAAACAAGCATCGTGTGCTGCTGGCTTTAGTCTGGAGTTTTCCAGTACACAGCCATCTATTGAATGAATCTATTGAATAAAATTTTGGATCATGAGCTATCCATTATTAAAAGATGTGTTTCAGAAATGATTTATATTAAACGCTAAAAAACAGTTTAAATTTGTATAGTGACACTAAAAATTTAAATGAGAATTATGCTAGTATATTGAAAACTTTCTTATGTTTCATAACTGTATTTGACTTTATTTTAATTTTAACCATGTTTGCGTTTCTTTCGACGAATTATTGTATATATTTTAGTTCGTACTTCTCTCGTCAAGTCTAATTTTTCATTATTTCTAAAATCTTTTCATTACTGTCAAAACTTAGCTTCGCTATTTGACGATTTGCCGGAATTTAGTTTGGTGAGCATTACATTATTGCTTATTACATTATTACTAATAATTTGTTTTTGATTATTCTTAACTTTGTTTTTTTTTCATTTAATAAAGTCACACAAGTTTTTCCGGCTACTTTGAAGTTAGATGCATTTGTAGCTGGCTATTGAACCATTACTGGTTATGTATATTTGGGTACAGTTTGCTCACCAATTGTCCGTATATCGTTTTTAGTTTTACTTGAGAATAATCATAGTTGCTGAGGATGGTCTCAATATTAGGACCGAAACATTCAAGAATTTTCTATATGTTAATATTATTTACGCGTTTATATCTGTGTTTTATCTCTTATTAATCCAATGTCTATTGTTTTAAAGTGTATTTTGTTATCCCAATTGAAATGACAGTAATAATATTTTCAAAGTGCTATTCACGTTTGTGTTAGACACTTAATATACCATAAATACTCATAATTATCTTTTAGAAATAAAGATATATTCATATGATATAATAGTAAATACATTTAAAATGTTACATACATGTCAATGACAATATTTTGATCAGAATAAAGTAATAGTAAGAATGTCAGCAATTTTTTAGTCCATGTTTTTGAATATACCTTTCCCTGGCTTCTTTTATCATTTTAGCTTTTCTCTTTTGAAAGGAAGAAGTTACCAAAGAACCCAAGATTTTATCCTTTGTAATATTTGGTTGAGATCTATTGGATGATGGTACAGGTAATTGAGCTGATGTGTTCGGTTCTGGAGTATAAGTAACTATGCCATCGAGAATATTGGCGATTGTAACATCAATGTTCCGTGTTTTTACTGTAAGGAAAATCAATTCAATAACAATTACTATAATACGTTGTAAGAGATCACTATAAAAATTAAATGGATTAAGTTTTAAAGGGGAAAGAAGAAGGTAGAGGGGAGGGGGGAGAGAGAAAGAGGGAAGGAAGAAGAGAGATAAATATATGTGAATACATACAAAGATCTAGGAGAATCACATTATGTGGTACAAATGGAAGTACTTCGCTGACTTGACGGACCATCCTCTGCATCTCTATACTGTGTGAATTTAATGAACTTCTACTAGAACGTGTTCTATTGAGTATCCTTTCCATAAGATAACGTTTTTCGTACTCCGTCTTATCTGATACGGTGAAAGAACTTGTTTGAAGTCCCAAAGCATTTGCAATATCTTTTTCTACTTCTCGTACGAGAGTCTCATAGTCAGGATTACGTCTGATTTTCAGGTACTTCAGCGTGAAAACTGTATAAGGGACAAACATGAACCATAATACCTCTGTCCACCAAGTTGAAGCCAATGAAGTAAGATGCACAGGCACAAATTCTGGTCTCGATGCTTTGATGATGACTGGCTGCACAAATGTTTCTATACTAAATGGCCAAGAATTGAATTTCAACAAAGCAACTTGACTGTTAGTTGTGCCAAACTCAGGTTGTACAGCAATGTTATATATAGAAGTAGAAAGAAATTGCTTTATATTGGCAATTAAAGCTTCTTTACTACTCATATCCATCTTTTGTAATCCTAATGCATTGCACAGGGCAGTAGGTAATTCCCAGGTACTGGGAGTTAGTGTCTTCGTTACTCGACGAAGAGCAAAGTGGTCCAAAACAGATACATTATTGGCGACTATTATTCTTGATTGTTTATTCCTGAATTCATTCTCGTTATCAATCTTGACTATGATGCCAAAAGCAAAGCTAATACCATAATTCAGGAACCCTCGAGTAGAGTTGCAATCAGGTAAAAGTGATGCAAAAAGCCAAAGTTGTAATGTTACTAATAGTCGTAGTAACACAAGTAGGAGTCCGAATGGTGTATACAAAATTATAGGTAGAAGGCGCCAGCCATCAGGTAACCTAGATTTATAATCACATGTTTAATTGATTGATCTAAATTTATAATAACACGATGGATTTAATGATCTATACCAAATTAAAACAGCAATTGCAGCGAAAAATGATTCTTATCACTGACTATATTTATATACTTAGCTTCTGTTTTCTCTGAATATCCTTTTCAATGTGAACACTCCATATGTGGAAAATGTTTATTAATAATAATTACTCTAACGCTTTTGTACGTTTAGGTTAACGTTTACATTTGATATAACTGAATGATAATGATTATGCTACTAAAGCTTTATTACAGGGTTTATAAATCATTATACCTGCTTTTGTTAAACAACTCCTGGATATCAATTTGTGACATTTCTCACAACGTACATCTGCTACATCTGAAAACACTCTCTCGACGTTCGTGTATTTCGTTAAAATACCAAGCCACTTATTTAGATGTTACATAGAGCATGAAACGCGATTTATTATTAATCGACTCTCTTCTTTTACATATTTTCCAGTAACCTCTTAATTATCGCGGATTTTCCTTTTTACCACTCACTCCGCAATCAGCTGTTCCGTATGTTGCGATACTAGGGATTTCTCGACTGTGTTTACGCGGGAATTTTAAATGCCATTTCCGTTTGTTGGTTGATTGCCACCGGACCATTCAATATATTTATATCATATGATTTGATATATGAAATAATAATAGTAAGAGTTAATTTATATTTTGCCACTTCCAGAAACGTTCTCATATTTTGTTACATATTTTGTTTTTTATGTGACATTAAAATATTTTTGATCACACTTTTATTTCTAATCGCACTCGTATGAATAAGTACACATTTCATGTGTATTAAATAGATTTATAAATTAATTTCACTTAATGAAATTTATTTTTTCTTATATATAATAAATATCTTTTCAAGAATTTAACAAGAATTTATATAGAGGTTTTCATACAATAAGTTATTTATATGGAGTGTATGAGATATTGTATGAGAAAGAAATTATCTAGATAATTCAATATTTCTTACTTCTATATATTTAAAAGAACAGTGTAAATATGTCACACTTATATATTTTACATTTTGAATGTTTATAGCTGTCGAAGTTGACTTCGGCAAGTTATTACAATTATATTTAAGTATCGCACATTTTTCATACGATAACCATATATTTAAATCTGACATTATTTAATATTAATATAGCTAATATATACATTCATGCACTTATATCCCATATTTCATTCACATGCCAAAATCTATGATATAAATTCAGAAATATATTTGACATAATGCAATCTTATATTTTCAATACATGTAATACTTGTATATAGAATGTAAGAAACGAATTTAAAAACACGATTCTTGCATATAGATGTGAATTTAACTTATTCTATACATATGTTCAAAACAATATGAGCACATATGCACCTGTAATTTATTTATATGTATCATAAGACAGCAGGTATATGTCGAAAGAAAGCAGATATATGTAGAGTGTGTCACTAGTCAGAAATTGAAAATAAAAATCGGAACCTACGATTATATTGGTCCTATTCTTGTGTATATAAAAGTGCAGAGGAACAATCCTTTATAGAGTATGGGTTCCCCAAATTTTACTACATTCCTTATTTTACCTGAAGAAAGCCCCACAAGTGTTAGCTCCCTTTTCCTAATTACAAACGTTCATATGCATATACACATTATAGAAAAATGTATACATGCAATATAAATACAGAACAATATATGCACATATGGCCATGTGTTATATATCTATCGTTCTTGTCTTAAAATGACTTGAAATGTCATATTATAATAAACATTTGTTCTAAATAGATTATTAATTAATAGATTATATACGCGCGATATTAATTTCAATGGGATTGATTTTTGTATTATTGTTAGTAGATTATCATTTAGGGAAACTACATGGGACCCTCTATCAAACTGATCTTCATAGTACAGTAATAAATGCTGCGGCCCAAGCATAAAAGCGCCAACAAAAATGCACCTGAAAATATGTTTAAAATTATATAGACAAGATCTTAAACAAACAATTATTAGTACTTACCAACATAAGCTACATAAATTCCACCATTTGTCTTTACATATCTGTATGTCCCTAGCTGTAATTATGAACATAAACAAAATATTATAGAAACAATTATACAAATGAAGAAAGTCAAGTTAGATATTTACCGTTACAGCTATAGCAATAATTAAAGTTATAATCCCAACAATAATAAATACAATCCCCCGTCCTCTAGCAAAGTCTGGACCAACTGAAGATATCTTACGGCAATGTGGACATCGAGCCAGAGCATTATTTAATGTGTTAAACTAAAAATTAATTTAATTAGAACATATATCCAGTCAGTAATCTAATATATCTTTTATAGATTACCAAAAATGTGTCGTGACAATGAGCACAGCCTACTCTGCACATGCCTGGCATAGATAGTACTGGTGGTGTAATAGGACTTGGAGCTAAATTAATGATACGTTTACAGTTGGGCCTTGGACAAGCAATACGTTGTGAAGAACTTTTGCATATAAGCAGGCAGTTACATGGGCATCGTACATATTTCTTCCCTGGTGGTGCATTTCGTATTGGCTGTATGAAAAAACAGTTCACAAGATTTCAACTTTGTGCTACATACAAATAAAAATATGAAAGATATATATGAACATACTGTAGCTTCGTTGCACTGGCTGCATTTGACAACATGTTGATCTCTTTTGCCAGAGATATCTATCATAGCTTGACAGACCCTACAAGTGACCATTGGCATGCCACCTTGAGTGGCGGACTGATACGGCGGTGGCAGTTCGTCCGGTCCGATCGTGGACACCGTATTGACGGTAGATTGAGATTCTTCTGCAAACAAGTAACGACGATTGATGAATTCTTCGTAGAGAAGTGTTTATGTTGCATTTTCCTGCGCATTCACAACATTGTCGCATTGCGCTTATTTGTTCACACATTCGTGTGGACATATCACGTAGCAAATAATAAACGAATAGTAAATAGTAAACGTATTTTATACCGAAGGCATCACTGCCGTGGGAGCTGTATGTGACATTTTCGTTTTTCAGCAGCGGCTGTCGTTCGCCTTCTTTGCCGTCTCCCATGTCGTACGCGACACGATCAATTCGCTGGAAACGACGATGGTTTTACTTATTGTTTGACAGCACTCCCGGCGCATCGATGACAAAGATGATACAATACGAATCTTTCTGGACACATCCACGGCGTATAGTGACTATAGTGCGGGATGCTACACTATTGAGAATGTTGAGACGTAATATCCACAATCGAAACTTGTTTATATTAATCGATAAGGTGATTTCTTTTATAAAGAGAATTTATTATTATTATATTTTATATTATTTTATATTATGTTACTATTTTATATTATTTTATATTATATCATTATTAGCAAATTCGATTGCTTGTACTAGTATACATTGAATGTATACCCAAATGTGTGACCAAACTTACTCATAGTCCATTCTTATATTTAAGATCATTTTAAATATATCTCCGATAACTTCTTAACTAATAAAACACGTACGCATAGTATATAGATAATTTTATTAACGAAAAAATATTTGAAGGTATATTTAAGATAATTTTTAAATATAAGAATGGATCGTGGTTGTATTGAGCGGTATTCAATTCGATACTGCACGATTGGACATAACCAACCGATGCAAAATATTATTCAGTGAATTACTAAACCCAACCAATCATTTACTTTGGGTGTTTACGATAAATCGTCGAGTTCGAGTTAGTTCCACTAGGACTGAAAGGTATGATAGGCACGACCATATACTATCTTCATGATTTATGACAACTCAATGCTGTCCGATAAATCGAGTAGAGTAGAATAGGCTAAGGGCCAGAGCACAGACTTCTGCATAACGCATAATACACAACGCATAAGAGAATTAACCAATCAAAGTTCTTCATTTCTGTCCTGGGAGGGAAATGAAAACTAATTGGTTTATTCTCTTATGCGTTATGTATTATGTATTATGCAACAGCCTGTGCTCTTGCCCTTAGGGTCTATCCAGACAAATTTGCATAAGCGCGTAACGCATATGCATAAGGAAATTGACTAATCGTATGTTTAATACAAAAAATATTTTTTTACTATACGGATCATAATTAGTCAATTTCCTTATGCATATGCGTTACGCGCTTATGCAAATTTGTCTGGATAGGCCTTTAGGGTCAGAACACAGACTTCTGCATAACGCATAATACATAACACATAAGAGAATAAACCAATTAGTTTTCTTCATTTCCCTCAGGACAGAAATGAAGAACTCTAATTGGTTGATTCTCTTATGCTTTGTGTATTATGCGTTATGCAGAAGCCTGTGCTCTTGCCCTAACTTAACAATGTTTGTGCGAGATAATTAACAATATTTTATATGTCAACAATACATATATGTATTATATTTTAAAAAGAAAACTTTTGTTCTATAAAAATAGATAATGGTTGCGTTCAGAAAACAAAGCGCTCACTGAGCGCTTAGTAACTATTGGTCCTTACTGTTAGATTCTTACATTCAGACCAATAACGTTGACGAGAATTACTCAACCGTTGCGTAACCGTTGTGTTTTCTGAACGCAGCCACTGTGAAAAGAATATTCATAAGTAGGTTAGAATAATTGAATTTCCTACTTCGGATATTCTACAAATATATATTTTCATAATTACTTTAAATAAATATTTATAATTTTCCTAAAATTTAACAAATTAATGTTTTTTAATGTTATTATTTAATATTTCACAAGATTTTATTATCTGATAAAATATTGTTGATTGTCTCACACGACACTGCTAAATTAGCCTACTCTACTCTACTCTACTCGACTTATCGGACAGCATTGAATTGTCATAAATCATGAAGATAGTAGATGATCGTGCCTATTATCATACCTTTCAGTCCTAGTAACTAACTCGAACTCGATTTATCATAAACACCCAATGTGTCCAATCGTGCTGTATCGAATAGATATTGTAACGTCCTTCACAATAAAATTCCTTATTTTCTCACTAAAACTCACCATATCTTTTCCTTTTTTTTTTTTGATAACAGTGGGGAAATCCTCATGGATAGCCCCGTCCCTTTGGGAGGGCAGGGGTTATGCCGAACTCTTATTGGCTAAAACCCCACTGGGGTATCTACCGATCGGGCCGTGATGAGGGAAGTCAGGGGAACTACGCTTGCATTCCCTCCCCGACATCCCGGCCCCAGGGCTGTGACCGAGAGCCCCACGCCCAATTACCGCGCCCCTCCCACAAAGGAAGTCGGGGCGCGGTACCCCGGTCGGTTGCCCGGCCGGGTTGGCCTTTCGGTTACAATTAAGGAGAGGAAGGATACTCACCCTTTCTCCTGGCCCCCTCTTTACCTGAGGGGGGAGGGGAGTGGGTCCCGTCTCAAAACGGTCCTCCACTCCCCTCTTACCAACCCTTACCGACGTGCGGGGGAGGTAGGTTTGTACACCCGTCGCCCTCCCCCGTGCGTACGGAGGCGAACCCGAGGCGGCCGAGAAGGTCCTCGACGGATCGGGGGCGGTTCCTCGGCCGGCGCTACCTCCGGCCCGCTACTCAACCCCGGGAAGCGCCGCCAGCCCTGCCGCTCCCTGCGGCGGTTGCCAGGTCGGCGCTCCCATTCGGCGGCTTCCTTCCGGGACATAATGTCCTTGCAGAAGGAGGCCGCCGTCCCCCACACCTCCTCGCTCATGCACATGGCTTGAACCATGCGCAGGAGCGAGAGGGCCTCCACCCGGCACCCCACTGCACGGCGCTGTCGGGTCCATGCACAGCATGAACCCAACGTATGTTGCACTGTGTCCTCGTTCGCCGAGCAGTGGTGTCGGTTCATGGTGGGTTCCTTTCCAATCCGGTGCTTCGGTACCGACCGAAGCACCAGTGCCCGGTCAGCACCTGCACCAGATGAAAAGAGAGTCTACATCCTTTCCTGTCCGCTACCTCGGGCAGACAGCCTCGACCGTTCGGAGCTGAACCCGGAGGGGTCAGCCAGGATGACCGACCATCGCTCCAAAGTCCGGGCTCTGGCCTGGGATCTCAAGGCCGCCAGGCCCCTGGCCGTTAGTCCTTCCCCTTCCTCGCGGAGCTCGCACACCCTCCAATATAGGGCGCACCGCTCTTGTGCGAGGAGTTCCACGGGAGGGGAACCGGCCAGGGTGATCACCGCCATGTATGATACAGTGCGGTACCCCCGAATCTCCCTCACCATCACCGGACGCATCGCCTGGCGCATCAGGCTTATACTGCGGCCGGAGGCCATGAGCTGGGGCGCCCATATGGGCGCCCCATAGAGGGCGATCGAGAGGACCACACCAACATATAGGCGGCGAGCCCGCCATCCAGGTCCCCCTTGGGTCTGCATCAATCTGGCGAGAGCCAGACCAGCTCCGCGGACCCGGGAGACTAGGCGCCTGAAGAGCGCCTTGAATTCCCAGCGGCTGCCCAAGGTCAGGCCCAGATACTTGATCGTGGGCCCGACCTGGACGTGGACTCCATCCACCAGGACCCGGGTCTTCGGCGGCACCCCCCGACCGCCGTCATGAAAAAACATAGCTTCAGTCTTATGGGGCGCCACCTTTAGACTCAGGTCCTTGATGGTTCCCACCACGGACACGAATGCCGCCTCCGCTCGGAGGCGGGCTTCCTCCTAGCCATCCCCCCGGCCTCCACTAAGGTGTCATCTGCGTAGCAGATGACGTGGCAGCCAGGGAGGAGGGGAGAGCGCAGCACCTTGTCGAACGCGATGTCCCATAGCAGGGGGCTGAGAACCAACCCCTGCGGGACACCGCGCTCCATAGTGCGCTGGCTCTGGACCTCGCCACTCCTCGAATAGGCGAGGTCTCTGCTTCCAAAGTAGGCCGAAAGGATTCGCCGGAGGTAGACGGGCACCCCGTGATGTTCGAGGGCCCATCCCACCTCCGACCAGGGCAGGGTGTTGAACGCATTAGTGATATCTAGTGATGCCGCGAGCAACAACTCGCTCTCCCTTTCCACGGCGGTATAGATTCCGGACGCGCTGGATAGCATCCAGTGTAGATCGTCCGGGTCTGAATCCATATTGATCGCCGTGGAAGTTCGACCCCTTTAGGAACAGATGCTGGACGAGGCGGTCGGCAATAATGCGCTCTAGCATCTTGCTCGCCTCGTCCAGCAGGCATATCGGCCTCGAGGACCTGAGATTCCAAGGCTTCCGTAGGCGGGGACGCCCACGGACGAATCTTACCGATTGTCCGTTTATAAGGGCGCCCCCACGGATATTCGTCCAAGGAGTCCACCAATTGCTCCCAGGCTCTCTTTTTCGCCTCGGCAATGGCGGCCTTGAGGGCTTCCTTCGTTTGGAGGTAGCCCTCCCTCGCCCTTGCAGCATCCCCGTCTCGTCGCTGGGCCCGCCTGGCTTGGACGGAGGCCCGCCGTAACTCGGCTATGGCCTCCGTCCACCAGTATGCGGCCCGGCGCCGAAGGTGGTGGGACTTGGGCATCGCAGCGTCGCATGCTGACGCCACGATGCCCACTATCTCCTTAGTCCCCTCCTGGGAGTTAAGGTCCCACTTAGCTCTTTACGAGATGCCAGGTGACCACAAGGACGGCCGCCTGGAACTTGTCTGCGTCAAGCCGACCGAGGGCCCATCTCTCGGGGAGAGGAATGTTTCCCTCCCCTGGGCGGCAGTCCAGCACCCGCTGTTGTAGGGTCGGGAGACGGAGAGACCACGTTATATATCTATGATCAAACAACGTCTCACTCTCTGCCTCCACCACCCACTCCCCGAATATTCGGGCGGTCGAGGGGGAAACCCATGTCAAGTCTATGACTGACTCCCCTCTCAGCCGAACGCAGGTGCTGGTCAACCCCCTGTTCATCAACAGGAGGCCGAGTCCCGCCGCCCAGTCGACCACGGCCCTATCCCGAGAGTTCCCTCGCCGGGGATTGTAATCTCACCCTGTTGAGTTGGCGTTGAAATCCCCGGCAACTATGACGGGTCAGAAATGGCACTGTCGTACCAAATCCCCGACCCTGTCGAGGACTCTATTCGGGCAAGGTCTCCGAGGCCGATCTTGTTCCTGCGGTGGTGGAGATAAACCCCCACCACACACAGTGACGGGCCCCCAGTCGACAGCCACATACGAGGTCCCCCTTTTCCTGATTTTACAGGAAGGGGACCCCGTCGCGGGACGGGCCATCACGGCCACTATGCCGTCGCGGCTGTCCGACCAAACGTTTCGACCACACGACCAAATTACACTAATTACCAAGTTTGGATTACCGGCCGGCACCCACGACGGCTCGGTGGCCACCCTTTTTCTATCCAATCAAATCCTTACCTATCATCGACTAATCCAACTGCAGCACCTCCTACAAACACCTCTGCAATCAACATGCAATCAACCTTTGCAGTCTTTTATTGTTAATATAATATAATATCATTTTAATTTTATTTTTTTATTATTCTTTTTTTACTTTGTCATTTTTATTTAATACTATAAAATATTTTACATTTATAATTTAACGGTACATAATATTTGTGATACACACGTGTGCACATCTGTCAAAAAATTGGCGCAAATTAGCAGTTTACCATTTAAACAGTATTAGTAAAGGTCATTCTACAATACGTGTCGTAAGTTGTAAGCCGTAAGAATTGGCGAATCACAGTCGATAATTACAAAAATAATCGGCTATAATTGGTCAGTTCTTACGGCTTACAACTTACGACACGTATTGTAGAATGACCTTTAGCCTTTTTACTCCGACTCTTTTTCGTGATATAGGTAGGTCAATATTGGAGAAATGATCAAAATACACATGTACTACTATAATTGTACTATTATCGTACAACGCACTTAAACTAAGGTTCGACAGGATAACGACGACATCTTTTTATTTTCGCACGACGATCTTTCTACGACAACGTTCTCTTTACGACGAAGTTCTCTTCCTTTGCTGGCTTCGGAATTATATATATCTCCCGCCAGCCCCTATCCTCTGCGCATCGACTCAAACGCTGTTCTCGGCGAATTGTCAAATTATTATCGCACGTATAATCGATTTATATCGCAACTCTTACAATTACTAACCTTTAGGAATTAAAACTATGTCGTCTAGAGGTTTTCGTTGATACCAATCTTATCTCCGCCATTTTTCGGGAAATGTCGTATTACCGTATATATGAAAAACAATGGAACTTTTGTATAAAACATTTTTTTATATACTTCATAGTTTCAAAGATATTTGCTAAAAATAAAAAATTCCATTATTTTCGAGTTGTTTCAACTCTTAAAGCTTGATAAGAACACATGTAAAAAAATATTTTAATTAAAATTAATAAAAATATATCATTTTTCAATTCTCTATAACATATCTAATGCCGATCAAAATCGGTAAAGAACATTCCCGACAATTTCCTTATAAGATGATAGAAATTCTACAGTCGATAAAAAGTAATCATGAAGTCTGTATAATATAATACTGATACATATATTATATATAATATATATATACATACTAAAATTTTGTGGAATTCCATTTCTGTCTAGAATTTATATGATACATTTAAAACGTATTATATATTTCTAATAAAAATGTGAATATAAAACATATGATACCTTTTAAATATTATTTATATATTATATCTATTGTTTACAAAATTTGGAAGACTTGATTTGTATTGTATTATTTTGCGCGCGTGTGTATGTATTTTATAATTGTGTAGTACATACTTTATAATTGTGCAGTTATGTATTTTATAATTGTGCAATATACATACATATATATAAAACATATTTATAATATATATAGACAGGGGATAAACATATTATCAAATCAAAATAATCAAATTAAAGAAAGTGTAAAATAAAATACAAAGATCATTTTTGTATACTATTGTAAATAATATAATATATTGCATCTTATACAGGGTGTCTCAGAACTTTGGGACATGGGCTCCGTAGGGCTAAGAGAGCTAAGTGAGAGGAACAAAAAAGTCCTGTATCATAATGTAAAATCGTAATAGTTTTTTAGTAATAACAGCCTAAAGTTAGGCGTTTTCCACGCCCAGCGCAGCCTATAGACGCTCCGCGGCAAACTGTATGCGTAGGGGCTGAGCGATAACGCGGCTCGCGTTGACCGTCGCGCGGCGTCAAAGTGCCAAGACACCATCGCGACAGTCAGCGCGAGACGCGTTATTGCTCAGCTCCTACGCCCACAGCTTGCTGCGGAGCGTCTATAGGTCACGATGGGCGTGGAAAACGCCAAACTTTACGCGGTTATTACTAAAAAACTATTACGATTTTCACATTATGGTAGAGAACTTTTTTGTTCTTCTCACTTAGCTCTATGTCCCTACGGAGCCCGTGTCTCAAAGTTCTGAGACACCCTGTATAGAGTAAAAAATATATACAGGGTGGTTGATTATAAGTTGCCAACCCGAAAAGGTAGATTGGGTTAAGATAAACATAAAAGTCCCATACCGTTTTGCGAGATTCGCAATTAATTATCGAGTTATTAATGACAGAAATCTGAGGAATAGGAGCGCGCCGACATAGATGATTGGAGAAGCGTTGTAGCTACTCAGGCCACAGCGCGGCCCACTCGACCCAGCAACTGTTGGCGGCGTGCAGCGAGACGTAGGTCCGGCGGGATAAAACAACGAATAGCAGCGCATTGTCTTTCCCCTCGCCGCGCACCGGCAACAGTTTCTGGATCAACTGGGCCGCGCTGCGGCCTAAGCAGCTGCAACGCTTCTCCAATTATCTATGTCAGCACGCTCCCATTCCTCAGATTTCTGTCATTAATAACTCGATAATTATTGCGAATCTCGCAAAACGGTATGGGACTTTTATGTTTATCTTAACTCAATCTATCTTCACATTTCGGGTTGGCAACTTATAATCAACCACCCTGTATAATTTACATACACTATTCTTTCAGATATATTATTTAACACATTGAGATTATATTTAATAACTGTAGCAAAAAACATGTTCTTTTTCTAAATGATAATATAAGAAGATTGCATATAATAAATATATAATTATAGCCAAAAAATGTATCTTCCAATATTTTAAGTGATGAATAAACTTCAATTTTCTTCTATGTATGTAAACATTTATCATAATTAAGTTATATATTGACTTCTCTATTATTGTCTATTATTGAGTATTATAGCATTTAATATTACATAATACTAACTATTTAAAATGCATATTCTATTTGAATTCATACAGTCAGTTAACATTGGAGATTACCGATACACACATATTTGATATCGAGAAAATCTTCAACGCCATGTTTAGAACCTTCTCTTCCTAAACCAGATTCCTTTATTCCACCAAAAGCGGCTTCTGCGCACGAAATTAAACCTTCGTTAACACCTACCATACCAACCTCTAACTTACGTGCTACTCTAAATATCTGTGATGTGTCCTGCGAGAAAAAGTAACCAGCCAAACCAACTGGTGTGTCATTAGCTTGTTCCAGTACATCTTCTTCGCTGTTAAATTTATTAATTACAGCTATGGGTCCAAAGATTTCCTTGTTGTAAATCTGTGTGTCTTTAGTTACACCAGTTAGTACAGTAGGTGCATAAAATAATGGTCCGAGATGCGGTAACAGATTGCCACCGCAATGTACTTTAGCACCTTTCTGGACTGCTTCCTTTACCAGACTGTTCACCATATCCAATTGACTTTTCTTAATAAGTGGTCCATGAGTAATATCATTTTTGCTACCATCTCCCATTTTAATTTCTTTCTTGATCTTCTCCACAAATTTCTCTACAAACTCATCGAAAATATCAGTTTCTACAAAAAACCTATTTGCTGAGACACACGTTTGGCCGGTATTTCGGAATTTACTAGCCATGGCACTATTTACAGCCATATTTACATCTGCAGATTTAAATACGATGAAAGGAGCATTACCACCCAACTCAAGGCCAAGCCGTTTTACAGTTGATGCACATTGTTCATACAAGATCTTCCCCACAGCTGTGGAGCCAGTGAATGACAGTATTCTTATTTTGGGATTCTTACATAGTTCCTTACCAACAGCAGGAGAATTTGTTATGCTTGTGGTGAGTACATTGAAGATTCCTGCAGGAAAATTTGCTTGTTCCGCAAGTTCTGCTAATGCCAGTGCTGTCAATGGTGTATCTTCAGATGGCTTCACAACACATGTACATCCTGTGGCAAGAGCAGCACCTACTTTCCTTGTGATCATAGCATGTGGAAAGTTCCATGGTGTAATTAATGCTGCTACTCCGACTGGTTGTTTCAATAAGAACAATTCTCTATTGGCTGCAGGAGCTTGTAAGACTTCTCCATTTATTCTTCTTGCTTCTTCTGCAAACCATTCCACAAAAGAATTTCCATATTTGATTTCTGCTCTAGATTCAGCTAAGGATTTCCCATTCTCTTTGGTCAAAATATAGGCTAGATCTTCACAATGCTCAACCATCAAATTATACCACTTTCTGAGCAGATCACTTCTTTCCTTGGCTGTAGTTTTACTGAATGATTCAAAAGCTTTGGCAGCAGCATCAATGGCTAATTGAGTATCAACAATATTCATGTCAGGAACATAAGCAATCACACTATTGTCAGCTGGATTGCAAATTGGAAATGTCTGTTTGCTATTAGCATCAACCCAGTTTCCATTAATATAGGCATTATTTTTGAGAAGATGCATTAATCTATAACTTAAAGATACATTATATGCTAGATGTTTTTGTAACAACTTTGTTCTGACAAACATTGCCGTAGCCATCAAATATGTTCTGCAAAGAATAGAGTTACAATAGAATGGTTAAATGATTAAACATTATTTGCAAAATAAACAGCTTAGATTTTCTGGATGATTTACTTTTTTTCTTTCTTAGGTTGATTACTTCTTTAAATTAATATGATAAAAGTGTTTTAATTATATGGATATATTATATAGACCAATGTCTATATATAAGTAAGTTTTTTGTAGAATGAAAATAGTAATAAATTTTGAATTCTATAGGCCTAATTTATATATTATTTATATTTATATACAGTAGAATTAAGATTTATCTGATCATGTTATAAATGTTATAATTGCCCAAGAGTGTCATTTCATGATAATCTTCTCTATTTTGGATATAATTCAATAATTATTAATATTTTGACACTTACCTTCCACAAGCTGTCAACCCAATAATAGCCATATGTGTTACTACTAGCTTATTTAACACTCTTACCATTGACAAGGGACGTTAATTGAAAGAATCATGAAGATAGATATGACAATCTTCACACAAGTGGTATGATTTCGTCATTGATCGCATCGCATGTATGTGTACTCAATTTATAAATCTTCATTATCACAATAGCACATTAGCGATATTGTCATCGGTGCGACAGATCGGCGTCATTCAGTCAATATATTCTTGTTATCAGAGTTGTTTGTTATATCAAGATAACATATCAAAATAAAAAGTCGTAACTGTACTTGCAAAGAATATAGTTAATTAACGTTAATCTTATAATAGCCCCTTATCGCAGGGGCCCTATTTTTCTGGTTCTGGTTCAATAAATGGCTCTGGACAGAACTGTTACATTATTCTATCCCCTACGCCAATCCGGTTCTAGTTTAATAAATGGCTCTGAGGAAAGCTGTTAAGCCAGCGGCACACGGTGCTTGTTTTCGTGCTGGATTGCTTGCTAAATGAAAATACTGCGTTCTGATTGGTACATTTCCGAAGATGGATGGAAATGCACCAATCAGAACGCAGTATTTTCATCCAGCAAGCAATCCAGCACGAAAACAAGCACCGTGTGTCGCTGGCTTTACACTCTATCTCCTACGCCAGTAATTGGTGCATTTCCATCCGTCTTCGGAAATTCACCACCATTCAGAACGCAATATTTTCATCCAGCAAGCAATCTAGCACGAAAACAAGCACCGTGTACCGCTGGCTTTATCCACTTATCGGACATCCATATATACCATGTATTAAGCCAGCGGCACACGGTGCTTGTTTTCGTGCTGGATTGCTTGCTGGATGAAAATACTGCGTTCTGATTGGTACATTTCCGAAGATGGATGGAAATGCACCAATCAGAACGCAGTATTTTCATTCAGCAAGCAATCCAGCACGAAAACAAGCACCGTGTGCCGCTGGCTTTACATACCAGAAAGAAGCCTGAGAGCGGCCACGCCGGCGTTTTTGGCGATGCATTTTGATGACTGATTTTAACGCCATCTATGCCCATTTGTAGCTGGAAACTGCGTTGACTACGCCCATTTTGTAGACGCTGCCGATAAAGTCTCTGTTTGGTGCGTATCCGTTCTACGCCCATTCACTGGCGGTTCGTGTCTGTGGTACGCCTATAATTGCGGATTTGAGAAACACGACATCGCGCACAAACTTACACCTCGTTCAACAGCACATGATTCTTTTTCTGTACATATGCATTTCTGTATATATTTTTGAAAAAATTGTATCTTCTAATTATTATCCGAATTATTATCTCTTGTTACATTCGTAATTCGTAACAAGAGCAGGCGGTAATTCTCAGTCGACACAGAGCATTAGTTACATTACATTTATATTAAAATTTCGCACTCAACATCACGTGTGTTATATTACATTTATATTGTTGAGTGCGAAATTTTAACATAAATATAATGTTCTGTGTCGACTAGGTTGTTTCCTTCTCTAAATATTTTGGAACCTTTGTTTCATGACAGTGTAGTTGTTCGAGATTCGAACGGGAAGATTTGCCTATTTCTGAAACGTTCTGGCAGAAGAGACAAGACCGACAGAGACTCGTGATCATGCTCCACATGACGCATCGTGCGGAGTTATTCGCCGGATGAATTGTTCTCTTGAATGCGGCACGCGTTAAACGCGCGTTCGCACAATAACCCTTGTAACACACTCGCGTTCAGATATTACAAGTAGTAGTGAAAAACAACACAATTCTTCTCGCTCGAAAAGCTTGTCTCTTTCTTTCTTGCTAGCTCGTTCGACTGCGACTATCCGAGATCCGGCGACAAAGGCGAACGCACGTCTTTTCGATGTACGAGCTTTTCTCTTAAAGGTCTATCGACTATTCGCAGACTAATTATGTTATATATGTGTCATATGTTCGAAGTGGATGCCGTTCTATTAATTGCTTGTCTATATTTAATATTCATTTCCGAAATGTGACTTGTAAGAACAGTTGGTATGGTGTTCTTCCCGATTTCTACTTCTTCAGGGAGTTTTTCCACTTTTATATGTCTCCTTTTCTTCACTTGTTCTACATTTTCATTAACATGTTCGCTCTCGAAATGAATTGGAACTGCATCCAATTTTAAACGTTTCTTCGTGCTTGTCAGAAATGATGCATCATTGAAATGGTCTTCGCACAATCCCGCGCATCTAAGGGAGTGAAAAGACCATTTTTCTAACTTAGTATTTCCTGCAACAGAAATGAAATGAAAAACATTTGTGTGTATGTATCTTTGTATATAATTTTCATTTATTTATTTAATATAATTTTTCTATATAAAATCATCTATAGTTTATTTTAAGATGCTTCGTTCACATTGACTGTGTTCAGCAGAAAAACTTACTATACGTTATTCGAATGAAAAACATTGCAAAATTTATGAATTTCATTGATATATATCCATATAGAACAAATATCCAATATGCATGTCATGAATATTCTCTAGATATCGCGATATCTATAGGATATCTATTGGATGTATTTGAATATTTGTTCAGTATGGGCAGACTTCGGTAACTCATGAAGCAGCTGCAGTGTACAAATAGAATGGGTGAAAATAATAAAAAAAGTTATACCATTTTGTAATTTTCTCAACATTTACTCTGTGATTAATTAAAATGTATAAGCGAATGAGCGCACGGAAAGAGATACAACGAGCTCTAAAAAACGTTTACTTCTTAGCAACGATAAGTAACAACTCATTTCGGAGGTACGCGATCGTATGTTATAAGCAAATGACATGCAAAGCAGAATTCACGACGAAATCTCGTGAATGTGAAATAATATTTTTGGATACATTTTATGCTAGGATATTATTATTATAATCAAAGCCGCAAGGATGAGATATGAATTAAGAAATAAATAAATTATTATTATATAATTTCATATTTATTTTCCATTTTTTTTACAAAAGAAACTCGCGTGTGTGTGTGTGTGTACGATTGTATGTGTCTACCTTAATAAAATATTTTTATATATTATATATAACAATATATCCGCCTCTGCCTCCTCTGCCGCCTCTGCCGCTTCTGCCAACCCTATCGCCTTTGTTAGTTCCTCTGTTTCCTCTTCCTCGTCCCCTCTCCGCTAGCTGTAGCAGCATCGAGAGTTGGCCTGAAGACTGAAAAAAATACATATATGCACACATATAAACAGAGAATCCGGTAAGTCGTCAAGCAGCAGCTATGTACAAATAGATTTTGTAAAACTGAAGTGATATATTATAGCAAAAATCACGAAATATAAAAAGAACAGAGAAAGTTTATTTATTTATTGCATGATCACGAACGAGAATACTGCGCGAATGACAATCAAGAAACCGATATATGATTTATATCGATATATAAATATATGGTAATAAGATATTTTTTGTACCCGAAATTATTTTCCCAAGATATTTCAGCGTTATGTTATTATTTATTTATACTCCAGTAGGCGTTTTCTAGCGTAGTTGTGTTCGTGTACGTGTTGCATTTAAAGTGTGCGTGACATACATGTGCATACACGCCCTCACACACACACACACACGCACACACACACACACAAAGAGAAAAATTGCTCCCGTCTATTCGCCTGAGGCCCCGCCCACCGTTCGGCTTGAAGTTATCGTAATGAACCCATTTTTCGTCCCCAGTCACAATGCGATGCAGAAATCCCTTCCGTCTTTGCCTTTCAAGCAACTGTTCACAAGCAAACAAACGCCATTCAACATCTCTCGGTTTCAACTCGGCACCCAATTTCCTTGCTTCTGAATCATTCCCATGTCTTTGAGGCGTTTTGGAATGCTTGTTGAGTCACTCCCAATGATCGTGCCAATTCTTCTTGACTTTGACACGAGTCTTCATTAAGTAATGCCTCCAATTCTGCATCTTCGAAAAGCTTCCCTCTTCCACCGCTATGCCGGTCTTCGATGTGAAAATTATCGTTCTTGAAGCGTTGAAACCACTCACGACACGTTCTTTTACTAATAGCGGCCTTACCATAAGTATTTCAGAGTATTCAATGAATCTCAGCCGCAGATTTCTTCATATTGAAGCAGAAAATTAAAACCTCCCGCAAATGACGAGAATTTGGCTCGTAAACTGACATTTTCAATCGAGAATAACTTTATGATGCAGACACAAATCGACTAATGTTTCTAAGGGATTTATGTTGACAGATGCCCAAGTTTATTGTATGACGTCTATGACGTCTATTTATTTCGTCTATATATTTCGACCACTACTTACCGCTAAAGCCATCTATAGGAAAACGGCGAAAGCAAAGTTGTACACCTAATAAATATACCATATATTACATTGTATATATTATTGTTATAAATATATTATATATTTTATATTTGGTTATGTTATTATTTCTCTTATTCCAACTTACATTGTATTTCACTTATATTCTATTAATAGAAATATTGATTTTAAGATCCATATTTTAACCTTCCTTTTATCAAAGTGTCTCTAAAAATTAATTATAATCAATTAGAAGCTTTATAAGCCACTTTTACAGGTACTTTTATCAATAAAATTAAGTTTAGGGTATGGACCCATCTATGTTTCATTTTTTTAAGGGTATGGACTTATATATGTATATTTTTTTTATAAATATTGAATTTTGAAATATTCATTTATGAAATCCTTTACTTTTCATGTGTTGATGCTAAATAAAATAATATATGACGCTATCCAGAAGATACATTACTTGACATCCAAATTATCTACCCGTTCGCGCTAAGTAAACAAGGTTTTCTATTGGTGCCGCCATTTTCAGGCCACCGGTCCGTAAACCAACTACGCTGAAGCTCTGATGTCCAGACTCTCTATTGTAGGATCTCTAGGCTCGGCTAAAAGCGGCCCATGGCATCTCTCCTTCTTTCTGGCTCAGCCCATGACACCTCTCCTTTTTCTCTCTGATGCTATCTAGGCCAGTATTCATAGTCGGATCTTAAATTTAAGACCGTCTTAAGTTTATTTTCAGATGCTATACAAATCATTTCATTGGCTATGGGGTATCTGAAAATGAACTTAAGACGGTCTTAAATATAAGACCTGACTATGAATAGAGTCGAAAGTACTAGAAGTGGACAAAGAGATTGAAATCTCGGGCCCATAGTTGGAAGAAGAAGAGTCGAAAGTCTTCAATAACGCTTTATCAATGATATTCCAAACATCAATAGAGAATCAGTGAAACAGCCTCAAATTTCTCGGATAATTTGTAGAGTGGTGTAGAGAAACGCGTAATTTACATTATAATTTTGGCATAGTACTTATACAGTAAGCATGGCAACCTGGAGGTTATTATTTTCTAATAACTCGGTTAATTTGTTGTACACGAGGTAAAGCTTTATTGGTTTTTCATAATTTAAATTCCGAGTAAATATCCCCAAATAGCTTTTCAGCATCGTGAAATGTATGTACCTACTTAAACAAAATACCAAAATATTTTCACGCATATGATATAATAAAAAAAATCGTCTTACCGAAATTTATTATTATATTAAGATTATTGCACAATTAATTTTCACGATTTTATTTCTCACAATTTTTATTAAAATAATTTTATATCAGTATTATAAATAATGAACAATTTTTTTCCATAGGAAATTAACCACTATAAAAAATATACCTAAAATCAAGAGTGACATAGAAAAAAATATTTTACCACCAAAACCAAAAAAACCACTAAATCCGTATTTTCTGTATTTTCAATCTGTAAGAAATAAATTGCAACAAGAACATCCAGGCATAAAATATATAGAACTTATTAAAAAGGTATCTCAAGAATGGGCAAAAATTGATCCAACAATAAAACAGAAATTTCAAAAGCAACATGATGAGAATTATACTGTATATAAACAAAAATTAGATCATTACAATAATTCTATAACTGATGATCAAAGAATGCTAATAATAGAAGAATTAATGAAGAAGAAAGGAGTTTTGGAAAAGAACCAAACTAAACAAGTATATATCAATAGATTACATACATATATACATACGTATATATATATTATATATAAACACATATACATCTAAAAGGCATACAAACCAAATTATGTAAAAGTTAATATTCATTTCTTTATAACAGAAACTTATGGAACTTGGGAAACCAAAGCGACCATTGAGTGCATATCTCATATTTTTAAGAAATAAGAAAGATAGCAAAGATCCAAAAATACCACAAAAGGTAATTTTCTTATTTATATATCTTAATATTATTAGTATCAAATATTAAAGGTTAAGGAGAAAGGAGGGATAGTATTAAGTATTGATAGAAGTGTGCGAATAAAGGATTTTTATGTCGAATCAAATAGAATCATTTTTTAAATTCGAATTGAATCTATGAAATTTCATTCAAATTCAAATGGAATGAAATCGAATCAAATCGTTAAAAAATTTAACATGACTATTAAACATGCAAATAATGATGGAAGATTTTAATATGAAAGGGAATATTGATATTATATCATCTTAAAGTAAAATATATTTAAATATTTAAAGTAATTTATAATTAAGTTATTAATTATAAGTTAAGTTAATTACAAGTTAAGGGTTCAAACATACAGGCCCAGATGGCCTGTTTTATAGCTGATGCACACAAATGATAATGTATTTGATTCCTATTTGAATCTTCACAATTGGAAATTTTCGAATTATTAAGATTCGAGTCATATGGATTCAAATCAAATCGAATTACATTAGATTCGATTCAAATTCGAATAGTTCATATATCTCTAAGTATTGAGTTTTGATATTAATTTCATTTCGCATATTTAATTTCTTGTTTATATTCATTTTAATTTATATTTATATATACAGTAAAATGTAGTTAATGCAACCTTTAAATAAGAATATTTAGAAGACATATATTTTTAGGAATGGATAAAAAATCTTTCTAATGAATGGAATAAAATGACAACAGAAGATAAAGATAAATATTATACTGAAGCAAAGGAATTACAGGAAAAATACAATACTGACTTGAAAAAATGGGAACAGAATATGATTCAAATGGGTCATTTTGATTTATTAAGATCCAATACTAAATCTAAATCCAACAAGAGTGTTAATAAATATGAAGAATAGGATTTAAAGTGCCCCAACCAATTCAATATGAAATCAACTGAATCCATTACTGCAGATTTTTCAAATATTAAAATCCAAAACAAGGACAATGTCAAAACAGGTTGGGGCACTGATATCAATGCTTCTATAGATAATGTTTCTCGTGCTAATAATGGTAATAGAATTTTATTAAATGTAACAATTTGATTAATGTTATGTAAGATCTTAAAAATAAACACTTTATAATTTTAGATCAACAATATGAATTTACCAGAAGTTATATACTTTACAATGATAGAAATGATTTAAAAGCCCTAATGAAGTCTTCAGAAAGTCAAATGAAAGATGTGTTGGGAAAAAACAATAACTCAGTACTATATCGTACATATATAGATCTATATAAATATTTTATTTCTATATGGCATAGATTTTCACTAATATTGATAAAAATCAATTATAAAAATTGGAGGATGGTAAGAGAATATGCATTTATTGGGATAAGTGCGATTTTGATAATGATATATTGTATTCTAAATCTTATATATAAATAATTATTATTTACATCATATGTTGGACTTACTAGTATAGAGTTTGCAACATGATTTGCATTTTTTTGCATTTTTATTTTCAAATGTATATAACTTGTAGTAGAGCATTCATTTTAAATATTTCATTTTTATTATATTCTCATATTTGTAATATTATATGTTTTATTTCCGTAATAAATTATGTAATTTATTTCTGTAAAATATTTTTTGTACTGCTTTGAGTCATATTTATTAATATACATAGGGTGTCCGGGATGTTTTAGAAAAGAAAAATTATGAAGATTAATCAGATTAAACTGAGAAGAGAAGTCATCTACCATTTTGCAAAAATCGCAATAGTTATTAAGTTATTGATTAAAACGTCTGGGCCAATGAGCGCGCGGTAGGCAGGACTGGACAGAAATATGGTGACAACAGACAAATGACTTACTTCTTAACGTGACTTACTTCTCAACGTGAATACTTGTAGTAAAGACAATCAGCTGATTGCATGAGGCGAGTCAACATACAAAATCCATTTTTCGCCTTCAACGACAAGATACACTAATACACCAGCTATGCTTTATAATTGTGCACTAAACACCCAGTCTCATGTAATTTTTCCGCGCCTTTCTCTACCGTTTCCCCTGCACTCATTGCCCAGATATTTTAAATTACTAACTTAATAACTATTGCGATTTTTGCAAAATAATACATGACTTTTCTTCTCAGTTTGAACTGATTAATCTTCACCATTTTTCTTTTCTAAAACATCCCGGACACCTTATATATATATATATATATATAGGGTGTCCGGTAATTAGCTGCCAACCTAAAGTGTGAAGGTAGATTGGGTTATGCTGAAAAGAAAAGTAAAATATAATTTTGCAAGAATCGCAATAATTATCGAGTTATTAATGACAGAAATCTGGTGAATGAGCGCGCACTGAGATGGATGATTGCAAAAGCGTCGCAGCCTCTCACGCCATAATGTAGCCCAGTTGACCTAACAACTGTTGGCGACGTGCTGCGAGATAAAACATAAATAGCGACGTATTATCCTTCCTCTCGCCGAACATTGGCAACAGTTGCTAGATCGACTGGATTGCACTATAGGCCGAACGGTTGCAACACTTCTCCAATTATCCATCTCAGCGCGCGCTCACTCGGGTTTTTGCCATTGAGAACTCAATAACTATTGCGAATATCGCAAAACAGTATGAAACTTGTTTATCTCAATCTTCTCTATGTTTCCACGAATTTTTCGTACTGAATTATGGCACATTCTGTATATGTATACAGGGTGTCTCATAATTGTAACAGACTAACTCCATAGGAGCGTAGAGCTAAGCGAGAGGAACGAAAAAATCCTCTTTCATTTAGCGATATCTCGTCTAGTGTTTTTAGTAATAACCACGTAAAGTTTGGCGTTTGTCACGTCCATTGCGGCCTACAGACGCTCCGCGTCGAAGCTGAGCGATAACGCGTCTCGCGTTAGGACTTTTGTTCGCCTCCGCGGCGGTTGGATGTGGTTCCCGTAACTATGCATATTTTTTATCTTGGAGACTGCGCGTTGTCCCTGTTTCTCTTTTATTTCCAAAATCATTGTGATTGGCGTAAGAGAAGGAGTGTAATAACTGCTCAGAGCCATATATTGAATGAATAAATGAATGCGTCTCGCATTAACTATCGTGATAGCGTCTTGGCGACTTTGACGCCGTGCGACGGTCAGCGCGAGCCACGTTACCGCTCAGCCTCAACGCACACAGCTCGCCGCGGAGCGTCTATAGGCCGCGATGGGCGTGATAAAGCCAAAATTTACGCAGTTGTTACTAAAAAATGATGCGAGATATCGCTAAATAAAAGAGGACTTTTTCGTTCCTCTCGTTTAGCTCTATGCCCTTACGGAGTTGGTGTGTTATAATTATGGGATACTCTGTATGTATATACAGGGTGTCCAGAAATTAGCTGTCAACCTGAAGTGTGAAGGTAGATTGTGTTAAGACAAACATAAAAGTCCCATACCCATACGTTTTGCGAGATTCGCAATAATTATCGAGTTATTAATGACAGAAATCTGAAGAGTGAGACCGTGCCGACATGAATGATTGGAGAAGCGTCGCAGTCTCTCGGGTTACAACGCGGCCTAATCGACCCAGCAACTGTTGGCGGTGTACAACGAGATAAAATAACAAATAGTTATTTATATACGGCGCGTTGTCCTTCCCCTCGCCGCGCAATAGTTGCTAGAGCGACTGGGCCACGCTGTGGCCTAAGCAGCTGCGACGCTTCTTCAATCATCTATGTCGGCGCGCTCCCACTCCTCAGATTTCTGTCATTAATAACTCAATAATTATTGCGAATCTTGCAAAACGGTATGGGACTTTTATGTTTGTTTTAACCCAATTTACTTCCACACTTCGGCTTGGCAGCTAATTACCGGGCATCTGTATAAAGTACACACGAAATACACACGAAGGTAAGTCAATATATAAGTCGTAAAACGGGATAGAAAAAAACGACTGAGTACTTAATTTTTTTGTTATTTTTTCATATAATCCTTCTACATATTCAAACACTTATTCCATTGTTTAATAAGCCTTCTAAAGTTGATAGCAAACAAAGTTTTTAGCTACTGCAGGGCTCAGATGTAACATCCAATAACTTCCATCTATTTAGGTCCCTCAAAAATTATCTGAGTGGTCGCGTTTCGACATTGATGAAGCCCTTGCCAACGAAGTCATTTGTTGAGTTCGAAAGCAATCGAAAACCTGATTTGCTGCTGGCTTCCAAAAATTTGTTAAATAATAGGATAATGTCTGAATGTATGCACAGAGGGATTATGCGGAAAAATAACAAAAATATCAGACAGATACTTACAGTTTTTTCTTCTATCTTGTTTTGTGATTTATACAAGGTGTATAAAAAGTACCGGGATGGTAAAATATCACAAAAACTAAGCATTTTAGAAAAAAATACTTCAAATAAAAATTGTAGGGTTTTAAAAGATCTATTTACTGACATTATGCGTTTGACCTTAGGTGGCGTCACCAAGATAAGAACAAGATCACCTTGAATTTTTTAAATGGGACCCCTATTTTTTATTGTATATTCTTGTAGCCTTTCTTCAGACGCTTTCAAAGCACTATAGTTTTTTCTACTTTGAGTAAGCCGTTTCGAAGTTATCGAGCTTTTTATAAGATGTCCAGCCAACCAAAACAAGATCAAAGAAGTATCCAGCCAGCCAAGGCAAGATTCTTACAAAAGCGTTTGAGAATAATGTTAATCTCTAAAAGAAAAAGTAAAGTCTAACGAATAAAATAGGAAACAAAAATATTTATCCAATAAACAAATTTATATTAATTAGATAACAAAATCGATAATTCAATTAAAGAAAGACAAATCAGTAAGAAAAATTATTTATCTTTTCCGTATGAAATAACGCGTATCACGTACAAGTAATGTGTTCTACTTCAAGTCAAATTTATTGCAATTGATTTGAAATGATTCGAAGGTGTATTTTAGTGCTGTTATAAATTTAGCATATTAGTATTACTTTAATATTACATGTGTCTAAGATACAAGTCACGAAATTGCTCCAGCCGCTGGCTGGATATCTTATCATAAAAAGCTCCATAACTTTAAAACGGCTTATTCAAAGTGAAAAAAATTATAATGCTTTGAAAAGGTCTGAAAAAGGGCTACAAGAATATGCGATAAAAAATAGGGAGTCCCATTTAAAAAATTCAAGGTGACCTCGTCCTAACCTTGGCGGCGCCATCCAAGATCAAACTCATAATGTCAGTAAATAGATCTTTTAAAACTCTACAATTTTTATTTGAAACATTTTTTTCTAAAATGCTTAGTTTTTGTGATATTTAACTGTCCCGGTACTTCTTATACACCCTGTATATTGACTTGTTCTCGTATATATATTATATGAAGTATGTATACATACGCGCGCACATACGCACATACACGATGGAAATGAGCATTAAATATATATTTAACTATTTTATTCTTTTGTGTATTAATAATTGTACTCCCTTTTTTTGTAGAAATATATTAATACCAATGGACTATGATAAGCAAGATGCATCTGATGACTATATTATCATTATTTTATATGATTGATATTTATAATATCAAATAGCTCAATAATTTGTTTTGAAACAATTATCGAAATAATAATATAATTATTGAAATATTGTATTGGATCGATTTACGTTACATTTTTGTCATTTATATATAATTGTATCACACTTAAAAATTACACTTAAAGAATTTTTTATATATTCACATTTTAAATAATTTTTTAAACTGATCTTATATACAGGGTGTACGATTTATCTGAAGACATTGAAATATCTCGAGAACTATGTATTGGATAAAATAAAGTGGTTAATGAAAGTTGTTAGTCTCGAAGGGGGACATCTAATGATACCAAACTCAACCTCCCACCCCACCCCCTGGGGGTGGGGGTTGGGGGCAACTTTGAAATCTTAAATGGAAACCCCCATTTTTTATTGCAGATACGGATTCTGCGCCACAAAATACGTAAATTTTGTCCGAAACTTTTTTTTATTCGTGATAGGTGGCGCTGTAATCGCAAATAATTATATTTTCCGCAATTCTCCAGAAATGATCATTGGATTGAGAAATAAAAAATACCTGTTCAATATTTTTAAAGAACATAATAAAAGTTATTCCCCCCCCATCCTCTCGGGGTAAGGTGGGTGATAACGTTCAAATCTCAAATGGGGACCCTCATTTTTCATTGCAGAATTAGATTGTACGTGAAATTTTTATTGAAACAATTTTTTTCATTCGTGATAGATAACATTGCACTGCCTTTTATAATAAGCCGTAGTTCGCCATACACCCACAGTGGCGCGTCGAGCAGTTCCCTTTTCGATTCGGGTTCCCATTTGAGATTTGAACGTTACCACCCACCCTACCCCGAGAGGATGGGGGGGAATAACTTTTATTATGTTCTTTAAAAATATTGAACAGGTATTTTTTATTTCTCAATCCAATGATCATTTCTGGAGAATTGCGGAAAATATAATTATTTGCGATTACAGCGCCACTTATCACGAATAAAAAAAAGTTTCGGACAAAATTTACGTATTTTGTGGCGTAGAATCCGCATCTGCAATAAAAAATGGGGGTTTCCATTTAAGATTTCAAAGTTGCCTCCAACCCCCACCCCCAGGGGATGGGGTGGGAGGTCGAGTTTGGTATTATTGGATGTCTCCCTTCGAGACTAACAACTTTCATTAACCACTTTTTTTTATCCAATACATAGTTCTCGAGATATTTCAATGTCTTCAGATAAATCGTACACCCTGTATACCAGGTATGTCGGTAATTACTTTCCGGTTTTTGTAACAGATGTCACTAGCCATAAGTATGCAATGTTATGATTTGATACATATGTCATTTTATTCTACTGACATTAACCTCAAAACTACACAAGTTACGATCCGCCAAAATAACAGCGTTATAGATTAATAATTTTTTGAAAATGTCGAGTTTTGTGCCTGAAAACGTGCATTTGCGGCACGCATTACTTTTCTTGTTTAATCAAAAGAAAAAAGCCGCTGAAAGTCATCGTTTGCTGGTAGAGACTTACGGTGAGCATGCTCCAACCATAAGAACATGTGAAACGTGGTTTCGACAATTCAAATGTGGTGATTTCAACGTTCAAGACAAAAAACGTCCTGGTAGGCCGAAAACGTTTGAAGATGCGGAATTGCAGGAATTATTGGATGAAGACCCAACACAAACTCAAAAACAATTGGCAGAAAAGTTGAATGTGAGCCGAGTAGCAATTTGTGAACGATTACAAGCGATGGGAAAGATCCAAAAGATGGGAAGATGGGTGCCACATGAATTGAATGACAGGCAATTGAAAAGTCGAAATCGCCGATTTCGAAGTTAAAAAATGGCTCGATGAATGGTTTAGCTCAAAGGAGAAACAGTTCTTTTGGAATGGTATCCATAAATTGCCTGAGAGATGGGCAAAATGTATAGAATCAAATGGCCAATACTTTGAATAAATATATTTTAACTATCCATTGTAAATAACGTGTTTTCTTTAGCGAAAAAACCGGAAAGGAATTACCGACACACCTGGTATATATATTTTTTAGTAATATCTGTCTTATATCTATATTGTATTGAATATTCAGATTTCTATATAGAAAAAATTTGTAACGGAACATTCTTTATAATATTATATTTTTTTAAGTAATATCTGCCATCTATTTTATATTGAATATTCAGATTTTTGTACAGAAAAATAATTTGTATGATAAAATAAATATATGCGCGCGTGTGCGTTTATTACTGATTAAAGTAGAATTTATATATTCTAATAGCGAGCTCGTCGAACGCACTTCAAGCATTCAAGGTAAGAATGAACAAAGATTGATTGCTAAATCAAGTACTGATTTTTATTTTCTTAAAAAATTGATTATCTATCCCATGTTTTCGGGGCTGATTATGATTCTTTAAATCTATTGTTTTTTCATTGATATACTAAAGGGAAACCTAAGAGTAGCCATGCCGGTATTTTGGAAAACGCCGATTTTCATGACTGATGCGCCACTTGCACCCATTTTTGAGCTGAAACTATGTTCGCTACATATTGCAATAATTGTCTCGATAATTATTGCAGATAGGAAAAAACTTTTTAAACAAATATTGTATGGCATAAAAAACCGTACAATTCTTATTTAAAAAGTTTTTTCCTATCTGCAATAATTATCGAGATAGCATAAAGGGAATGAAATTTTGAAGAGCAGTTTCATCCATTAAAACTGAGCCATTGCTGATAAAAAAAATATGGGTCTTATTTTTGGTTACTCTACAAATATGCCAAGTTTCGTTGAAATCGGAGATATACATTTCGCGAATGTTCCTTGTTAGTATTTTTATATTTTTTGAATTTTTGCCTGGCTCATTTAAAATGAGATACCCTGTATATAAAAGTTTAAAGTGTGAATCTTATATATTATTTACTATGCAAACATAAATAATAAAATAAATATATAATTTATCTTATATTGTGTATATTCTTATCTCACATGTTGATGTCAAATATTACAAATATAAAAATATGCTGTACATTTATATACACATACAATATTGTAACAATAGCAACTACTTTTGATATGTATAATATCAGGCTTTTATATTTTACACATGGGATTCATGTATCTCTCGGAGCATGAACTTCTATATTTATTTCAGTAACTAATTGCTCTGCAACAATAGAGACAGTAGATAGTCGTCTTCGTTGGTTTTCTAAAACAGCTATGAACAATAATATAATAATAACAAAGTTATATAAATCTTATTTGCGATGTTAATTCAGTAACATTACCTTCACAATTCTTGTTACATTCCACAATTGCTTGTTTATGTTGAAACTGTTGCATTTTTAATTGTATAAGTGCAGGGCTAAATACCCAATATCCTAAGCTTCCTCCAATCACAAGGGCAATAGTGATATATATATTATATGTCATAACTGCCATCATCAAAATATAAGCAAATGTGGTATGAAGAGACCAGTGTAATACTTCAAATACCCATTTAAAACAAGGACTACTAAAGACAAACATATTAGGTTGATTAAAAGAATTATTTATACAATACTTTCCACAACATAGATAGCTTTTATGTCAATAAAGCAAAAAGCAATAGAAGAATCTTATCTATCAACCAGATATTCAATATTGGTTTAAGATTTTAATATTTAATCATATATTTAAGCAAACATGCATCCATTGTATAACTTGTTACTCTAAAGGATTTTAAACTAAGAAATAACATACCATCGTGTATAAGATGAAATTCTAAAAGTTCTTGATGTAACTTTGGATAATAAAGATAAGTTTTCAGAAGAAGAGGTTGTCCTTGGTACTGACTTAATTGTAAACTGTTGCAAACGAAACTGAGAAATTTTCATGGCCTCATATAGTACTGCAAGTGCAGCCAAACCCAAGCACGTGGCCAGAAGACCCCATATTGTAGTAACATTATATCCCGAAAACAAAAAGTCGCCTAGATCTATACCAAACCAGTATGTCATATGCATCTGAAATAAGATATAAATACACAATTGATATCGCAGATAAAAATATTCTTGTAAGACATGCAGCATATATACACAAAGGAATCAAGAACTATAATTATATTCACATTGGTCATTTCAACCTTTCATATATCTTTAATATATCATGAATTATCCTGACAATATATTGTATGTATGTAATAGTACAACATATTTTTTGTTAATTACCTAACTTTATCCAATGGCTCACTAGCTTGATCACAGGTAGCATTCACTTATATATAACATGAATGTTGTTTCAATATTTCAAGAAAATAGCGCAGCATGTATTTTTTTTTATTATTATTGATATAATTTAATGCTAAACGTGAAAAATGAATTTAATGTCAGAAAATATAAATCTTCTATTAAAAAAAAAATTAAGTTTTCATTCGTCATGTGATATCAAGTAATAGATGTATAGTGAACTTTGATGTTTGTATCTTCGAAGTCAATGATTATATAGTATCAGAAGACTTTTAACGCACATTCCTCGCATGTGCAATAATACAAATACAAATTTTCTAAAGCGTCGCCTACAATGGTAGCAGGGGCCATATTCTTGAACTACTTGCGTATCCGTAAGTAGCAAGTTTCGACTAATCGCAATGGAAAATCCCTAGAACCGTATTCTTGACAGTCGCAAGTGAAACATATACGCAAATTATCATTCGCAATGCAACGAATGGGTAATACCATCCGTTTCTCTCGAAACGTATGTGATACGTTATGTAAAGTACAGAAAGTGGAGTATAAAGCCAGCGGCACACGGTGCTTGTTTTCGTGCTGGATTGCTTGCTGGATGAAAATACTGCGTTCTAATTGGTGCATTTCCATCCATCTTCGGAAATGTACCAATCACAACGCAATATTTTCATCCAGCAAGCAATCCAGCACGAAAACAAGCACCGTGTGCCGCTGGCTTAAGAGATAAGAAAGCGAGAGGAAATGTAAAAGTTAGGATAAGAATTGTAATCTGTTCCAAGGGGAGGCAATAAAGATTACATACATAGTACGAATTATTATAAGCATCAACTTTCCTGTCTTATCTATTTTCTTTTCCTTGGTTACGCCTTTCTATGGCTGCATTCCGATATTCACTGTCAGCACTGAAAATCTATAATGTACGTGACGCATACTATGTATTTTCAGTACTGACAGTGAATATCGGAACGCAGCCTATGTCTATAAAATTACGTAGTACCACCACTGGTTCCTCTCTGCCCTAACGCAAATTTTTCCTCCCTAAGCATAATTCCCCAAGATCAAGTCACTAGAACTTAATAACTTGCGAAGATGATATTGTTAATGAATACTGTTTGTTTTATTTATATTGTGTTTGTTATAAATACAAATGCACATATAACAGGTATTAAAAATATTACTTCAAGTGTCGTTCAATATACCTCGTATTTTTTTTAGGAGTAATTATGTATTGTAACAATGTAAATTACGAAAAATGATTTTAGAACTCAATGATGTAATAGTGGTGATATTAAGTCAAGAAGAAGGCTATCATGCTGCTCACGCTAATTATTTACAAAAAAGTATCTATGAACAAGCGAGTGCTCTTGAAAAAGTAAATTAAATCATAATCAAATATTCTGTATTCATATTTTAAAAATGTTATTCTATATATAACTCATTATCTTTATGTTATATTGTAGGAAGCACCAGAAATAGTATTGTCTCATGAATTAAAAATTAACAATTCATGGACAATAACTTCATTATTGATTCATTTGTCAAGTACATTTCCAAATGCACAATGGTTTTTTTTCTGTATGGAGAATACTGTAATTCGATTAGAAAGGCTATTGGATGTTCTTGGAGGATTCAATGCATCACTAGTAAGTTATATTATTATTTTCCAAACAGATACAAGTTATAGTCTAATTAAATTGTTGATAATCTAGGATATATGGATTGGACATGCACTTTATGACCATGAACCTACCATTATCCATCATTTTGAAAAGCATACTAGGAAATTTAAATATCCGAATATTGCATCAGGATTTGCCATGACTTCTAAGCTATTAAAAAGGTATATTCAACTGTTGTGTTAAATAGAGACTACACATATATTTTGCTCTATAAAATTGATTTACTCTTATGCACAATTTTTTGGAAGTATAGAATTTCATATTTCTTTTAAACATTAAAAACTTGATATTCTAGTTTATCTCAACAAGTTTCTGAAGGTAGTGCTCCAAAACCAGATTTTTCTATTGATGCATCCTATGAATTTGCAAGTTTTGTTCTAAAAAGTATAAATGCTGTAAGATTGACACATGTGTCTAAAATATGTGTTGTGTCTGGCTCTGATTGTGCCACATATCCTCGATTCTTCCATCCTTGTGTAAGCCATACATGCATCAATTAAAAATAATCAAATAAAAATAATGGAATTGTACCAAAATATATTGTTTCAAATGTTTCTAATATTTATAGAATTCTTCTATAACTCCAGAAAACATATATTTTGCTGTTAAGACTTGTGCCAAATTCCATACAGACAGAATCCCAGTGATTAAACAGACATGGGCAAAATATGCATTAAATATAGGATATTTTAGTGATACAGCAGGTATGTATAATCAATGAAATCAATGAAATATATATTGCTATATATTTACAGTCTTTATTAATTACTAAATTGTTCTAGTATAGACAAGTATTTACAAAATGTGTACATTGTACCAAATACTACCAAAGGACATTGCGCTAAAACTTATAGCATTTTGCAAATAGCCAGCCATGTACTGAAAAGAGATAATCTAGATTGGCTAATTATCAGCGATGATGACACTATATTCAGGTATGAAGACTATGTTCAGGATTACAAATATAATATATATGCAAAGATGAATATAATTTATCTAATAAATCTAAAGAATAATTCATAAGGGAATAAAAATTTTAATCAGTCATAATACTATATAAGAGAAATTATGGTGTACTTTTTATTATAGCATAGCACGTTTATTACGCTTGCTTACGTGCTACAATCCTAATAATCCAATCGCGATTGGTGAACGTTATGGTTTTCGTACGTGGGATAATAATAATGGGTATAATTACTTAACCGGTGGTGCAGGAGTCGTGCTTTCTGCTCCCATGGTTTATCGGATGATAGAACCGGGTGTATGCAATTGCCCATCTGCGATTACTCCCGACGATATGCATTTTTTCGGCGCTTGCTTCCTTCGACTCGGGTATATTCATTCACAACCGGTACATTCTCCGCTTTTTCATCAGGTACAATAACAAAAGAATATTGTATGTCGCGAATATTGTATAGCAGTCTTTAAATATTGTATGAACATAGATTTATATTTGTTTTCTAGGCACGGCCCATGGATTACGCTACCGCTTATCTGGCATCACAAGAGCCTGTGTCATTCCATAAATTCTGGATGATTGAACCTAAGATAATATATGATGAATGGTTTGCAGAAGCAGATAGTATATTATCTAAACCTCCACGACACACGGAATTGTAACATAGCCTCTGGTAGGTTATACAAAAAAATTTTATTTTCATACATATACATACAAATTTAGACCACTTCTTTAGTTTTGTTTAAACTAAAAAGCCCAAAAACAGAAAACAATGAAATATGTAAAAGTTCAATGAGTAACATTTCTATATTCTTAATTAGTAATATATTTGTATATAAAAAATATATATAAAAAAAAATATATTTGTTAACAAGACATCTGAATGTTTTAATGGATATTAAATCTCCGTTTGGTATATTAACAATATATAAATATACAGTAATTATTTAGAGGAATCAGCTCCAATGACCTTGATATGTTATTAAAGTTGGTCATTTTATATCGAATAACTTTCAAAAGGTTATCCAACATATATTGAAGTTATTAAAGCTGACACTTCCCTAAACAGAAATTATGTCATCTACGATAAAACGTATCACATAAACCTTTTCAATTGTTAGTGCAATGTATATAAATATAAAAATTATCAAACACAACAATAATGTTGTAATGATAAAAATAGAAAAATTTGATTTCAATATAACGTTTCAATATAATTCAATATAATATTGATATTGCATTTATCGTAAACTTCTGCGTATTTTAAATCATCTTCATCTCTTGGATTAGAAATAGCAGTTACAAGGCATGTTACTCTCAGAATTGAACAGCATCAATCATATTATAATTTAGACTTCACAATTTCAGTCCACCACGACGGACGCTGCAGGTTCTCTTTCTCGCTATATATCCATTCCTTCATATGTTTATATACCTGGAAGAAGATAATTATATTATATGCGAATGATTTAATGTAAATTATTCGAAGAAGGATGCATACCTCTCCATCAGACATTCCCAGAGGTGAGTTAAGTACAAAATCAGGCGGTGCCAAGACATCGACCAGCGCAACTGCATTGTCAACTAATTTCTTACAGAGTTTTATAATTCCTTCTCGTAAAAGGTTGTCGATATTAGAATCAGGAGATGCGAAACCGCCAGCATACAAATCTCCCAGTCTCTTCTCCAAAAGTACAGCTCCGAACAGAGAACACAAATCAGTCAACACTTGTCGTTCGTTCAAGCTCCATTTTGGATCTTGCAAATTTTTGCAGAAATATGATAATACAGCGTGCTACAAAGAAAAACCAACAAATTAATTTCCTTGCGTTTGATGATAGATTATAGATCACTATAATTAAAATCAATTTTAAAGAATAAAAATTTAATTAACAAGGTAAATCGCGCGTACATATTATCAGTTTTTATGGATCTTTGTCAGATGTCTCATTTAGATGTTATATACATATTTTTTACCTCCGCATACACGAGAGATAAGGTCCGCGCTAGGAATGTTTGGGAATTATTTTTTACATCAAAATCAGACATTCCGCTCGATTTAAGTTGCTTCACATGTTGGTACGTCTTCTTCAAATAATAACACACCAACCATTTAGAAATTAGAAGCAAATCTAAAACGGAAAAATACACATCATTCATAGATAGTATTTCGTAGTTAATCATTTTCATAGTTAATCAGTTTTTGTACATTTAGGCTCTACTGTGTCATCTATTGTCTTTCTGTCAAATTTGATACTGAATATCTGTTCCGCAACAGGAAGAAAGTCTATGAAACCAAATGGAGATGGTACAAGACGTCCTTTAATTGCATTATCCCATTGGTTTAAGAGCCAGTTACTTGCTTGTTGTACGAGTATATTGTTTTCACCTTCGTATGTGCAGTTCGCATCGTTATTTGCTCTTATTTCACCCAAGCGCGACACTGATAATGAAGAAATGTTTTATTATTTTACAAGTATTATTGATACATACGATGCATATATGTGTGCGATAAAACGAATAGAATATTTCACGTCAGAATTTTTTTACACTTACTTTTCAAATATCCATGGCCACCGCAAGACTCTCTGCAATCCTGAATTGCATCGCGAGCTGTCCATGAGCAAAATGGTTTAGTTGCGGAAGACAATGCATGTATCTCCATTCCCATATTTGCAATCAAGTCTGGATCAATGTTTTCATCCGTAAAGCGACTTAAGTTAAATTCTATTAGCTTTATAAAGAAATCTTTGGAAAACAGTTTTATTGCGTATGTCGCAGCTAAGTGAGGCAATAATCTCCATTGCTGGAACATCAAATGTAATATATATCTATGTAAATTATAATACATTGACTTTTGTCTTCCAGAAACTCAAAATGAAAACCATGACTTATAAAAAATTAAGAAACTACGTACTTGCGTTTGATATTCTATAACTGGCAATTCATTGTCCTCTGTTGGGCCAAATTGTCTTCTCACAGCACAGTAACGTAATGCGATCACTATTGCGAGACTCATATATTCTGCGCATATGTTAGTAATAGCGATACGACCTCCTGATAATGCACCTAACGATGAACCTGTGCCAACACAAACAAACGACAATGAATCATGATGAAACGGCAATATTATTGTGATTATTGCTTTTAATGTATATGCGCACCGAATCTTTTGCTCTCGCTTTTTACAGTGGTCAAATATTTTCCATCTTCAGTAACATCCGCTGTACGATTTAACAAACAATTACGTAGTACAAAATATTTGTTAAACATTACAAATCCGTTGTCTATTCCATTTAGTCCTATCTTTTCACCCATGTTACCAACAGTAACACCTGGCATGGGCAGATGAGTCTCTAAATCGCGAATCTGTACGATGAAAGGATGCAGACCATGATTTACCCCATCCGGTGTAATTAACCGTGCAAATAAAACAGCATGTGTCGCAGTTTTCCCTACATGTACATAAAGATTGAAAGATGTTTTGCATTTAGTGTTATTGCTTCAATTGTTAATTTCTTAATTTTTAGCTTGTAACTTACCTAAGCCACCAACCCAACATTTTGCAGCTTCAAAATCTGGTGTGTGAAAAATGAAACTTTTTGTTGCTACATCATATGTTGCTGTAGTCCTTATGCCTTTTGCATTGGTACCATGGGAAATTTCAGTCAAGGCAAAACAGCCAATATACTAAATGATTAATACTAAATGAAAACATATGTATTTTATAGTCATATTGTTATTATTTTGCATACATACACTTCCATCTTCAAATTTTTCTATCAAATGATAATGTTGATCAGTACCCAGTGCAAGTATACTATTCGGAACCATACCTCTTGAGACCCCTAGTTTTATAATTACAGATGGATCATATTGGCATAAGACATATAGCTCATTTTGATTATTCCATGGCTAAAAACATTACATAAATTATAATAAAATTATGAATACATATAAGTAGCCATTTGATCTGATAATGGAACACTATCATATAAATTTCAAAACATTTATTGATAGCAATTACACTGTTATTATTAACTAATTAGATATTAGCTAATAATTTAATAATTAGCTAATTAGCTATTATTATTAGTTGATAATTTAATAACTAATTAGCTGTTAATTATATAATTACAAAAATCTCAGCCTCATTAATTGCTCTCACTCCAGCATTACAGTGTCTTTGAATCTCATCTAATGTTGCTGACCCTGGCAACCTTTGAAATGCTGGATTAGTTTTCACTAGCTTCCATAAGTCATCCTAAGTATTTATTTAATATATGTTAGATATATTCATATATAAATTTTTATAGTTGATGAATTATCAACAATATAAGTATTAATATCTATTTTCTTTAATACCTCGTATCGTAGATAATCTTCTCCATTTAAAGCCAATTTGAATGATTTCCAGTCAAATGTTGCACGTTTTCTATAAGCATCTAATGGTCCTTTTGGCAAGTCACTTATCAAACTATCGACAATTGATGTCTTCATTGTGCTTGAAAAACGTCTTCCTCCTAAAAAACTATAATTATGACATATGTATCAACAATGGGTATAAAAAATCTTATATAACAAATTATAACCACATTATATTTTAAATATCTAACGTCGCTCCTGCATCTTTTAAATATTTTGAATGATTATGCACTCGCGATAAAAGATCTATCTTTATAGTAATTTTATTTATCAAAGAATTCTTATTTATTCTACCATATTTATTCTACTCTATTATATTAGCATGATTATTTTTATTAGTTAATAGTAAAATATTAATTGTTATTCGATGTTCCATCATTCATTCTTTCGTAATTGTATCATATATGGTAATTAATAACTATGTATGCATAGTTTTGTCTTTCGACCCAATAATGTAATTTTAGCGTTCATCATATCTAAAAAACGTTGTTGCAAAACTCCCTAATGTTTAATATAGATGATATAGCCCTGGTCCACCATATTGCTTCAAAACGTAATTATTCTTGTAATAATCAACTATGATCAATTTACTTACAGTTTAAAGTAAAATTATGAGACAAGGTTTACACAAGTTTCATACATATAGCCATGTTTCAACATTTCATGCCGATATGAAAATTTTACAGTTCATTTAACTGGTGGTCTGTTCTTTTTAGCTGCACTACTGAACTGGTGCTTAACTTTAATTGGAAGTTAAAGTGAGAAAAAATATAGTTGTCTCATTCTAACTTATTGCACTAGTTCCGCAGTGCAGTTAAAAAGAACAGACCATGGTTCTGGTTCAGTTCAGTTCAGTTCAGTTCAATGTATGGCTCCGGACAAATTGGGGTACGTCAACAGTACCGCGATTCTGTAACTCGTTATTGGAGTTAACGACACTTTCGTTATCGTTGCGCAGCTTTTGTATACCGTAAGAAGTAAGCGTAAGCGATAAGAAATAAACCAATCACAGTCGATTATGACAAAAATAATCAACTGTGGTTGGTTCATTTCTTACTGTTCACGCTTTCTTCTTATTGCTTACGGCCATTGTAGACCACGCTTTAGAAACACTGCGTTAAATAAAAAAATGTTTCAGACAAAAGTTGTTTGACTTGAAGGGGGACAAGACAGCGATAGCATTTTGTTAATAGATGGCGCCACTTTCAAGATATTCACTGACCATCAATTTTTATAAATGAAAATCCCAACTTTTTATTATATCTTCTTTTTCTACCAATTAATTTGAACAACTTTTGTCTGAAACATTTTTTATTTGCTTAATATTTTTTGAGATATTTAAGGAAAACTTGGTAACTTTTCCAACATTTATCTTACGATATTTCGCTAACTATTCGTCGACAAAAAAAATAGTATTAGACTTTTTTACTTTATTTAATATCAAGAATATATTAATAGTGCCCTAACTTTTGTTAATTTAATAATTTTGAAATTTCCAAAGGTCGATAAGTTAACAAAAGTTAGGGCACTATTATAATAATATATTCTTGATAGTAAGTAAAGTAAAAAAGTCTAATACTATTTTTTCTTTCGACGAATAGTTAGCGAGATATCGTAAGTTAAATGTTGAAAAAGTTACCAAGTTTTCCTTAAATATCTCAAAAAATATTAACCAAATAAAAAAATGTTTCAGACAAAAATTGTTCAAATTAATTGATAGAAAAAGAAAATATAACAAAAAATTCGGATTTCCATTTATGAAAATTGATTGTCAGTGAATATCTCAACAGTGGCGCCATTTATAAACAAAATGCTATCGCTTTCTTGTCCTCCTTCAAGCCAAACAACTTTTGTCTAAAACATTTTTTGATTTAACGCAGTGTTTCTGAGATATTTGTGATGTGACATTAAAATGGGACACCCTGTATATAAATTGTTTCACATTGCAGTATTGCGGCGATAATCAGAAATATTACGTGGCGGTCTGTCATGCTGGAATATAGCGGTAATATTCCTGTGATATTGCAATGAGATTTATCATCGCGCAATAATGTTGTTATATGGCCACTATGTTGCCATACGATAGTCACATTGTAACATTGCAGTAATATTCTAGTGAAATTGTAATATTCCAGTGATATTGTCTGATATATCGCTCATCTGTTAAGTCAAAACGCAAATATTTTCGGTAATCATAGCTTCAGAATCATAAATTTTATAAGATTTGTAAGATACTATAAACCATAATTGCTAAAAAGTTTTTATTAAAATCAGTATCTTATCATTATCATTTTTATAATAAAAATACAGATATAATATTAACGTATATATATATAAGACAATTTTCAATAATAGAAATATAAATATAATGATAGCATAAAGAATAATGTTTATAGGTTCGATTTGCGAGAAGTTCTCAATAAGAACTTTTCGCAAATCGAAAAAGTTTTATGTCTTATTCAGTAAAGGATTCTGAAACTGAGTACAGCAACCGTCAATAACGTGACTATTTTTGAGACTAAACTTTGAGCTAACAGATATTAAAGAAATCGCTAATAATTCTTTTCGGGAATAATTTTTTTAAGAGTTTTCGGGTAAGCTTTTTACAATTTGACCATTTAGATCTAAACAAAACGGCGTATTTTCTTCAGTCTGTCTTTTATGAAAATCATTGATTTCTTTAAAAAAATTGTTATTTTATACCGGAAACTACAAAGATCGCATTATTAACATTTGTACCTTAAAAATATGTGGGTAGTTTTTTTTCTAAATTTTTTTTCAATATGGCGGACTCAACATTGCAGCCGAAATCACGAATTTCATCTTATATCGATTTTTCTAACGTTTTTTTCACTTTATAATGCTGATTTATTCAATCTGTCTGATATATCACTCCGCAACATTGTTATAATATTCCTGCGATATTGTAGATTGATATATCACATTGAAGTATTACTGCGATACTCAGAAATATTACATACATGGTCTATCATGCTGGAATATAGCGGCAATATTCCTATGATATTGCAATGAGATTTATCATCGCGCAATATTGTTATAATATTGTCACTATGTTGCCATACGATAATCACATTGTAACATTGCAGTAATATTCCAGTGATATTGTAATCTGATATATCACTCCGTAACATTGTTATAATATTCCTGCGATATTGTAGGTTGATATATCACATTGAAGTATTACTGCGATATTCAGAAATATTACGTAGTGGTCTATCATGCTGGAATATAGCGGCAATATTCCTGTGATATTGCAATAAGATTTATCATTTCGCAATATTGTTGTAATATTGTCATTATGTTGCCATACGATAGTCACATTGTAACATTGCAGTAATATTCCAGTGATATTGTAATCTGATATATCACTCTGTAATAATGTGATAATATTGCTGGAATATTATATAATAATCTTGTGATTTTGTAATATTGCTACGATATTATAATATTGCTTCAATACTGCTGCAATATTGCAGTGCTGTGTGGGAGGTAACGAAGGGGAACAGATTTTAGGAATTCAAAGTTTCATAACCCCATAATTTTTAAACTGTGACAGATAATTAAATTCTGCGGTTGTGCTGAGTTGTGCTATTCGAATATAATAAGAATACGTGCAAATATTTTTCAAAAACCACATGGATGAAAAAATATTCTATTGGAAGTAATGGGAGTTAATAAACAAATTCACATTTCTGAATTTATGAAAATTGTGCTGCATTGTGCTGACGAAGTGCAATATTTTTTCCTAATGACAAAATGTCGTCAGACTAATAGATACCGCAGCACAGGTAACGAAGGGGAACAGATTTTAGGAATTAAAAGCTTCACACCCCCATAATTTCTAAACCATGACAGATAAATAAATTCTACGAGTTGTGCTAAGTTGTGCTACTCGAATACAATAAGAATTCGCACAAATGTTTTTCAAAAACCACATGGGTGAAAAAATATTCTATTGAAGATAGTGGGGGTTAACATGCAATTTCACATTTTTGAATTTCTGAAAAGTGTGCTGACGAAGTGCAATATTTTTTCCTAATGACTAAATGTTGTCAGACTAATAGATACCGCAGCACAGGTAACGAAGGGGAACAGATATTAAACTTGATACAGGCGCAGAAGTGAGCATTTTACCTGACAATATTCTTAGGCGCATCGCACCAAATGCTAAGATAGTGGAAAGTAGCATGTTATTAGTGTCTTATGGCAGCTCTGATTTTAGAATTAAGAGTCTGGGAGTGGTCAAACTAAACTGCTGTGTAAAGAATATATGTGCTAGCATTACCTTTGTAGTTGTAAAGGGTGATAATCAAATCCCTCTGTTAGGCTTGCAAGAGTAGGCCCGAGGTGGCGCCGGCCGAGGAGCCGCCCCCGATTCGTCGGGGGTCTTCTCGGTCGCCTCGGGCCCGCCTCCGTCAGCGCGGGGGGAGACGGGGTTAACCCGACTCCTCCCGCGCCACGGACATGGTAGGAAAGGGGGGGATGGCCTGTTTGGGGACGGGCCCCACCCCTCCTCTACCTCAAATAGTGAGGGAGGCTTAGCAGGAGAGGTGGGTGGATGTCCCCCCTCTTCTTAATTGAACCGGAAGGCCAACCCGGCTGGGGCACCGCGTCTCTCAACTCTCCTCGGGGAAGAGGCGCAGTATTTGGGCGTGGGGCTCCATTAGAGCCCCGGGACCGGGTGTCGGGGAGGGAGTGCCGGCGCAGTTCCCCTGACTCCTCACATTCCGGCCCGAATGGTAGACACCCCGGTGGGGTTTTAGCCGGTAAAAGTCCGGCATAACCCCTGCTCCCCCAAGGGGCGGGGGTATCCATGAGGATTTCCCCACCGTGACCAAAAAAAGAAAAAAAAGGCTTGCAAGAGTGTTTAACGTTAAAACTTATTAAGCGAATAGATGCAATTGAAAAAGTAATGTTTAAATCAGTTAATGATGTTGTTACTCAATATCAACAAGTATTTGAAGGGCTGGAAAGATTTCCTAATCAACATCACATAACTTTGAAAGAGAATGCCAAACCTCGTATTAGCCCCATCAGGCGCGTTCCTCAAATATTGCATGATCGTTTAAAAATAAAGTTATGTGA